TTTCTCTCTTTCTATACTATACTACTAAAAAGACTTTACTTTTAAATAACTACTTAAAGCTACTATATTATTAGGTAATAAGCTCTATATAGTTAAAGCCTACTATAATTTATATAATAATAAGCTTATATAGCTAGATTAACTATATATATATAGTTAGAAGAGAAAACTCTAAAGAAGATATTTTTCGAACTTCTATCTCTTATTACGCTATACCTAGAAGAGCTAGCTCTATAAAAGTTTTTTAGAAACCTTTATTACGTTATAGATATTATATACTATAAGTTTTATAGATTATTATAGAGATATAGTAGTACTTACTAGAAGAAAACTAGGTTTTATCTTAAAAGTTAGTTAAATACGTATAGCTTTTTAATTACGTAATATATCTTAGTACAACTTTACTATAAGGTGTAATATACTATAGAGAATATATTTATAAATTTTTATAGAAAAAGATTAAGGTTTCGCTTAGTTATTTAAGAAAAACGAGTTAATTTTCGTTAATTTTCCTTGCCAAGAGAAAGGTAGTTGGCTCGATAATATGGTCGGTTCGATGATAAAGTACGTTAACGTACTTTACAAACGAACGTGTCACACAAACGAACGACCCAAAAATGCCAAGCCCCCACCAAATGCCACCATCTTATTCAGATTGCTCTGACTCCGAGCTGCTTGAGATAAATCTGGATAAGCTATCCGACTTATCTGTATCGTCTTTAACTACCTGGCACGTTCGCGCGTTATGCCCTGGCTTACCGCAGCGTCCACAGCGTCGCTGAGCTGGCTGGCCGTCGCGTGCCACCACCCCTTCGCGCCGCTTCTTGCCCTTATTCTGATCCGCAGCCTCCCTTTGAGCGACTAGCTGCAAGCCAGCTTTAATCGTAAGGGTATCCCCTTCCTGAATCCGCTTTCTTTTGCGCGAATTACGCTCCTTTTTCTGTGCGTTGGCCGCTCGAAGCTGGGCGACTTCAGACTCCACAAGCACCAGCCGATGCGCTATCAGCTCATTGCCTTTCTCAAGCCGATTGAGCGACTCAACAATATAAGTTAGCGACGAATTAAGGTGCTGTGTAATCTTTGATCGAATTAGGGTTAATTAGGACCTTGCTTCGACAAGATTACTAGGTGTTTTGCACTCCTAGGTAGTAGCATTGTTGGTAGGGGGTGTTAGCGTGCGCAATCGAACTTCAAGCTTCGATACTACTGAATCCGGGTTGAATGGGACTAAGCCAGCGCCTCTGAATCCTGCCCTAATATTGTCGTCCGTAATTAACGCGTAAAAAGCCGCGTAAAACGCGGGCAGGAACTCGGTTTTTGTGACGTGGTTAATATAGCTGCGCATCAGGATCTCGACTTGGCGGCTATATGCTACCTTTAATGGCGAGAAGCAGCCAACATCAAGTAGCTGCAGGAGGTGTAATGAATGTACTAGCATACAGAGAGCCACAATTTTGTTCTTCTTGCAGTACTGCTAGAATTCGACGGAGCTATAGCTTTCATGGCCGTCTAAAATTAGCAGGCAATACACGCCTACAACGCGACCCTTAGTGTGCGCGTTAAAGTGCTTTAACCACGCAATACCAACTTCATTTGTTGTCTAGCCGCTTTTGGAGACAGCTATAACCTAGTCGCGCAGTAGCTAGCTGCCTTTATACCACGCTAAGAGGTAGTTCTTGCCCGCGACGATGAGAAATAGTAGAACCTGTGTGTCGCCCACTGCCCTCGCTGTTACAATCGCCGAAATCCACTCGCGATTGCCTAGTTAAAGGCCCTTTGATCGCGATCGTCTCTCAGAGCTAGTAACTACCGCCCAAGGCGATATCATTCCTATTATAAAGCCAGATTCGTCGAAATTGTACGTGTCTTTATTAGTAATGCCGTACTTCGCCTTTGTATTGCCCACTAGGTCGAACCACGCCCGAATAATTGCAGGATCTTCTTGCTTTGCTCTCTAATAGTCGTACTTGCGATTAAGCCGCGTTTTAAGCTTAGGACGGCGCGCAACGAAGTTGTTTGGCCAGTTCTTGCCCACAACCTTTCCCCCCCGCTTAGTAAGCAGCTAATTAGCCATATCTCGAACGGCAGCAAGCTGGGGGGCAAATCCTCGCGCGTCTAGGTTAAGTATATACTCAACTATCGCCTGCTCTTCGTTCGTAGTAAGCTTTGTTAAATTAGGTGTCTTTTCGCGTCGTAGAGCGACTCCGTGGTGTCGACGGCGGACTTTCTCCCGCTCTACGTTATAGAGAGCTGCAGCGCGCCGCAAGCTTAGCTCTGGATCCTGTTGAATAGCCTGGAGCGCAAGCTGTATCCGGGATTCGTCTGAAGTCGATTGGGCGTTTGTGGAGGGCTTCATGATAGAGATGGTGGCATTTAGTAGGGGCTTGGCATTTTTAGGTCGTTCGTTTGTGTGACACGTTCGTTTGTGAAGTACGTTATATAAATTTTTATAGAAAAATATTAAGGTTTCGCTTAGTTCTTTAAGAAAAACGGGTTGATTTTTGTTGATTTTCGTTGCCAAGAAATCGTAGTCGGCTCGATGATATGGTCGGCTCGATGATATAGTCGGCTCGATAATAAAGTACGTTAGTTATTTAAGAAAACCTCGTAGATTCTTGTTGATTTTCCTTGCCAAGAAATCGTGGGGGGTTCGGTGATAAAGTACGTTACAGCTCTATAGCTTTAAAAGTTATAGGTAGTAGTATCTAGAAATCGTGCGTCGGGTGGAGACCGTGCGCCAGCTAATAAAATACGGTAGCCGAAAGGAGGCGGGGGGCTTATCTTTGGCCAATTGACTCTCGCCACGCTTTTGCCTCTTCTTCCTGCATTGCAGAGGAATACGGGGGTTTGTTAGAGCTTTTGCGACGTAGGTGCGTATAGTGTGAATCCTCGTCGCCTCCCACTCATGCTCTCTGACAATATACTTACCTTTCCCCTTGGTCTTGAGTGCTTCTATCAGAATAATCATCACTCTCACGATGCGCCTCCTTCAAGTCGAGAGCGGAAAAATCGAGGAGTTCCTTTCCGATGATGACATCCCGTCCTACGCCATTCTCTCTCACACCTGGGGCGGGGAAGAAGTAACCCTTGCCGACTGGGAAGACATGGAAGAAGGGAAGCTTCGGAGAATGCAAGGATACGCCAAGATCCGATACTGTCGGGATCAAGCGATGGAAGATGGTCTCAAATGGGTCTGGGTCGACACGTACTTCGTTCCAATCCTTAGATGCGAAAAAAAAGGCTGACTGTGGCCTGCAGATGTTGTATCGACAAAAGAAGCAGCGCCGAGCTTTCCGAGGCTATCAATTCCATGTTCCGCTGGTATAGAAACGCTACAGTATGCTATGCATACTTGTCTGACGTCTCTGGAAGCGACGATATCAAACAGAGCATGTCTAAAAGTCGTTGGTTTACGAGAGGCTGGACCCTTCAAGAACTTCTCGCCCCAAGTCTCGTTACCTTCTACTCTATGGAATGGCAGAGCCTTGGAACGAAATCTGAACTGTTGCAACTTCTTTCGTCCATAACTCTTATCGAGGAAGAGTTCTTGTTAAGCAAGGATCTGCAACATGCTAGTATCGCAAAGAGAATGTCGTGGGCCTCCCGCAGGGATACATCGAAGATCGAAGATAGAGCATACTGCCTGCTAGGCATCTTCGACATCAATATGCCATTAATCTACGGCGAGGGTAAGAAGGCCTTCCGGCGGCTCCAAAAAGAAATCCTGGAAGCCACACCAGATGACCACACATTGTTCGCCTGGGGCACTATAGTTGAATGGGAATCACTTTCGCCTCCGTTATCTCTCTATTCGACCCGAGAGTTGGAACTCAAAGGGGCAGGAATCTGGAGCGAAAGCGAGGCAAGCAGCTTGCTGAATGGCATGCTGGCCGAGTCACCGCAGGACTTTGGGAATTCTCGTCATTTCATCCCTTCTCATGAGGCTGGGGTCTTTTACCGAGGCCACGATCTTAACGTTGCTCTGCCTCGGCTAATTAACCGCGAGTTGCGCATCGAGCTCCCTGTCATCTCAGGTATGCCTAAGCTCCTACATCACTGGAAACAGCCGAACTTGGTGCAAGTCCGTCCGACCAGGCGAGTCGTGCTTCTTTGCGGTCACGAAGAGCTAAGGGACAGTCTCCTGATTCTGCCATTGAAGAGCTGGGGTTCAGTCAATTATGGACGAACAGGATACTTGATGCTACATCGTGGAAGCCTACCTATAGCAAAGTATCCCTTTCCCCAACGAGCGCAGGTCCATGTTGCACCAGAGCGAGAAATAGTGCTCCAAACTGGGGACTTTCTCTTCAGACAGGGTCTCAGGTTTGCGGCTCTAAAACACGCAAAGTTGTATCACCGCGACGGCATTAATTACTTGAGTCACTGCTCAGTGGTTCGAGCAGAATCCAGTCTTAGTGGATGGATGTTTGATTGGTGTATCCAGCACGACAAGAAATGGCAAAGAGGCTGGAGCGTCAAGATTTCCCGAGCATCGAGTTGCCTCCCCGAACTTGGGCTCCTGACAGTTTCTCTCATTCGTGTGTGCTTTGGGGAGGAGCGACAAGCGGTTGACTCTAACGATGGGTACGTATGGTTCAACGTAGGCAGAGGCCATGAAGAAGACATTGAGTTTTGCAGACATACTATGAGGACCCCGAAGGAAACTTGGATCCCGGAAGGACTACCCTTTTATCTCAAGATTGGTGTCGAAAGAACTGCTGTCAGTTGCCCGGCGGCTGCTACTGTTGATGTGGTTGATATCGTCGTGGGCGATTTAGCTAAGGTTCAAAGCTAGAATTGATACAGAAGACGTACCAGAATGTATCCGGAGCAAAAGGATCCAATCCTTCTGCTCTTTCAGTTATGACGCCTTATATATCCGGTAACAGAATGCCAAATTTATCACAGAAAAAGTCCTATGTTTCAACAGTCTAGTCAAATCCCCTACTGAAAAGTTCCCAGGGGACTACGCCTCCAATGTCTGGATGCACGCTTTCAAGGACATGCTCGTGGGGCCCGTCGACAGGTTCCAAAGGATAGGGGCACAAGCTATCGTAGGGACGTTATCACGGTGGCAACGAGCGTAGCGGAAGCAGAGGCTCACATCGCCAGCACACAAGACTGGTTCTGGAGACGGGCAGTCAAGCTGTGGACAGACATCTACGCGGCCACGCCCTGCTCGAAACCAACCCGCTTCGCATGAATGGGTTTCGAATGTGAAAATTCAGACGGCACCGCTCGCCACTTTATTGAGTAGCGGATGCACTCAAAGACATAGCCATGGAGGAGTTGGAAACCATCAAACCCGTTCAAATTGGCACCGTGGGAGAAGCGTGTACAGGCCATGGCCGACGAAACAGCAGCGAGACAGGCAGACGCGCCGTAAGCAGCTCGGTACGGAACGACGTGTGGGGGGTGAGACCTTCTCCTCTACACTCGGCACAAGATCAGAACAGAATCCGTACTCCAGGGAGCTGACGGTGACGGCTTACGCTCTGAGCTCACTATCAAAGCTCCGTTGTTCGCAGCGTCGCGCTGCTATCGAACAATACACTCGCTTGCACAAATCAGCTTCCGGATTTTATACTGCGAAACTTTTACCCCGCATAACCCCTGTAGTGCTTAGCATTGCCTTTGCCTTATTAGTTTTGGGTTCGAACAGGGTATACCAATCGCAGGCGGGGAGGGCTAACCTACACCTGCCGCATCCTTGTAAGGGGGTGCGAGCTCTGTAGGTAACTTAGTTTCAAGGAACTTCCCGAACTGAGCGCCCCAGATGCGGATCATAGGCGCGGGCCGTCGCGCAGGTCAAAATGGGAAGGAGGTGCGCATTCAAAAGCACTACAAAGGATGTATCGGCTGATCGCAGCGCGCTAATAGATTAGTTAGAGTTGATTTGGGAACTGAAGATGCATCCCATCTAGGCCGCGCCGGCATGCCGCATGCGGGAGAGAATGCGAAATGCGATGGAGGAACTGGAAGAAGAATAGAAAAGAGGATATGCGGTAGGCTGGAATGGCATTCCGCGGTAGTACCAAATATGCAGCGTGCAAATAAAGGTGGGGACCGAAGCAGCATGCAGCAATCGAAAAGGAACACAGTAAGGTGGGATGCGGATTCAACTAATCCATTGGCGCACTGCGGTCCCGCCAATGCGTCACCTGTCATTACGTTTAGATACGCACCCTTCCCCGCCCATCAGACCCGCACGACGGCCCACGACTCCGATCTACATCCAGGGCGGCTCGCCTTAGGCATACAGCTAGTCAATCTATAGAGCTCATTCTGTCTCGCAATAGTGTGGCAGGTGTCGTTTGGCCATTCTCCCCGCTTGTGATGGCAAATCCTGTCCAAAGCTAAGACTAATAAGGCAAAGTCCATGCCAAGCACTACAGTGGGGGTGCGGGGCAAAAGGTTCGCAGTGTGCAAAACCCGGAAGCCAATTGTGTAACGAACACTTCTCTGCACCTCGCCCGATCGACTGCCCTCCATTATTTCACGTTCGGGAAGAATCGGGTCGATTCTTTCCATTGCTGTGTCTTATTAGGCGCACTTCCCTGCACCTCGCCTGTGACGCCTATCCAGCTGGGAACCTCTCAGAGCCTAGTCGGGCCGACTCTAGTTACGTGCCAGCCTAGTATATAGCCTAGTCTCCTTCTATTCTTACTCTATAAGAATTTAACTACTTACTAGCGCTACCTAATATATTTTATTACTAATATCGCGGCCCTTGCCAGCCTTCTCTTTGAACTTGGCAGCATGGCGCACATATCAGCACGTTTTCGGCACAAATATGCAGAATAACTCTTACTGGTAATATTATTTCTACCTAGAATTATATCCGATTCAACACTAAGTTACGAGACTACGGGGAACGCCTCTTCTCCCTGAAAGCTCTTCATTAGACTGTTGAAAGAGCGGCTCCATGGGAGAATGCTGCATGGCTCGAACTACACCTAGGTACGTCTACGCTTTTTCTCATTGAGTGTTGCACGGAGGCAACGTAACTTTGCCTTGTCTCAAAATCTCTGGTAGCTATTGATTTACTCCAGAAATTCGTCCGCATTGCAGGCGTTCATTTGGCCTACATCCTACCCGCTACCTAGGTACCCATCTGCGCGTCCCATTTCCAACTCAATTCACCTTCTGCTCGTCTTAAACGGGATCTGAACTCGACGTCTTTACTCGTTTGGCATCAGGAGCTTTTCCGTCGGCCGTGATAGAGTCTCCGTCCTCATCAGCGGATAGAGAACGGGCCCGTTTTACTGATCGCTGAGCGGCGGTGACGTCAGGCAAGCTTGGTGTAGCATCCTCGAGATCGCATTCATTTGCCGCTTTCTCACAGTTTGATTGCTCTGGCTCCTCAAGGGTCTTTGCCGTAACCGATATTGCAACAGATTCGGCACGGCACGTGGACTCGGATGAAGACTCTTCAGAGTGTGCATGTTCCGCAGCTTCTGAGGGCGATCCCGGAGTGGGCGGTTTCTTACCGTTCAACCAATAAAACGGCGCGCAGCCTAGATCTTTCCGCTGAGCTTCGGTGTGTGAAGCCATCCACTCGTACTTCAACTTCATGTCCACGGCCCTATCGTTTGATTCAGGAAATAAAGTCGCAATGACCGTCACAGATTCAGACAGAGACATGCAACAATTGTCTTTGGGAACATACGTGCCTCCGGTGGAGTCTACAACCAGAGTATCGTTCATGGGAACCTCACGGTTTGGCGACTCGCCGTTCGGGTGATTGTCTTTCCACTTCCGGAGCCCGGTAGGTCCCATTACCGGTACAAGTTAACGGCATGCCGAGGAAAACTTTTCGTTGAGTCCATATCCGTCGAAAGTGTAAAATATGCTCATGGTCACCTTGGTATACTTGGCCCCAAGGTGTTTCGCTGTAACGGCTCCGATGCGCCTCTCGTGAAAGTGAATGCCATGTGCACCGCAATCAACCCTTTGCTGAAAGGTCTGCTTTGTCGCCGTCAAATTGCTGGTAAACGTCCGCCTGAATAATATCGCCTGGTTCCACCCAAATGGCGCGCTTTATACGTTTATAACAACGTCCTCGAGTGGGGGTACCGCTGGCATCGGAAGGTAACATATTGAGTGATGGGTAATCCCCGTCCCCGCTTGATTGTACTTGGGTCATCCACGGATTCGAGCTGGCATAACCTCCACCGTTTCCGCTGTTGGTCGGAGTAGCCACGTTGGATCGAGCTGCACCGTCAAAAGTGGACGGCAGCGTTTGTATTTGTGGGCATTGTGGGACCCAATTGGAATTGTGCGTTGGAAAAGAGGCCGACATTCTGCTGATGTTGGCTTCCCGTATACGACCCTCCCAGGTTATTGGAGGATAAAAACTGACTCATCGGCGGAAGCCAAAGGGATTCACGTTGAAGACAGGACCGAGATTGAAGTTTGGCGCCTGACCCGAAGGGGCGAAGTTCGGAAACGGAAGGCCATTTGGACTCTGGCCACCCTGCATCGTAGCCCGGGTCATGTAGGGATTTGAAGAGCCAGGTGTACCTGCTGAGTCAAAGGTTTGATGGTGGGGATGCCCTTGGTTTTCATTGACAGATGTGCCGCACAAGCATGCGCCGCCGTTACGACCTCCCGGATTAGCGTCGCCCATGTCTTTATTGCGCAACCGCCGCATCGTACGATCTCCGTTTGAGGAAGTATGCAAATCATGAACTTTACTATCTCGCGACATCAGTGTCTGTGGATCTTGTCGGTTGCGGGTCGCGGTTTGATGGCTGAACTAAGCTGTTTCCAGTATTCGGCGTTCCTAGAGTGGCTTTGGAAACCCCACCAAGGAAGTTGGACAGTCGATGGTCGGCCATAACCAGGTATCACACTGAATGATATTGGGGCCTGTAAACTTTGGCCCAACCCGTTATGATGACACAACTGGAGCTAACCAAGGTTCAGACCCAGTTGCGAGGTTCGATGAGAGAACAGAGTATTTGTGCTGCCCCTGGGCAGCAGCATTGCTTATAAACCAGACGGAGGCCATTGAGAGTTTGGTAGTGAATACATCCTAAGCGCCCGCTGGTAGGCGCTCAATTCACTAGATTTGGTTTTCCCTTGATTCAAGCGGTATGAAGCCCACTCCTCGACAATTTCCGTCTGCAACGGCATAGTATAAGATGATGTTAAATAAGTAAGATAACATCAAGGATGCCCCATAACAATCGTAAGTGTCGATAACGCGTAGTATGACATAGTAGGACATTTAAATCCGACCTGGGTATATACAGAACACTCCATCTTGCATAAGGTCCAGTGGCCCATGTGATCAGTTAGCACCTATTAGTCCCAGCCGCGTAACAGTATGTCTACCTTGCGCAGTTTCTCACTCAGTTCGCCGGCAGCACTCATTGTACCCGCCTTTTGGCTTTCGGTTCGTGTAGCAGAAATGTGTACCTGCCTCACGCATATCAGTGAAACAACGAAGCCCAAGAATAAGCGCTAAGAACCCAGCACAGAACAGAATACATCATGAAAAAAACCTTCCCGATTACGCTCTATCACCAAAAAATAATTCCGTACTCCCAAACGCATCCCTTACTCCTCCCGCAGTCTCACTACCCTTCCTCCTCAACCCTATGCCTCCCCACCACCTCCAAGAAAATCTGATCCAACGTCGCCGTACTAACCCCATAGTACTCCACACCCAACGCCGCCTTCGCCACCTCCAGCTTCCCAAAGATATCCGCCAAACTCCTTAGACCGCCCGCCTCCCTCAGCGGAAGCCGGAACTTGACCTGTCCATACACAATCCAGCCCTCAAACCGGGCTTCAGGAAACTCGCTCTGCACCCAGGCTTGCATGCGCTCCATTTCAGAGGGACTAGTGTGCGCGCCGTGCCGATGCACGAGGTGGACGTAGTACGCGTTGGCATAGCGGGATTTGAGCTCGTCGATGGTACCGAGGGCGAGCATGCGGCTGGCGATGACGCCTGCGCGGGTGGCGAGCGCGTCCGCTTCTTCCATCGAGTGCGTGGTTAGGAGGAGGGAGCGGCCTGGCGTGAGGGAAGACAGAGTGCGCCACATGATGCGCTTGCTGACTGCGTCCATGCCGGAGGAGGGCTCGTCGAGGAGCAAGACGCTTGGGTTACCGACCAGGGCGATGCCGAGGGAGAGCTTCCTCTTGTTGCCGCCGGAGAGCTTGGATGCGATGCGATGCGTGAATGCGTCGAGGCCGACAGCTGTGATGGTCGCTTGGACGGATGCAGAAGGGTTCTTTAGACCGCGGATCTGCGCGTAGAAGTGGAGATGCTCGGCTACCGTCATGTGGTCGAGAGGATCGATTTGTGGGCAAACGCCCAGCTTGGTGCGCGTTTTGCCTCGATGTTGCAGGGCTGAAAGTCCGTCGATGAAGATCTGACTGTAGTGGCCGCTTGGCTGAAGGTCGCCTCGGATCATCGATATACTGGTGGATTTGCCGGCACCGTTGGGGCCGACCAGCGCAAAGCATTCGCCGGGCGGAATACCGAAAGTGACATCGTCGACTGCAATGTGTTTCTTGAACTGCTTCCGAAGGTTGAGAACCTGCAAGCCATCGCCTGATCGCGTGGCGCCAACTGGGTCCATTGGTGCTTCAAGCTCGATGTCTTCCTGCTCTGTCTTCCTCCTCGGCCTTCGCAGAGAGAAAGTAGTCCCGGACTCTTTCAAGAAGACGATGGCGAAGAGGAAGAGCGATTGTAAGATGAGGTACAAGATCGGTCCCCCGTATAGGTCAATGGCTCCCGGGTACGAAGCCAGTTTCTTGTCTCGACATGAAACTCCGAACACATTGAGGGTGGTGTAGAGCGCGCGTGAAAGGTTGACTACAGGAGAGAAAAGGCCCAGAATGAAGTACGCGATGTCCATGGTAGAATCCTGCTTCGACGACTCGGTGAATGTGTAGACCACCATGAAGATGACGAAGTAGGCCAGGAAGAAGACAGTTTGGGTGGCCGCCGTGACAGCGAGCGCTGCTAGTTGAGACGAGGAGAATAGAGATACGACGTAAGAGTACAGCCCAGCAGCGATACCGTACAGGAGGAAGACGAGAAGAAGGTATCCTATCGCATACCAAATGTCTAGCATCCCGGCGAAGATGATGATCGACACGAAGCTAATAACGATGACGAACAGGAAGTCGAAGAACAGGTAGGCGAGCCAGAGAGGCAGTGGTCGCACGCCGTTGCTGTAGTGCATTGATCTTATGCCTCGGAGACGCTCCATAGTCGGATATAGGGCCATGAATGCCGGATAGACAGCCATCGAAAGTCCGAAGTAGACGATGAACAGCAGATATTGACTGATGTCCGCCACAAACGGCACGTCGAGAACCTCGTAGCTACTGGATATTGTGATGTTGAAGAGAAGGTTATCCAATAAGTTCTGCGTGATATGCGCCATGACCGGGGCTGGCCCGTCCGCTTTCCAGGCGATTGTAGGTTCGGAGCCCAGGAAGAAGCCACCAGGAATGAGTTCGCCATAACGGCGTGATACTGCGGAGTTGAAATCCTCAAGAGTCTCAACAACCGAGACAGATCCTGGAGGTGCTGCAGCAATCTTCTCAATCGCGGCTGCAGATAGTTGCTCTTGTGGCCCGGCGACCAATTGATACTCCACGGCGGACTGTTGACTGTTGGAAGATACTGCATCCTCTGGGTTGCATTGGCCAACCCGGGCGTTCTTCAGAAAGAGGGTCGAGCATCCCGCCGCGATAAGCGCGATGGCGAGGAGTGCGACATAAGGGGCTGGATTCCTCCACAGAATCAGAAAGCGTTTGGATACCAGACTGAAAATGTGTTAGAATAAATAAGCGCGGCAACATCTGGTTGGAGAAGTGGGTTCTCTTACGCTTTCATCTGTCTCACCAGACCAATGGGTCTCCCTTTACCCAGTTCGAACACAGCATTTTGCTTTTCCTCGTCGGAGGTAACCAAAGGTTTTCCCGAGTCGTACGAAGAGCGATGATTTGCTTGAGCACGCGTTTCCTCCTCGACTTTGAAGAAGACGTCTTCCAGTGTTGGTCCGTTAACCTCATAATTCTGCACTCCGTCCTGATCCAATCTTCTGAGGAGCCGATATGCGTCCGCGGATGTCCCAGGAAAGTAAGTAACTTCATGGCCGTGATCTGTATGAAGCACATCGCGGTACAAAGGAGGTCGCTGGAGCGCACCAGGAGCGTGTCGCATGTGTACCCGATAGCCAGAGCCTAGCTTATCCTTTAGCTCAACTGAGGAACCTACAGCTCGAAGTCGGCCTTTGGAGAGTATGGATATCCGATCCGCGAGTAGATCTGCCTCATCAAGGAAATGCGTCGTGAGGATAATCGAGCGGCGACCGCGTTCAGCGAGGAGAATGTCCCATAGCTTCCTGCGAGACAGCGGATCGACGCCAGATGATACTTCATCAACGCAGCAGACGGCGGAGCCTCCTGCAAACATCATCGCCATCTGGAGCTTGCGCTTCTGCCCACCCGAAAGAGACTTCGACAGACCGCTCTTTTTCTTCGAAAGATCACACGCTTCAATAAGACTGTCCTGCTCGGCACGCGTCGCAGGTTTTCCGACGGCCTTGATCCGGTCGAAGATGTCAACATGCTCGCGGACCGTTAAATCATCCCAGAGAATGTTCTTTTGAGGGCAGTAGCCGAAGCCTTCCTGTGGGTTGTTGTAGTTGAGAGTGATATCGCCAGCGGAAATAGAGTGTTGTCCGGCAATCGCGTCCAGGGTTGTCGATTTCCCACTTCCATTCGCACCCAGCAGGACCATAATTTCTCCTCGGTACGCCTGGAGATTGAGGTTGTCCACCGCAAGTACACCGTCCAGCAGTCCCTTGTTGAAGAACTGAAGCGTTTTCGCCATCCAATCCGGAGCATACTCTTTCGTGAAGCCATTCAAGCTGACAGCGATCGGCGAAGGAGAGACCACTGTTTGACGCGACGAAGATGATGTCCCATAAATCCAACGTTCGACGAGAACACCCAGTACCACGTATACGATGGCGTGAATGCAGGCGAACGCCCAGAAAACAATGGCCGGTACTGCAAAGGAGCTATTCGGAGCACCCTGGACGAGATTGGTCGCTCGGTTGTCGCTCTCCCAATGTGTCATGGTGACGAGGAAGTAAACGTAGTTCATAGGAGGAAAGAGGAGCGACAGGATCACGACCACGGCAGTCCCTGATTTCACCAGCTGAGCTACGATGGCGAGAATCAGTGCCCCAATGATTGCGATGATACCGCTTAATTGCGCCTTTCGGAAGAATGCCGCTGCGAAAGCCGCAAACGAGGTCGTTGATAGACCCGCTAAGACGTGGAACATGATTGGAATGATAATCGTCGTAGCAGGAAAGCACATGGCACCGAGGATTGCACCACCTGCAATCCATCCTGGTAGGTAGAGCAAGTCGAAGGCGAAGTGGTTCGAGAGGATTCGCGCCACCGGAGGCTGCCAACGTTTCTGATTCGGCATCATGGTATCCAGGAGTCGAGCCATGCCAATTTCTTGCTCGGTGGCGATGAATCCAGTCATCTGGTAGATGACACAAGCCATAGCGAGGTAGAACGGAGCGGCGAGTACGTCCTTGATCATGTCCATGAATCGAACTCGATTGTCGTCTTTCCTTTCTTCCTCTGTTTTAGACGTGAAAGGGTATTCGTGGATCGGTACCGATAAGGCGGTAGAGTTCGAAGAATTAGTGTGGCGCGCGATGGCAAAATCAATGGCATGTTGGAAGGGAAGAGTGTAGACCTGGGCATCGTTGACATCCGAATCGGCGAAGAAGGTCTGCCCAAGAGCACCGTCTGCACGAAGAGTATAGTTCCATGTTCCATTCGCGCCCTCAGAAGGAGAGGAGTGGAAAACGGCGGCCCCAAGGCATTTGGATGTACCACGTATGGTGCTGAAGCATGCTGAACGAAGCTCTTCCTCTCTTTTCAGGGTCTGAATCTTCACTCCAGAGTTCCTCAACGGTGCTGCCACTTCTTCAATCACGCGTTCAATCTCTCCACCGGCAAAGGGAGTGACGAATATAACTTGGTTACGCTCTCCAGATGCTGTACTAAGCACATCGGAAAGAGGTCGAACGAGACGGGACTCTCCGAATCCATACGTGGAGTCTTTGGAAATGAAGTTCTTGGTGAAAGACCTGAACGGATTAGTTCGATGGTCAAGGTAGGTCAGAGCCACTTACAGGAAAAGCACAATGAGTATCGGGAGAACAAGAGCTCGAAGCGGCGTTGAGATCCAGTGCCGCCAAAGCGTGATGCGTAGGGTCTTGGCAGACAAGGACCAGATCTGCCGGAGCAGAAGGGCCATGGTTGGGGGTGCCCGTACGAGGGATCGCACAATGGTAGGGCTGAAACCGCCGTTCGCGAGGCCGAGTAGCAGGCTAAAAGAGTTTACCTGCGGTTAGTATCTGCGATGAAACTAAGTGTGTACCGCGGCCTACGTCCCTCGGGACTGATCTGGCTCGAGCGATAGGAGGTAGGAGACAAGAAAAGATAAGAAACGATAAACTGCTCAATAGAGATAAATATGAGAGTTTAGAGCCGAATTATAGCGCGTGCAACGGCTCTGCTACACGCGCTACATTTATGCGGAGGTTTTCTTGTCCTTGCCGTCACCGCCTCTGGGCGCAGTGGCCGGCGGTGCACAGCGATCATTCTCGCAGAATATGGACGTATACGCGTCATTAATCCTTTCAGCCATCGTTCTTGAGGCTTGTCGAATGCGCCTTGCGGACGAAAAGGTGTCAGTTGGGGGATTGTGGTGAGGAGGAACTTGGCGTTGACACGGAGTCGGAGTTCCGTGCCGTTAGTCAGCAGAGCCTCTCAGACGGGTGCCTCCAAACGAGAGAATATCAATCAACCGGTGTACCGGACCCGACTCCGCCAAGAGAGGGAGCCACAGGGATCGACGCTGGCCATAAGCCTTACGCGTATTCCAGGAACGCGTGGATGGCTCCTTTCTACGCCCGGGTTCTTAGCAAAGCCGATTGAAAAGAAGGCCGGCGGACGGACGCGGGCAGGCGGGTGGAGACAGACGAAACAAACACCGGCCCACCAGTCGTCGACCGGAACTCAGAGGGCCGATTTCAACGATGATGAGAACGCCCAGGAAGCGCGAGATCAAGGCCTGCACAGCATGCGCAAAGCTCAAGGTGAAATGCGAGTGGGGTCAGCGGTCGGAGAAATGCAAGAGGTTCGTATTCCGTTGCCCTTTGTGGACGCGTGCAGAATACTGAATGTGTGGGACGAAGGTGCCAGCGATTGCGCAAGGAGTGCGAGAACCAAATGCCCGGCGCCCACTGCCATAAGAGACTCCTGGACGGCCAGTCCAGCAGAGCGTATGTGTCATCACGGGGTACACGAACAAGCCCCGCATCTAACACGGAACATGTAGTGATCTTCTGCGATTGGAGTCCAAAGTCGACTCCGTGTCGCGGTTGCTTTCAACATCATCATCACATTCCCCTCATGTTCTGCTACCACCGTCCCCCAACCCCAGCCCGATGCCCGTGCCGGCGCCGGACACCACCATTCCGACCGACCATGAAGCAATCTACTTACTTAATCTTTACCGTGCCGAAATGGCTCCACTATTTCCCTTTGTGGTAATATCACGGCGTGTGACCCCTGAGCAGCTCCGGCTCGAGAAGCCCGTACTCTACATGGCCATCATGATGGTTGCATGCCAGAGTGACGTGCATCGGCAGCTCAGCATCGCCCGGATAGTCAGGCAAGAGATCAGCCAGGCGGTATTGATTCGCTCGGAAAGAAGCCTGGCGCTGTTGGAGGGGTTGTTGTTGTACATAGCTTGGTAAGAACCCTTGCTCCGTCCGAGCAGGTACCCATGGTCTAGTGCATACCGCTGACGATCTCGCAACATTCCAGGAATCACGTACATCTCCAGCTGGGCCACCAACTCCTCCTTCTCCAGCACATGGCCATCGCCATGCTCACAGATCTCGGCCTGAACAAAGAGCCGCATTTCCGTCCAAAGACCGCCGCAGGCGCCTTTAGAGAGGCTGGGCCTCAGGTCGCCATGGAACCTGCCCGGACACTGGAGGAGCGCAGAGTGTTCCTCGGCGTTTTCTGGGTAACTTCGTTGTACGTTGCACAAATTCATTTTCCTACCCGCTCACCAACTCACCCCCTATCGCAGGACGAAAACCTGCTTCAAAGAGATGCAGGCCCTGAGATTCACCAACTACGCTGAGTCCTGTTGCCGGATCCTTGAAAACGCGACGAACCACCCGAACGACACATACCTTGTCCATGTCGTGCGCTTACAGCAACGGGTAGAGAGAGTGGGAGACATTCTATACAGCGAAGACCTAGACACCGTATCCGGCATGAACCCTCCTTTGGCGATGATCATCTCGTCGCTGGAGAAGGAGGTTTCAGATGCTACAACCGGCCTACCATCGAACATACGGCAGACTCCCTTGCTCCAAATGTCCTACCGCATGCTCCAACTATACCTCTACAAGATCGCGCTCGATGACCGTCTTTTCCCACCCCAGTCTCCCTACGCCACGCTCCGCACCAACCTCCTCTTCTCCTGTCTCGCCGCCATCGAATCCCTAGTCTCGCTCTTCTTCGAGCTCCCAGCGCAAACAATTCTCTCACTACCCTACCCGAACTGGGGCCAGGTGGGCCACGCAATGCTAATATTGTCGCGGCTCGCAGAGGTCAAGCACGGGACGTGGGACACCGGAGTCGTGTCCAGCGTGCTAGATCACCGCGAGACGTTCAGACGGTTGGCTAGGAGATTAGAAGAGGTGATGGCTGTGGGCGCGAAGGAGACGCCGCCAAGGAGTTTTCCGGAGGTTTTTGCACTTATGATTGATAAGCTGCGGGATCTGGGGAGTTCGGAGGGACGCCGGGAAGATGAGGCGCTTATGGATGGTGAGGATTTGAATCATATGCTATGTGAGGATGAGATGATGGGTGGTATACTGTTTGACTTTTTTGATCTGGGTCAAGGAGTCTAAATGCTTCTCTCGCCTGCTTCCCAAAATGCATTGCAACGGCGCCACTTAGTGTGTCCAATAGCCCAAGCTGAGGTACCACTTGATGCTCGTCGAGAATCCACTATTTGCTGCGTTCCCGTCTCTGCTCATGAACACAGCCATTTCTACCTATATTTTCAGCCACTTTTCGCCCTCCGTTCCACTCAGTGGTGTTGGCTGTGTGGCCTCAGCTACTAGCGCAAGCGCTCAGCCCCCAAGAGATGCATTCTGCGAGAGACGGAGTCGTGGGGGTTAGTCAAGTGCACAACGTGCAACATGTCAGCATTCACTTAGGAGAGAGATCATGAAAAGAATCCACACATACACCATTTGTCCGCAGAGATTGATTGATTGATTTTTTCTCGTTTTAAGTCACCAACCTATAGAGGTTATGCCGACTAATAGCAAAGCAGAGCTTCCGCCTACGCACAAAAGGACTTAAAAGACGCTAAAATTAAGAGAAGGGAATAGGGTATTGCAGAACTACGGACAGGTAGTATAAGTCGACAGAAAAGAACGGTTCGGGCGCGGATGACGAGGGCGTAGCTCACCACGGCGCGAACCATGGCACGAAGCTGCCAATGAAAAGAGAGATCCGCCTGGGCTCGTGGCCATGACACGCGGCCATATTCTCATTCCATGAACATCGTTGCATCCGGCGTACGGTGCAAAGCTATTCACGAATGATTTAAACCAGGTGCACGCAATATTCAGCCTTCGCGGCCGGCTTTGAGTCGCTTCGGCGCGCGGTCGTCGCTTTCATCCTCGCTATTGGGATCATCGTCATTCGACCGCTTCTCGCCACGCTTTTCCGTTTGTTCAACGTTACCACCTTGATCTGAGGTCGGACCGTTAGCTGATGATGATGCTGGTTGGTCATGCGTATTTGACTGTGCCGGTGTTGCGTCTGAGGGAGCTTCTTGCTTGATATCCTGGGTATGTTCTGGAATGGCTTCCTGGATGCCTTCTGGAATGGCTTCGCGGGTAGTCGCCCGTCCAGGCAAAGGCGGCGCGGCTACGAGGCTGTAGAGAGCAATGCTCCCTAGGATCTGCTCCAGTCCGCGCAAGTGCTCCTCCTTCTCTACCATCATCCCCCCGGCTGCGTTTGAGAGGATTATCGTGTCCCGACGTAGGTTTTCGATCTCTTGCTTGGTCTTCTCAATAAGCTGGCGAATGTGCATTTCCCATTGCTCTCGCAAATTTGACGATGGGGTGACGCTAGCGACATTGCCGGAGGTTGGGCTAGATTCCGTAAACTAGTCTCGCAACGGCGAGCGTTCGATCGTGAACCACGTACAAGGGCCGAGGTCCATATAGGGGCGAAGGGTGGGGTGCGTCATGACCCATTCGTTGTACATGCGGTAACCCAAGATCAGCTTCGTAATAGAATCTGGCGTGTGCGAGGCCCTGAACTTCGACCGACAGTCGCGCCACACCTTGGCTGGCTCCGAGAGGCGGATTGTAGCTTTCGGCGATAACTTGAATTTGAGAGACCGCGGGTCAAGCTCAAGTGTGAAGTCGTCGGGGATGTTCGGATTCTGCTTGACGTAGGTCGCGTCGCCCGCCAGCTTGACGTTCATGTGTTCGTTCAGACAGTGTTGTTTGAATTCCAGCCCCTTCTCGTGGTATGTATGGTGCAAGAGGACGATGTCCCACTCGGTATGGGTTTGAATGACGGTGCCGATGTGTTCGCCAGCGAATGCTGGGCCGGCGTCGGTGTCGGCGAGGTTGGGTTTGGGGACGAGCTTGCCATTGATCCTGTAGCGCTCCGGGTTGGGATCGCTCCATGCCTCATGGTGAGGAACTGTGATGACGTGACCGACCTTTCTCGCGCCCTCTCTTAATGACTTTATTCCGTCGTGGACTCCATCGTGTTTGTAAGTCCCGCCTGCCTCTATTTGTTCCTGCATCCAGCTTGATGGAGTAAATGTCGTTGAGGGAATGCTTCCATTCCCATAATGCATCGGGCCGAGCGCTTGGATGTTCCAGGGCAGGTTCTGGAGAGCAGGAGGCATTCCGGGGAACATACTACGCCAGTAACGTTAGTAAACCCTACAAAGATGGATAGTAGCAATATCCGAAACACGTCAAGGCTTTGGCTGCCGAATGCTTTGGAACATATACAATGACCCGCCCGTCGGTAGTATGCGTAATGCAACCTACGTACCTAAACGGCAAACCGAACGGAGAGGGGAAGTAGCCGCCTGCTACCTGATTGCCGTTCTGCCATTGGTTTTGCATGTTGCTTGCATAATTCTGATTTGCATTCTGGTTGAGCGCTGCCGGCCCATAGCCGTTGGGGACATTGCGGTGGTTCGGCTGGCGGCGTTGGTTTGAATCGGTCTCAGCCCTATTCTGGAAGAAACCGGGCGGTGGGCATCCATACTGCCCGCCCGCATTCGGGTTCAGTTGCAGATCCGGGTAAGGAAATTCGACATATCCAGGGTTGGACTCCCGTCGCTCATTCTGCCTGCCGTTCCCTTGTCCTACACCGGGAGTACGTACGCCATTTCTGTTCGACATCTTGTTGGGTTGCCGGAAAGGAAGTTGTAGGGTTAGCCTGGTCGTGAGACTAAGACGAATATTATGAGCTGCCTCCAACGCCCTTTTGCGGGTAGAGAGGCGACCAGACCGGCGCTCGAACTAGTGAAAGCAATATCCATCGTGCCGCCGCCATGCACGCACCAGCAGGCAATCATTCACTTCCTCCAAGCGTCCATCATTGTGCAGTGACGTTCTCTGTTGTAGCCCTCAGTCACTCGAAATGGCTCCATGAGAACACCAAAAACAATGCTTTGAAATGAGAACAAACGTAATCCATGCAAACAAACATCATGCTTTGTTCGTAAGGCTCTCAACAACAAGGACGATACCATGAACTACAAAACAAAACGGAGCGCGATAAGAAACAAAAACCCTTCAGCAAAATGAGTCCCATATTCCTTCACAATGCCACAATCGTCTCATCACATTACTATCCATGGCTGCAGGTTATATATTGAATAAGAAAACGCAAAACAGCGAGAACAGCGACATAAAACTCGAACCAGGGCCTAAGATGGAGCCACGAAATCCTGGTGCCGTTGGGAAGAACCTTGCCGAGGGCTTGGGGGGTCGGCCCCCTCGAGCGGGCGCGACTAAGCATGCGTCCGCCGAAGTTGACACGGTGCTTCCAGGGAAACCAGCATTACCCCAACTCACGCTTGTCGATGCCCTGGGAGCCGATGGCGGGAACACTGGAAACCTTCTAATCGAATGGTATCCGGAGGGCGAGATACAGGTGGAGGATTTCCATACTGGAACCGTTAGGTTCCATCTGGTAGATGATGGATCAAAGTTGTGTCCGTCGCTACTCATCAACAACGAACTGTTCGAGCGCATGAGGGCCGCCCTACAGGCTAGGAGAACCCTACTCGCCATGCAAGTAGGCATCGGCCAAGCACGGGAGGCAATAGAGCAACGTGAGGACGAGCTTTTTGTCCAAATTGTGAACTGGAGGGGGGAACGCGACTTGCTCGAAAGGGATATGACAGTAGATGCTGAAGCGCGTGTAAGAGGAATAAAATTAATTGACGATGAGATAGCAAGGAATGAAGGAGACCAGGAGGCGCTAAAAAATCAGGGCCAAATCTTGGGAGAAACGCTCGGCAACGCTTATAGTCATTGGGATAGGGTACAATGGGAGGCGGACCTGATTCTTGAACGAGCATTCGGTCAGATTGGTGTCTTTCCTGTGAGCGACCCACCTGAAGAGCAATTCCAAGAGCCAACAATGCAGAGAGAAGCAATACCAGGCTCGGAGCTAGAATCGTCGTTTGGGGTTGTTGAATGGCGCGAAACGGTAGACAACGATCTTGAGGCGTATTCCCAGGCTGTCTCAGGCAAGAATGCCTGGAAGTTCAGCCTACGCGAAGACCCCGATAGCACTTTCAACAACGAGTACTACGACTATTTTCCTCGTCCGGATCCCCGAGAAGCGTGGTGGGGATTGCAACGATGCAGAGACGATCACCGACGAGCAGAAGTAGCCTTCGACTCGCATCGTGACGATTACCACGAAGCGTTCCGTAGCTGGATGATTGAGCAAAAGGGTCGGATGTGCCGAGAGTGCCTGGAGTGGGAATTCGGCCAAGTCTGGGTCAAGCGCGGCGAGGAAAAGACGAGAAAGCTTAAGCTCGCCGAAGAAGCGTATTATGAAGCTGTAGCTCGGGCAGTTGAAGCAGGAATCTATGTCGACGGCAATGGTGCCGAGCCAGATTTTTACGGTGGTGAAGGCGGCAGCGTCTGTAGCCAGAAAAGGAAGCGCATCGAAGACTGGATGCAAGGTGGACCGGCCAAATCCTATGCTGAAGAGGAGGGCGCAGAGTTGGAGCCGAACCCTTCAGAAAGCTTGAGTGTGCGCGAAGGGGATCCGAAGCGAAGGAAAATTGACGAGTACAACGAGCGGGTAGGGCGGGATTGTTGAAGAGGCGTTCACTCGGTGGATGCGTGGAAATATTGTATTTCGTTGGCATACAGCTGCACCATGTTTTCGTTGCATTAGCATCGTATCAGCGGAACTAGGATGCATTTTGCGAGTCGTGAAGGAGATGTACCAGATGATGCAGACATGTGTGGAGTGGTGAGGAGGACAGAGTACGGTGAGCATTTAAAGGCCAGCGAGGCCTTAAGAAAGCAGTTCTGACCAGTATGGAACTGGCTTAGCGCGCATGTCCAACGTTCACACGTCGACGCCAGAGGGAACGTGACTTGGCATCCCGAGATTGTCAGAGCGCATTCTGTTTTCACAGTGACTTTATAGCCTTAGTAGTGATAGACCATGTTTGATGCGGTTCCATTTGTGAATTGCCGCACTGATATTCCATACAGGAGGAAGCTCAACTTAGGTTGTCGCTGTCCCAGCTTAAGATCCCTCGTGTGAATTGAAGAGCGAGTAAGTCGGGTGGGCGAATTCCTTCTCGTCTCCTTCTACGTGTTTGTGCGCTCTCATTGCGGTAGGTTGGCACCCAACACGCAAGCACTTCAAACGCAATGTCGGAAGAAGAGTTGAACACCGAAGAAATTAGAGCAGACTCGACGAGTCCCCATGTGCAATCCGAACAACGCAGTAAAACACGGACTCACCCAACGGAATTGGAAGAATCCGAATCGAAAGACGACGACCGGAACGATGCTCACCGACGCATGGGACAGAAGACCCCTCATACGCAAACCACAATGCCGTTAAAGGTAGCCCTAGAACCGTACATCCGCCGTGCGTATGGAGATGGCTTAGAGAAGGTCTTCGACAGCGGACTCGGGTATCAACCTCCAATGCTACGTCGCGATCGAGTGAATCGAATTCTTCTCTAGGCCGGCAGGTTCAATCCCCCGCATCGAGGACACATGGAGCTTCTGCGACATGCCATGTTTCACAGCGGCGCAGGCCTCAATATCGTCGCTGCGATCGCAAAATTCCAAAGCCAGAGTCATGTTCGTTTCACAACTTCCCACCCGTCACAAACTCCCAGTTCTCCTGCAACGGCACCACAACACCCTCAAAAAACTTCTCCCTAAACTCCTTGTCCTTAAAGTCGAAACTGAAAGAATCGAAATTAAATCGTATACATCGTAGCACAGCTCTTGCATAGTTCTCGCTCTCGAACTTGTTGATATGGTCCGCCAGTCGTGTGGCGATGGAGACTTCCGTCATGCTGTCTTGTTGCCCCTCGTCGTTGAGGTCATCAGGGGTAATGTGGGAGAGAAGTGGCGAGCCGTGAGCGAGCTCGAGGAGGGCAACTCCGAGGGCGAAGACTTGTTCGTTTTTTACGCAACGGCGGCGTTTGGCGGCTGTTTGAATGGCAGATGGGGAAAAGGTCAGGGATACGTATGCGGAAGGGAGAAGGTCACCTGAGTGTCCTTGCAGAATGAATATATCTTTGGTGCCCCAGGACTGTGGCAGCCATGGCGTGTCGTAGAGTTGGAGGATTGAGGAGGCAAGGGTTAGAGCTAGTGTACATCTAATACGATCAGTCTGATGTTCAAGAATAGGCATGGAGTGACACGTACTTCTGCCTTGTTGCAATCTTCCTGCCTCTGCAGATTATTTCTTTCAGTGATGCTGATTCCGAGATTTGGTTGTTGCTGCCAGGTCCAGTCACCAGATACACACGATGGTACCAATGATGGTCTACAAGTATACCAAGACAACATTCTAGCTTGGAGCCATCTACAAGGGTTTTGCAGAGGTTTTCGATTCTGATCGCGAGTGCTGGTGTCGGAGAACGTGTCATAGATGTTGATGATGGCGAAATGGTCACGGATGGGGCGATGTGCGTAGTATTCTTGAGCGTGCCTACTGGAAGTGGCGTAGGCACTGCGATACTACATAGATAGCTTAGTGATCTACGAAAAGGTTAAGGTGTACAGTGTAACTTACTGTGGGGGCAGAAACTGCAATGACTCTATCTCAATGTCCCTCCAAGTCCACGGGAGTACCTTGGGCACGCATTCTGGCATCTTGAACGTCAGAAGGAAGGCAAAGCGGGTGACGCCACCTTCAATATCGTTTCCGTTTCGGAGGTCAAGGCGTAGGTTAGCCTGGTGGGGGTGGTTGCAGGTGCAAGAGTAAAAGCGCAAGCTGAGACTTTCAAATAGTCTTTGTGCCTGATTGCGAATGTTCAACCAGTATGTTGACTGCAAACGGCTTCTTTTTTTCAGTACGAAGTGGCTCCAGCTGGATAGCTCCAGATGTGAGCTTGGAGATCTTGTCTATGTCGCGGTCGATGTCCTGCAAAAGCATCGAATACTTCGCTGAGCCGAAGCCACCTCTTATCTTCGTCCATATGCTTTTAAAGAACTTCTTGCGTGCCATTTCGTCAATGGAATCATCAGTTCCAACCCATGGAGGCTGCAACGAGTTAGTCGTTTAGGTAAGAACGATTAGTGTACACATCTACCTTTAGATCGTCGTTCAACTTCAGTTTCTTACAGAGGAGCTCGATTCTCTTGTTCAGCTTCTCCATGAGCGATACGTACGCTTTGTAGTTTGGCCCAAGTCTACTCTCGATCGCCCTCCGCAGCTGCGCATCCGACCAGGCGGCTTTGCGTCGCTGCTCCAACAGTTGGATTACTTGTTGATCCGGCAAATTGAGTGGGCCAAGTAGCTGGTAGCAAGAATTCATGTAGATACTCACGGAAGCTCCAAATTGGCTCTGGATGTCGTTGAATACATCCTCGTAGTCCCGCATATTTTTCATGACGGCAAGCTAGACAGAGGTCAGCCTTGTAAGACCGTTCCCTGGATGCACGCGAAAAGCACGGCGCTTACACCTTCCCTGTAATGCTCCAGCGCACTGATGACGAGCGGCACCGACCCAAGTATGACACCCGCGAGCTCGCAGCCGGGTTGCGGCATCCTCGGCCCCAACCGCTAACCGCTTTCGGCTTACCCCGCACGGTCACCTGCCTCCCTCATGAACTAATTTCCTGGCCTCATATTCTCGAATCCAGTCTTTCTTCGCATTTCTCATACATTTGACATCACATCCATGGCGAGACTCGTCTCAGATGGCCATGCAAACTGTTATATCGCGTTTGACAATCTCCTCAATGCCCTTCACCACCCCGTCCGCGATTTCCAGGATCAGCTGCCGCTGAAAATCATTGAGGAAGAATTCGACAAATACAAAGTATGGGCAGGCAACACTGGTGCTCCACATGTTGGAAAGCGGTACGAGATCTCACTTGACTACCGGCTGAGAGAGGCGTCATTCTTCAAGGACCAGTTGCTCGGCCTGCTCCAGACACTGGATAACAAGCTTTCGAGGGCCGCAACGAGCGCGAGCCCTTCGAAGAACACCGTGAGGAATCCGATGATGAAATGATAACCACCTCAACCTCTGAAGATGGATACGAGGACCAAGAATCCGAAGATTCGCCCTGGGAGATCTCTTCCGACTCCAGCCGGGATCATGAAACCGCTGGGCAGAGTGGTGATATGGCGCCGACAGCACATACTTTGGACAACCCCAGAAGACCCACACCAATTATGAGCGATGCTATACCATTGAATCCCACCGTGGTGCTTCGCCGAACACCTAATGCAGAGATACCCCGCTTGCTAGAATCCATCAAGCTGACAATTGCCTGTCTGTACCGGATTCCCGTCCGCAAGCCAGCACCTCTCGACCGCCTCAAGCACAGGACTTCTATCGATTCTTCATGCTATCAGCATTTCGATGTCATGCATGTCAAAGAAAAGTTCCCCACCATCAATTCAGACCTGGCCACTCGACTAGGAAAGATGATTACGCGCCGCCGTCAAATCCTATACTACAGAGAAGCACACCATCAGAGTCTAGAGACGGGTCGTGTTCAGCCTAATCCAAAACCAGAAGCAAACCAGACCACTTTCCTCAAAAAGACGCTTAGTCTTACGGCCTCTAGCCAAGCGGCAAGCAGCCTCTTTTCTCTACGCTCCAAGGCTACTACCTTCTGACTTGGCGATACGCTTGTAGGTCCGCAGGAAAATCTTGACCCAACTGAGATCTACGCATCTTCACTTGTCGAGTCGAACTCCTCTGTCGCGTCCAGCTTCGCAGGGAACGATTTACCAATAAAAGTGCCGGCCCGCCCAAAAGGCCCCGATGGAACCGAGCAGGTCCGGTTCGAATGCCCTTACTGCCTAATCACCAAGACGATTACTACTGAACGCAAATGGAAGAAACATATCTTTGAAGATCTCCAGCCATACGTTTGCACATATGGGGATTGCACCCTATATGACCACTTTTTCGAGAGTAAAGACACGTGGTGGAAACACGAAGCCCAACATCACAGAACGAAATGGTTCTGCAACACCGATGCCCACCCCGAGTATGATTCTGAACGCGACTTTCTAGTCCACATGAAGAGTGACCACAACTATGGTCTAGATCATAAGCAGTTTGATCTATTCAAGGATATATTTCGGCGTCCTTCCAGAAGCAGTGAAGGCACTTGCAACCTCTGCATGCGATACTCGAGAAGGTTGAAGAGTCATGTATCTCGGCATCTGCAGCAGATTTCGCTCTTTGCTCTGCCGAGAGTGAATGAGACAGCAGGAAGCGGCAAGGCTGAGCGTTGCACGGTCTCTTCTAAGCATCAGAATAGCGAAAGTCAAGATGGATCTGAATGCGGCACTTCCTCCTCCGGGAGCCATGACCTAGCACACGAACACGCCTCTGACCCCGAGATGCCCGAGATGCCCGATATTGATGATGGGTATGAGGTCACAGATGTGCCAGAAACTGCCGCAGAGAGCTGGGATGATGTTACTGAAAAGTTTTCCAACGCACGTAAGTGGATGCCAATCTTCAACATGAGCATTTGTCTTGCTAGAGGCTGTAGCTCAGGGCCAGGTGGTCGCGGCAGGCGCTTTGGCGTTCGGCGCGATTCTCGACAATGGCGGGGTTGTTATCAGCGACGCATTGGGCCCATTTCACAACTACATACGTTTATGTGTGTGACAATATGCAACTAACCGACGCTGACGGCACCCCGCTTTTCAGGAAGACCAGAGACCCCTCCGAGACCTTCCCTCGTCATCCCTTTCTCCCGAGATCCAGACTTTGTTGACCGCGAAATGCTGCTCGATCGGATACACGAGAAGTGCTCTCCGCCGGCACCGCGAATAGCACTATTTGGCCTGGGAGGTGTGGGATAAGTTAAAGGCATCTTAGTCAAGTGCCTGGACTGACGCTAAGCACAGGAAGTCGCAGCTTGCTATCGAGCACTGCTACCGCACCATCAAGCAATCGCCTGAAACGTGGGTATTCTGGGTCCACGCGAGTAACGCGGCCCGGTTTGAGGAGAGCTATCAAGACATTGCAAGCTCCGTCGAGGTGCCCGGCCGGCAGAACCCTACAGCAGATGTATTCCAGCTGGTACACGACTGGCTGCGGGATGAGAGGAACGGAAAATGGGTCCTCGTCCTCGACAATGCCGATGACGCTAGGTTCCTGCTAGAGGCTCGAAGCGCCGGTCGTGATGGGCCAACGAACGACTTGGAGGTTAGAAGCTCGCAGCCGCTCGTAACCTATGTTCCGCAGTGCAAGAACGGCTCGGTTCTGGTGACGACACGTAGCAGAAATGTGGCACTGCAGCTTGTTGAAGAGTGCGACATTGTTGCAGTCGAGCCGATGGACAAGAAGGATGCGCAGGCGCTTTTGCAGAAAAAGCTAGGGCGGCAGGATAGTAGCGAGGAGGTTATCGAGCTTGCAGCAGCGCTCGAGTTTATACCACTTGCCATGGTCCAAGCGGCGGCATACATCTCACAACGTCGGCCCCGTTGTTCCGTGCAACAGTACCTTCGGGATTTCCGAAGAATCGATCGCAAGAGAACAAGTTTGCTCGACTGTGAAGGGGGACAGCTCCGCCGAGACTGGGAGGCGGAGAGCTCGGTCATCATAACGTGGCAAGTATCATTCAACCACATCCGCGATATCCGACCATCCGCAGCTGACTTGCTGGCGCTTATGAGCTTCTACGACCGCCAAGGAATTCCAGAGGCTCTACTTCGAAATCGTGCAGAACAGGAAATCGCCCAGCAAAGCCAGGAAGAGCGCGACAGCGACTATAATGATTGGGGCGAGGACGAAGACAACGTGTTGCGCTCTAGCGCGAGCGAAGGCTTCGAAGCGGATGTCCTGACACTGCGCGACTACTCTTTCATTTCCGTTAATGCAGACGGCGCAACCTTTGAAATGCCCAGCCAGGTGCAGCTGGCGACGCGGAAATGGCTGGAGGTTCATGGGCAGCTAGAGAATTGGAAGCGGCAGTTTGTTAGGAACCTCTGCGAAGCGTTTCCAACAGGAGAGTATGAGAACTGGGCAAGATGCCAGACGCTTTTTCCGCATGCCAAATCAGCAGCAGAGCAGCCCCCTAAGGGAGACGACGCATTGGCTGATTGGGCTACAATACTACACAGGGCAGCATGGTACGCATGGAGAATGGGAAATGGGATTGATGCAGAGAAGATGTCGGTTCAGGCGATGAATGCAAGGAGGAAGACGTTCGGTCGAGAACATCAAGACACGCTGAGTAGCATGGCGATGGTAGGCTTGGCGTATAAACTTATAGGCAGATGGGACGCTGCCGAAGCGCTGGAGGTGGAAGTGATGGAGATAAGCAAGACGCAGCTCGGAGCGGACCATCCAGACGCGCTGACCAGCATTGCAAATCTGGCGTCGACGTACAGGAACCAAGGACGGTGGGACGCTGCCGAAGCACTAGAGGTGGAAGTAATAGAGGCTCGCAAGGCGAAGCTCGGAGCGCACCATCCAGACATGCTGACTATCATGGCTAACCTGGCGTCGACGTACAGGGAGCAGGGCCGATGGGAGGCCGCCGAAGAGCTGGAGGTGCAAGCGATGGAGACAAGAAAGAAGGTGCTTGGACCAGAGCACCCAGACACCCTTACTAGCGTTAGTAACCTCGGATTAGTGTTAGAGAGCCAGGGCAAGTACGAAGAGGCGGAAGCAATGCAGCGACAAGCACTAGAAGGATACAAGAAGGTGCTTGGACCAGAGCACCCAGACACCCTTACTAGCGTTAGCAACCTCGGGTTAGTGTTAGAGAGCCAGGGCAAGTACGAAGAGGCGGAAGCAATGCAGCGACAAGCACTAGAAGGATGGGAGAAGGTGCTTGGATTAGAGCACCCATACACGCTCACTAGCGTCAACAACCTCGGGTCAGTGTTAAAGATGCAGGGCAAATACGAAGAGGCGGAAGTAATGCATCGACGAGCACTAGAAGCAATGGAAAGGGTGCTTGGATTAGAGCACCCATACACGCTCACTAGCGTCAACAACCTCGGGTCAGTGTTGGAGATGCAGGGCAAATACGAAGAGGCGGAAGCAATGCATCGACGAGCACTAGAAGCAAGGGAAAAGACCTAGCCCTGAGACAACAACAACAACGAGCAGTCCGCCTCCTTTTCTCCCCGCCTCCACGATCCACGAAGTCGCCGTCCACGGAAGAGCTCGGCCAATCTAACTGAATCGGGTTTTGGATGTCCAGCAGTTACGGACACGGGGTTACCTGCCGGGCCATTGCAGTACGGCCAAGTATACAGCAGCGGTATATCGGCGAGCTTTCGGGTCTCGATATGACGCCGCACGATATACTTCGCACATCTGGTTCTCCGACATCATGTCTCATTGCCATATCCATGCAATTCTCATCCGGAAAAAGTCCCCCATCTTGATCTCCCCCCACGTCATCTGCTAGTCCAAGCAGATAACTACGGTAATAGCCATCTCTCTGCAGTCAATCTCAAGGGTAGGGCATCATGGCCTCGACAGCACTCGGCGTCACTCGCCGGGCTGCTTTATTTCCAGGAAAAATTACCTCTGACGCCGTGTTCACCTCGCAGCTTCCGCAACGCACAACTCTACCTTGTCGGCATGTTTACTCTATTCAAGCCCACAGAACTCCGCATGCTTGCTAGCATGAGCTCAAAGACTCCGTCCATTTACAGATGCTCTCAAGAGCTTGATCCGAGAGCATCAATCCGCTTCGTGCCGCGAGAGTCAGAGCTCCCCCGAACAAGCTCCATCGAGATTCGAAGGTAGCTCATCACTGCGTCTGTAGGCCATATACGCTTTCCGGAGTCCATACGTCCGCTTGTTCTCGATTCGGAGTTACTCCTGAGGTTTTCAGGATCTCAAAATCCGCGTGGATCCAGCTAATCTGGATCACCCTCGTTTTCGACCGAGTCCTGAGAGGATCGCAGCCATCGCAAAGGAGCAGCAAAGACTGAGGGAGGCGCAGGAGGCGCAAGTTCGCGGAAACTAGCCGACGCCGGATGCCTTCCCTAGAGGAGAAAATCCGCTTACAAGCTTCTGGGCCAAGAGGGTAAAGAGGCGATGTGGAAGAGTAGTAGGTGCACAGCTCAGATACTTATTTCTCAATTTCCTCAGCTAACACTTCCTTAATCTTCGTTTTGGCTTTGTATTACAACAGAATCGCACGTCGACCTCTCATTTCCTCGCGTCCTTCGCGTCTTGGACCCTGACGCTACATCTACCTCTGTACCGTGGATGAGACGTGTCAGAACGTCCCAGCAGTTCCTGCGCCATGGAAACCGCCTCCAACGCCCCTAATTCCATGCACAGCGTCCCTCCAGTAAGGGAACTATGACGCAACCTCTTCTGAAAATCAGCTATCAGATTCCCCAGCGCCTTTTCCCACTCCATCAACGTTTGTTCCCCTCGCGCTCTCAGCTTTCTCGCGCTCTCAACTCAGAATGCTTGGAGAGTTTCGCACACGATGATGTTTACCCATCCCCCGAGCTCCAATTGAAGAATATACTTTGGGCGCGACCATGTTGCCCTTCATGAGACTCTATCCCTACTCGTCAAATCCCGCACCGTTGGAAAATGCACGCACAGCCAAAGATCCTCCGCTCCTATTCGACGAAAGGGCCTCGAGGGAGCAACCTGGTTAGAAGTTTCCCATACCATCCACGGTTCGCAACCACAATTAACCATGGTCTCGTTCGTCTTGAACCCAATCCATCGCCAGCGCGGCGGACACTCTTTCATCTTCTTAGCAACGCCCAACATGAGCGCATTTCCCAGTAATGAAATCAGACGACCGGAGCCGAGACCGCACGAACAGTTTTCTCGTCTCTCTACCGCACAACCAGGTCATCGCTACTAAGGCACTCGTTGGGATACCCCGACACGTCAACGACCACCACTGTGCTTTTGGGCCTCTATCCTTTCTTACCTCTCCTCTCTCGCGTCGCAATAACCATACTGGCATTTCATCCGCTTTACTATTCTTTTTTCTTCTCTTGCATTCCTGCCTTGGCTCCTGATTCGTAATTGCATCATCTTTGCAGCTTCTCGTCGCATGTGCTACTCCACACTATGACTTTGACGCCCTCCTCTTCCGCGCGCTCATCGGCAACTTGGCCGCGCAGCGAGTGCTCTTCCACAACATGGCCCCTCAGCGAATGCTCGTCTAAGCTCCAAGAAGAGCATGCGACTACTCCCGCATCCACCCCTTCCCCGACACCACCTCCCAGCGTCCGCTTTCCCGACTTCGACAAGCCGCCCTCCTACCACCCCGTCAACGCCGCCCTGCGCGACACCAGCAGAGCCCTCCGAGACGAGACCCTCCAACAGCGCGAACGCCGACTCAGCCGGCCGACGCTCCCGCCCCCCCTCCCGTCCGAAACGCCGAGCGCGAAATGGACCCGCGCCGCTGGCTTCTGGCGCTCCTTCGTCGCCATCTGCGTCCCGCTGCTGCTCTCCGCCCTCGAGGGCAGCGTCACGAACACCGCGCTTCCCACGATATCCGACGCGCTGAACCTCGGGACGAAGTTCTCCTGGGTCGCCACCGCGTTCCTGCTCGCCAGCACCATCTTCCAGCCGCTGTACAGCCAGCTGGGCGACATGTGGGGCCGCAAATACCCCATGATGGTCGCGGTGGCTGTCTTCGCAGTCGGGAGCGCCATCTGCGGCGCCGCCAACTCGGGCGCGGTGCTCATCCTCGGCCGCATCGTGCAGGGCCTGGGGACCGGCGGCATCGATCTCTTCGCCGAGATGGTGCTCTGCGACATCGTGCCGCTGCGCAAGCGCGGGCCGTACCTCGCCATCAAGCACGCCGTCTTCGCCGTCGGGACCACGCTGGGCCCGCTGCTCGGCGGCGTCTTCGCAGAGCACGGCTGGCGCTGGTGCTTCCTGGTCAACATCCCCGTGTGCGGCATCGCGCTGGTGATACTCTGGCTCTGGCTCAACGTCAGCGGCGGCACGAAGGCCCCTAACACGACCCTAAGAGACGAGCTCAAGAAAGTCGACGTCTGCGGCACCACGCTGCTGACCAGCGCCGTCGTGATGCTGCTCGTAGCCCTCAGCACCGGCGGCGCGCCGCACCCGTGGACCCACGCCGCGATCCTGACACCCCTCGTCCTGGGCCTGCTCGGCCTGCTCGCATTCCCCGTCTTCGAGCGCTCGCGCTGGTGCGCGCACCCCATCATGCCGCCGCGCATCTTCGCCAACCGCACGTCCAACATCGCGTACGCGCTGACCACGCTGCACGGCTTCATCACCTACGGCTTCCAGTTCTACCTGCCGCCGTTCTTCCAGGCGGTGAAAGGCAGCTCGCCGACGACGTCCGGGCTGCAAGTCCTACCCACGACGCTCGCCATCGTGGTCATGGCGAGCATCGGCGGCCCGCTGCTCACCGTCTGGGGCAAGTACAAACCCCTGCACATCCTGGGCTTCGGCGCGATGGCGCTGGGGCTCGGGCTCGCGACGACGCTGGACAGCGCCACGCCCGTCGCCGCGTGGCTGGCCTTCCAGCTCGTCGTCGCCGTCGGCTCCGGCATCGTCATCTCGACCATGCTGCCGGCGGTGCAGGTCAAGCTGCCCGAGGGCTCGACGGCCGCGTCGGCCGGCTCGTGGGCGTTCCTGCGCGGCACGGGGTCGCTGTTCGGCGTCGCGGTGCCGGGCGCGCTGTTCAACGCGCGCTTTGCCGCGCTGCTGCCCGGCATCTCGAGCGCCGCGGCGCGCAGCCAGCTCGCGCACGGGCAGGCGTACCAGCGCGCGTCGTCGGTGTTCGTGCGCAAGTTCGGCGCCGCGGCGGAGCGCGAGATCGTCGCTGGCTTTGCGGAGAGCTTGCGCGGCGTGTGGATTGTGTTTGCGGCATGTGCGGCCGTCGGGTTTTGCGCCGCGTGGGGCGAGAAGCAGTATAAGATGCGGAAGGAGCTGAATACGGCGTATGGGCTCAAGGCGCCGAAGAGCGCGAGCGCGGCGACGAGTCCGGGGAGTAGTGTGGCGGGGAGTGGGGCGTGTACGCCGGTCGCGGAGAAGGGGTCGGAGGATGTGGAGCTGGGCGGTGGTGGTGGTGGTGGGGAGAGGTTGTGAGATTGCTTGTTAAGTGCTCTTTGCTTTGATTCTGGGATGCTATGGGAGGGGAGAGTGTTGTGTGATGTAATCGGCGTTGTGTGGTGCGAAGGTATGCTGTTTCTGATACCAAGATTTTCTCGAAAAGTTTGGTCGTTCAAGAGTCAATATGGACGGGACGGAAGAAGGATATTCACGGATCCACTGGCGCTTTGCTGGAGGTATTAGCCGCACCATTTCACGAGGGGAAGATTTTCGTACCTATCTACCCGGAGGATCTAAACCCAGAGTCTATAGATATCCATCTCACCCAAGATGCATCTAACTGCGCTGTCATTCCATTCCATAGCAGGGGAACCAGAGAAAAGCCCCATCCGTCCACCCAACCCTCTTCCACCCACCTCCCCAAACACCTATCCACAACGTCCCTCTACTTCGGCGGATCCTTCCGCTCATACTGCTTCTTAATCCACTCCAAATCCCAGCGACTCGGCTTGGTCGTATACTCCGCCAGAGGCTCGACATCCACCTTCCTGGCATCCGTCCACTTCATCAGCGCGCACTCCTCGCGCTCAAAGCGGGTGTTGCACTCCGGGGTGCCGTCGGTCGTGGTCCCGTAGTGGGTGATGGAGTCGTAGTCGTAGAAGCCGCCGACGCGGATGGTCCATTCTTTGCGGATGGTGGCGCCTTTGATGTACTCGAAGCCGCGGAACTGGTACTTCAGGGAGGTGGTAAAGTCGTTACAGAGTTCCCAGGGAGTTATGGTTGCTGGGGGATAGGGGTTAGGATGGGGGGAGATGAGCGAGGGGAGGAGACTTACGGTCGTCGCTCTTGGCTAGGGCGAATACCTTTTTGAAATCGGCGAGCTTTTCGCAGTTGTAGGCGATGTAGGTGTCGCGGTCTGGGCGTTGGTGCTCGTGGGCCTATGATAGGGGGGATGAAGTTAGCGTTGCTGGAAGTGAGGTATGGTATGTCTATGTCTTGGTATCGTGTTTAGCAATCGCGCAACAACCCTCACAGGGCATTTTAAACGATACTTGCACATACACTTTGGTGGGGACATAGACTCCGTACCGAGGGTTTTACGTACCAAGCCGAATACATGAGCCATCTGGTCAAGGCATATTAGCAAGGACTTCAACAATGAAATGGATTGCGAGCAAGCTTAACCTCGTGCATGGTACTAGCGACGTCCCATTTATTCGAAACCATAAACTGGCTCTTCCACGGTCCCGGAGGATCTTGCCGCATCAGTCCAAGCGTAGCTCCCCACTTCCCTGCAGTCCACACCACAGCCAGCGTGTCATAAGGCACATCCGGATTCCAATCGACCACCCCGCCCGCCTTGCGGCAAGTCAGTGGCTGGCCTTTGTCGTCCACGCGCTCCTTGAACACGATGCCGTGGCCGGACTGCTTTGAAGCCTTGCCGCCCAGCGCGGCGTACCACTCGTTGATGCCGCGCTCGAAGATCTCCTGCACGTGGTGGCGGTCCCATTGGCGAGCGTAGCAGTAGGGAATCGTGATGAGGTTGTGGGAGTCGCGCGGCCAGGGGATGGGCCCGCCGGGGTTGCCGAAGGCAGTGGCGACGCCCAGCTGGACGATTTCAGGGTCAGGGGAGGTGCCGTCTATGATGTGGGCTGTCATGTTGTAGTTCATGGGGTACTCAAAGCCACAGAGGGGATAGGTCGCCAATGCAGTGGAGGCCAGGGCCGCAGCCTGGAGTATCGTGAAGAGCCTCATTATGGGTGGCTCGAAGGTGTGGTTGACTCCACCGACTTACTGCCCAAGTTGGAGGAGAAGTGGAGAGGCTAAAGCAGCGAACTCTTATATCGGACTTGGTGGTGGGGAAATCTGCTCGCGGGGTTTGGTGAAAGAGCGTACCAAGAGGGATAGCATGGCTGCTAGGCGGGGTAAGAGATGAAGGCATGAGAGGTATCAGAGTCGATCGAAGAGAAACGAGTGAAAGAATGCCTGAGAACTGTCCACGTGCAGTCCGCGGTAATCGGTAGAATGGCTCGGGCAGAGGAATTCGAGCAGACGTAAGTGTAGGTTGTCACTGCATAGGTATTGGGACTCGACCATCTCCTGCCGCCATCGTCAACGAAAAGTTCCCCTTTAGAGAGGTAGCGCGATTAAAGTACGCGGAGCATCTTCGGAGCAGCTCCCGATAGCAACTACAAGACTCTGGACAATCGCCCTTCCCAACCTTGACGGTAAGAATTGTCTAGTTGAAGTTTCTGTATCTCGGTCAGTCCATGCGGTCGTGGGGTCAAGGAAGCGTATCTCGATGCCGAGACAGCCCACCTATAGAGAGCACACCATCGTCCACAACAGTGAACCGTCGAAGCCGTTGCTAGCCTCGGTATGTAGCCGAGACAACCCCCCATGAGAGAGCACACCATCGTCCACAACAGTGAACTATTAAAGCCGTCGCTATAGCCTCGATATATAACCGAGACAGTCGAACCGTGGGTGGGCAGCACATGTACTATCGTTAGGTATCTGCCACCTAGATCTTGTCAGCCCGCGTAGTGAGAACGGCTCCCAGATATACGGAAGACCAAAGAGCAATCCACTCGGTCAACCTTGGCTATGCTGGCAGCAAGAATGGAGGAGCCCGATGGCCCCGTACCAGAACCGGTTCATCAACGTCAGCTGGCTTTCGCCCGAGGCCGCATGTCCACATGCGATGCTGCAGAATAAGCAAGCTGTGAGCCCGGAAGACGTCAGTCATAAAGGCGAGAAGCAGTAGCATAGCTCTCAGCAACGGCGATGACTCAGGCGCTCTCGGCATTTCAAAACGCAACATAGGCAATTTTTTGGCTACTACAGAAACGGGACGGTGCTTTTGGGCCATTGTTGAAAGGGCGGGTCGAATCAAACACGCCAGCCTCGCTAAGGAGGAAGTTCTCTCACACGCTCACGCTCACGCACCGTTCCTAGCGCCGTTATTCTGCTGCGCCGTCCTTTGCTCATTCAACATCTCTTCAATATGCGCGTTGAGCCAGTAGCGGCTCAGAACCTCAGTCGACATGTCCTTGGCGCCCGAAATGGTGCCTCTGCACTCGGCGGCCTGGCAGCGGCAGTCGAACGGCTGCGCCATGTGCCACTCCGTGCTCGGGTAGAAGAAGGTGAGCTCATCGCCGGCATTGAGTCCCCCCTTGAGCGCAGGGTCCACCCTGACCTCCCAGCGCGCCATGTCGAAGACGAGAGTTGGCCGGCACGAGTGGTTTATGAAGACCAGGTCGCAGTTCAGCTCGATGTGGAGGTCGCGCGAGGCTTGCACCGAGGTGTACGCGCACGAGGCGGGCGTGGGATTCGTGATGCGGGCGAAGACGGCGCCGGCTGGGAGGTCGACGAGGGAGACGGAGCGCGAGGCAAATGCGCCGGGGAGATGCTCGACGCGGAGGAGGCGGGAGAGGTCCGGCTGCACCCACGCCGGCACAGTATCGCTGGGCGCATCGGGGAGGATCGAGGAGGGGGTTATGACGGGTTTGGCGGACGATACGACTGACGTCTTCTTGCCGTTGGTGGGTAGCGGTGCGTTGTTGATGATGGCAGCCGGCGACATTGTGATTGCGAGAGCAGATTCGCTGGAGCAGAAGTAGCGAGGCCCTACGCTGCATTAATATTCGATTTCAGCAGCCCAGCCCGCCTGCGTGGTCCGATGAGCCGTGGGCCCATCCGCAAGGTGCGTCGTCTTGTGAAGTGTGGGGATGGTTAGCTTGTTCCATATTGCCGAAGCCACAAAGACGCACTCCAGCAGCAGCTGAAAGCGTCCCCGTGGGTAGTCCCGAGGTTGCAGTAACATCATTTGATCATTCCGTTTGCTAAGCGCCCCATCCGCAAGGCCGTAAGGTGTTGTGCAGTCTGCGACAGGTACCCCGCGATGATCGGATATCCACAGGCGAGGCTCGACGGCAAATGTCGTTCGAGGGGGATCATGGACTGCCGTGTCTTTGGTTACGTGGCGCAATTGGCTGACAATGGCTTGTCGGTCGTGTCATTCTCTATGGCTCAAAGGAACCTTGGAAGCGAGGTAGTGGGAGAGCCATCAGCCTTGCAGCCTCGGCGATCAGATGAGAGATGACGTCTTTCGGCCTAGCCCTAACAGGACTAGTGCATTTTCCTCTCCATTTCGAGCCCTCGCCCAACCTTTGAATGTGTCTCCTCTTTACCTTTGTAGACCATCTAGCATGATTACTCCCACTGACAAAATCAACCCACCCTATCAACCCGAACACTAGTCTCATTCGTAACCACAATCCCCCCCATCCCCACCCCCGTCCACCCCTCCCCCTCACTCCCACCCACACCCAGACTCTTTCTCCTCGCTCTATCCCCCCTCGCGCTCTTCCCCCTCCCCAGCCACCGCCCCTCCTCCGCAACCCCAAATCTATCCTCCGCGTCGGCTATCACAACCGTCGTATTCCCGTGCTGCGCAGCCCTCTCGTACTCCGACGTGCTGCTTATGGAGTCTTCGCGCGTGGCGAGTTGGTCCGTCGACTCGGAGGCGTCTTTGTCGAAGTCGACTGTGTGCGTATGCGTGGTGAGGGTGGCGAGTTTGTGCGTGTGGAGGTGCGGCTGCGTGCGGGAGTGCGAGTAGGAGGAGGGATGGGAGGAGGATTTCAGCGGGCGGCGGAGGAGGACGAGGAAGATGGGGCGGAGCATGGGGAGGCAGGCTGGGGTTGGGTTAGCGTGGTGTTGTGTTGAGCACCGCAAGGGTGAGCAGTGCGTGGGGAGGACCGGTGCTAGACGAACGTACCGGAAACGATGGCCAGATTGACCTCCGCGGTCGCCCAGATGATGATAGGCGTGACGTTCCAGGGCATTTCCACATTGCTCGTGTCGTAGCGCAGCGACAGGATGAGCACGACGACGGATGCGACGCAGACGAACACGCCGAACAGGAACATGGCCATGATGCCGAGACGCTGCGTGAGCGGCAGCTGCAGCTTCTGCACTTCGATGATGGGGAGCGCGAGGATGGCGATGTCGATCAGGAAATGCGTGAGTACGGTGCCGAAGAAGAAATTGCTGTCGTCGATGGCGCAGTGTCCTGGCGTCTTCGGGCGCCAGAACTTGGCTATGGGAACGCAGTGGAAGATGGCGAGGAAGGTCTGTCATCCACATTAGTTCCGAACGTAGTATCATATCCAAGCAGTAGGCAAACATACGCGCAGGATAAGCCAGATAATCGTACATGCGGCTAGGATCTTGATAGGGATCTTGATGTTTGACAACTTGAACATGCGCCAGTAGAACGCCAGGATAGCAAGCTTCGCCGAGGCCAGCGAGAATGCGTAGAACAGTTCCAGATTCCAGAGTATAAGGAGCGATTTCTCAAGTGTTTCTGGGCCGGGGAGATCGATTTCAGCGAGGAAGAGTCCGAGGCCGATTTGCAGCCCTGTGCTCATCGATCAGCTTGCGTCGGCCGGAAGTAGCTACGGATACTTGCACCACAGCACGAGTCCACTCCATACTCCCGCGCACAGGAAAGCTAGTATGGAGAGATAGTCGTCGAACCACAGCGAGATCTTAGTGAGCCTTCGCGCTATGAGGCGGAGGACGAGCGAGATGGTGGCGGCGGCGAAGGTAACGAAGATGCAGATATAGGTGTGCAGTTGACGTGGACCATGGTGGGGTGGAACCTGTGTCTCCATACTACATCAGAACTAAGAGAATGAAAAAGATGGTGAGAAAAGGAAGGCAGACATGCAAGCCACAGGCTCCTAACGATGGCTTCTCCGCACTATAATACCCACACACGATGGAGACATACTCCTTGGAAGGCATACCTACGTACGGGACATTCCGTGCTCGACCGCGCTTGCCCCTCAGATCTCCTCCATCTAGCACCAGGCCGCACTCCCAACCAAACAGAAAGCAATGTCGGAAAGCCGAGGAGGAGCATCCTGAGACCGTTTCTGCCGTCGCTGGGTGCATGGCGGCTACGATTGGTTGCAGAAGCGGGCAGCGCGGAGGCGTTGTGGCTCAAAAGGGACACTCAGGGAGTCGGGAACAGGAAGCACGCATTGCTAGTAGGGTTGGATCTATAAGGCGAGTCAGAACAAGGGTGCTCACGTGGAGAGCTTGCCGCATCGACGCAGGGAAGGGATGGCGTATACAAAGCTTAAATGCATCGGACGTACGCACCATGTGGGTGAGAGCCTCACTTCCGATGCTGAGATACGGATAGCGTTCTGTGGTGTGTATCGCGGTTGCGAGACCGCGAGGTGATGATGCGAGGAACGCGTCGACTTCTCACGACGTCCAATTGCGAACAGCCTCAGGCGTTCGTCCAATTTTGGACGGCGTTCATCATCTGCTTGTACCCCAAAATAGTTGGAAGTTTATTCAGCCGCCGCCGCCGCCGTACACGCAAAACAGCCCAAAGCTCGAACACAGCATTCAAATAACGACAGGCAAAGCGAACGCGAGACTGAATGCCCATCCTCCGAGAATAGGGTTCAAACAGCGCCCGGGTCCGCTCTCAAGCAATAACTTGACGCCCCACGCTACTAGGAAGATCCACGATGCGGGGAAGCGAGCGCAGGGACCGATGCGCGCCCGTTAAACGTTCTCGGAGCTTTGATGTGTCAAAGCGCCGCATGTACGCGATCTCCCCTGTTTGACAGCAGCGACAATGAAGGGGTTGGTTGTTATGCGTTTCGAGAACGCGTATGTTGTTAAGCTAGACGCATCTGGATGCGCAGTCCGCGCTTGGGGGATCTTCCGGTGACGAAAGGCTGGAAATAGAAGTCTTCGGGAGTCAGCGTGTTAGGACGGCTACTTACGTCGTGACTTATCCTTGATAGACTAATTGCCCGATTCAAGATGGTGGAAGTCGCCCGCGGCAGGGCGCGCGATGCGCTTTGCGATGGTTCCTGTCAGCACTACTAGTCAGCTTGCGCAGGACGGCCCGTTTTGATGGCCGCGATCCTGCGAAAGTGCGTGTCGTGAAACTGTCGTCGGATAGCGAATCCTGGACCAAAGAGGAGAGAAGGAGGTCATGACATGGGAAGAGGAAGCGGGGACCTGGGAGATCGTGGGAACCTTAGTGCGGCACGGGTAATAGTCTGAACTAGTGCCGGGGACTGGTGGATTTCCGGTATTTGAATCCACCTAGCTATCGCGCACAAAAGGAACCTCGAAACATTCAAGGTCAGGTTTGGCGGTAGCATGATTTATTGGTAAGTCTGCCTAGTTCTTCTTGTGCTCAACAAACTCGGCCTCATTCCGAGGACCATGGCGCGGACCGTCCCTGCAATACACATTAGATTCTATGTTCTCGTCTACGGTACACTAATCCTTCTATCCCCAAAAAGGCAAGCAGAAGTACTGGAGGTAAGTGGCAAGGAACTCACTTCTTGCCGCGACCTCCAAACCCCCAGCGGATCTGGTTCGCCCATCGTCCCTCAACACCAAGATCGTCCGCCCACGCCCATACGAGACCGGGGTTCTTCTGGAACATGCGGCCGGCAAAGGCAAGATCCAGGTTATCGTTCTCGAGGTACCCGTTGGCCTGCTTGCCCTCGGTGATGGAGCCCACGGTGCCGACGTGCATCTTGTCGCCGACTTTGTCCTTGACCGCTTTGGCGAAGGGCTCTTGGTATCCTGGGCCGCCCTTGATTTTCTGCTTCTCGTGAAGGCCGCCCGACGAGACATCGAGAAGGTCGACACCCTTCTCTGCGAGTATCTCAGCGAGCTTCACTGTCTGATCCACGGTCCAGCCGTCGATGCCTTGCTCTTCAAGCCAGTCGGTAGCGCTAATGCGCAGGAACAGAGGCATGGACTCCGGAATGGTCTTCCTCGCGATTTCGACAACCTCCAGTGTCAAGCGGGTGCGGTTCTCGAAGGATCCGCCATACTCATCGGTACGGTGGTTGGATGCAGGCGACAGGAAACTATGCAGCAGGTATCCGTGGGCGTTATGGATTTCGATGGCGTCAAAACCTGCCCGTAGAGCGCGCTCAACGGCAGCCTTGAACGCAGATTTAAAATTTTCAATATCCTGCTTCGACATCTCCTTCGGTTTGGCGTGCCTCTCGTTGAAGGGGATCGCACTGGGCGCGTAGACGTTATCCGGCCAGCCGTTCAGCTCAGGCGTGGCAATGTCGCCCATGCTCAGCCATGGCGCCACGGTGCTAGCTTTGCGACCGGCGTGCGCAAGTTGAATACCAATCTTCTGGTTCTGAGAGTGCGCGAACTCGACGATCCTGCGGAGGGGCTCAATCTGCGAGTCTTGCCAGAGGCCGGAGTCTTCGGGGGTGATACGCCCTTCGGGGACCACGGCAGTGGCTTCGACGAAGGATATGCCGGGGCCGCGCTGAATTATGCCGCCGAGATGGGTGAGGTGCCATGCCGTGTGGTGGCCGTTTTCGGCGGAGTACTGGCAAAGGGGAGAGAGCTGTACCATGCGTCCGTCAGTGCATGCTGCTGGAGTGTGAAATTCCGTGGGTCTTACCGCTATGCGGTTCTGCAGGGTCAGACCGCGAAGCTTGAGTGGGGTGAAGAGCTTCGGGATCTTATCACTGCCATCTTTCATGCCAATTGCAGTTCCTGCTGGCGGATCCTGCAACGGAGTGAAGTAAGAGATCTGCAAGCGTTAGCTACCGTTCTTTAATAGGTAGAATTGGACTCACGCCTGGGGCAGCTTTGTTTCTGAGGTGGTTCTCGCCTTCAACCTGCTTCGGAAGGCCATGATGGGAGTGTTGCGTCGTCGTCATGGCTGCAGTTTGCTCAATTGGCGGGGACTGAGAATATGAACGGTACTTATGGAAGCGGGAAGCTCGATGAAGACCTGTAAAGGAGAGTGGGAGCAAGCCCACATCTTTATACGCACTCCCACTCTTCAAAAAGATGGCCTGTCGTGACGTGCTTCTGAATGGCAAGTGAACCCTGAGCACCGTGGGGCACCATTTCTGCCCCGCCTTCCCAAAACGACATTGGCGCGTCAGTATGTATCCCCTTATTGATTTGTAAGGTACATCGCACCACCTGCTTGCCACTTGCCACTATCACGGAAGAGAATATTGTATTGAGGGTGCAACTATGGGCTTCCCGGAAGTGGATGGCACATGGCGCGCATATGATGAAACGCCTCGAGGAGCGAATGAGGCGTGCTTACGTAGGAGTGTGTCCACTGCTATTAATCAAATATCTGGTGTTTGGGTAAGACAGCAATAGGATTTCTAAGCAGCGCGCATAGTGTGGAAAGGGTTGTCGACTGCAGCGGCGCTTCTCGGAAGCTCTCTTCGGCATCCCGAATCTTGCCCGAGTTCGGTGCATCTTTGGCCGTGAGAACAGCGAGTCACAGGACGTTTCGAGGGAAAGACTTCAGGCGACGAGAAAGCATACTACCTTACCCGATGCACATTTACCGGGTTCACAAATGCTCATTTCCCCGGATGCATCGAGCTATGTCAGCACAAAATTCTATCAGACCCCACCGTGTGCTGTTGACGCGACTGACTTCTCTTTGGTTCTGCTGCCCGCTGCACGATTCCCCCGACTTCTGGCACGCATGAAACCACGCCCAAGACATCGGGACCAAGTCGGCCTTGGTATTGCTGACAGGGCGGGAGAACGACGTCACAATGCCAACCCTTTAGTGCCGCGATCAATGGCCTAAAAAGATGCCGAATCGAGTAGGCAAAGAGTTGACGTTACAGGCGGAGGGGGCCAACGAGTACCCTCGAACGCTTCTCGCCAAGCATGAAATGGATGTCGACCTCCGCCTTCAGTCGTTTGAAAACAAGCTGGTGTAAATAGACTCAATCAGGATGACAAAGGAAATCGACATAGTGCAGAGGAAATGCCAAAAGCCATGATAGCCGGCCTCCTCCGCGGTATAGCGAAGATAGACGAGGGAGTACCCAGTTGTTCTGCGTTGAAGTCGAGTGATGCAAGGCTGCAGCTGGTGTTAGAGGTCAACAAGTCTTGAGTTTAGGCGAAAGAGCAGATTTTGGTCTACTGTCGTTAATAAGCATAAGTTCGGGCGGGAGATCTGTCCTGTTCGGCCACCCCTATAGGCAAGACTTTAGTCACCGACGGCAGCACTGAAGCTACGTGTTGATTCGTCGCCTAGGCCTAGTAGCACACTAGCATGTGGCCGCGGACAAACTCGTCAATGCCCTGCGAAGGAGTCATCGGTCCAGTGCGCTGGTCAGTCTCGCACCCGGCAGGACAGCGACGAAGAACTCAGGCGACGTTGCAACTCCGGCAATCCGCCAATAAGAGGCGTCCAGGACGAGAGAGGGCGATTGGTGGAGCAAGCGCGGGCCCGCGAGATGACCGGTGCTGGTGACTAGACTGGATACCGTGGCTGTTGCGCCTTGCAAGGCCGAAGAGGACACTTGGTAAGAAGAGCGCTTGGTGTGGCGGGTGAGGCGGTCATTGCTTGGCACACTGACCGCCCGCACAAAGAGCTGAATAATGGAGGCACAATGCTCAAAGAGAGCGAAAGCAAACAGCAAACTAAAAACGGTCCTTTGTGCCTACACGGTGACTTGGAGATGTGGCCCGATGTGCCCGTTGGACGGCGAGCTGCCGGGCGGGCTTGTGGGAGTTTGGAGGTTTTCCCCGCCGCACCGTGGCTGCCGTGGAAATTTCTAGTAGAGCCGAAGCCTACACGTGTCCTGTACGCTCGCATGAAAAAAGAGGTGAGATTGAGGCTGATGTGCGCGCTTGGGGTGAATATTAGAGACAAGTGGCGTCTGCCTGCCCGCGCTTTCCCGCTTTCGGCAGGCGGTGAGTTCTTTCACAGACAAAATACCACATATCCTCATCGCAGAGCTCAGGAACCAAGCTCCATATAACTCCGCTGCCCGGCGGTCGACCTCTCTCCTCACATCCTCCCTCTCCCACACACCCCACAACCTCAGCTTGTCTTTTCTCTTCCTTTTTCCTTTCTGATACCCGGGGCCTTTAGTCTGCTCCATCCACACCGCAGCGGGCTCTACCCTCGCGCACCGTACCCGTCCTTTCCACTGTCCACACCTCACACACACCCACAATGGCGCGGCGATCAAGGGGCGCGAACCAGCGCTCCACCTGGTCCATTGCCTTCTACCTTCTCCTCGTCCTTGTCGGCGGTCTGATGCTGGCGAGGACAGCGCGAGCCGCCGACCAGGAGCCGCTCAGCGAGGATTCGAAACCGAACGCTGTCTCCGGCCCTGTCATCGGCATAGACTTGGGAACTACATACTCATGTGTCGGTATCATGAAGAACGGGAAGGTTGAGATCATGGTCAACGACCAGGGTAAGTGCCACGGGCTGTCCTACCAGGGCTGAACTGACGGCATCCTCCACAGGAAATCGAATCACGCCCTCTTGGGTCGCTTTCACAGATGAAGAGCGCCTTGTTGGTGACGCCGCGAAGGCGAGTATATCTGACCATCGCTTCTAGCTCCGCTGCTAACAGCCCCTCAGAACCAGTTTGCGTCGAACCCCCACCGGACCGTTTTCGACATCAAGCGATTGATCGGCCGCAAATTCAACGAGAAGGAAGTCCAGAACGACATCAAGCACTTCCCCTTCTCCGTCATCAACAAGAATGGCCAACCGCGCATCAAAGTCGATGTTCACCAGGAGGAGAAGACCTTCACACCGGAGGAGATTTCCGCAATGGTTCTGGGCAAGATGAAAGAGGTCGCTGAGGTACGTTTTGACCCCTGTGCCCGCTCAACCATTTCTGACGATATCCCAGAGCTATCTCGGTGAGCCTGTCACGAACGCCGTCGTTACCGTCCCCGCCTATTTCAACGACGCTCAGCGCGCCGCCACCAAGGACGCCGGCACGATTGCCGGTCTTAACGTCCTCCGTGTCGTCAACGAGCCAACCGCCGCCGCTTTGGCCTACGGCCTCGATAAGACAGATCAGAAAGAGCGCCAGGTTCTTGTCTACGATCTCGGTGGCGGTACTTTCGATGTCTCCATTCTCACCATTGAGGAGGGCGTCTTCGAGGTCCAGTCTACCGCTGGTGACACTCATCTTGGTGGTGAAGACTTCGATAACCGCGTTATCAACTACTTCGCGAAGAAGTACAACAAGGAGAAGAACGTGGACATCACCAAGGATCCTAAGACGATGGGCAAGTTGAAGCGCGAGGTCGAGAAGGCCAAGCGCACGCTCTCATCCCAAAAGACCACCAAGATCGAGATTGAATCCTTCCACAAAGGCGAGGACTTCTCCGAGACTCTGACCCGCGCCAAGTTCGAGGAACTCAACAACGACCTCTTCAAGAAGACCCTGAAGCCTGTTGAACAGGTCTTGAAGGATGCGAAGCTCAAAAAGAGCGAGATCGACGATATCGTTCTTGTTGGCGGTTCTACTCGTATCCCCAAGGTTCAGCACATGCTCGAAGAGTTCTTTGGAAAGAAGGCTCGCAAGGATGTCAACCCTGATGAGGCTGTTGCTTATGGCGCTGCTGTCCAGGGTGGTGTTCTCGCCGGTGACCAGGCTACCAGCCAGGTCATTCTCATGGATGTCAACCCCCTGACTCTCGGTATCGAGACTACCGGTGGCGTCATGACCCATCTCATCAAGCGTGGTACTACTATCCCCACCAAGAAGAGCCAGATCTTCTCCACGGCCGCCGACAACCAGCCTGTGGTTCTGATCCAGGTCTACGAGGGTGAACGTTCCATGACAAAGGACAACAATCTGCTTGGCAAGTTCGAGCTCACCAACATTCCGTAAGTTTGCTCTCTGTACATTTGCTTAATTTGCCCGGTCACTAACATCTCGCAGTCCGGCACCGCGTGGTGTTCCCCAGATTGAGGTCACCTTCGAGCTCGATGCCAACGGTATCCTCAAGGTCTCCGCTATCGACAAGGGCACGGGCAAGGGCGAGTCCATCACGATCACCAACGACAAGGGCCGCCTGAGCGCTGAGGAGATCGAGCGCATGGTCGAGGAAGCCGAGAAGTATGCTGAGGAGGACAAGGCGACCCGCGAGCGCATCGAGGCCCGCAACAAGCTCGAGAACTACGCGTACAACCTGAAGAACCAGGTCAATGACGAGGAGGGCCTCGGCGGCAAGATCGACGAAGAGGACAAGGAGACGCTCCTCGAAGCGGTCAAGGAGACGCAGGACTGGCTCGAGGAGAACGCGGCGTCGGCCGCCTCTGAGGACTTTGACGAGCAGTTCGAGAAGCTGTCTAACGTCGCCTACCCGGTTACCTCGAAGCTCTACAGCGGAGGTGCGGGCGGCGGTGGTGGCGAGGACGAGGAGCCCGGCCACGACGAGTTGTAGTGGCCGCGGTGGGAAAAGTTCGACATGTCAGTTTTGCATTCACGGAGCTAGCCAGTGGTTTGGCGGTGTACGAGTAGCACTTATAGTCTCCATGGCTTAGACGCTCTTGGGTTCATGCGGAGTTTTTCATGGTTAAGAATGAGTATTTAAATGAACTATTTGTGCAGCTCCATCGCCTTGCTGTCTTTGTGATGTGAGCCTGAGCCTACCAACACTTCTTTCGGCACGATGGTGATACAGATCTCGTGCCGTACCGTGCCGTAGTGTTGTGCCGCCAACGCGTTACCTGCCGGCGCCGGGAGGAATGATGGATGGTCGCGGCTTCCGCGTCCACGGTTCACGCCGAACGGTTGGAAGCTGCGCCGCTTCAACTGACCACTTTTCTTTCAACCTACGCGCTTCCTTCTTCCTTTACTGAATTCTTCCTTTCTTGACTGTCATACCTTGTCCTTCGTTGTTAGACGCGCTGAGATCTTTGTCGCGCGCTGCTGCTTGCCTTGCCCGTCCAGCGCGGGCGGTGCGGCGGCTGGGGATGAGGCTGCCTCGCGGCCCCCTCAGCAATCTGTCCGGTGGCGACTCGTCTCACAAGGAGCTTCTCGACGAAGAACACCACAGCGTCGGACCAAACGCTGTGTCCTGCGCCAATCTCCAGCTTCAACGCCCCTCAACCCTGGCGGGCTGGTTGGGCGGCCCGACGGGTGCGACTCAACCACGGCCTCTTTCGGCGCAACGCAATCCACCGCAAATCCAACGAGCAGGCCTCCAAACAAGACCGCAAAGTGTGTTTGCGCGGACAAGTGCTGTTTCGCGATCTCGACTCTTGCAGCTCCGGTTGGTTGGTGGAGTCCGACGAGAGCAAATTACAGCGTTAATCTACGATGGGCGTGGCAGACCAGCATCGCAGCCAATGTCCGCAGTCTGCGAAACGAGAAGCTCACCCAGGCGAAGCGACGATCAGGTACGCGAGATTATTTTTGACTTTTCTTTATTTGCGGCGCGACTAGGTAAGGATTTTAGACAGTTAAACAAGATACACATTGACTAATTGGAAAAAAATAGGATGGTACAGAAGGCCCCTATCCACATCATTTGTACGATAAGAGATACCCGGACGAGGCAATGGGGTATCTTGTGAAGAGCAACAGATACAGAAGAGGCGGGTGCAGTACGTGACGAAGAGGGGGAAACATGTACAGAAGGCGTATCAGAGACGCTTAGGCGGGCCAATCCTTGCTGCCGTAGATGGTGACTTCCATGTGCTCGCTGTCCGCACCCATACCGCAGCCACCAGCAGCAGCGCCGGCGTCCAGTCCGTTCATACATCCGGAGCCGGTATCAGCGCCAAAGATGGCGTAGCTGCCAAATTCCCCGCAGGTGGATAGGGAGGAGTCTTTGCAGCCAAAGACGCACGATAGCTGGCCTCCGCTCACGCCAGACGTGCACTTGGAGCCCTTGGCTGAAATCACGTTGCCGTTCATGAAGACCTCGCGAGAGACGTCAAAGGCACCCATGCCATGTCCTTGGACGAAGTTCATCTCCAGCCACGACTGAGCGAGCTGGCCGTTAGGAAGCTTTTCGGTGTCGGGGAACGCGAAAGAACAAGCCATTGGAGTATCTTCCTTGAAAGAGATTTGCTTGCTCTGCCCGGCTTTGATGCCAAACATGTTTGGTCCGTAAATGGAGATGAAGAAGCCGCCATAATCGTTGCCGGGTACTGCTGTCGTCCAACAGACCATGACACAATCCTCGTCGGCGTCGTTGATAATGGTGGCCTTCCATTTACTGTCACCACCTTCCCAGGCGATGCCCGGCGAGGCCACCTCCGAGCTGATGCTCAACGTGTCGATAATGTTGTTCATGACGTTCGAAAAGCCGCTTGAGTCGCCGGACGAACCCGTCTCCTCGGCAGCCTCGGTGGAGGTAGGCGTAGCTTTCTCAGAGGTGGGCTCGGGGGCAGCAGAGGTGACAACTTCGGGCACGGACGACGCGGGTGCTTCTTCGGCGTTGACCTGCGCCGGGGTCGGGGTCGCAGAGGGTGAATTGAAGACGGAGGACCAGTCGACGGTTTTCCAGTCGACGTCAGCGACAGCGGCGTTCCAGTCCACGTCTTCCATGTTTCGCTTGGTTTCGCTGCGGTTCATTAGTACCATAACTAGGTCGGTTGCGAAAGGGGAATGACTTACGCTTGACGGCGAGCGTGGAAGCTGGCGTGACGGATGTTAGCGGCGGCGGCCTGGCCGACGGCCAAGGTGCTCAGCACCAGAGCAGATTGGTAACGCATTCTGAAGGATGTGTTTCGTCGCGATGTTCGATATGGCTATCGATGTTCGTATATGGCAGCAGGCGTAACGTCGTCTTGTGTCGATTCGAAAAGGAAGGACTGGAGCGACGCGATGAATAGCAGACCGGCGTGAAGGAGTGAACGCGCGACCAGCTATTGTCCAAACGAGAGGAATAGGCACAATATGAACCTGGGGTTGGTGAAGGGTGGGAAAGAAAAGGAAGAAGCGAGCGGCCAGGCGCAAGATGAAGAAGCCGGCTTACACGCCTTCAGCCGGCCGGCCTCAGGAGCCCTGGTCTGTGTCGTGGGCGCCCGACGGAGACGGACGGGGGTCGATGGCATCTCATCTCCTGTGTCTTGGTCCTTACCGAAAGCGGAAAGGTGCATGCATCGAGAGACGACAATCACCGTCGTTCATCTCGCCCCATGGCCAATGGGGCGCTGTGCCTGGATTTAGGGGGCTTGCAGTGAAGGTCGCCGATTGGTGTGCCTGGATGCATGCCCCTTGGCGACGGCTTTGCTCCCGACGCTTCGCATCCTAGTCCGGCGCGCTGGTCAGCACAAACAGGCTGTATCACGGGCACGTGTGAGCCATCCATTTGCCCAGCGCTCTGGGACGCTCGCGAAGCAACGCACTTGCACTCGCTACTGCCTGGGGAGTGTGAATGTCCGCGCATGCAAAAACTGGTCCGGCGAGTTGTCAACCGCTCTTTGCCACGGCTCCACTTCTCCTTTAGCGGGAAATTCAGCAATTCAGCGGTTTCGATGGCCGCGCAATAGAGATCATCGATTTTGTGGGGACGCGAATGCGCGATTGGTCGGGGACGTTGCGGTTCCTGGACGGTGTTCTGCTCGCCGAAAACGATGTGGAGCCGATGACTCTTCCAGAACGCCTCAATGCTCAGAAACTCTCCTCGCAATCGTCGCATCAACAGTTCTCGGGAAACAACGATGCTTCTGGAGCGACTGTTTCGTTGCGTCGAGTTAACGCGGTTGGGAGTCTGACCGACAGCCTTCCTTTTTCGGACACTGCGCAATGGCTGCCGATCACGACCACGACCACGACATCACGCCCGTCAGCTCACCACAATCACTTGTCTACAGTGACGCACCCACGCATGCATGCAAAAGCTCATCTCACTTTCACATCCACCTGCAAGCTTCTGCACATGAGCCATTTGGTGCTCCACTCATCTCGAAGAACTGCCGAAGGTGCAGCCCCGCGGCAAGGCACGGCTGATATAGCTATCGCAACGTGGTCGGCCGCAAGGAACGACGCGCAACTTTCCTGCCAGTCGGATTCAGGAACAAGAGGGTTGCGGTTAGATGCCGGTCGCCGGGCCCGGGCTAAGACACGGGAGCAAAAGAAAACCACAAACAAACACCGGTGTAACACGGCGCGACGTGTAGGATTGTTGTTGGCGGTGAGTAGAAGGCTTCCCGATTGGGTAATACTGATGCGGGACGTTGGTCGGCTTGCCACCACTTCTTTTCAGAGTTTCTGAAGAGTCTTTTGCGAGCAGTCAAATTTTCTTTTTTGTTACTTCATCCTCTTGCCCAAATTTCCTTCCTTCCACGACTTCTTTCCCGCGGCTAGCGGGGTTCCCTTTTTGTTGAGCAAAAGTATGCTCCGTGGTCGCAGGAACACCATCCTAGGCGCAGGGCAAACAGGTTTGTATTTTCCGTCCTCTCGTCAGCCATTTTCTAGTCGATCTCTAGTCCGTCCAACCGGCGGTGATATATCCTAAGTTTATCCCGGCCGACATCTCGCATCTGCGCGTCGTCAGCAAGGGGCGCTAAAACCGACGCTACCAAAAATATCCTCCGAAAACGATCACTCATCTTATCGATACAGCTCGTTATCGATATGACATCAATCCAATATCAGCGGACTCTCCTAGCATTGCGACTGTTTGGTTGTGCTAAGATTCGCGAAGTCGATTATCGTGGGAGCCTGGGTGAGCAATTTGGGTTACCGGAGGGACTTCGCTCGGCTGCCTACGCGACCTCCGATGGTCCGATACCGACCAACGGTTCCGAAACGTGATATAGCTAGGAGAGAGTTATTCGTACCAGAGCGGAATCCTGTGAACCGACGTATGCGTGAACCATAACAGCGCGTATATGGTGAAGGAGTACACGAGAATACCCGCCCTCTGCGGGTATCTAGACTGAGAATGCTTGCGCACGTCGAAACACAAGACATCTCCGATCCATGGATGGCTCGAGTTGAGGCGAAACAGATGTTGTGCTTGCGGCTGTGACAACCATTTGGGCGACCAATATTTCGAGGATGCAATGCGACATTGTTCGCATGCACGTACTCCTGCATTTGTTCAGCCGCAGATACAGTGCAACGAATAAGCTAGGCACCCGGCGAACCTCCTCTCAGGCCTTGAGATCTCCGGGGATGTCAATTCCGCATTGCGGCTCTGCGAGGTGATCTTAGGATCGTCGTTGAGCCTCAAGTCCTTGCGACATTCATAACGCTTTTCATCAAAGTTATCGCCACCGGCTTCCGTTTCTCCAGCGATCCAAACAGCGTGATTTAGGGTTGCTGCAGCAAACCTAACAGCCGGAATCTTGTTTCTTACTACCTCCGCGGAGCGCTCCTTCGTTTGGAGTGCGTCCGTGTGGACGCGGAGCAAGCGGAGTCCGCAACGTCGTTACAGCATCGGCCTTCTCTCTCAGAACCCATGTTCTCACTATCGCGATCTCGTGAACCCGTTACCAGTTACAGCATCAGCCATCACTCGACTCGACCAAGCGTTCGATATAATGAAGCTCATGAATACCACGAGCATAAAGATCTGGAACAAAAGGGTCGCGTTGTTGACATGCCCGCGGGCTGAGGCTCCACTTCGTTCGCTTACGTCTGTAGCGAAAACTGAAGAGAGGCCTGGAAAGGCACAAGTGTACGCACAATCGATTCATTGCATACATGTCCCCTCTCTCGTGCGAAGCACCGTCATACGCTCGACAAGGTCAGAAGACAGCTCAGCCCTCATTCGTCAAAACCGGCCAATTACACCCGTCTAACTAATCCGAAAATGGACTAGCGTAATTACCCCAAACCAATAGCCCCTTACACTGTCACAGTCAGAATCAAGACCGCATGCGATCATCCGACAGACTCACTATTAGGAACGAGGACAAGTTGGAGACCCCAAGTTGTCCGTACTGTTGGAAGGCTATTAGGAGCGTTACGCTGCGATGTATGCGCGTGAGCCGTGGAAGCGCTTGGGATTGATTTGCAGCCCCAAACGCCCCAGAAGCGATGTCTGGAAGCGCCCGGCTCATTAATGCCGTACTGCTGTGCCACAGTACACTGCAGCATTTCCTGGCCCTCTTTGAACTCTTATATCTCGATTCCCGTCGCAATGTAGAACGAACGTAATCTTTCAATTCTCTCGCAAAACAATTCGGACGATGAATGGGGTGGCTCGCCCAAACGGGGGTGCTAGTCGCGCTCTTAATACATCACTCAGCATCGACGCTTTCGCCAGGGAGCTGCGAATGGAGCAAGATGGTCAGACAGGTTCTCGCGCCATAGATCAAAACGCTTCTGCTCCTCCAAGTCCCGTCTCGCCAGTTGCCGGTCGTCCAGCGGGGGACAGACTCTCGCCCGCAGGAAACCCCTCGCATCAGCAAACCAGAAGGTCACATTCTTCAGTCACATACGTTGATGGTGCGTTTCTCTTCCCTTCTCAAAGTGACATTTTCTGACCAAGGCAGGCGACGATAGGGTGTCCGATAGCTCGCCGCGATGGCTGCCATGGACACTTCGCTGGTATCTACTGCTCATTCCCATCGCTGTATCGTTAATTCTCTCCGTGGTCATCTCCGTCTTATGCTGGTACGTAAATTCAGGTCAAACCTTATTATGTCGCCAAAGTGTGTGCTACTTTTTGTGAGCCTCCCCTAGGGGGCGTTTCGCAACAAGTACACACTTGAATACCACATATATGCATCATTACACTCACTTCCAGAGTTACACTGACCTCGTAACCCCGCATTTAGGTACTCTCGCTCCAACTACGGTCTTGGGCGCGACGATGACTCTTCCGCTCTCCTCTTTGGATGGAGGTTCACACCCACTCTGGTCGTCGTCCTATACTGCCAACTTGCGTTCATGATTTTCGAGGACGTCAAACGGACCGAGCCATTTGCCCGCATGGCAAGACCTGGCGGCGTCAGCGGTTTCGCATCCATCCTTCAATCTCCCCGGTCATGGTGGAAAGCACTGGCTGAATCATTCGGTCGGAAGAAGAAGGGTATCCCGAGGAGCTGGGTCCTCCTGTTCTCCACGCTTACTTATGTGATCGGATTCCTCGCTCTCTCTCCATTGTCCTCCTCGCTCCTTACGTCGGAGGATGTCGCAGTCAAGCGCAGTGCCAACTTCAACCTCATGGAACCTGCTCCAGACGCAGCGCTTACGCTGCAGCCGAGCCGCGATACCTACTTTCGAACCATTGGCAATTTTCTGCAAAATGTTTCCACCTCCGCATGGATCGGCGACATATACTATGCGCACCCCTTTTGGCCAGCTAGCCTGGAAAAAGTCCCCTTAGACCCAAAGGTATCGAGCTCAGTGGGTACTTGGACCGCTTCAAGCCCCGTTTTCAGTACAGAACTCCAATGTGAGGCACTGAATCTCACTGGAAAGGGGCGCAACCTTCGTCGACTGCCCATTACGGATGATGATGGCACACCCAAGAATACCACGGCCACTGACAACATCACCACGTTCTGGTTCTCCATGGAGTCACCCGGAGGCTGCGATTACAGCCTGGAGATAAGCCTTGGTAGCGAGTTCATTCCAACAGGAGGATTGATCTGGGCCGATTTACCAACCTTGGTCTCCCAAAACAATAACGGAACCACATCGACGTCAATCTACCAACACAACATCTCCGCCAATTGCCAAGATAGAGAACTGTTTCTTGTGACGACACCATGGATCGACTGGGGTCTTGGATATGCCGAAAATCAAACCTTTTTGTCCAATTTCACGATGCAGGGCCATATCTGCATATCCAGCTATTACGTAGCTCGACTCCCAGTGATAATGAGAACATCAACGTTGGATTCCACCATGAAAATTGACGATGAGCTGTTCCGAGAGAAACGGGTGCGGGTTCCACCAGGGCTTTTGGATGTGGGGAGCCTACAAGACTTGAGCATGGCTGGCAATTGGACTCATTATATGGCTATTACCACGGATGATGCGTTCCGCGCTAAAGCTCCAATGGATGGCCCGGGGATAATATTAGCCGCCATGCACGACTTTAGTCTTTCGAATCTGGTACGAAGCACGCAGTTGGTGGAAGAAGCCCAGCGCTTGAAACAGAGATTCTTTGGCGAAATCCTGCAGCGGTCTCTCCTTCAGTCATCAACAGCCGAGACACAATCTTCCACAGGAGAACTCACTCAAATAGAGCGGCGGGTGGTGGTCGTCCCGGAAGTTGGGATTCTGATGGCTGTTCTGTTCTTCGTCTCCTTTCTTCTCCTCGCCTTCACTCATTGGTTTTCGCGTCCACGCCAACGCCCACTCCATCTGTTCGTCGATCCTTCCACGCCGCTTGGACTTGGATCCCTAGTTGCATCCAAGCGCGATGTACTAGTCCCGTTGAAACCCTTGGATCATTCTTCGAAGAGGGAAAGAAAGGCCGCTTTGCGGGATAAAGGATACGCAGTCACCAGAGGCGTTTTACACGAAGCCGTCGCGCCTGCCACGACGAAGAAGCAGAAAAGCAAGAAGCACAACCCAGACTGGCGCCCACGAGTGATGCGCTTGAAGACTTTAACCGCATTACTCGCTAGTCTCGCATGCCTAGTGGTTGGCCTTGCCGTTCTGAAGCACTACGCGGATCGCGCAGAACTGTTCCAGACGTTCTTCGTATACCAAACAAGCATTCCCATCTTCAACAAACGGATCTCGTCCATTGCGCCTTACTCTATTGTACCCACCGTGCTGGCGGTGGCGGTTGGTCTATGGTGGGATTCACTCGACAAGTCCTTCCGCTTGCTGCAACCATATTTATCGATGTCCAAAACAACGCCGAGCCTGTCCGAAGGTGCTGGCCTTCAGTATCAAACGTCATACTGGGCATGGGCGTCTTTCAGAGCTGCCAAGAACAGGCACTGGCTCTTGTTCGCGGTTACGCTTGGGAGCACGTTGAGCCAAGTCTTCATTGTATCCATGTCCGCGCTCTTCACAAGAGTAAGATAACCCCAGGCTCTATGAACGCTGAATACTTGCTAATCGCACTGTTACCACAGGAACCAGGAGTCTCAATTGATTCCCTCCCGGTCAACCGCACACTGGAGATCCGCCAGATTCCTCGAGTGGATCTTGTCGCTCAAATCCCGGGCGTACATGGGTATTCAGAATGGCGTGTGATGAACATGGCATTCATGAACTCCACCTCTAACTGGATGTACACCGCAACTATCCAATTAACCCTTAACGGACCCGAGCCGGCCTGGAGCCATCAAGGGTGGAGCTTTGCCCCTGTCGATGTCTCCGGATTCTCCAACATAACATCGAGATCTTTACAGCACACTGGTGACTCGCTCGACGATGGTGTTGAGATTGAGCCTCTCGTTTCCTCGAGGAACATCACTCTATCCACCACCGGCATTAGGGCCAGAGTAGAGTGTAGCCCAAGTCCGCACATCGCAAACGTTGCCTCATGGCTCGATGAGCATGACCTCACCAACAAATCGACGTGGAACGTAACCGCAAATCCGAGGGACCAGCGCACGGGTTACCAACTTCCACTATACATGTTCTATGATGGACGCAATTATACGAACATGTATGATGACGCATACAATTATACCACGTCTGCATTGTCGCACAGCGCCGAAGTATTTTGCTGCGCAAATGGGACAGACCAGAATCAAGGCTCTCGCGCTAGCGCACTAGGATACTGGTCACCGAACCAAGGCGGACGTTTCCCTTTTCAGAAAACGAATTTCACGTCGAAGTGGATTTACGGGTCGGCAAGGACGGACTATTACAGGATCTATGACAACCAAAGCATACCTGGGCCGCTCATCTTTTCGGAAGTCCCAAGCTTGCAGGCACTCGAGTGTATGCCTATTGTTGAGACCGCGGAAGCGGACGTCACCGTTGACCAGGGCACTGGCCAGGTCTATTCGTACAGCCTTCACGGACACCCTGAACCTGCTAGCGTAGCGTGGAGCGATGCATTTCTAACGCGCGAGGACGTGAGCAGGGTGAACGACACAAGCATCACTTCCTTAAACGTTACTACCAGGTATGATCATCACTCCCACTTCCTTATCTTCTGGAAATACCCTCACCTTCAACATAACTTTTCTATTGCCCACAGAGCTCGTGCTTACTATATCGCTCAGTTACGGTGTCTTCTTCCTCAATACCCTCCTTGGTGCTGCCCAACTGCCCAACCTCGAAAAGGTACCACAGAACTGGCGCCTTCCCGCCTATCCCGAAGACCAACTACTCGATGATAACACTTTCAACGTCCGAGATACTAGCACAGGCTTGAATATGGACTTCATGAGCTACTCCATGTACACGCTCGCCGGGAAGGATCCCAGAGCCCTACTCAATCAAGAGACTCTGCTCAATCTCACCCAGCTCACGTTCACGACCTACTTCCAGCATTTCGTCAGCAGCAACTTCTCGCTAACAAACGGGGGCCTCGCATACCAGAAAATCGGCGAGCAACTTCAAACCGATTTACCAATCCGTTTCGACACGGCCCAGCGGGCCTGGGTGAACGACCCAGCACCGGTCTATCCAGACCTGAACACCAACCGCACCGCCGTCGCCACAGTATCCACACGCATCGAAGTCCTCCGCATGAACGCGGTGGCCACCTGGCTCTCCGTCGCCATCCTCCTCTGGCTCATGCTCACGACCGTCCTCATCGCAGCCCTGCAGCGCACATACCTCGGCTCCATCATCCGCAACTTCGAGTCCCCCGCCGACGTGCTCGTCGCGATCGCCGGCAGCGACAACTTCCTCAACATGATACGCGACGGCACGTTTGCGGAGCTGCGGAGGAACACGAATATCAGGGCACGGCTGGGCTGGTTTGTCGACGCGACCGGGAGGAAGAGGTGGGGGATTGAGGTTGTGGGCGGGCCGAATGCGGTTAGGTGGACGGAGTGGCCGGCGTATAAGCCGTTGAGGACGGTTTCGACGGCGAGGAGTGGCCGGTTTGAGAGACTGAAGACGAGGACGAAGAGCTTTGGGTTGTAGAGGATGGGGAGTGGGTGAGGGCGTTCAGGAATCAAGTGCTGATTCAACGTTATGCGGTACTTTAGTCGCTTGGAGCGGAGAGAGACGAGCTTGTCGAATACTAGCACAGATCGTTCACATCTTGAGTGTTGTACTGGATGTAGCAACTCTTTTGGGGCTTAGCTTTCATCCCTGCATTGATGTAGTTTCAATACTAAATACATGCAACATACCGCCCCTGATAGGCCATCGGAGCGAAGTCAAGGAGCGCATAAATGCATCTACGCACCGCACCGCACCACGATTGCTTCCGATCAGACAGGCTCACTCTCGACGGCTTAGTGCATGCCCATGCTCAAAACGTGCCTTTGATGCAACGCTCCATGAACTCCCTACGACTCCCTTCAAAGACCAGCTCAACCCTGCCTTGCAGCATCCAAGCCTTCGCAAAGCAGGCCACCCCAAACCTATTGTTAATCCACCCAAATATATACGAATCAAGACAGACGGACAGTAGCCACGCCGACTTCACCCACACTCACACATAGACAAGACACCACCATCCAGACCAAACAAACAATCAAACCAACGAGTGTATTCCATTTCCATTTCCATTTCCCTTATCCTAACCTATCCTGTCGTTATCCAAAGTCATAAAAGCTATATACTCGAAAAGTCGCCGTCATTATCCCCCCAACCAGAGAGAAGCTGCAGACAGCCAGCCTAGCTAGGCTTTCACTCCTCGTCCTCTGCTTCCTCCGCAGCGTCTGCGGCAGCCTCCTCAGCATCTGCGGCAGCCTGCTCGGGTGTTGTTCCGCTGCCTTGCTGCTGGCCGGATGCTGCGGCGCCGGTTCCTGTCTGCCCTGTGGCGGCGCCGGTGCCCGTCTGGCCCTGAGACGCAGCCCCAGTGCCTTGCTGGCCCGTCTGTCCAGTAGTTCCGGCGCCCGTTCCTTGCGAGTTAACGCCGGTGCCTTGAACGCCTGTACCAGCCTGGCCTTGCGTGCCCTGGCCAGCAGCCGTACCCGCGCCGGTACCTGGATACTCGTTAGCTCGTGCTTGCGATGATCGAGGTTGCGTAGTAGAAATACTGACCAGTTTGGCCGTTTGACCCTGCTATTCCTGCGGTACCTGCTGTTCCTGCACCTGCTGCTTTATACGGTCAGCCAGGGATATGATGGAACGCGTTAGAGAGGCATCATACATCCGGTACCTGCGCCCGTTCCTGTGGTGCCGCTGCCGGTGCCCGCTGAGCCAACGCCAGCCTGAGAGCCTGTTGTTCCTGCTGTTCCTGCTGTTCCTGCTGTTCCTGCGGTTCCTGCGGTTCCTGCTACACGATATCAGCAAAACACTTCCATCGTTCTGATCATGGCGTCTCACCTGAGCCCGTGCCGGTGCCAGTGGTTCCAGTTCCTGCGGTCCCCGCGGTTCCTGCGGTTCCTGCGGTTCCAGCTAAACGATATCAGCAATCGCTTCAATCGTTCTGATCCACATGTCTTACCTGAGCCCGAGCCAGTGCCCGTCGTTCCGGTCCCTGCAGTGCCCGCGCCTAACATACGTTAGAACTCTCGCTGAAGAAGCAGAACGACATGACTTACCAGTGCCGGCGGTCCCCGCTGTCCCGGTACCTTGCGTGCCTTGCCCAGCGGCAGTGCCTATATATGTGAGCGGATAGTCGTTGAACGTGATGGAGTGCTTACCAGCGCCAATGCCTTGCGTGCCTTGGCCAGCCGCGGTACCTTCAAAATGTTAGTCCAGAGCCCCCCAGGAAACGAGGCAAAAAGAGGAAACCCACCCGCGCCCGCAGCACCCGTGCCTTGCGTGCCAGTACCAGCAGTGCCTGCTGCCCCGATTCCGGTGCCCTGCGTGCCTTGTCCAGCGGCGGTAGTACCTGATCCGTGTGAGCAGACAGTCGCTGAAAGCAATAGGATCACTCACCCGCGCCTGTTCCTTGTGTTCCCTGGCCGGCCGCAGTACCTCCACTATATTAGCAGGAGAAATGCAAAGCCATTCAAGACAACTCACCCGCGCCCGCAGCACCTGTACCTTGTGTGCCAGTGCCCGCAGCACCTGCTATCGCGCCTTAGTCACCGTGAAACGAGGAGCTAGAAGAAGAAACTTACCAGCCGCCGCAGTGCCGTTATTCGCCGCGCCAGTTGCGCCCTGAGCCATTCATCAGTCGGGCGTCCCTCAGATTAGAGGACGAGAAGAAGTGGACTTACAGTACCCTGTGCGAGTGGTTAGCGGCGGGATGAGTCTAATAGAACGAATGAATGAGGGACTTACGGCCGCGCCTGCTGCTTTACCCGTGGCCTTGCCCTTTGCCGCTCCGGTGGTGCCGGCGTTCGTTCCCGTCGCTCCTGTTCCTGTTGTGCCTGCAGCGGCTCCTGTTGATCATTAGCTACAAACCTTCCAAGGCCCATGGACACGGAGAACACTGACCTCCCGCTGCGTTTCCTCCGGCATCTCCAGCGGCGCCCTTGCCCTTGCCGCCGAGCAGTCCACCGAGCAGATCGCCTCCGGCAGCGCCACCTGCCGCATTACCACCCGCCGCACCACCAAGGAGCCCAGCGAGCCCACCACCCGCTGCGCCTCCGGCCGCGTCTCCGGCCGCGCCTTTGCCTTTGCCGCCGAGGAGTCCACCGAGGAGATCGCCTCCTGCAGCTCCGCCCGCCGCGTCGGCTCCCGCGCCGCCAGTCAGGCCGCCGAGAAGCTGGTCGAGCTGTCTCTTGCGGACGGCCTTCTCGCGGGCAATCTTGCGGATGTTGGCGACGTAGTGAGCCGGCATCTTGGTGCCGCTGAACTCAGCGTTGGTGTCCTGTCGTAGCGTCAGTAAAGCTCAAGCAGGGATAGCGTTGGACATAGAAGGGATAGGAACAACATGGTACGTACCACCCATCTCTTGTCGATGCGCGGGAAAGGAGCGGGAGCAGCGGCAACGAGCGGCGAAGCCGCCAGCGCTGCGACGATGGAGGCGGAGAACTTCATTGTGTGTGGGGAGAAATAGATTTAAGGATAGACAAGAGAGATTACTGTCCTGCAGCGAGGTAGGTAGGTAGGTAGGTAGAAGAAGAAGAATAGAATTAAGCTGACTAGCAGCGAAGATAGATGGAAGCTAGGAAAGTAAAGGAAGGACGAAGTGAGGAGAATCAAGGCACCCAACACTTCAAAGACTGAATACTAAGGCGTCCGTAAGGTCTCGAACTTGGAAGAAGGTAGGAAACCCGCTCTTCCCGAGTTGCGGCGCCCATATATACTCCATCACCACTTTGAAGACGCGGGACGGGAACTCGCAGCGCGTTGCATCCGGTCTCAGCTGCGCGTCTGGTTCTCCACTGAAAAGCATATTCATCTGGTGATGGATCGGCCAGATCCATCAGAGAAACGCAAGGCGGGTTGGAAGATGTGCTGGGAAAGTTGGCGCAGGCTCGCCAATGGGGTGCCCTGAGGCAGGATGGTGGTGCTGTTCATGTTGCGCCATGCCCGAGTCTGTAACTATGCGTGCCCAGGAATGCCCAAGAGGTCAAAACGATGGTGGCGCGCGGGACTCTCAGCAAGGGAGTTGTTTTTGGAAACACTGGGAGGGATCAGCTTGTGCTCTGGTGCAGATCTTCTGGGCAGGCGGAGTGTTTGATGTCATCCAGCTCTTGCAATTGCGGGCACCACTTCCTAAGGGGCTATGATGTTTCGCAAGCGAGGCCATTCAATTGTGACGATAAAAGAAGCGATAGTGGAAGAACACCTAACCTACCTCTCCGCCCCCTCACCCTCTTTCACCCTCTCTCCCCTCCCACCCCCCTCCCAACCCTCTTCCACCCATCCCCCATCCAGCCCACCCAGCACAACGGCACCTCCGCGACATCCCATGAAACGCCGCCCTCGGCGTTTGACCCTCCGAGGCCTCAACGTTTCGAAACCGCGCCAGTGTTCTAATTCCGAAAGCAGCCGTGACGCTGCAAGTTTGAGGGGCTCTCTATCCCGCGATTTGACGACTGATGGATAGTTTCGGGGACGGTGTGGGCCGAGATGCGCAGGACGAGCAGAGTGGGAAGGTTGGGAGAGGAGAGGAGGTTGTTGATGTTTAGTGCGGACGCTAGTCCTGAAACGTGTGTGTGGGGAAAGCATGAACGTATCGTGCTGGGTATTTGCGCATTGGGACGTGAGGTGCGCCTTTCTAAAGGTGGTTCAAATACTGTGTCGTATAGAGAGCTCTATCAAAGGAACTAAGAACAGAAGCAGGATGACATTGGCGGAGCTTGGTCTTACATGCATCTACAGATCGAGCCTCACATTCCGCCTCGTCACATGCAGTCCAAATCCCAACACCCCTTACAGCTCACCAAAAATAGCCTTCATTTCCGCCTCGCAATCCCCATAACCGCCAACTCCCCGCTCCCAACCTCTACCTTCCACCCCTCCCTAACCAGCGCCCTCACAACCGCAGGCCCCAACTTGGCCCTCCCACCCTCGCTGTGCCGTCCCAGCCCCGTAACGATTGTATACCCCTCACCCACACCACGCCGTCCGCCTCCCGGGATCCTCTGCTCGCCCAGTCCATCCCACCAAGCCTGCGTCTTGGCTTTCGCAATGCGGGTCGCATTGTGCACGCTGACGCCGTGGAGGTCGAGGAGGGTGGGGGTGGACTGCGAGGCTACGAGCGCGTCGGCATCAGATTCGTTCATGGCTTGCAGGTTGGCGTTGTAGTCGCGGCCGACTTGCGAGTAGTAGCCGGCTGCGGCTTTCATGAGAGGGTTCGATTTGCCCTTGCGGTATGCGGATGAGGCCTGTGTAAAGGCTACGTTGCGGGCTGCGGTGAGCGAGGCTGCGGTGGGTACTATCGCGGCTGGGGGGAGGGAGGATAGCCTTTGAGAGTCGGGCGTAGATGCTTCAGATAGGTTAACCGGAGCGTATCGCGGAATGACCGCAACGCCGCCTCTAGACGTCGGTGTCCTCGGATACATCGTTAGGGCTTTTGCAAGCTCGTGGGCGTTCGCCGTCGACGGCGCTGTGAGGCGAATAAGCGCAATCGCATATTCGAGATCCACGTTGGGGAACTCCGCTGTAAGCTCGATCGCAGGCTGAACCAAAGCAGCGTCGGGTTCCTCCTTTTCGTGTGACGCAATGTCCTTATTGATAACTGCTATGATGGTACCTGGAAGAGAGGCGCCATTTTTGTGATACAACGAAGCGACTGCTTTCGACGGAAGCTTCGTTCGCGACGATAGAAATTCGACATCCCGTCCGCCCTCAGCCCATCTGTTCGTCGGAGGGGTCGCCGGCAGATCTGATCCTGAACCCGAGGCTGAGCTATGGTTGTAGAAAGATGTGTTCTTCTGCCTCCTCTTCCCCTTGCCCTTCCTCCCACGTTGCGGTACATGGTACTCTTCCGAGAACGCATCTATGCCCTTCGTTGCAGGTGTCTCTTCGTCTGGGCTCGCTCGCTCGTCCTCAAAATAGACATGATTGAGTAGCTCATCCGTAGCCTTCTCAAAATCACCGGCGCACTTCTTCAGCGTATACGCAACGAGGTCTGGGCGCAGTGTGGGGAACGTCTCCGCGAGTACCAGCTCCTTCGTCGGCGTGTCGAACCCCTCCGTATCCCTGAAATAGCCGCCGTTCAGCGATTCTTCGGAGCTCGATCCGGGCCCTCCTCCCAAGCTTAGTGTAGCCAGGTCGCTGGAGAGACTCGTGCAGTCGGTGACGGTCGTCTGTGTAGTCCACGTCTCCGCGTTGGATTCGGCATCGTCGGAGCCCTGTTTGCTGGGGCTCGAGCGCACCGCATCGCCGCTGCTGCCGGAGGGGTCGAAGTCGGTGAACTGCTCCGCGGCGGCGGCCTGCTTCAAGCCGTCCAATAGCTCTCTCGCGAGCTGTATGCTATCCGTCTGGTCGGAGAAGTCGGAATAGATGGCGTGAACGAGCGCGGGGTCTAAGGGAGGGCAATAATCTTGCTATTGGGCTGTAAGTGTTTGCAGTCGTGTAACCCGAGCACACACACATGCCTCTAGAATACGGATATCGTCATCCATGTTTGTCTCTGGAATGCTTTCGTCCTCTTATCTGCGCGCTCGCGAATTGCATGCTCGAGATGGTATAAGGATGAAACGAAGGGGTATCCAGGACGCAGATGACCTGGAAGGTGGTGTGATGGGTTTGCGGTTGGGCAAAAGTTGGTGGGCGCCTGTGTTGCTATTGTACAGAAGCCTCGTGGTTTCGTCAAGGTGGCAGTTCCGCTTGCGGCCGCTCGGGGCGCTTTTGTTCCGAGCCTTGGCGGCCATCCATCAGAGCGTGAGGGAATATTATACGTGACAGAGTGAATTTAAAACATCACGCTGGTACTCGGTGAGCTGTTTGTTTGGGCTGCTAGCGAAAGTTGGCTGTCGAGAGAGGTCATGGACGACGTCACCATCAGAGCTTAAGGCGCTGGCGCGGCGCCCTACCGAGGTAGGTACATCACCAAGCGGACCGTGACAAATCCAGGGCCAACGCTCATACTCAGGCGTAGTCGCTGCAGTCTCTACCACTAATGATTATAATGCCCAGACCGTCTAATTCTGCCTACCCAAGCCCATCATGTTTGACATACCATGTGGGAATGTACCATCATAAACGCCGTGGACGACTACGTCCATAACCACCTACAAATGCATACCGTCCGAACCGGGGAGTCGTTAAACGTTGGGTGAGAAAGCGCTCCCCGTCTGTGCCTATAAAAGCCCCATGCATCGAAGTAGATAATGCCTCCCCTATGTAAGGTAACAAATTGTGCTCCAGGACGGACTCTGATGACCCGTCCCGACCATGCGATGAAAAACGTTGTACGCCAGACCCCGACCATGCTCAGTAACCGGGATCCAGCCGTAGAAGTCGTGATTTCGTGTTTAAGAAAGATGGAAGGCGCCCTGCCCTTCCCGGATGGCAACACTGAGTTTCTCTCGGAGGACGTCCATGTTGCTGTAGTCTGGCATCTTGAGATAATTGACACAGGTCATGACGCTGGGGAGGTAGTCGTCGGACGTGTAAGGAGGCTCGCTCGGCTTGCAGACGACCGTGAACATCGGAGTGAGATTTTTGAACCCTGAATTACTGTTAGAACTGGGCTGATACTGCTGCACACCGTGGCTTAACTTACCTCCGATGGGAAGCTTGGGGCTGCCGGTAATGAACTGCAGAAAGTCCCGTCGCTGTGTGGCCGAGAACTCGCTCATGGTCTGCAGCAGATTGCGAACGCTCTTGCTGTCAAGATTGTATCCATGGTCTGCCTTGATTGAATCCATCAGAGCTGCGACACGGTTAGCACGATGTCTACGTTGCAATAGGGGCATTCTTCACTTACTCTCGAGAGACCAATCCTCCTGAACCCTGCCGAACAACATTACAAGCTCGTCTGGCGTGAAAGCCTTCAACGCGGAATATGGGAAGACTTCGGAGAAGCCCGACCTGAAAGCGTCCACCTGACGCTGCACTCCGGACCCCAAGGTGAAATCGAGGACCTTGTCCACGTACGTGTCAACATTATCAATCGTGACTGGCTGCTCCGCCCCCTTCTCTACAAGCTCGATGGAGTATCCGGGAAGCGTGAAATCCAGCCCGAGATCTTCGACCCGGCAATCGCGAATAACAATGTTTTGCATAGCCTGGACCTTCTGAGCTGCCGTCAGATTGCCGTCTTCATCGATGCGCTTCTTCGCATCAGCGAACTGCTTGAGAAGCTGGAGCGACTTGGCCAGATCGTGGTCGACGGATTTCACAGCTCCCAGGGAAGGGGTAACGGCGGCATTCCCATCGCCAATGCGGAAAAAGGTCGGATTGAATGACACGTCGATGATCCTGGAATCCAGCATTGAACGGGCGACAAACTTTCCAAGTACCCGGAACAGCTCTAGGACCTTCTTGCCGTTCTCCTTACCGGCTTGCTCGGCGCTCATGGGAGCCGGGAACAGGCCACGTTTGCCAAAGGCATACTCGTCACCTTCATTCGATTCATTCTCGCGCCAGAGCTTCAGCTTCTTCTTCGAAAACTCTTTTGAGACGGTAGAGTAGAACTCCAGTGTAGGGCCCAAGCCGGTACCAACTTCTTCGAAGTATTCTACCTCAAGAATGCTCGGAGAATGCCCGTACAGATGCATGACCTTCATGGCAGACTCGAGGATTCGCGACCGGGAAATGCGCACCTTCTGTCGCTGCAGTCGTCCTAGGAAGGGACGCTCGTCACGATGACGATCCGAGTGTCTAGAATCGGTCGTCGACTGAGAGTTTTGCCACCGTGTCATGGATCGCGAGTATCCGAAAGAGGTAGACTGAAGGAAGAGGTGGCGCGTCTCAAATGGGAACAAGAACGGATAGAGCCGAGCCAGATCCTCGCTCCATCCGGGTAGGCAACTGCTCGCGACAATCAATGGCTCCTCCAATTGGCGATTGAGCTTCGCGGTCAACTTGGTGTTGACGAATTGCGAAAGAGGTTCCGCATTGAGCTTGAGTGGTTCCTGGTTATCCGAAAAGACGTCGTCCAGATTGGAGTTCAAGTCGTGCAGTATGCTCAACAGTTGAAGGATGCTTGAGGTCACAGGATTCTTGTCCAGCGAGACCGGCATTCCAAGTGCCGCCGACTTCGGCTCTGGTGGCGGTGTCAACGCATTTGACTCGGTCGGCGGAGGACCTGAGACGCGTTTAAACTTGATGGTGTGAATGGCATTCCAGACCGTCCGGTGAGGCATATCGCTGGGCTGTGCTTGCTTGAAATGCACGGCGCGGTAGATGGTCGTATCATTGGAGAGTGGCTGCTCATTGACGCTGAATTCAATGTGCCAATCCTGAGGCGTTGACTGCACCGCTGCGGCATATGACAAAGCCCCCGCAGAGCTACCGAGACCTTGATGTGCGGCAGCTCCGCGTAGCAAGGAAGATAACCGCGAAGGAGTAGACATTCGCTCTTGGGGAGGCGGCTTCGTTGCAGGCTGTCCTTGAACTGGAGTGGCGACCCTAGTACCATCCTCCTTGCGAGCAGTCACCTTGCCTGTGGGGGCGACCTCAACGCTCACGGCCGACGGATCCGGCTCCTCATCTTCCATTTCATCGTCAAAATCGTCCACGATAGTGTTCAACGCGCTGTTTTCATCCATGGACTCATGATCTGACAGACGTTCCTCATCCGCGCATTCAACCGGATCTTGGTTGCTGCTGGTTCGGGGTATAGCCGGCGGCGGTGGGGGCGGAGGTGCCTGAGTCTGCTGTCGTCGGCTAGATCGACGCGTCTTCTCCTGCGGAGCTGAGCTAGGTCCGGCTTGTGATGGCGTAGCAGAGCTCGCGGGTTTCGCCTTGGATGTCTTCCTAGATGAGGATCGGTTCGTCGTTTCGCTTGGTGTATGTGGAGGTGGAGGGGCTGGTGTACGTCCTTCAGCAAGAGCTTGTGCATATGCGGCAACCGTCTCTCGATTTCTGGAAGGACGAGGTCGCTCGGCAATATTAATGCGGGGCCGCAGGTAGTCATCCAGGGCCTTGAATGTAGCGATTGCATGTATTGAGACCATGATGTTGCGATAAGTCTTCGGGATGCCCGACTCTTCGTCTGCTGTAAGCTTGAGACGGAGCTGCTTGGCCAGCATAGACGTGGCGCTGCCACGGTTATCGTACGAGTGCTGATGGACGGTGATGACCTCAAAGTGCTCGGCCCTGCTCAGCAAATCTTGAAGCTTGCTAACCAAGATGCTGAAAGCTGTCGCGGGTGAGGCGCTGCTAGCCGTTTTGATTTTATTCTGGCCGCTTGAGCCCATGAAGGCCTCCAGGAAAAGCGCACGAGGATCAACCCCGCTGGATGAGACGGGAGCAGAGAAGGCTTCTAGCAAGACCTCGACGATGTTCGAAGTCATCAGCTCGTAGCTTGTTATGCTCTCGAGAGCATCGCCCTCAAAGTAGGCGGCCAACCGCGTGAACAGCTCCATGCAGTTCCCCGGTCCACCTTCAAGGACGCACTCCTTGATCTCCTTTGCAAGCGACTTCAGGTCATCCAAGATGGCTGCCGCCTTGTCTCGAATAGCTTTGGCGTCGTCTTTCTCGTGCACCTCGATGAACTTCTTGGCCCGCAGCGTGATAACGTCGTCAAGATTTGGCAGCGGAGCGTAGCGGCCGGAGGATGATGAAGAGTCGGAATCATCGTCCTCATCTCGATTGTCGCTATGCTCGTTTTGGTCATCGTCATGGTCGTTTTCGTCGTCATCGTCCTCGGAGTGCATATCGGGCTCTGCTTCGTCGGTGATCTCATGATCCACATCCGCATCCCCGGCTGAGCTAGTACTTGCCCCAGAATCGGCAGCTGGCTCAACTTCAATCGCGGGCCTGGATTCCTTGGGTCGTCGGAGCTCTAGAGTCTTGCAAGGTCGGTTTGCTAGCTGCGAAATCTCGGATATGACGCCCTCTCGGTAGAATTGGTATCGATATATCGGTTCGAGGCGCTTGAGCAGGAGCTCTGCTGCCTGTAGTGCATAGGTAACTAAGGTTACATGGTCCTGTTGCGAGAATATTGAGGCAAGATAGGATGCGTATGGCACGGGACGTAGTGCTTCTTCTAGAATTGCGGTGTCGAGATTGGAAAGCATCTTCAGCTGCGCAGTAAGAACCTTCTGTCGAACACTTAGATTGACGGTGCTCGAATATACGTCGGTCAGAGTGGGGAGCAAGATGACTGCGAAACGCTTGACTTCTTGCTTGCAACCTTCAAGGAGCTCGACACGTTTCTGGTTAGCCGACTTCTTCGCCCTAGAAGCTGAGAGCGGGGGCAGGTCATCACCAGGGTAGCCGGCATCGAAGAGATCTTCCAAATACATCAGCCCATCCTTGGGCACGTCGGGGAGAAGCTCGCAGATAACATTAAGCGTCTCAAAGACTTGGTCCTTGGGTCGGTGAATGAGGGCTTGCATAATGACCACGGTGTCGATCTTGGTGGCCACATCTTCGGTGCCGCTGGGAGGGGAAACGCCCGTAAGAATCTGGTAGAGCGTATCGACAACGTTCATCTTGAACAGCTCGGCGGACAGGCTAGGGCTAGCCTTTGCCGTGTAAGCAAGCACCTGGAGAAACATAGTGTGGATGTTCGCGCCAATAAGGTTTGTCGTCCCGGGGAGCAGAAGCCTTAGTATGGCTCGGAGGAGTTCCGGGCTCACAAGCTCTTCCAACTTGTTCTCGTGGTGCTTGAAGCTGTGGACGATTCTCGACACGCAAATACAGCCCTGTTCCACGACCTTCTGGTCGTTGTTGTTCAGGATATCCTTGAGTATGGGCATGACATCGCGAACCGTTGGGAACGACTCTTCCGGTATGTTGCGGCAACAGTTGGCGGCCGTGGTCACTGCTGTCCGCTGCGTACTCGTGGCGAAGAAGTCGAGATATGTCAAGCAGGCAGTCAGTCCGCCTTCGCGCACAATGATGGATGGAAACTCTGCCGAAATCTTCTCGAGCGTGCTGAGACATTGCTCAGCCAAGTCGATGAAATTGATCTCGAGCAACTTGGAGCAAAGGACAGGGACGGCACCGCCGTACACGACATTAGCTGTAGCGGCCGGAAGCGCCTCCATCAGATTCGCCAGACACCGACAGGCGAGCAGCATCACCTCTGGGTTCTCCTCTCCGAATTCGTTCGTCTGCATCAACGTGACCAGCTCTTTTACATATGCATCGGGCGAGAAGTGGCCTGCCAGATTGTCTTCGGTGGAGATGAGGAGCACCTCGGAGAGCTCTTGTAGAGCTATGAGCTGCATCGACACGTCCTTGGACCGCAGCTGATCCAGGATGCCACGCAGCCGCTGGTTTGTGCCAGCCATGAAGCCAGCCATACCAGTCAGTTGACGCAGGGCAGCAAGCGGAGGTTGTCTGCCCAGGAAGCCTGAACTGAATGGATCATCGTCATCGTCGTCATCGTCATAGCCCGGTGCGTGGCCGTCTCCATTGCTGCCGTCGCTTGTGTCTGGCCGACCATTCCCTGCACCGGATTGTTGTGTCTCCTCGTCGGGTCGCGACTCCGGTGCGTCATCCATGGCTACGTCGTCGTCGGTCTTGGGAGCGGACTTGCGGGAGCTCCGCCGCGAGGACGCGGGCGCGGCATCTGCGTTGGGTTCAGCGTTGGCGGACTTGGACTGCCGGCGCGAGCTGTCGCCCTGACCTCCACTCTTACGGCCGCTTTTACCGCGCCGTGACGAGGAGGGCTGGGATGGCGGCGCGGCTTTCTCCTCAGCGGGGTCTGTTGATGGTCTAGCCGCAGTCAGCTTCTGCACATGTCCATGGGCAGAGCCTTCAAGAACATACCCGGCCGATGACATTGCCGATTTTCCTTTGCCCTTCTTGGAGCGGCCGGGCTGGGGAGCAGGCGGGCTCTGGGGCTCGAGTTTGGTGCGCTTAGCACGGCCGCCTCGAGCAGGCGGTGGCTCCGTGTGCTCTGGCGGCTGCTCGGGGCTGGGCTCTCGAGCGGCGGCCTTGCGTTTACGCGTCGCGGCTGGCGGCTGGCGCGACGGGGGAGGGGCGGGGGGATTCGGCGGGTTGGCGTTGGAAGAACCTGCGGAAAGCCTCGCAGAAGAGCGAGTCACTCTGGACGACATGAGAATCTGATTACTTGCTTGTTCAATCGACGGTTCGCAACCAGACTGTGGGCCCCGGCGGTGGGCGTCGCAGCTCTGTGCCGATGAAGGTGGGTGAGAGGTTGTTGCAGACGCAGCAAAAGTTGTGGGCGAGGGTGCAAGGCAGGAAGGCAGGAAGGCAGGAAGGTAGCAGCGGCGGGAAGGTGTTGAGAAATAGTGGGGAAGCTTTACCTGGACGAAGGAGAAGATGAGGCTGGGACCAGAGATTGGTCTTTTCTTTCCATGAAGCGGTTGCTACTCGGGCGCCATAGGCCGCTAAGCGAGTGCGGTGAGCGGGTGCAAATGGGCGGCGGTGTGTCTACAGCCGTGAAATCGAGCGGTGCACGTGTCGCCGGGGTATCGCAGGTGTGGGAGCGGGTGTTGAAAAGATGGGTGTAGTAGCAGCAGTGACCGTCGGCGGTTGGAGATAATGATGGCGTTCCGGCCTTGGCAGTGGGGAATCGATGCAGGCCGGTTAGCGCCGCGATGGGAAACGCTGTGGCACGGGGGGCTCGTTTTGGGAGCTGGCTGGAATATGCAATGTGCTACGGCACGGTCTTTGCTGCTGTGGACAGTCCTGCCATTCTTCAGCCGTGGGACTCGGGCGTTGAGCGCAGCTGGCGGGAGGGTTGCCAAGCCTCTGTCAGCCTTGCGGAAACTACTGTGTGTACGAGGGTACTCAGGGTTCAGCGCCCTTCCCAGGCGTACGGCTTTCCGGTATGTAGGCCAGTTTAATATGATCACTGCGGAATACTTACCCTCTACGTCATGTATCGGCATTTACTAATGTGGGATCCCCTCCGCAGTCGACAATCTTTGCCTCGCAAATGACGTCCTCGAATACCACGTAGAAACGATTGGGGCTACGAGGCCTCAAACTTCTCTTGAGAGTGACACTGCTCTTGAAGGAGGATGCAGTAACTAATCCACCAGTGTCGTTTTTACGAGCAGCTGATTTCTCAGCCTGGCATCCCGCGCTCACTAATACCATGACGAAGCGCGGCCTTGTGCACTACCTAGGCTGTGGGGAAGCCGGATAGGTCCACTTTCGGAAGGGATGGCACGTGATGCTACCATCCTGGCGTGGACTTCCAAGGTTTGCCCCCGATCAAATAATCCAGGACGATGGGAGCAGGCGTGGAAAATTCAGAATACCAAGCGAATGCTCGGGCGCAGGAATGTCTCATATGCAGGCAAGCAATACTCGCAGCGCTCAGCGGCAGGGCGTCGGATAGGGCTAGACGCCCCAGTCTCGAACCCGTCGCAGCCCCGCCGCGTGAAAGGCAAATACTACGAGCCTAGCCCACGGCGCGGAGATGGCAGCCTTCTCCTACAAATGTCGCCCGCGCCCGCACCAGTTTCTCCGTCTGCTTCCACCTCTCCTTCCCCTGCGCCGAATGTTCCGAGTGCCCCCCGCCAGCAACAAACTGCTGTTTGCGCGACTCCCCCGCTGACTTCATCCGCCTACAACCGCGGCTCTCGCCGACGTCAGTCCCCGCAACCCACCTCCATCAACTCAACTGGCTGCCTAGCGGGCTTCTCCCCGGTAGCGCCTCTATTCCGTAAGCATCGTCAATTAAAGGTCCGGCTCCCGCAATTTGTTGACTCCGCCCCAGATCTTCACCAAATAACCCCCCAAGAGACTTTCACCGTCTGCCGGGCCGACCCCCACGTCGCCTTATATAAAGGCCTCCTCCGTACGCTCGCTCGCATTAGGCACCGGCTGCACCGCATTTCCCTCCACAACCGCCGCCATGGGCTCAGCAACCCACGACATCCTCTCCAACGGCGACGACCGACAACCTGTCTTCAACGTTGGCCTGGACAGCGCGGAGACAATGTCGCTCGAAACCTACACATTTCCTAGCGAGAGATTGAAGAAGGTGCTTTCCGACCCCAGCAAGACACCGCTTGTTCTCGTCTCATGCGGCTCGTTTTCTCCGCCGACGAACCTCCACCTTCGCATGTTCGAGGAGGCCGCCGACTACTGCGAATTCGAGACAAACTATGAGGTGGTCGGTGGTTTTTTCAGCCCTGTCGGAGACGCCTATAAGAAGGCCGGGCTGGCGCCAGCACATCACAGGATAAAGATGACGAGGATCGCGGTGCAGGACAGCTCGACTTGGATCGGCGTCGACCCGTGGGAGCCGCTGCACAAGGAGTATCTACCGACCGTCAAGGTCCTAGATCACTTTCAGTACGAGTTGAACGATGTCATGGGCGGGATTGAGACACCTTCCGGAGAGAAGAAGCGGATTCACGTTGCGCTGCTTGCGGGTGCGGACTTGATCCAGACCATGAGCACTCCCGGCCTGTGGGCTGCCGAAGATCTAAATCGGATCCTTGGACACTACGGCGCCTTCATCCTCGAGCGCAGCGGTACCGATATCGGTAGGGGCTCTATACAGTTCCTGCAGGGCGTTTGCTAACTAGTCACAGACGACGCACTCCTCACCCTCCAGCAATACAAAGATAACATTCGTGTTATCCCACAGCTGATTCAGAACGACGTCTCTTCAACCAAGATTCGTCTGTTTCGAAAGCGGGGCAAGAGCATTCGCTACTACATCCCGGACAAGGTCGTCGACTATATCTACGAGCATGACCTGTACCTGGACGACGACAAGAAGCAGTCAGAGAAGGGGAAAGAGAAGGCACCCAGCGAGCCTTCAGGCTCTTCAGTAGTGACAGCAGCATCATGAGGCACGGGCATGCATGGTTCGTCCTGATGGATTTGTCCCTCATACATCAACAGCTAGCTCACCGACATTGGAGTCGAGCACCTCATCTCCCGCTCACTACTTGCAACGCGCAACGCTGGGATCACGGACTATCTACGTCTCTTGGAACTACTCACTTTTGGGCGGCACATTGGATTGATTTAGGGTCGGTCACGGGGACAACCAACCCGGAGATGCCTGACGGTAGAGGCGGGTCCGCACGCCTTCGCGGGTAAGGTCGGACCGAGGCGGTTAGACGGTTTGCATTATTGCTACGACATGATACCACGGATACCAATGCAATCATCATTCATCACCATCATCTTCACGATGATGGAGATTATTTTTCTTCGCAGACCCTGACTTTGCACTCACGTGATGTGATGTCATTCCGTCGCATCACCCACCCCAGGGCTAGATGCTTCTTTTTTTATAAGGTAAGGGACGGGCTGGTGCGGGTAGGTGCAGCAATGACGAAGGTCGGTCGACGGAGGGTTTTGCGCCGCGTCGTTCCGAACACGAAGGCTGGCGTTGGCTCGCGGTCGGTATGACCAACAAGCAGTTTGCGCAGGGAATTTTGCTCGTTCTTCTTTTTATGAAACGTCGTACTTTTGATAGTGGGCTGGAGAGACAGGCGATGAGCTCTTGGGGCGCCCAGCCTCCATGGCTTTCCTACGAGGCGAGAGTATTGGACCATCCCAGTTTCGCTCAGGCTTCATCTCCCAACTAGTAGTAGACTCTCAGGCCAAGAACGAAAGCCCAAGGAGCAAGCTCAAGTCCCTTCTGCTCGCCCAGAAGTTCTCCCAGTCCTCGCAGCCCAAGCCCGCACCGCCGAGCCAGCCACGTCAGGCAAAACGTCAACACCCATCACCATAGCAACGCGGCCCTACCCCAGCCCCGTCCCGCCCGTCAAAACACCCGCTTACGAAATTATACATATCGCTACCAGAAAAAAAATCCCCAGCGCAGCGCCGCGCATTCCGCTTGCTCTCCACACTGCATTCCTCGCTGAGCAGCCCGCATTCCACCCCCGCACCCATGGACCCCGACCACCGCGAGCGCCGCCGCCGCGAGCGTAGAGAATCCCGCGCCGAGCACACCGACACCGAGCGCCGCCGCCGCAAGGGACACCGCGCGACGGACTCCCAGGGCGACTTGCTACCGCCGCCGCGGCAGGCGAGGCGCCAGAGCGACTCCGAGTGGGAGTCGCCTAGCCCGCGCAAGAAGCGCGATTCGCGGGCGACGACGCCCGGGGAGAGCACGCCTAGTGGCAGTCGCGACTCGGCGCCGCTGAGTCTGGATGCGCTGGCGAGGTTGGATAAGGCGAATGCGAAGAGGGCGGGGTGGAAGGGCCGGGATTATGATGAACTGTATTTGAAGGAGGTTAGGAGGAAGGAGGAGAGGTTGGAGAAGGAGAGGGTGAGGGAGGAGAGGAAGGGGAGGAAGAAGGGGGGAGATGTGGGGAAGGCTGACGAGGAGCGGGTGGAGCGGGAGAGGCGCAGGGAAGAACGCGAGGAGAGGAGGAGGGAGAAGGAGAGGTTGAGGGTGGAAGAGGAGAAGCGGAGGGCGTATGAGAGTGATGTGGCGGCTGAGGAGGAGGCGCGGAGACGGAAGGAGGAAAGAAGGCAGGAGGAGAGACGGAAGGCGAGGGAGCAGAGGAAGAGCGCGTATACGGATGATGAGAGGGAGAAGAGGAGAAGCGCTTATGCGGCTGAGGAAAGGGATAAGCGGGGGAGTTATACGGATGCTGAGCGCGAGGAGAGGAGACGGCGATATGAGGAGAAATATACTCCGTCGGAACGCGCCGAGCGAAAAGAGCGGAAACGACAAGGGAAGCAGCATCGCACCGAACAGAAAAAGCGGAGGCTCGTCAGCGGCCCCTTGGCTGAAGAGGGCGGCGTGGACGACGACGACGAATATCAGTACATGATGGAGAAGCGGGGCGGTGCCGGCAGCGAGACCAGAGTATACACGGAAGAGGAGCTGGCACGGCGAAAGAAGATCAAGTGCATAGTGATTGGCGTCGTGTCTGTCCTCATCATCCTCGCCATCATCATTCCAGTTGCGGTAATGATGTCTAAGAAAAACAACGACCATCCAGGCGAAAGTGTAGCTGCAGCCGGTGCTCAGAAACCTGCCAACAGCAATCTCGACGGGAAGGATCCGAATAGTGTCCCCGCGGATAAGAAAGGAACGATTTATGACCCGTGGGCTTGGTGGGATACGACGGACTTCAATGTGACTTATACCGGCGCGACTGTTGGCGGCCTCCCTATTATTGGCCTTAATTCTACCTGGGACGACGACGTCCAAGCGAACGAGAAGGTGCCGAATCTTAAAGATACGTTTGAGTATGGCAAGATGCCTATACGAGGCATCAATGTCGGCGGCTGGCTCAACATCGAGCCCTTCATCACGCCATCTTTCTTCGAGTCGTACGGCACTCGCGACAACATAGTCGACGAGTGGACACTGTGCACGAAGCTCGGGGCCCAGAAGTCTAAAGAAACATTGGAGAAGCATTATTCGGCGTTCGTCACGAAGCAAACCTTCGTCGACATCCGCAACGCTGGCTTCGATCACGTCCGCATCCCCTTCGGCTACTGGATGGTAGAAACCTATGATGGCGACCCCTACGTCTCGCAAGTATCATGGCGCTACCTCCTCCGCGGCATCGAATACGCGCGCCAAAACGGCCTCCGTGTAAACCTCGACTACCACGGCGCGCCCGGATCCCAGAACGGCTGGAACCACTCGGGCAGGCAAGGCGTCATCGGCTGGCTCAACGGCACAGACGGCGACCTCAACGCCCAGCGCTGGCTCGACATCCACCACAAGCTCTCCGTCTTCTTCGCGCAGCCCCGCTACAAGAACATCGTCACCATGTACGGCATCGTCAACGAACCGCGCATGGTCGACATGAACACCAACATCGTGCTCAACTGGACGCAAAAAGCCATCGACCAGATCCGCAAAGACAACATCACCGCCGTCCTCGTCTTCGGCGACGGCTTCCTCGGCCTGGACAACTGGCAGGGCAAGCTGCAGGGCAACGACAACCTGCTGCTGGACGTGCACCAGTACGTCATCTTCAACGTCAACCAGCTCTCGCTCAAGCACACGGACAAGCTGAATTTCGCCTGCGCGGCCTGGACCCAGCAGTCCAAACGCAGCATGGACACCACCACTGGCTTCGGCCCCACCATGTGCGGCGAGTGGTCCCAGGCCGACACAGACTGCACGCAGTACATCAACAACGTCAACACCGGCACGCGCTGGGAAGGCACCTACGACACGGGCAATGCCTCCACCAGCATCCTGACCCCGCAATGCCCGCCAAAAGACAGCACGTGCAGCTGCAGCAACGCCAACGCGGACCCCGCTAGCTACAGCGACGCATATAAGAAGTGGCTGTACCAATTCTCCGTCGCCCAGATGATCAGCTTCGAGGCCGGCTGGGGCTGGTTCTATTGGACCTGGGAGACGGAGAAGGCGACGCAGTGGAGTTGGAAACTCGGCATGAAGGCGGGCATACTGCCGAGTAAGGTGTGGGAGAGGGACTTTGATTGTCCGAGCAGTGTGTCTGATTTGGAGGATTTTGGGGAGTTGGGCTTGAGCGAGACGTATTAAGGTACCCCAGGCATGCGTGCGTTGTTGGAAGGATGAGTTGGACTAGACTTTCGCCTGCGTTATTGGCAAGGCTCGTCGCATTGTTTTGGCGTTTAGGTTTGGTGGTCTTTGATCTGTAAGTGCTTTTTTTGCGAGCATATATGGGAGGATTTGCATGTAGACACGCTTGTTTGTAGTAATCGGGAAGAAGCGCTAGTAGATAATGGGAAGCGCTCCTCGAATCCCGCGTCAATAGTTGAAGCTTCCTATCATGAGTGCTATCTTTCAACATCGATGAGATACGGCATCTTAGAACCGGGATGTAGTTCACGGCCCTCGGTATCCATTGACGCTAAGGCTTATCGATAGCGCTCCCCTAATCGCATCGCACCATCTCATGTCGAGGCCTCGCCTAGCCGCCATGCGGCCTTCCAACATCAATGAAGCGTCCTGCCACTAACGATTCTTTGAAATGAAGGACGTTGTAGCCTGGACCACCGGGGCTGAGCAGGCGCCTGTCGCTCTGCCGCGTTATTCCTCAGCCACACCAGCGGAGCATGCCGCCATGGCACTACTCGACTGCAAGCTTCGTAGCAGCGAAGCCACTCATGACCATGAAAGTCATCGGCGAAAATATATGCCGTCAGCCTCTTCGCTTGATTATGTCGTTTTGGGGACAGCGCTTGATTTGGGATAGGCGAACGCCATGTCACGTCACCCGCTCAGCCGTACGTGGGCGGCAGCGGTTTCCTATGATGATCATATAAGTCGATGCTAGGCGATGAGGATATTATGGAATTGCCGCACTGTCCCAGTTTCTCTAGACGTCTACCAGCAATTGCCTGCCGAGTAGAAGATGGACTGCGGACGAACTGATCGTGTACGATTGCTCGCATTGGGTAAGCGGTCCACAACTCCCTCAATTCTGTTGCTGACGCTTGCACAGATGGAGGGGGAATTCGCGGTCTCTCCGAGCTGTTGATACTCGAAGAGATCATGGAAAGGATCAAAGTCGAGCTCAAGTTAGACACTGTACCTCTACCCGCTGACTACTTTGACCTCATAGGAGGCACAAGCACTGGAGGGTAATTATCTTGCCCATACCTACACGGAAGATGCTAACATTGCTCTAGTCTGATCGCGATCTTACTTACTCGACTCCGGCTGTCCGCGGCCCAGGCTATTGGCGAATATGAGAGACTGGCCGAGGGCGTGTTTTCTCATAAAAAGTCGTTCCTCTTACGATCGGATGGGGTCTTCGATGCCAATAGGCTCGTGGACGCAATTAAAGATTCGATAAAGCGAGCTGGAAGAGATGAAGACGCCCTGATGTATGACGAGAAGGACACTTGCGGCCCATGCAAAGGGTTAGTATAACACGTCTCCCCGCTTAGGTCGTGCGAGTGTATTAATGTATGCAGATTCGTTTGTGCAGTAACTGCACCGAACGTCACTGCTGCAGCTGGGCCTACTCTGTTCAGAACGTATCGCGTGCCCAAGAACAACTCATACAACTGCAAAACCTGGGAAGCAGCTCGCGCTACTTCGGCCGCCACCACCGTTTTCGACCGCATTGCTATTGGACCTCCTGCCTCCAAAGTTGAGTACCTAGATGCTGGCCTTGGATACAACAATCCTATCGATCTCGTCATCGAGGAATCCGCGCTCGTCTTCGAACCCTCCGCGAGCGTCTCGTGCATTGTGAGCCTTGGGACCGGTGAGGTGGGTGCAACGGAATATGCACAGCCAAGGGGCTTGCAAAAGCTACTGCCGACGAAGTTAGTCCACGTGCTGAAGGAAATTGCAACGAATTGTGGGCGGAAGGCAGAAGAGTATGCGAAGCGTTTCTCAGGCCGCGACTTGTATTTCCGCCTCAACGTCGATACGGGCCTCGAGAAGATTCCGCTTGCCGAATGGAAGGATCTTGGCATCGTCAGGGCTCACACTCAAAACTACATGAGGATGGATCATGTCAGTCGGCAGATCGACGGAGTCGTCAAGGCACTCACCCACCCCGCCGATCCACGCTCGTCTGTGTACTCTTTGGCTGAAATAGGTAATGCTTAGGACATATATCCATCCCGATCTTGACTGATAGTCAAAGGTCTCGCCCTTGAACCAAAACGTCCTCGCTATTTCCTGTACCCGTCGTGGAGGCTTGGAGACGCCACCGTCCGCCGGGCCGACGTCTTCCAAGACATCAATATCGAACTTGCTAACATCAATCGAACTACAAATGGTTCTTCGGCGCCGAGGTGCATCGGGCTTCGAGGGATTGGAGGCAGCGGGAAATCACATATTGCTCTTGAATTTTGCCGCCGCGCCGAGCAATCCGGAGGCTACCAAGCTATTTTCTGGATTGATGCGACATCCACTCAGACGGCTCTGGTCAGTCTCGCCGCCGTCTACAAAGTTCTGTTTCCCGGTACATCTCAGAGGAATGACAATATCAGATTAGGCGAGATAAAGAATGCCATCGAGGAGTGGAAGTCCCCCTGGCTGATGGTGTTTGACGGCTTGGATAACTTTGAGGACTTCAACCGCAACATTCGCGAATATTGGCCAATGTCGCAGTTCGGCACCATTCTCGTCACGAGCCGCCACCGGGATGCGGAACTGCTGGGTGAGCCGGTCAAGGTGGACAAGCTGTCCGATGAGCAAGCCGTCAGTCTCCTCCAAGCAAAGGCTGGTGACTGGGGCAGCGGCTACACCCAAGAAGAGGCCCTCCAGGTCGTGCAAGAGCTTGATAGCCTGTGTCTTCCAATCGTGCAGGCAGCGGTTTATATTAGGCAGCATCGTCTGACTGCGGAAGGCTTCCTCACAGAGTATCATGTCCGGCAAAAGAAGATTCTCGAAACTGTCCCGAGGGCTGCGCTATGGGAATATCAGAAAAGAAAGGTGCTATCGGAAGACGAGGTACGGACAGCCCTGAGCGTGTTCACAACATGGGAACTTTCATTCCAAGATCTAACAGGCAGCAAAGACGAGCGGACATGCAAGGTGATGGCTCTGTCCCTACTAGCTTTCCTGGGAATACGGTCGCTGACTGATGCCCGCGAAATATTTGAGAAGCATGCTGCCTCTCGCACGACACATGCAGAGTGGCTTGTTATCTTCAAGGAGAGCGGCGTGTGGAGCTCCTACGCTTTCAGGGACGTAATCCACGAGTTTCGCGATCTCTCCCTCATCAACGAGGTCAACGACTCCAAGGAGAACCCCGAGATATCGATGCACAGAATCGTCCGTGACTGGATTCAGCTCCGGCTTGAGGCCTCCTCTCAACGGGCCATTACGAAAGAAGCTTGCTCTATGACCCTCAGCTGGATCGAAGACCCGCAGACGAAAGAGGGCTCCTGGAAACTCGACGAACCGTACATGTTCAAGCAACATGCGCTGATCCCAATGATCAGTTGCGTTCGCAACTGTGAGAGGTTCTTAGAACCCGGCGAGACCATCGGTCACGGCGATTTGCACGACTTTGGCGTGCTCATCTTTCAGTACTTCATCAACGAAGGCTGGTACGAAGAGACGCTCGCTCTCGCGGGACCGGCGCTTGAACTCTCGGAAAACGGGCTAGGACGCTGGAGCATCCAGACGCTTGAGCTCGTTGAAGTTCTTGCCGTGCTCCACCGAAACTTAGGACACTATGCGCAGTTCCACGAGCTGGGCCAGTGGGCTTTCGATGCTATTCACAGAGTGCCTGAGGAGCCGGGCAATATTCGTCTTCGAGCCCTGATGTGCCGCCTGTTGAGTCTCGCTGGCCAGGCTTGCGTAGAGGTGGCCAATTACAAAGGCGGGGAGTGGTGTCTCGAGACCGCTCACGAGGGACTCAAGCAGTTTCTGGGCGTGGATCATCGGAGCACATTGGAAGCGCATCTTGCCTTAGCTCGATACTATCTGGTAGCGCGAAGGCTCAACGAAGCGATGACTATCTGCGCGCTGTGCTCCGCATACTTCGACGCCACGCACCTTGGAGTAATGGGCAAGGCAAGAGCCAGACTTCTCGCAGCCGAAATCTACCTTGAAAAGAGGCATTTCGTCAAGGCATATCGTGAGCTACAGTCTCTGCGATTCCTCTGCGAAGTCTGCTACAGCCCACAGCATCCCGAGCGTCACCGTTGGCTGCATCTCCGGGGACTTGTTGAGATAAGGCGAGGAAAGTTCAAAGCTGCTGCGGAGATGTTCGAGCATGTATACCAAGTTCGAAAGCTGCATCTCGGGGCTCAACACCTTGATACCATGCAAAGCCAAACTTGGTGGGCAAGAGCGCTCATGGAGCTGGGCTCTTTCCAACAGTCCGAAAAGATCCTAGACGAAGCACAGACAACACATTCCGGGCTGCAAACATTTCCGCATTTGCTCTTCCCGTCCCCTACCCGCTTGCTCATCGAACTCCACATCATGGAGGCTTCTTCGCACCGGCGATGGGCCGAGGCATTAGTCCCAGCGAGTATGGCCATAGCCAGGTTCAGAGGCGGTCATTTACTCCTCCCGGCCTCGGAGTATCCAATGCTGCTTTGGCGCACAGCGCTTCTGACATACTTAGCGCTGGGGCCACACCCGCCCTTTGCGATAGAATTCCCCGGCATTGGAGTCTTCGAACCAGACCCGAAGACCAGCCTAGAGCTCCTCATGCGTGTAGCCGAGCGCCTCGATCTGCTCGATGATTATACGGCCCTGATACTCTTTTACTGCACCGCTCAGAACCTCTTCGCCCTTCTTGGAGACGATGCCGCCGCGAACCGGTACTCTCTTAAGCTCCTGGAGACCGCGATGCGCCAGCGCTCGTTGGGCATGCCTGATGGACCTGGTGAGGATCTTAGCCACGCTAGTGCCCTTCAACGCCCGCTCCCAAGTCCGTTCGCCACTCTCTGTAACTGGTTGATAGACGGCCCTCGCATAAGTCGCGCCTACCTCCTTCTGGGGTATGCACTGCAGAGAAACGGAGACTTCGACGCCGCGCAAACGGCCTACGAGCTTACGCCCCCGAGCTGGTACTGCGACATGTGCCCCTCTCCGGAGACGATAAACGGCCCAGTTTATATCTGCACAGCCTGCTCCGACACAGCATTGTGCATGCCATGCCACGGGATCTACCACAGCCAGGAAGCCACCGGCCACACTCTAGCGTCGCATCGCGCCCCGGCTGGCTGCCACGGCCATGCGTTCATACGGGTGCCTCGTGACGAATGGCAACGGCGCCCAGGAGCGCAGCCCGGCACGCACGAAAGCAAAGACGCGATCGACGCCTGGCTATGCCGTCTCCAAGCCCAGTATTCCGTCGCCAGCTTCGATGAGTCTGCGTCAAAGCGTCTTAATGAGTTTGAGCTCGCCGACGCGGAATACCGTGACGTGGCGGACTTACAGCCGTACGCTGCGCCGGAAATAGAGCAGGAGCTCAGGAAGGGGAGATTGGAGCGCGTCAATGGCTGGTGGCATCCGTCTGGCGAGGTGCCCCGGAGAGCGCAGGGGAACCCGGTGCTGGTTGAGCCCGGCAATCTGATTTTCGTGGGCGGTGTGGCGCTTGTGGGGGATACGGTGGATAGGGATGCGAGGGACGGGGCGGTTTTTGAGGGCTCGGCTGAGGAGTGAGGGGAAGTTGCGAGGTCTTGTACCGTGGGTGTTGTTGGAAAATGGTAGGTTTCTAATTGCCAGCTGGCTGGGGAGGAGGGGTGGATGAGGATATTATAAGTGTGTGGTACTTCAGTACGAGTGGAACAGCGAACGTGCAGCTACGTTTGACAACGGCATACGCTTGTTGAATGGCGAAATATTTCCTTCGTGATAGTCTCTCAAGGAATGCTGTCTCCTTTCTAACGAACTTCTCACCTACCAGAACTTACTCCGACCCGGACTTTCGTACCCGCCACGCGGTGGTGGATGGATGAATTTTATCAACGCGGCCACAGGCTCGAAAGAAGCCAGCCAATGAGCGAGACATATTGAGCCGAGGTGGATGGAAGTTTTGGGTGGGTGGGGGAAAGAAGGAGGAAGGGGGGCTTCGGCTCTGTTGTACATGGTGTTGACAGTCGCATCGTTTTGGCGTTTGTTTTCGAGGCGTGAATGCTTTTTTGCGAGGATATATATGAGAAGTTTTGCATGCACATTTAGGTAATGATGTAGATATCCACTGGAGATTATGCCTTTACCGTCGGGTTGAAGGGTTGCTGTGCCGTACTTCCTCATGAGCTCTCATCATTGAATTCCGATCCTCGGCCAGGCAACATCGCATCGACCCGACAGGTTGTGCGCTTATTCCATTGATCAAGAATCGCAGTCCGCTCGGCGCCTTTGTATGTGGATCGTTTGGAATTCCGTTAGAGCAGGGCAGAATGGGAGGACAGAAGGAACGGAGTAAGTGGGAATACTTCACCAATTCAAAGATTCCAGGCCCCTTGCAATATAAGCCAGAGATAGACCCACTCCCCCTAGCTCCAATTTGATTGCTCCGTTAAATAATCCTCCCGCTGTGTATGTTGAGGATAATAAAGAGTACCACGTCGTTAGCCTCTTCTTAAGGCACGCGTTTTAATAGTATCTTCCTCTAAATATCTATACGATCCATTATAACTTCTCCTCTCCACTTCCGTCCAAAGCAGTAGAATGGAATGGCCAGGAGCATTCCCAGGGAAACAAGCATAAACATGATCATATATACCTGCATCCAACCCCTCGCGGAAACCCAATCTATGGCAGTGTACAGGAATAGGAACGCGACAAGGTTTTTGAACACATTGATCGTGACTAAGCACTCGGCCGCGACCCTCGGATAGCACTCGACAACGTAGGTAATGGCGATGTTAGGAGCGTAAACTGTTCCGAATGACACTGTAACCCATTTAGGACGATAATGATCAACACGATGCGGGTGGCACTTACCCATGCCGAATCCGAATGCAATAGCAACCCAGTGCAGCTTTTCTGAGCACGCGAAGGCGATAAGAATACATCCAGCAGGCGCAATCGCGCAACCTGGAATGAGCGAGACTAATCGCTGCTCTGCGTACACGGCGCCATGCTGTCTGCGGATGACTGCCGCCGTGATGACATCGGTCGCATATCCACCAGCAAAGCAGCCAACGATGAAGCCGATTATGGCCGGAATCTGCATCAGACCCACGCCGCTACTAGAGAAGAGATAAGGCGGTGCCATGAGCAAACTCGGGAAGGCAAATCTGCGGTTGTATTAGCGACCCCTTTACAAACTTTGTATCTTCCAATTTCGGGGTCGACTTACATCATGATAATCTGAGATGCAAGGCTTGTACCATAGATGAATACAGCGAGCAAAACGCTCGGCCGAAACAACATGATGATAGGACGGACGAATACTTCCAGCATGTTGACGTCGCGGTCAACAGAGATGACGGTCTTCCAGATGCTCATCCAAGGCTTCTCCACGACGCTGACGCAGTGCCGAGACATGGCTTCTGTTCGCACGGTCTCTCCTTTCTCGGTCTCCACCTTTGCAAGATGCATGCCCGGCGTGGAGATAGGGTGCGGTGACTCTTCTGGCCGGTTGAAATTGGACTCAGGATAGAGAAGATAGATCGCCGCGGTGTTGGCGCCAGCGAGCGCGGCACACACCCATACATAGTCGACCCAGCCGCCGCGGCTGTATTGAACGATGAAAGATGCTAGAAGGGGGCCAATTGCACTGGCACTTGAGATGAGAATTGTGTATCTGAACAGTCGGTTAACGCGCGACGGGCCTAGTGAAGAAACGAATGCCAAACTTACCCTGACATCATGGCGGCGCGTTCGTGGAGAAAGAATATGTCAGAAACGACGCTTGGAACCATACTCTGCGAACGGTGTCAGCGCGGCCTCATCTTGATGCTGAGCTGCTCACCTCTCCTGCCGCAGAAGCAAAACCTGACAGGCATCTTGCAGCTAAAAGACCGTCGAACGTAGTTTCTTTTGCAGTCCAAATGAGCACAGCGAAGAGCATTAGGGTCGAGGCGAGGAGCGACGCTCGCTTGCCATACTTGACGCCAAGCGGAACCCAGATAAGATTACCAATTCCGAGAAGCAGGAAGTTGAACTAAAGGATAATCAGCGCCAGCTTTCAAACAATCTTTTGCTATCATACGTACAGTTAAGAGATTGTTGACCTCGTTCGACGTCTTGCGGAATTGCGCTTGGAGAACGGGAGTCGCAACAGAGAGGCCAGAGCCAGCAAAATTGGCCGTGAAGTTGATGAAGGCGGTGGCACCGAGTGCAGCCAGCTTCAATCCTCGAGGCCATCGTAGCGGATCTCTCTCATCTTGGGTTGGGGGTGGAATAAGTGGCAGATCATGATGCCTTGCAGCGGCTTGCATGATCACATAGGCCTGGTTGGAGTCGTTTGCTGTCATCTTGGCAGTATAGCAGCGTGACTGAAGAGGCCGCGCAGAAGGTGGAAAGCGGATCAGGAGACATTAGCGACGGAAGAGGATATTCATAAGGACAGGTTCGGGATATGCAACTCCCGCTGGAATTCCCCGCTTAAACGATTGATCAGCATGGGATGGTTACACGCGTGTCATTGGGAGTTGAGGATTGGTGCCATGTGGATATCGGGGAGATAGGAGCAGGCCGGGGAGTTAGGCACCCAACGAACAGGGACGCGCAGCCTAAGTCATATCCAGCTTTGAACCATGGAAATAAACATTTCACAGCGGAGAACCTAGAATGTCGGAGGGTATTTCCTGAATGCATCTCCCAAGTGACGTACTTTGATTTTCCTTCCGTCTAAGAGCAACCATCCCATAGCCGGATGCACACCGGAACCCGCGGAAAATTCACATTGTTATTCCAGAGGCGTGACCCCATATCGGTCGAATCATTCTGCGGGCAGAGTCCGAAGCCCGGTTCGGATTATTCCGTCTCTGCGAGCACGCGCCTTTCCTTCCTCCCCGCGAGCCGGGGCCCGAATTTCCACTGTGAACGCTTTTGTGCTTGTTTATCCCGTCGTTTCCAACATCCCAACATACTGAGCATAGTGCCTCCTTCTATAACAGCAAAACCATGCCCGTCGAAATGGATCCAACAGCCCAGGGCCAAGAAACCGTAGTCAACGGCAATGCCCCTCTTGTGAACGGTCACAAGCCGACTGAACAGACTACCGTGCATCGTCCTCTGCCCAAAGTAACGATCTCATATCCATCCCAATCACTGCGATTCCTTGAAAAGCTTGAAGATGAGGAATTATCCGGCGGTCAGACAGGTCACAGCTCAACAAGCCCAGAGCAAGCACGCCTCACACTGAACGTTGTCATTGTCGGTGCCGGCCTTGGCGGGCTTGCTCTCGCCATTGCCCTATTAAGAAGGGGACACTCAGTGCGAATCTTGGAACAAGCGCCAAAGCTTGGAGAGGTAAGTCGGGGCCCCGTGGCACTTGACATAGCTAAAAGCTGTTAGGTTGGCGCGGGTATCCAGATCCCTCCAAATTCCGGACGACTGCTCCACCGTTGGGGAGTCTTTGAGCATTTGGAAAAGTGGGTGGTCAAACCGGAAAGCGTCAACTTCCGGCGCTGGGAAAACGGCAATGTCATTGGCCATACTGCACTCGGCAAGACGTTCCAGGAAACCTACAAGGTCCCGTACTATGTGCTTCACCGTGCTCATTTCCATGAAGCCCTGCATCAACGAGCGTTGCAGTTGGGAGTAGTGGTGGAGTTAGGCTGCAGGGTCGTTCAGTACAATGAGCGTCAAGGTTCCGTTGTACTTGCGAATGGCTCTATCGTTCAAGGAGATCTAGTGGTCGCCGCTGACGGTAAGTTAAGAATTGTCTTCGTGTTTGGTATCCGTCTGCGATATTGTGGCTGAGATGCTTACCAGGAATCAACTCAATCGCTCGTAACTCTATCCATCCAGATGTCTATCACGAGCCCAAATTCAACGGATTCGCAGCATACCGAGCAACTGTGGACGTTAGGAAGATGCGAGACGATCCGGAAATTGCCTGGATCCTAGAGAAGCCTTCTCTGAACATCTGGTAAGCCCGACCAATGTTCCTCTACACGTAGACTTTGAAGTCCAAACCCCGTGGTCCGGCTTTCTAACACGTCTATATTGTAGGATTGGAGAAGATCGACATGTCATGTCATACACAATAGCCGCCGGGGACTCATTCAATATGGTCTTGTCACATATTGACCATTCGGACCCGGCCACCTGGACTCAAAAGTTTGCCAAGGAACACATTCAGGAAGAGTTCAGTGGATGGGATCCTCAGTACGTTGGCCCGTATCTTTTCTCTTGAAACAGCCGACTGACATCTTGCATGTTGACAAAGATCATCTCGCTGATCGACGAATGCATGAAGTGGCCCTTGAAAGTTGGGAAGCAGCTGACGTCCTGGACCTCTCCTTCATCCAAACTGGTGATTATGGGTGATGCAGCTCACGCTATGCTGCCGTATATGTCCCAGGGTGCTGCCATGGCAGTCGAGGATGGTGCAGCCCTTGCTGTGGCCCTGAACCACATCTCCTCTCTTGACGAGATCCCGTTCGCATTACGGTCATTTGAAAAAGAACGCATCAAGAGGAGCGGCGACATGCAGAATGCCAGCACGGTGAATGGGCTGATTTGGCATTTCCCCGATGGTTCGGAGCAAAGAGCTAGGGATGCTTCTATGGCTGCTGAGATTGCGGGCGAGCCATTCAACAGCAGCGCCAATCAGTGGAGTGATCCCGTCACTCAGTGGTGGGCGTATGGGTACGACGCTGAGAAAGAAATGAAGGAGGCTTGGGCCAGAGATGTTAGTCAATTGATTATGCAGGCCGGGCGATGGCAGTAAAGCCTCAGACCAACCCAGCGGTTCACGGTACATGGCTAGTCATTGGCAGCCGTATTAGAATGTTCTGGAGGAGTTCGTATTTATCAAGGAATAGAGTATTACACTTCTCAGAATACGCTCTGTGTGTAAGACTAAAGATCAGGATCTTTGTGCGATGTCATGAAGCTGGAGTCTGCTCCAAAGAAGTCGTCCAAATTCATGCCCATGTGCAAGTCGTCTGAGTCAAGAAAGTCAAATAAATCATGCGGGTGGGCCTCGTCCGAAGGGCGTTGCATTGAAGGTGCTCCAAGAGAGTTCGTTGACGGCTTCATCGCGGAGTTCATTTCTTGAGAACCATCTGGGTCATCTAGAGTAGCTAGTCAACTCTGTTCTTCAACCTGAGGAACGGGAGGCACCTACAGATTAGGGACAGCAAGTAAGCGAGGGAAGAAGTATATCGTACACATTTCTCCGTCATCCTATTCCCTCTGAAGAGCAGCGACAAGCATTCAATCGCCTGACGGAGGCAATCTGTTGATAGGTCAAGATCGTGGAGTACCAAAGTTTGGTTATGGACCTTCGCTTGATGCTGCACGAGAAGGGTGGAGTAAATGACCAAAGCCGCATTGAAGACTATACCACTATGAGTGTAGAACGACGCACCGCGTGCAGTGTATTCCACTCACCGTAATAAAGAGAAAACCACCAAGCACCCAGAAGATGCCGTGGAGGGTCCGGAGGACTCAATATTCCTTGCATTAATTTGATAATCATGAGCGCTGACTGGACGCAAATCCGCACGCTATTTGCACCGACTTGCCCCAGCATAGCCAGTTGCTGAGAGGTAGACTTTGAGGTGCCTAGATATTCCAGAAATTTGCAGAGTAGTGGACGATGTGTTAGAATACGGAGGTTGAGAAAGCGCATGGTGAGGATGAAGCGGTATCTAAGCGCTTCTTGGTTGATTGTTTCAGAGCGCAAAATGTCCGGCTCAACCAGGACCAAGGTTGCTGGTAAAGAACGCTGCCAGGCGAGGAACTTCTGTTCAAACTGTAGCAGATGGGAGGCAATGTCGAACACATTATCGGGAACCTCACAGCCCAAGTTGTTCCCATATAGAACGTCCACAACTTGGCCCATGATGGCATAGAGTGTACTGCGTTGGCATTAGCGGTACAGAGTGGTAAGCAAGATGCGGATCCTTACATTGTTGCTGTGTAAAATTGAACACTGTGTTCGGCAGTCGGGTCTTGGATGGGGTCGGGTCTCGAAGGGAGGAGAGACGCGAGCGCACAAGGAAGGTCTAACTTGATAAAGTTATCAGGAATGGAAGGTGGACGACCTAGAGTCATGCTCAAAGTCCTACCGCTAGTGAGAGACAGCTATTGCATAGAGTGAGCGGCCTACCGATCTAATAGAACGCACCCGAACCAAGTCCGTTTCCGAATCTCCTGCTCCAGCGGCGGATATTTTTTGAGCGCATTTGGGGAGTGCAGACCGAGCTGATACGCTGCTTTGACAGCGAGCCCATGGACATTCCACGTTTCAATCGAGCGTTCTGTACCTTGCAAATACTGGCTCATTAAGAGAAGTAACTGGACTGAAGAGGCATTTAGTGACGCAGAAGATGATGCTAGGCCCACAATGAGTACCCACCAGTTTCCAAGCTCGTGCCGTGGCGGATTTGCTTTTCACGGAGCGCCGAAGCCCGACGAAAGAAGATATTTGATTTCACAGCACGTTCAGAAGCTGTTAGCGTGCTACCGTGACTGGTGCTCGTGGACATGGCGAGGACCATGTTTAATAGACCGAGCCACGACCTCCGAACAGTGCGTATGTTTGTGGAGTTGAGTTGATGGTACGCTTGTAAAAAGCCATCCTTGTCGATATAAGGGAATAAAACCCCGGTTGTATTGAAGAAGATCTGTATCAACGGCAGTGTTTCCCTTTCTTGCGGAAGCACAAAAGGCTCAGTACCAATCGAGATGTTTTCAGAGAGATTGAATCGGCTTGGCGCAGGAGAAGGTGGGCGGGACACGTGAAGCATGTGGCTCTGTAGAGGGGCATTACCCGGCGACACTGGACTTGCAGCAGATACTGCGGGCCTGAGGGTTGCGGTCGTAGTGCGAACAATCTGGCGGATGAATGCTATATTGGATGACGGCCCTTCATGGCGTGTCAGCAATCCGCGAAGAGATACGGGAGGATGAGCTACCGAAGAATCCAGAATTCTCTTCTTCGGTGAAGACAATAGACCCAATTCCATCGGTAGAGTCGTGGGCCTCAACTGTAGTTCCCTCATCCGCATCAGAGTCCAGGGGGTTTGGGGAGAGGGTGAACCTGGACTGGTGTGCGCTTGCAGTCGTGACTGTCACATCGTCTTTGGAGCCTTCAACGCGAGTAAGCCTGCTGTTGAGTCCAGCAACAGAGCTTTCAAGGGTTGCTAAGCGGGAATCGAGCGCTTCCAACAGCCTGCACCGCAACAATCATAAGCAAACCGCTCGACAAGGACGGAATGACGACTGACTCTTTGGACACAGACGTCTTCGTCAGTGACGGTGTATCCGAGTATACACAGTCATAGCCGTGGTAGCTACATGTAGAGCACTTTGGTCTCGTCCCGTCACACTAGCAGAGCCACGAAACGTCAGCTCGGTATACAAATTGGAAGGACCTGGTACTCTAAGATACACCTAGAACTAAGGCCGAGCGGCGTCTCCAGGTCTCCATGCTGCGGGACACGCCAAGCAGGGGGACTTACACGAGACTTGCGCTGTCTGCACCAGGTACAGGCGACTGTGATTCTGTTCCGCTTTGCCGGCCTGGCATCGGCGGCATCAGCCGAGCTCATGCCGGGGAGTTAGAGATGCAGTTGACGGGAAAGGATTGCGATAAGATGGGGGTTGGCGAAACGGGGATTTAATACCTGTGGACCTACGAGGTAGTGCGGGGCCATCCGCCTTACCCGATGCGGCCCAGTCGCCGGTCCTGCGGATTTGGACCCCTTAACTCCCCGGGGGGGCTCCCTCTCGACAAACTCGTCCATGCCGTTGCTGAAAGGATGTCGGAACTTCTCACTTCGCAGGAAGCTGCCTGCAAGCAAGGTCTTCTCCCGGACGGCATCTCGGCAGCAGAACTGGGTCCGTGGATCTCAAGACTCAACATAAGACAGCACGCAACTGTGTCTTCGCACGCCAGACATTTGCTTCACCCTCTTTCAGAAACGTCATCATGAGTTCCACCACGAACATCGCTAGTCAGAATGGGGCGGCTGCGCAGGGAGGCTACCAGCAAGCGACCGAGCAGCTGTTGCAGACGGCCGAGGACTATCACACAAAGCCCCTATGGGTGCAGATGAATCGGCTCAATCCTCCTCTACCGAATCCGAAGTGCCAACCGCACGTCTGGCGGTACGAGAAGATCCGGCCCAGTCTGCTCCAAGCTGGCGAGCTTGTTACCGACAAGCAAGCAGAACGCCGCGTGTTGATGCTCGTGAACCCAACTCGAGGTATTAAACCCGCTCCATCATATCCGAGCAACACTGACGTTTCGTGCAGAGGCGCCCTTCACCACCGACACAATTTACGCTGGGCTTCAGCTGGTAATGCCCAACGAAACCGCACCGGCTCATCGCCACACTGCGTTTGCCTGCCGCTTTATTATCGAGGGTAGTGGCGGCTTTACCGCAGTACATGGCCGCCGTATTAAGATGCAGCGCGGCGACGTTATCTCAACGCCTCCTTGGAACTGGCACGATCACGGCAAAGATGGCTCCGGACCAATGATTTGGCTTGACGGCCTTGATCTGCCGAACTTTGTTCACTACCCTGTTCATTTCGTGGAGCACTATGCAGACCCACGATATCCAGCCAAGGACATAGACACTTCAGCCTCACCAATAGTCTTCCCATGGTCACGGATGAAAGCCCAACTTGATGCCGGCAGCGGAGATAGCACCACAGAACGCTATCTGAGAGGTGGCCAACACGAGAGTAGGTCATGGTGCCCTTTTGACTCAGACAATGCTGACCAAGCCCAGTAAGCCGTACGTTAGGTGCTGCTGCCACCCGCATCTCCGCTGGAAAATCAACTCCAGTGATCCAGGAGACAGCTTCCTCCATTTTCCACGTTATCGAGGGTTCTGGAAGCTCCACAATCGCTGGAAACGAATTCACCTGGAAGAAAAGTGATACGTTCTGCATTCCCGCATGGCATGAGTACCAACACCATGCAGCCGGTGAAGAGACGGCGTATCTGTACAGAGTGCATGACGAGCCTATGCTAAAGTCGCTTGGTTTTTACCGCTACAATGGCCAAGATGTGGAGTCATTGGTGTCCGAGTAGGTGGTTGAGCCCGATGTATTAATATTCATGAATGAATGGCGTTGCCCTTTTGACAAGATTCTTTTACAATGGAATCGGCATACACAGCTTACTGCTTCATGAAGCATATGTCCTTTCCAGCAACTGCCATAGACCTCAACGTCGATGATGACTGAACTTCTCCACGTTAACTCGCTTTCTTATTAATTGTACTTTAGACCTTGCACTCATGATCAGGATTAGTGATTGCGCTCCAATTTGCATTATGGACTTCTACATCTAATGCCATTTTGGTTATTCTACTAGGTCAGGTGCCTCAAACGAACTTGACTCCGTTCCTCAAGGTACCAATCTTGCTTATCGAAACCTCCATGACCGTGCCCGGGGTAAGGTAATTCGGGGGCTTCAAGCCAGCTCCAACGCCGCCAGGTGTCCCCGTCATGATCACTGAGCCCTTCCGCAGCGTCGTGCCTTGGGAGAGGTAGTGTACTAGATACGCACAATCGAAAAGCAAATCGTTCACGTATTCCTTCTGCCTCACTTCCCCGTCCACAATCGTCTGCAACAACAGTTCCTTTGGATCCCCAATCAGCTCAGAGGCGATGAGCGCAGGGCCAATGGGAGCAAACGTGTCGAACCCCTTGGAGAATCCCCATTGCGGTACCACGCCTGCCAGCCTGGGATCGCGCTGCAACTTGCGAGCAGAAACGTCATTGCCAACGGTGTAAGCCGCCACATAGTCCAGCGCCTCTCCAAGGGTGACATTCTTCGCGTCCTTGCCAATTACCAACACCAGCTCGCCTTCATAGTCTGCTTGATCGTCCTGGGCGATTTCAGGAATCTCAACATCTGCATCATGATCGTGGATGCAGGTCGTGGGTTTGAAGAAAATAAATGGAAATGGAGGCGGCGTACGGCCAGCCTCTCTGACTTTGAGAACATTAGCAAAATGTAAAGTTGTTCGCAGGTAACTTGAACCTACCGTGTTTGGCATAGTTCAGACCGACACAGCGCAGGATGTCCACGTCCTCTGCCGAAAGTGGTCCAAGGAGCCTCTTGACAGTAACGACCTCGTCAGAAACGTTTGTCTTCCCAGTAATATCGTATAAATCGTCACCAACAATGACCTTCGCTTGTAATTTGGTCTCTTCTGTCGTCTTGCCCAGGTCGAACTCTGGACTAGGGAGGATGGGCTCTCCGCGCAGGATGCGACCATCAGTCGCGATAAAGCGAATCAATCTGGTCCATGCAACTCGCATCTTGATCAGCTGTATGAAGAATGCAATTACAGCACAGAACCCTCGCAGATCATACATTGTAAGTGTCATACTGTTGCTTCAAATACCGCTAGGCGCTTGCAGCCGGCTATCAGGCCCGGCGGATGGAATGTCCCGAAGGTCGGCACGGCCTCCCACTCTTGACCATAGCAAGCTAACAAAGGCCGTTTCTGGAGAGGCAACCCGAAAGACTGTAGTGTAAGCACCGGTACTTTATTGTCAGAATTCTCCCCAATCTGGACGAATTCAAAGGCACCTTCACAACAACTAAAGAATCCCTTGGGGGTTGTTCTTACAATTGCGCCTTGGAACGCGCCACTACTTCTCAGGCTTTGAGCTGTTGTAGTTTAAAACCTTATGGACAACAAAGTTTGCCGACCAATCTCGCGTCGCAGGGCTCAGAGATCAGCCCAAGAACACATTTCCTGGTCGCAAAATTTGCCGTTTTTGAGCCATATTGTCTCCCTCGTTCCATCTCCGATCGGACTATCGTGCGACTTGACATGTGCTGCACCAGGGCGGGTTCTTCCGCTCGGCCGGAAAGGACGGATCTGCCGTCGGGGACTTAGTCTCCTACCCCGGAGGAAGGTCGTTCCACTCACCACATCACATTATGCAGCTACTCCGCGTGTTAAAATGTATCAGGAGCAAAAGGATCGCCAATCCTTCTGCTCTTTCAGTCATGACGCCTTATATATCCGCTAACAAAATGCGACCCCACTAGGTTTTCAGATTGCGGCTCGACATGAGATTTCCTGTTTTCTGTTGCAAAGGCGCTCCTCGCAGAGAAAAAATGACGACCAGACTTCGCCTACTACTAAAATGGCCGCCTATTTCAGAGCGACGCAGGCGCGGAGCGCGTTTCCAGAGCTACCGCAGTTCTTGGAGTTCATGAAGCCATGTCGCTTCGACGCGTAGATACAGAAGGGCGAAATTCCCCTGGGGAGATCGAGGGCACATTTTATCGGGTCATGCCAGACCCTCAGCTACCCTTTTTCGTTGAAGATGATCTGGTAAACAAGCTTTCTGAGCAATCTTCATCGGGGGGACTTAGAATTCGCTAACGCAATGACCACAGTGGTTCAATGGTGACGGCAACATCAGCGCATTCTGAATAAAGACGGGCATTGCCACTTCAAGCAGCGTTATGTGAGGATAGAAATTTGTGAGGGAGAGGGAAGCAAAGAGGGCGTTGATTGGTATATCTCCTCCACAGGTTGATGCTTGACCTAATCTTATATGCTATTGTACGTAAATATCGCAACAAGTTCACGGATGCTGTCGAGTTCAAGGTTCACAGCACCGCCAACACCAACGTTCTTTACTTCAACGGCCGTCGCCGAGCTGCAAAGAAGACTCGCCTCCCTATTCGCTAGATTTAGAGATGCTTGAGACTACTGGGCTGGATGATTTTAACGGACAATTGCTCTGCGTGACGATTACAGCTCACCCGAAACTCGACGATGAAACTATGGAGCTTCTCTGCTGTGGCTACGAAGCTAAGGGCGATGGTACTCCTAATGTGTGCTACTTCTCTATTAATTGCGCTGGAAAGTTCACCGAGACTGTCTGGCTTGTTGCCCCTATTGTGGCGATGATTCACGACTTTGCCATCACGAAGGACTGGGTATGTTCATACCTCGTTACGTACTGTCTAAGAATCAAATCTAACACTCCTAGGTGCTATTCCCTATCATTCCACAAACACGAGATCTCGAGCATGAAGCGAGGTGAGCACTAGCAATGGGATCCCAACGTCCCATTCTGTCTCGGTGTCCTCCACCGCCGTGGCGCATCTGGTTCAGACGTCCAATTGTTCCGCGCCCCGAATGCTTTCCCAGGCCGTACCGTCAACGCTTATGAAGACGGCTCGGGTGATCTAGTCTTCGACCTGCCATTCTCCGATAGGAATGTGTTCTTTTAGTGGCCAGATGCGAACGGTAATGTGTCCAAGCCCGAGGAGGTCTCAGCAAAACTCGTCCGCTTCACATTCGACCCTCGTTCCGCGAATCTTGAACTTCCCGAGCCTGAGATCGTCAGCAATGAAGACTGCGAATTCTCCCGGATTGATGACAGACTTGCTTGGGAGAAACATGCGCATTCTTGCTTCCATTTGATGGATCCGCGTGTGGGAGCTGACTTCCCCACGATCGTACCCAAAATGGGCGGTGGGCACCCGCCATACAATTCTTCGGGGCATCTGGATTACAAGTCTAAGAAGATTTAGAAGTACTTCCCTGGTCCGCCGCATCTGGTTCAAGAGCCGATTTTTATTACAAGGAAAGGCGCAAACAATGCAGAAGGAGACTGTGGGGGTGGCGCTCGTCAACAACTATGCGTCGATGACCAGCGAGCTCCACATCGTGGATACTAGGAACTTTAAGAAGCTGCAAGCGGTCATTGAGCTGCCCATTCGATTAAGGGCGTGTTTGCACGGAAATTGGGTTGATGCTCAGGATGTGCAACTTTCGTAGTTACTACTAGTAAAGAAGCTATAATATATAACTACACTTTAAACCTACCACTACCTAAGAAGTTACCTCTAGACTATAGTGCGTGCCACCAAGAGACCAAGTTTTATTTACGATGCCACTACGTACCACAGGGTCGAAAGAAGCCAGCCAAGACCGGACGATGCCCTTTAACGCCAACTATCCCCCACCGCAGCCGCGCTCCGACAACCCCCCGGCACCGTAAACTCCCGATTCGGATCGCTCTCCCACACCACACCGCCCCCGGCATCCTTCCGGATATACTTATACTCCACGCTCGTCCCCGGCGCCAGCACCACGCTGCCATACCAGAGCGGCATATCACTTCTGTACCTATCCGCGCTCAGCAGCACCGCGCTCGCCGTGTCCCAGCCCCCCAGCTGCGCAACCGAGCCCACGACGTAGATGTCCTGCCCCGGGGTCGTCGGCGCGAGCACGTTGAACGTGGTTTGCACGCTAGAGGCGGGCGTGCAGGGGAAGCTGGGCCAGGATGTGTCAGTTGCCGGGGTGTAGGAGCCGGAGGAGGAGGAGGATGGGCTGCAGACTGTGGGGAGGGTGTTCGCGGCTGCGGCGCCCCAGGATGCGGGGAGGCTGGTGTTGGAGCGCGCGGAGGCCATGGTTAGGAAGGCGGCGTAGGACCAGGTTAGGTCGGCGGCTGAGAGGGGGGAGCCTGTGCTTTTGTCGAATTGCTCAGCGAGGGCGCCGGAAGAGGGTGTGTATTTTTGCACGAGGGCGGTGTAGCCGTCGGCGTAGGATGTGAGAGCTGAGGTGAGGGCGGAGAATGTCGAGGACGAGGAAGCGTACGTCCCGGTTGCGGCGGCGGAGTAGATGGCTTTCCAGAAGGGGAGCGAGGTAGATGTTATGGTTATGGAGCCTGCTTTGGTGATTTGGTGGAGGGCGGAGTAGAGTTGCTCGGCTGCGGCTAGGGTGGCGAGGTACCAGGGGTTTCCTGTTGCTTCCGCGTTAGGGGGTGATGGATGGACGGGTATGTTATGAGCGAAGACGGGGAGAATGCTTACCGTTGAAGTACACATCCTCTGGATACCGTCCCACCGCCACAGCCTCGCCAGCAGCAATCCCATTATTAGTACCATACACCGTGCGAAACGAGTCCGTCACGACTTTATGGTTGGCCAGCATCCTTGGCGAGCAAGGCTGGAACGTGACATCGTCGCAGCCAGCACTAGGATCAAAAGTCTGGATACTCGCCAATATCGCATTCACGTCCTTCCCACTCCTCCCAATATTCGTGTTGATATTCGCAACGACGAACTGCCCATTCCAGTATTGCTGCAGGAAGCAACGCACCTGGGGCGCCTGCGCGTCGCAGTTCGCACAGCTCGATCCGACGGCGCTCGCGAACGCGCTGCCTTCGACGAGCGCGCGGTGCTGCGCCGCGGTCGTGAAGAAACTAGAGCCCTGGACTTCCTCCCACAGGTCGAAGCCGGTTTGGTTCCAGTACTGCGCGACGTATTGCAGGTCGTTGCGGACAATGGGCCAGACGATGTTGGTAGCTGCGGAGCTATAGCCGTTCGAGAGAAGCCAGCGGCCGTATGCGATGAGTGCTGTAGCGCGTAGGGCCGGACCGTCTCTTTGCGGGCGTCCCCAGTCTCCTGTGAAAGCTGTCCCGTCAGGGTTGAACTTGGGCTCTCCGAGGCCGGCGCCGTTGGAAAGAACGCCGGAGGGGTTGGAGACGGTTTGCAGTTTGGCCTGCGCGGAGATGTAGTCGTTGATTTCGAGTTGCAGGTTTGTGTCTCCCGAGGCGATGAAGCGGTCTACCAATGTCTTGAAGACTAGTGCCGAATCGCGCGTCCAGATGTAGAAGTCTTAGATGTTAGAACGATTCCGGGCGTGATGGATCCACTTACAGTCTGGGTTCGTAGTGGACGGGCTAGCCAGCACCAAGCCAGTACCCGCTCCATACGATTTGGCTCCCGTAGATCCAATGTTCGCGAGGATGCCAGCCAGGGCAGTGGATGTCTCGTTTGCTATCCAGTCGTCGAGCGCTGCCCGTTTATTGAACGCAACTGAAGCTGGAATGCCATAGGCAGAGGGAAGAAGCGAGCTAGCCGCGGAAAGGAACAGGAGAACACCTTTGAGCATCATGGTGATGGAAAAGACAGCGACGCGAGCAATGAAGGGGGTTGCTTGCTACACAATACATAGTAAGGTGGACTAAGAAACCGTAATCTCATATACAAACAGAGCCCTAGAGAACCAACCATAGCGTGAATGCGCACCGACATAGGACCAACCATCGCGCGACGGCGCACCGAGGCCGCTACTCCAATCGCCCGGGAATTAATTAAACATCCGTCCATTGTAGTCTGGTGACCGGGCTTGCGGTAAAGCGCAGCTTCGACAGCTTCCACTGGCATGCGGAGTCGAACGGCATTGGACCCGAATTAGGAAGGTTCAGGAGACCGTGTCACATGCGGAGCAAGGGCTTTGAACACGAGCTGCGACATTTGGGAGAAAGTAGGCCCGGGGCAAGATGAAATGAGGTTGACGTGAAGGCTAATGAGAACGAAAAGAAGAGGTGATGGAAGAGGCGTCGGGTAGCTCTTTGGCGCTAAGGGGTGCCTGAATGCTGATTGGTGCACGACCAAGATGAGAGGTACCTGGGTACCAGCGTTGCCGCGTGCCACAGGCAGGAGTCGTGACTTTTACAAATAAATAAGCGCTGTTCGCCTGCATTTTGACGTGGTTGTATTCTGACTTTCATTTCTGTGGGGAGGCGAAGCGTCGTCAACGAGCAGGACCCACCGCACAGCGACCCGACGGGCCCAATCCCCCATGTGGAGCGGTGGGTTGTCCACTCGTGCAACCCAGGTGCCTCCCGGGTCGTTCGACTAGAGTGCTGATATATGGCCGGCATGGGGGTCTTGCTTTGAGCGTCGCCGTGTCCGAACGATATTCTTCCACCGTTTGGGCCCCGACGAGGTTTTGACCTGACGAAAGCTCCCATATCCAAGGAATGCCGATGGCGTTGGAAATTCGAACACTGCCCTATACTACCGAAGGACAATTTCGAAACCACATGCTGCACGATGATGAGGAAGTACGAGGACCCTGGAGATAGTTGAAGCGGCATCGGACAGGCAACGTTGATGATTCCGTCCGGTGGGACCCGGCCCGGCAGAGCGGTAAGGGCGCAGCCGAAGAGGATGCAAAGTTATAGCTCCTAGTCTACCGATAGGTGTCTCTGACGACAACATGCGCTTCAGAGGGGAGCTCGGTGGGCTGATTGTTCGGCTTGGGCTTCTATATGTCAGTACCAGTGTGAAGGTACGCGAACATAGCGTACTCACCGGCGCAGTGTACCCATCCAGCTGCTGCACTCTTGGGACTTCATTCACATCCGCCTGGAGCTCCACTGTCTGGTACGGAACCGGATCTCCCACCTGATTATCCTGCGGCAGCTCGTGGAGACCACCATTGCCCGACTCGGTATCCTCCAACACCCTGTATTCGTGTCTTGCCGCCGGTTTCGTCGCTTCCATCTGGCGTTGGCGTTTCCGTCTCTGCGCCTTGTTCTTCCAGATGAGGATGAGGACTACAGCCGCGAAAATGATGCCAATTACGATAAGGACGAGTACTATTATGAAGATGATTCCTCCGATAGTGGTTCCTGTCGACGTTGCCCTGGCAAGAAGATTGGAGGGTCTGGGTATGGGACGCGCGAGAGCGGAGAAGTCGATGGCGGCACCGGGGTGCACTACGATTCCTATGTAAAAGAGTCAGCTTGCTTTCCACGATACCTATTCGATAAGGTACATACCATGCCGTGGAGACATTATTGGCTAGCGGAGGGTTTTCGGGAATATCTCTGGGTGTTGCGCGAGCGAAGTGATGTGCTATTCGATCCGGTGCGAAGCCAGATAAGTTGAAGATTGCTGCGCCGTTCTCAGGATATGCGCATGTCTTTAAGCGTAGTGGGCCCTGACGATTGATGAAACGCCGGACGAGTTCCTGGTTAGCAGGGATGATGGCAACACTGAACCCCCGCCATCGAACCCAACTCAACCACTCTCGGCATTGCTCTCCGCTCAGAGGGTTTTGAATGTTGATGAAAGTATTATTATAATTGGATCCAGGGAAGGACACCAGCCGTACCTAGTTGGTTTAATTCCAGCTTGCACCGCCGTTGCCCAGTTGCGATGAGCTATGGTGGGGGCCGAATCTGATACCAAGATTAGCAGCTCGGTCGATCAACGAGGCTGACGAGGCTGATTTAATAGTCCAACGCGCCGGCTTCTGTATTCTCTCCAGGCCTCTTTAAACGACTTTGCATCACGTCATGTCCAATGCGGAACCGTGCGGGCGCAGGTTACTCTTTCGTAGTCTTCCTTTTGCGCAGCGGGCTATGGGTTTGATCCCTTTAAAGGTGTTATCAAGCTTCCCATTCCATATTTCTTTGCGTCATACCTCGTTGCCCTCCAAGCGATGCACTGGATTGTGTCCGGGTTGCAGGTTAGGCCGTCCGTCCAGAGCTTCTCCGCCATCTGCGTCCGTCGGAAGCTGCAATACGCCGTTGTCGCTTTCCTCAGCCCTATCCGCTAGTTCAATATCCGAGGCCAGCAGCTTGTATCCAGAGGAGGTTAGAAAGATCTGTTGATTGTGTCGAAAGCGTAGCTTGTTCTTAAAGATGAGGACGCCGACGATCGCCATGAAAAGAAAGTAGATGGAAAGTATAGTGGCTAGTGCGATGATGCGTGAAGATTTCGTGTTCATTTTGGTGATTGTGGGGAGGGAAGGCCAAGGAAATCAAGAGAGATGATAGAGAATGCTTTCGATGGTATCAGTAAGGAGAAGAGATTCCTTGGAGAGAGGCTTCGATAGAGCGGCATATCAACACACTGTGCCTCCAAGTAAGGGAGGCGGTGCCTGTCACGGAGTTCGTATCTGACGAGAATAAAAGGCTAAGCTTCACATACTCCGCGAAGGCGTATCGTGGGGAGATCTCATTGGAGATGTTGCTGCAGGTCTGGGGCCGCCATTGCGGCACAGCTCTAGGCACCCACAGGAAGTACGAAACACAGCAGGAAACGACAAAACATAGGACTGAAGTACTTAGAGCCCGGAGTAGAAAGGCTTGCAGAATCCAAAACAGATGTGTATCATGGCGTGGCGGGGATGAGGCACCTCCGGGCTGACGCGGGGCGGAAACAGAGAAGTACCCACGAGTCATGCCACTAGCTTATGTCATGGTCATGACTCGAGCTAGCCGTATGCATCACCAACCTCAAATCGCCGTTTCCAGGCAACACCAGAACTGCACTCTGCTACCATGGAGCTCAACCTCACTCACGCGAGTGACCACGAGGACTTCCGCTTCAACGGATGCATATACAACTCTCCAACGCTCTCGCACCCGCTCGTCTGCGCATCGCGCCATGCTCCCAAGAACACCGATGCGCTGCTACGCCCGTACCTCTACTCTTCCACCCTTCCTACCGAGCTAGAGCACTCCATGAAAGAATATGTATCCACGATCATCACTCCCGGCTTCTACGGCGGCGGAATCCGAAGCAGACCCCGTTGGTTCTACGCCAACTGTGCCGTCTTCGGAATGCTGCTAGGCCGCGCTTTTGCGCTCTTGGGTACGCCCACGCGACCGCCTAGATCACTAGATGACTCCGGAGATTTCCCCTTTACGAAGCTGCCGGCCGAGTTGCGGCTGCAGATATACGCATACTACAAAGAGGATTTGGCCCAGAGGCAGAGATATTGGGAGGTCATGACGAGGGTCTTCATCAAGGCACTGTGGTCGGGGAGTGAGCCAGAGGAAGGCTCGCGATACGTCACCGGCATCATAATGCTCAGCTGTGGCCACGCCATGTCGCTCTGCGCTCCGCTGCTGCGCGGCCGTGGATCGCGCTACGTCTGGTGGGATGACTGCATCAAGGACCTGGATCACACGTGGGGCTGGTCCGAACTGCAGGATGCTGTCTTTGGCACAAAGGACCTTCCGCGGCATAACACAGACACTCTCGAGCTGTACAAGTACGCGGTGGAAGTCGGTGAGACGGCATGGCGCAACAACCTCGAGTACGTGTCGAAAGAAGTGCTGGACGTGCTGGACCTGGCAAGGGAGCATCTGCAAGCCGATGAACGGGACTGGACACCCCCAGAGATCGAGGCGAGGCTGATGAGCGGGCTGTTTGAAAATGACGAGGCGAGGAAGATATGGGAGCCCACAGGGCTGGTGCCGAGGGCTTTCGAGCAGAAGTTCGCCATGGAGAAAACGAGTATGGAGCCCTTCTAATCCGCCTCTATGCATATCTTCAACTTTCTATCTTCGGCTTCGGTCTATAAGCAAGCCCGTCCGGACGTTCTGCTTCTAGGCCGAATCCTTGAATTGGTCCGCGGGAAGGCCGGAAACATTCCGTATGCATTTCTAAGGCCGGCATGACACCTATCCGGGCTCCTCAGGGTTAGACTTCCTACGATCATTCGCTATTAATGCTTCGAGAACGAAATGCTTATGCTAGAAGAATGCGGGGCAGTAAGCAGGGCTGGGTTTGCTAGCGAGACCACAAAAACACAGACAGCACGAGACAATCAGCTGGAAATTCGACGCTTGAAAGAAGCAGAGCAAAGTTTGATAGATGAGGCCTAGTGCAGCCAACGAGGTACTGGGGAGGGAATGCCCCGCGCTGTTTAGCTTGCAGCGAGGCCCCCAGCAGCGTTCACCCAGAAAACGTATAAAGCCTTCTCTGTTTACTCCATCAGATCCAACAACCCAATACACCCAGAAGACCTCTATACCAAACCTGCTCCAAGTCAAATTCAACAGCTACACCACGCAAAATGTCCACAATCCCCTCCCTCTCCTCCCTCCCCTCCAACCCCAAAGTCATCTCCCCCACCACCCTCGCCCACGTCGTCCTCCAAACGCCGCAGCTAGAAAAAATGCGCCACTTCTACACCACCTTCCTCGGCGGCCACGTCGTCCACTCCGCCCCCTTCCTGGTCTTCATAACCTACGACGAAGAACACCACCGCATCGCCCTGCTCTCCCAGCCGCACATCACCGCCAAAGCCCCCTCCACCGCCGGCCTACACCACATCGCCTTCACCTTCCCCAACCTCTCCGCCCTGCTCACGGCCTACATGCAGCGCAAGAAGCATGGCATCGAGCCGGCCTGGTGTGTTAATCATGGCCCGACGAGCAGCATTTATTACAAAGATCCTGATGGCAATTCGATTGAGACGCAGGTGGATAATTTCGAGAGGGTGGAGGATGCCACGGAGTATATGAAGGGTCCGGCGTTTGAGAAGAATCCGATAGGTGTGGCGTTTGTGCCTGAGGAGTGGATTGAGCGGTTGCGCAATGGGGAGAGCGAAGAGGCGTTGATGCAGAGGGATGATAAGGATTTGGAGAGGACACTCCTGGAGGGGGATGTGATTGTGTGATTTAATGGGAGGTTTTGTAGCGCGGAGGAGAAATTTGAGAGCCGTTTTCTACGTGCTTGGTGCTGGCGCTTCTGGCTCTCTACTGTATGCGACTCTGTGGTGCATTGTTAGCAATTGCCCTCGTTCTAGACTTGCAGAGGACGAAGGGGGACTCATGGAGGCCGATAGGCATGAGCATCCCCATCCTTCAACTCACTCCCAATCTTCGCCAGCAAAGCATCTAACTCCTCTAGCATCCACCCGCATAAAACGAAGCCAGTCTCAAACTTCCGCTCTCAATACCTTCCAACATAGCACTTCCAGAGTAGTTAAAGTATAGTAGTGCACCTCAAACTTCCGGAAAGCTTGCTCAGGCACTCTCTCCCAGCCCCATATCCATACATCCAGCCTTTCACAGTCCTTCTACAGCCCGAGTCACAGAAGCCCTCAAACAGAGAAAAAAAAAAAAGAACCAAGACCGACGCTCCAGCGACAGTCAAAAATGCAAAAAAGAAACCCGCAATAATCACACAGGAAACAACTCCTAGAGCCAGCCCTGCCAACCTGGTTTTGTTAACGGCGCTTATATTGGATTTCTTTGTTTGGATTGCAGGATATTGAGATATATATACGCGAAATATTTTAGTTGTGTCAGCGAGTGTGAGGGGGCGCGCCCCGCGAAACGCCTGCTATGTCGGGGATTGCTCTGCGTTGTCGATTTTGAGTTTGAGGGTTCGGTTGGGACTTTTCTTGGCTGTATGGGGCTCAGGGCGTGTTACTCGGGTGGATGTAAGGAGGGGGATTTGTGGCGATGGGTGAGCATGATGAGCACCTGCTCGCGGCTCCGAGAACCCTTCTCCTGCGTCTATGGCCGAGATACCAGACCCAGTTCCGATATCGAGGATTTGCTGCAGGTCTTTTACTGGAGCGAAGTAGGACTTTCCGCCCACTACTTGGCTTAGGGAAGCGTATTTAATGTCTGGTCTGGGATGCTCTGCGGCTATGCAGCGAACGTTGGGGAGTGATGTCGCTTACCAATCTTGCTCTTCGTCGTCGTCTGGCAACATGTATTCTGCGTCAAATGGTCAGTGTCAATTGGGTGATTGATGATTTTCTTGCTTGTCTTACGTCTACTCCGATACTAAACGAGATCCAGTCAATCAACGGAGGCGCGACGAGAAAGCGATAAGATAGACGTGCCCATTCTCATCGTGCCCATTCCCACAGTGTCCAGCGAGGATGCAGGGTGTGACGGATGCAGTCAATCTCGAGCACTCTGGGCAAGAAGTTCAGTAGCTGCTTTCCATGCTTCCAAACCGAGAGATATCGCCGGGCCATTTGGAGCAGGAGACTTCAAATCCTCGCAGCACATCGGATTACCCGGCTTCCTCCAAAACACATCCATAGAGGGAGACCGAACCTGGATGAGACACTTGCAGAGGACACGAAGAGGGAAAAACTATACACCGAATCCCCCACCGCCGATTGAACTCGCTCACTACGCTGTACGAACGCATCGGCTAAACTCCTCCCTCCCCCCGCCGAACAGTTGCTATACCTCGAAGTACATTCCGCATCGAGATTCGTGCCGTGTTGCAGGGTGGCCGAGCCCAGCGATTCTCGGACGATCGTCTACGGATAGATCCGAGGGGAATGGAATAGGTATAAAGCAGCGAGTGTCCCGGCATGTAGGCGCACGCAACAGCATCCTCAAAACATCTTACCGCGCACAGACATGCCGGTAGAAAAAAAACAATAAAACAAGCAAGCAAAGTTGCTCATCCGACCCAGATTCTCCCAAACCAGCTCCAAAGCTTCATTCATATCCCGCCCTCCCTCCCTCCCCGGTAATCTACGCAGCTTCCCCCTCCCTCCTCTTTCCTCGCCTGATGCATCCCCATCTTCACCATGGGACTCGCCATCAACGTCTCCCAGTTGTGAATGAACATCGTCTGCTTGAGGCTAATCCACATCTCCAGCGTGCCTCGTTCCAGCACCTCCGCATCATACGCGTCGACCGCCTCAGCCAGGCTCTTCCCGCCACTGGCAGCCGCTACCATCGCAGCGACGAAGTGCGACGAATCCTGCAGCGCATTGTTGAGCCCCTGGCCGCGATCTATCCTCGCATCAACACATGTGACAAACACACTGCGTAGGAGCCGCGTAGGATGGGGGACTCACGGGGCGTCATAGGATGCGCCGCATCGCTGCAAAGCGTCATGCGTCCCGCTCTGTTGTCCCACTTCCGCGCCCTTTCCCAGTACCTCCCTGCGTCCAGCGGGATCCGGGTGTCGCGTTTGACCCAGCGTCCTGCGCTCCGCCACGGCTCGGCCCACTCCTCCGCGCGCGTCTTGAAGAACGCCATTCTGCCTTGGTGATTGTTGGCGGACGCCGGGAGCGGGTTGTTGAGCCAGGACATGAGGAGCTGGAAGGTCCAGGTCGAGGGGTCGGACGGGTCCGGCACGTCTTGGACTACTCAGGGGAGTCTGTCAGTGGTGGACGACTCTGCGAGCTGGAGATGACATTCACGTCATGAAGCGGAAGCTTACTCGAAATCCAGAACACGGTCCCGTGGTCGGGATGGATGCTCGTGATACACAAGGGATTCTTCGCCCTCAGCGCCAGCGCCTGCGCAATTGAACATGCTGAGCGGCACTTCCGTCAGCCGCGCTGCTTCCTCGCCAACGACGCATTCCCTAACCCTGCTCCGCGCGCCATCAGCCCCAACAACGACATCGCCCACCGCACTCGTCCCGTCTTTGAAGCACAGCTTGACCTTGCCTTCCTCATCGCCCTCCTCTACTAACGCGACGCCGTCCGCCTCCTTCCCGTACCGCACATCGATCCCCTCCATAAACAGAATCCGCAGCTTCTTCCTCGAAACGCGACACGGATTCTCGGCCTCCATCTCCACAACCAGCTCGCCAGTCTTGCCGTTGTAGACCGGTAGGCCCGTCGTAGCATCCGGCGTCAAGCTCGGGTCCGCGTACGTCTCCGGCAAGCGATCCAGGAGATGTTGCGGGAGAGACAGTGCGCGATATGCGAAGAGCCCCCGTGCAGCGTCATGCCCCACTCGCGCGGGCGCGTCTGGTACGCAGTGCTAGTTTCCGCTTCGAAGATTGCGACCTGGCGGCGATTAGCTGATCGGGTAGAATGAATTGAGGGGGGGTAAACAAGGGGGGGGGGGATTTGTATCGTAGTACAGTACCTTTTTTAGACCCTGGGCAATGAGCAGCCCTGACGTGCCTGCATTTCAAGTCCGCTTAGCGTCCCGAGGGACATGTCGCCTTGTTGTGACTTACCGGCTCCTACGATGAGGGTGTGTATGTTCCCTTTCTGCGCCATTGCGAGTCGTGGCGTCTGCTGGTGGCGGACCGAGCAGCTGTTAGGCGTTTATAGTTAAAAACAACGCAATGGAGGGGCAGGATGAGCCGATAGGTACGACAAGCAGTGACAAGCAGTCCGCGGGGCGTTTACGCCTGGCTGCAGATCTAGTTCCTTAGTGCGCATCTTGTGCCGAGGAAGCGAGAGATAGACGTGATCTCGAAGGGTCTGAATTAAGTGCCGATGACTGGCAGGGTGTGAAACCGAAGACTGAGACGGCAGTCTTGAAAACTTATAGAGTGCTGGCCTTATGCAATACGAGTCGCGAAGTCAATTGTGCCAGTCGATTGACGTGGTATCTGCAGGAACATGGATTTGTGAACTTAGCGCACGGCGTCAGCGGAATGTGAAAAGTTGAGATTCCGTCCAGATATCTACGCATGACAGTTCAGACATTTGTCGTCTGAACCGCTTGGACCCGTTTTCCCATACACACCGTCCCATGAATCGCCATATCACCAGTTCGCTTAAACCCTCAGACCGCGTCACTAGACTAGGAACCTACTTGAACTCCTCCATAAAGTCCTTGTGGAATTGCACGATCCTGCCCGTCCATTCGGTGCCGGGGGCTAAGAAAGTCGTCCGGAAGTGGAGCGTGCCCTCCTTCTGGCCAAAGCCGGAGCCGGCAACGACACAGATGCCGGTCTTGTCCAGCATGCGGAAGCAGTAAAACTCGTCGGGCTGACGGCCTTCCTTCTTGGCTTGCTCGACGGCCTTGGGCGGGATGGTGATGGTGGGGAACAGATACATGGAGCCCTAAAGGAGCGGTTAGCTGGGTAGAACGGGTGGGTGGAGTCGACCGACCTGAGGTTCGTTGCACTTTACGCCCTCCATCTGCTTGAATGCCTCGTAGAGAGCATATGCGCGCTTCTTCAAGCCGTTGAAAATACCGTCGTACTCCTCCTTGTACAGCGGGTAGCTTGGATCGCCCTCCTTTGGTGGGTTGACCATCATCTCCACGATGCACTGTCCGAGCACGGGCGGGCAGAGTTGGATACTGATGAACTTGTAGATCTCGGCAGCAACTTCCGGGTCGAAACCAACGAGCTCAAAGTAGCCACCTCGGTGTCCGCACTCGCCAACCATGCCCTTGGAGACGCTGTGCAGCGAAGCAAGCTCGATGTGGTCAAATTTTCCAGGCTGTTCCTTCTGCAGGTCGCGGAGAGCCTTCTTAAAGGAGATGAACTCGCCAATGAAGACGTTCGTTTGGTACACCTCGTCGGCGATCACCACGAGGTGTTTCTCGGCAGCAAATTCCAAAACAGCTTTGATGTCTTCGGCGGGCAGACTCGCACCAGTCGGGTTGCCAGGGTTGATGATGGCAATTGCCTTGACATCGGTCCCTTCTGCAACTGCCTTCTCGTAGGCAGACCGGATCTCTTTGAGGCTTGTCCCCCAGGCCTGGCTCTCGTCCAGAAAGTATGGTACGCAGCGAGCATCGAGGACGGCAAGTGTAGCGGTATAGAGAGGATACTGGGGAATGGGAACCATGACACCGGTGTTGGGCCGAGCGCAGATGACATGGAGTAGGGTGTTCACGCCCGAGGACGCGCCATTGCTGAGGTAGATGTCCTTGGGAGCGGCTGGGTAGCCGTCACGTCCTGCCTCGCGTTAGCAAGCCACATGCTACAAAGCTAAGCCGTGCATACGCTCAATGTATTTGGCAACGCTCTCCCGCAGGCCTGGCGCGCCCTGGCTCTGGCTGTATGCTCCCACGCTCTTGACCTCCTTCAGTAGCCACCTCGCCCTCTCGATAACATCCGACTTGTATCCAAGGCTGTTGATAAGCACATCCTCGTGCTCGAGCAGCTGCGGGTTCTCCAGGAGGCTGGCGACCTGGCGGAAGAATGTGATGGGCTTCTGGTCGAGCTGCTGCGGGTTGCCGATGTTCGCGGCAATGACGGTGTCGAAGGGCAGGTCCTTGCCCTCGCCCTTGGCCAGCTTCGCGCGGTACTCCTCGGAGCGGACGGCTAGCTCACCACGCACGGCATACTTGGCTGCCTTGACGTGCGGGTTGATGTTGGAGTAGTTGAGCGCGCGGAGGACCTCGGTGGACGACATGCTGCGGAACGGCGGGGCTGTCCGGAGCGGTACTGGCACTGAAGGGAGGGAGACGTGAGCGATGTTCTGATATCAGCGGGCAAAAAGCACGGCTATGTATATCTCAAGACACAGCAATTGCTTTTTGCACCCGCGTCGGTGTTGAGGCAATATTTTTCCTGCTGCACGCGTGCCCCACTACGGTGAGGACCCGGAGGATTCTCGTGCGTCCAGAGCGACAATGCGAGTCGCAGCTTGAGAAAGGCGGTGGAAGGGAACAAGTACCTCTGGCGCCTGCGCCGAGCGGCGTGCATGGCGTGTGTTTCGAGGCATTGGAGCGCAAACATCGCCTGATCGAATTGGCGGACGACTGGCACCACCAGCGAGCCGATGACGGCGACATGGTGCCCTGCCTCTGCCCACTCGCCGCCCGCGGGCAGGCTGTGGCTTGCACTGGGTCCGAGGAAGCTAGACTGCTTTGGGACTGACTGGGTATAACGGACGACATGCCAAGCGCACGTCTAGAGGTGCCACAACACAACTTGTCATCGCAAGGGAGGCCGCATTGATAGAGTAGATTCGTGGCAGCATTCTGAAGCCTTTTGTGCTCCCAGATATGTAGCTGAGTTCCTAGCAACGTGGTGTCGGTAGGGCCATTCTCTACAGTTCAGTCAAACTTGTCGACGGCGAAACGTAAAATCATGTCCCATCCTCAGCCCCCTCTACAGCCTCACCCTCTTGCTCTCTTTTCGTTCATGCCTTCAAACCAGCAAACCGCCGAGGGTGTCGTTAATCATCCCGACAATCGTCATCTTGTTTCGTTCGTTTCTCATGCGGAAAATCCCCTTTCCTTGAGCTGGGCTTCGTTGAAAATGCCTTCAATTTTCAGGGTCCGAATTTCTTCCCGTCGATTCGCGTCCTCATCGGTGGGAATATTATCCAATACGTCTCTAAGGTTCTCTTCCAAGCCCGCCGGTGTCGATGTTCTCCATTCGAGTAGTACGTCGAATGTCAGTCCGTCATTCCGCGTGCACACGCCCATGCAGCGTCCGCCCGAATCCTCTGGCGGCTTGCAGTAGACGGCAGTGCCGCACACTCCAGGCAGCCGCGGCGCGTCGGAATATTTATCCGTCTTGCACCATCACCAACTTTTGCATCTTCCAAATCGCCAGCAACGAATCTCTGCATCACAATTCCACTTCGGCCCTCGCCTCCATGGCTCCGAGCACACGTGCACGGCGTCGAGCCGACATCACCACGCCGCAACCCTCAACCGCGACCTGTGGTGATCCTGTGACCCCACCGCCCGACACCGACGACGGCAGCGACGGCCGCAAGTCTCGCCATGTCGACCGCGAGCTTGACAGGGCTGGCCATCCCAAAGACCACAGACTATGGACGCCAGAACCGGAGCCGTACGATGACGAGAAATACGCGGCTTGGGGTCAGAAGCATTATGGTGCTGACTGGCACGAGCGACGAAAGACTATGCTCGAGGAAAGGAATATATACAAGCTCAAACACAATGATTTCGTCTACCTAAAACGCCAGAGAGCTCTAAGGCAGGTGGAGCGTGAAAGGGAGAAGGGGAAGCTGGCCGAAAAAGGAAAGACTTGGTCTGAACTCATGATTTGGGCTCGGAAGCATTACGGCGATGACTGGTACGAGCAACGGGAGGCTCTGCTCCGGGGAGAGGATAGATCGAAACGATACAAACGCCGGGAAATTTTGAGGCAGATGGAACGGGAAAGGGACACGGAGAAGCTGACCGAAGGGAAAACGTGGCACAAGGTCATGGCATCGCCTGCTAGCCCGTCAAATGCTCTGCCACCGGTCGAGACCGGTATCGACATTGAGTCCTCGCCATCTAACAGTAGCGAGGATAGTGACAGTAGCGGATACAGTACGTACCCACCTACCGACGATGAGCCCCGCCAAGTGACGCCAGGGCCGGATGACCGATGGGAACGGTTAGAGTGGATAGCACTTCGAAATGACTGGACTAAGAAGCGGTATCAAGAAGAGAAGCTTGAAATCGCAGACGACCTGAAATCGCAACGTGAAGATGAAGCATGCAAAAGACGAGAGCTGGAAGAGGTGGAAGCAATAAGGCAGCTTCAATGGACGGACCATGGGGAGTACGATCGTCAGATGAGGCATCACAATCTACGAATCGAGGGTTATACCCAAGAGCGGATCGAGGAGATGGATCGAGAAGCCGCCGCAAGGTGGGAACGGCGACAAAGGGAGCCGCCACCAGCGAGATCTAGCCTTTTCGGTCGGCCAATTACCCAAGGGGAAAGGGACGCAAGCGCTGCTAGGCTCCGAGAGGATCGCGTTAAACTTGCTCGTCTCGTAGCCCAGCACGAACGAGAGCTGGTGACGGAACCTGGCGCCACAGCCGACGCTCCCGTTTCTGAGAGTGTAGGAGCGTCGCAACCTCAAACATCACTATTTCAACCAACGGAGGACATTTCTCGAAAAACACGTGGCGGTCGAATCACGAAGAATGCAATACAGAACCAAAGCGGTACCCGCAAAAACATTCGATCCCGACGGCCTGCACCGACATCTGCAGAAGCCCTAATACCCGATCGTCAGCCAAAACGATTCAAAGAAATGCCTGCTACACTAGACGAGCCGGTTGACAGTCCTACACCAGCACAACGCCAGCCGCGCAGAAGACAGTGCAAGGCATATGAGGAAAAGCGGACAAGTCGAAGGCTCGCCGGACAGTCGCCAGAGTTTGGCATGCTGCTGGGACGAGGCGAAGCGCCGCCACACTACGAAGCAACCTTACAACAGCCGTCGGATATACGCAAAACGAGCAGATCAGGCAAGCGCAGAAGTACGTTGTCGGCGGGGCCAACCGTCAAGGGCGCGAAGCCTCAAGGGGTTTTGAGGTCTAGGCAAGCAAAAACAAGTCGCCCAAAGAGCAGAAAAGGCCCCCTAAGCGCTGGATGACCGCTTCCTTCAGTGGCTGATCCGCTGTTACCTGATTCCTCTATACCCACGACTAGCGTTAGTCGTATAACCAACTCCGTTTGGACCAGCCCCATGATGACCTGACTACTCCAGGCTCTCCTTCCCCGAGCGCACTGCCCCAGCCAGCTCCGGCTGGAGGTATTATGCTTTGAATGAGAACACCTTCAAGCGTTCGATAACGTTTAGTCACATCTTCATTCAGCTACATTACCAAAGAGAGGAACCTCCGTACCTGTCGGAGAAGCACGCTAACCTACACCAATGTAAGAGCGCATCAAATCATCGAACGCCGTAGACCGCAGGCTGCCGATGCGGAGCTGGTTCAACCAGGGATCAGTGGCCCAGAGGATAGTTACGTCGATAGCTTAGTTATTAACCATTCTTTACACCAAGCTCTGTCCCCAAAGCAACGAAAGGTTTGACGTAAGACCTGGTGTCTTCAATAGGAAGCGCAAAGTAGGCGAGTTCATGTTAACGCATGATCGGCAAGCCGAACTTTCTCATCCTGCTCAGTTCACCTAGATACCATTCTTACCGGCCTAGACGCACGGTCTGAGGGTGACCATGCGCGATACCCATTGAATGCGGCTCCGAAATAAAGCCACTCTGCGGCGTGCCTTCCAGCTATCTGGGAAATGCATTCTTTACCCTTTATTTGTAGTCGAGCTTTGAACAAGTAGTTTCATTCTTATAATCTTATCGCTTTTCCCGAAGTGCTACGAGCTCGGGGTCGTTCCGCAGCTCCGACCGCCGTTGGTTAGTATGCCTTGTTGAACATCGTAGAAGAATAGTTTATTAGGTATATTGTGCTTCTATGTAATACGGAGCACATTACGGGCTTCTAGAATAACAAGGTTAACGATCTGTTGTATATTCGTAAAGCCGTCTTGGAGTGCATTTCGGCCTTTGCTGGTGCGACACGGTACAGAATGTAGGTAGCCCCTTAAGACGAAACGTGAATTTCTTCGTGTAACGGTTTAGTAGTCATATAAAGGGGAGTTCCTTCTACAGCATAACGTACGGCGTTCTCTCCTTATTCTTGTTTTTGACGTGCTCTAAGTCCACGTTGGCCACTAGCGTGCGCCGGCTAGAATCTTCGACACAGCAAACCTTCGTGATTTCGATGTCCTTCAAAGGGTACGAGGAGCACAGCTCCAGGTCTTGTAGCAGCAGCCGCGCTGAGAAGGAGAAGAATCGTCGAGGACCATGCCATTTTATAACCGCACGTTAGAATTGATTTATACCGTTTGACAGACATAAGCCCATCTTGGGAAGTATCCAACAATGTGATCGAAGACGCCAATCACTTCCCTCCCTGAGCCTTACCTCCTTTTGCTGCGGCGGCGTCGACCTAACGTGCCCTGCTTCTCGAGCCGCTTCTCCCGGACCTTTGCTCCGTACTCCTCATTCACCAACTCCTCGGCCCGCTCAAGCGGCGCTCCATGGAGGCTGCTCACTAGCTAGTGCCATTGTTGGTTTCCATAGCAGCTTACAACTCAAAGACCCGTCCTCTTCCAAGTTGACGCCGTTAATATCCACAACTTCCCAATCGTTGCCGTGGCAGTAACGGGGAAGTCGCAAAATGGGAAGCGGAGCATTCTCGAGCGGCACGTGAGGCCCTACAGGCGGGCCAGACCGTTTCCAAAAAGTCGTACGGTCAGGATCGCGGACAGACTGGCTGCGCTTTTTCCGCCCCTCCAGATTTTTGTTTCATCGAGCCCTCGCCAAAGGTCTTCTCATGCACGGGGTTCAGGTTTAGACGCGAGCTTTGGCCTTCAAAATCGAAGCAGGCGTCACACAGCATGTCGAGCCGACTGTTGGCGGCTGAGTGAATTACGCGGTGGCAGGGATCGTGGGTGGATGATGGCTTCTGCGGCTTGCCTCATGTTCGAGGGGGTTTCCGCCGAACGCATCTAATTATGTAGTCTACAGAGCTCCGGCGTGCTGCCCAAACGACCCTCGCGCCGTTCACCCACGCTCACTTCCCCGTAACCTGACCGCCTGGCCGTACTTCTGCAGCTTAGTGATCAACTGGTCGCCCTGCTTGACCACATCCGCGTATTGCTTGTTCTTGTCGTCCGGCCGGTTCGTCTCGATGATGCCCTTGACGCGGTCGATGGTGCAGGGTATCCGGTCGGCAGCGATGAACTTGGCGAGGTCCCTACGAACGTCAGAATGATTTGACAAGCACGGCGCACAATGTGTACTTACTTGTCGAGGAAGCCGACGGAGACGCCGAAGTCATTGGCCATGCTCTGGAGTCCGACGACACGGTACGATTGCAGAAGCTGTTGGTAGCCTCGCAGCCGCATCTCGCGCACATACCAGCTCTTGTGCTCGTAGAGGTAGCGATCCTGGCTGAGGAAGTTCACCTCAACTTCGGCCAGAGCTCCAAAGAAGTTCTTGTAGTCACCCTCGTACAGGCTCTTAACCAGCTTCGCAAGTGGTGAGAAGTCAAACGAGACCGCCTCGTCTTGCTGTACACCCAGCGTTGTCAGGTTCACAGCAGTCGGCACCGGCGTTGCTGTAGACCCTGAAGCATCGGCCATCTCCTCATCTCCTGCCGCAGGTCCAGCTGAAGTTTGTCCGGTTATCGCCGAAAGCTTGTCCTCCGAGCTACCGACGATAGCCTTGATCTCCGGTGCATCGACGACCTTTGACTTGAAGTCGACCCGCTTGAGCGCCACAGAGCCCGCCAGGATCGCGTAGATGACCAGTGATGAGTAACTGCATAGCTCGTAGCTGGTGAAGGTGGACAAGCTGTCGAGCAGAAGAGGAGCGGCTTGGGCATACGAGCGCACCGTGAGCAGGTGTAGACCCTGATACGCCTTGAGACGGTTGCGGCGATCCCAGTCGCCGCCACTCTCTACCAGACCGCTCGCCCGCTCAATCGTCTTCTTGACGAGAATCTTGTCACCAAAGAAGAGCCCAATCCGTATTATGGCGAGGACGAGGTCAATCTTGGTGCCTAGGATGCCGGTTTTCTCGAAGATGACCTCGTAGCTCGAGATAGCTTTCTCCTGCGACACGATCAGTCTAATCACCTATATGCATGCTGTAGTCGACCCACCTTGTCCCCAATGCGGTTGTAGAGTTCTGCCCTCTTTCCCCGCGCGGCCTGTATCTCTGTCTCGCCGGCTTTCTCCTCTGCCTCGTCCTCCTCCTTCTGTATGGCCTCGAGCTCCTTCTCGTTCTCGGCCTTCAGACTCTCGTACAACTGCTCGTCCCAGGCCAGAGGAACATCTAATGTTGGGATCTTGGTGGCAAGCATCGTTGCGGCGCTCGACGACGGTCTTCGGTGGCTGGTGGGCTGCTGTGCGGTGCCCTCGCCGGGTGTGTTCAATACACCCTCTGCCGGATGCGCAAGGTACCGGTAGAGCGGCGCCATTTTGTGCTCCTGGATGGCATCTTGAACCGATTTGAGGGAAGCTTGTTTGGTCGATTTTGAAGATGCGGGATTCGTGAGCTGGAAGATGTGCTGTGCTAGCTGGAGATTTGGGTACTTTGCGAATTGCGGGTCACCCATGTTGAGAAATGGAGCGGTTGAGGCGGAGTGTTGAGGTGGAGTGTAAGGAAGAGGAGCTGTACGCAGGATAGTTGGAGATGTGAGGCTCTGAAGCTCCGACACGGAAGCCGTGATGATGCGGCGGCTAAACTTCGGGAGGAGCGATCATCCTCGTCCGAGCTCCTTCGCCCTCTTTCACACTCACTTTTGTTCTTTCACTTCCAAACAACAATAAGACCTGAAGTTTATATTATAGCCGTCTAGACCTCACGCTTCAGCTGGTAGATCAAGAGAGCCCTCGCAGACCCGGACAGCACGTAGCCTCTCAACACTCGATCACGATATCCGCAATGGCAGGCACCGCGCAGCCTGAGCAGGCCAGAAAGCGCGCCCGTTCGCCCTCGAGATCTCCATCGCGATCACCGCCCCGGCAGCGCAAGCGACCCGGTGTTGGTTCGCGTGTTACGGCCGCCGACCGGGAAGCTGCCCGCCAACGTCAGCTTCAGAGAGAGCACGAAGCCGAAAAGAAAGCACAACAGGAAGCAGCCTCAAGAGGCGTGCACGATGTGGTCAAACAGCATTACAACATGGTTCCTGAGCGAGGCCGAGAGTGGAGAGTCACAGACAGTAAGATCAAGGGACTGCGGAGCTTCAACAACTGGGTCAAGTCATCGACAATCCAGAAGTTCATCGGCGACGAACGAAATCTCAAGGTTATGGATATTGGGTGCGGCAAAGGCGGCGACTTGCAGAAGTGGCAGGCGTCGAGGAAACTTGCGCTGTACGTTGGTGCGGATCCCGCAGACGTCTCGATCAAGCAAGCGAGGGAGCGCTACGAGCAGATGCGCAAGAGGTCAAAGGGCCGCGTCTTCCACGCCGAATTCTTCACCAAAGACTGTTTCGGTGAGCGGCTAGATGAGATACCTATTGTGAAGGATGTCGGCTTTGATCCCGGGGTTGGGCCAGGAAACGCAATGAGCCAGCGATGGGGCGGCGGCGGATTCGACATTGTCACCATGATGTTCTGCATGCACTATGCATTTGAGAACGAAGAGAAGGCGCGGGGCATGTTGCGGAACGTATCCGGAGCGTTGAAGAGGGGCGGCCGGTTCATCGGATGCATCCCCAATTCGGACGTCCTGTCGGCAAAGGTCATCGAGCATCACAAGGCCGCGGGCACTGCCGTCAGCAATACGAACGGAGTAGCGGAGGAGGAAGATGATCGGCCCACCTTCGCGAGCGACGATGAAGATGACTGGGATCCGGAGAAAAGCTTGGACAGTCCCAAGCCTAAGGAGCCTGAGGCGGATGGAGAGAAACGGGAAGGCCAGGAGAAGGGGAAAGAGAAGGAGGACGAAGCGAAGGAAGACGGACAGGTCGAGGACGAAGGCTTCGAATGGGGTAATACTATCTACAGGGTTAAGTTCCCTGGGAAGACGCCCGCCGATGGCACATTCCGGCCACCGTTTGGCTGGAAGTACTTCTACTTCCTCGAAGAAGCCGTCGAAGAAGTCCCCGAATACGTCGTTCCGTGGGAAGCATTCCGTGCTCTTGCGGAAGACTACAACCTCGAACTGCAGTATCGGAAACCGTTCAGGGAGGTCTGGGACGAGCAAAAGGACGATCCCGAGCTAGGGCCGCTCAGCGAGAGGATGGGTGTACGAGATCGCGCAACCGGACGGCTACTCACTAGGGAGGAGGAACTGGATGCGGCCGACTTCTACCACACGTTTTGCTTCTATAAGGTCTAGCATCTACATGATTTGGGTTCTGGCGTCTTATATACCGGATGTGGGGCCTCTGGCTAGATGGGCCCTCCAAAAGTGGAAATATCCCCCATGCATCGATATCTAGCCTTGCAGAGGCTCAGGGAACGCGCAATGGTAGCTGAGACATCTCATGATATGTGATATTCAGCTTCAACAAATGCATTCTGTCCTTTCACATATTTAGCACAACCGGCCTGTGAATCTCGTGACGCGCATTGTCCATTGTCGCCTTTGCCGAGGTCGTCGCGCGGCATCCATCCAGTCAACCCCGGCTTTCAGCAGCCCTCAACCCCAAAATCACAAGCTTCCCCGGACCGGTTCCGCACGCCAACCTCGACTCGACTCCTCGACTTTCCCTCCGCTACTCTACTCTACTCCTCTTCGCGACGCACACGACTTCTCCTTTCCGATATACTCTGGGCTGCTCGCAATTGGAGTGACGCTCTGGATCAATCACCCTCGCGCCTCATACTCAGTCTTGCATTTGGCGACAGCGAAGCAGACAGGATGGTCGCCGACGCGCTGATTTACCACCCCACGGTGTCGCATTACTTGAAGTTTGTCGCGACCACGGGTACGTCTCCCTATCCCTCCCTCCGTTCCCCCTCAACCTCCGCTAACCCCCCGCTCCAGTCGGCCGCGACAAAGTGCTCCGCACTTTACAATACTTCTCGCGCTTCCTCGCCTGGTACCTGTACCGCACGAACCACCCGCAGTCGACGATCGCGCCCTTCGAGACGACCAAGAAGCAGTTCGGCGTCACGCGCAAGCTGCTGCGCGTGGGCAAGTTCGTCGAGCACTTCAAGGCCGCGGCGATTGCGAGCGATGCGAAGAGCATGGATCCGGTGCTGCGGTATGCGGCGATTGGACGGCAGTTGGGGTATGCGGGGTATATGGTGCTAGATAATGCTACGGTGGTGAGTGTGCTTTTGCCTGCACTGTGCTCTAGCGAAGGAGGAGACGGAGGAAATGGTTAGCATTTCGAGACTCAGGTGCTGATAAACGTCCACGCAGCTCGACGCCACTTCGATCCGCAAATTCCCCGCCTCGCAGCGCCTGCTGCGCGAAGCCTACCGCGCGTGGTTCGCCGGCATAACCTGCAGCATCGTGTCCTCGCTGTACGCGCTGTACCGGCTGCGCGAGCGGACGGCGCGCCTCAGCGAGAAGGACGGCGAGGGCGTCGTCGAGAAGAAGAAGGCGCAGCGCGAGGCCACCGCCGTCAAGATCCAGCTCGTCAGCGACTTGTGCGATATCACGATCCCCAGCGCCGCGCTCGGCTGGGTCGCGTTTGATGATGGGTTTGTTGGGCTGGCGGGGACGGTGAGTAGTTTGCTGGGGGTTTATACGCAGTGGAAGAAGACGGCGTAGGTGGGATGGGAGGGGATGGGGGAAGGGGAGGGAATTCGCCTTGGCGGTTATAGGGAGTATGTTTGTAGGTTGCTCATATTTTTGGGTTAGCTGTCTGTGGTCACGGCCAGAGGCTTGCGAGGGTAGTGAGTGAGAGGCTTGTACTAGACCGTCTTCTTTTCCATACCTAGGTATGCTTTCCTCGTAAATACAATATCCTCGTCCCTGGCGTTCATCATCAGTATTATCTCGAATCAATCCATCTTACCCAGAACTAGAGCCTGCGTTGAACTGGAGAACCTTTCTTTTCATTTCATCCCAGTAAACAGACGATGTCCAAATGTGCCATGAAGCGACCATTGTATAAGCTTTAATGTACGGGTATCATACCACCCCACCCCACTGCTTATTTCTCTAGCGCCCTAATATGATCATACGGAATCTCCGCCCTTTCCACCGTCGTCGTATACGTAGGTCCTCTTCCCGCTCCCGTCGCTCCCCTGTCAAAATCCGGCACCGCCCAATTCTGCATGTACTTATCCTGGTAATGCGTCACACTGTGGTTCCGACTATGCTCCAACGGCCCGCGCGCATCGGGCGGCGACGCAGAAGAAAAGGAGTTGTTGGACGTCTGGTGGGACAGCTTGAGGTTGCGCTGCGAGTCTTCGGAGGCGCGGCCGGGCCCGCGAATCGATGTAATAGAGACCTGGTGTCCGTGGCGTTGGCGCGAGGTTGAACGTGTGCGGCGTGGGCTTTTGCGCGTGAAATTGTCTTCGTCGAGTTTGCCTGTTATGATGCTCATTCTGCTCGTCCGTCCGTCGGTGTCCATGTCCAGGTCCGGGATGCCGGTGAAGCCGGCGGTGCCGCTGCCTTGCTCTGCGAGGGCGATGTTCTCGCTGCGGCGCTCGGTGCGGATTTCGACTTCGTTGACGATGAGGATCTTGTTGGCGGCGAGGGAGGTAACGAGAGGCCAGAATATAGGGATTGAGGCGCAAAGGATGGCGACGTTGATCTCGAGCACGGAGAAGATATATACTGTAGGCGTGGCGTAGGTTGGGTCGAAAACAGGAACTGTGCCGACGCGGCGAATAGAGAGGGCAACAACGCGAGCTATTGATAGGGTTACGGCGCTGTGGTGCTTGTTAGCAAGCTGTACAGACCAAGCACGAGAAGCACTCACATCCCACCCATGGAAAAGAGGGTGATAAGACCGATTCTTGTCTTGCCGCTCATCCTTAACTGATAGATAAATGGTATCGGAAGTACCAGCACCAAGATATCCAAAAGCACGTTACTGCAGCTATGTGCGATCCAGCTTGCGAAGAAGACGTCGGGGTCTTTGCTGCCCCAGGCGACGCATTTGCCGTCAAGGTTGAAGTTCCAGTTCTTAGCGACGGGAGTGCAAGAGAATAGCGCGAGCAGAGTGAAGGTTAGCCCCCAAAGGGTTGTGAAGGTAATAAGGGACCAAGTAAGCCGTTGCGCGATGCGGTTTTGCTTCTCAAAGAGCCGGAGATATTGGAAGAGGATTGCGAGCTTGATGAAGGTCGTGCTGGTGGAGTACGTAACGTTAGTGGCCCAAATCATCTGGTAAAGGGTAAGTCGTTGTTCTCGAGTCTTCATGTTATCAATCATACTTTGAAGTATTGCATGACGGTATGTGCATCCAGCGTCCAGAAGTGCTTTCCCAAACCGTCTGAAGGCACTGGAAGTATTAGTTAGCATGTCAACCGGAACGAGTGGTGAAGACAACAAACGTACTCAGACACGTGAGGCTTGATCCAACCGTGGCGGATACCTTAAAGGTGTCAGTGCGAGGAGATAAGCACCACATGGAGCAACTCACGCCAGCCAGAAAGACAAACAGATCGTCCCATCCCCAGAGCCTGTTCTTGAACCGGACATATAGTCGTAGACTGATGGCGGCGCATGCGACTCCCTGGATTATGATGGTTAGGAGGGTTGCTTTTTCACAGTGAGGATCTACTTGCCAGAAATGTTATCGTAACGCCTATGATTGTCTCTGGTCTGTTGGACACAGGCAGTGCCGCGTTATCGGGATGGTCGTCCATGTTCGATTTTCCCTTGGGGGAACTCCGCCGCCTGCAGTCGGGTAGAATGTAGTGACAGCAAGATCAAGGCCAGACGACATCCAGTATTAAGCACAAATAGAAGAGCCGTCCTACATATTCGATCCAAGACCTAAGTTGGAGATCACAGGCTTTCGAAATAGCTGTGTCTCACACAGAATAAGGCGACGGCGCAGGGCAGCAAGGTGGAGCGTTCGAACGGGAGTGCGGAGAATTATAAAATGGGACCTGAGTGTGCTGAGAAGGAACAGTGTGTGAGAAGCGGCCGGGATGTCAAAGTTAGTGTCAGGGCTCCTCGCCTTGCTGCAACACCAAGAACAGGCCGGGCCCATACCTCTGGGTCTTCATAGGCCCGTTGTGCGCGGCCCTGTCGAATTTGTCGTGTTCAGAGCGTTCCTTTGGAGTGCTTTGACCATGGCGGGATGACACCTGCAGATGCCGGGGTCCGAAGGAACAGTTTGCTCGTCAAGGTGCTGACCAGAGGTGTTGTTCGACGCCGTTGACTGTACTTTAGCAGTCATGTGTCCAACTTACTGGTGCTTCTTGTGATCAGCTAGCGATCGGCGTTCCGTTGTCGCAGAGCCTAGAGGTCCCTGCTAGATCGCGTTCAACATGCACGTGGAGGAGTGCCGCGTGGTGAGAACGAAACGCAAGCCAGGTTTACCCATATTCTTGTTGAAACGTGCAGGAACCAGGCCCAGCCTGGAGGATCGTTGCTCGTCTCGGAAGAGCGTGAACATAACCGCGAGTCACAGCCTTGCTGCTTGCGCTCATGGAAAGAAAGCCGACATGACGTTGACGACAAGCTAGGCCTTCTAAGACCTGGAGACCATTTCATCTTTGTGCAGTACTGTACCACCAACGGATTCGGGAAAGGTATGTTGGTGGCACTGCAGCCGTTCCTGATCGCACACCACTATGTTGACCGTGCGATATGAGAAGCCTGTGGGCCTGCTCTGTCGTGGCAAGGGGGATCAGCGGGTTATCCGCAAAGGCGAGATCCAGCATCCCTACTAGCCGTTTGTGAATACGTGATAAAGCCCTGATAAGACCTGGGGGCTGAACGGCCAACTCGAACGCTTGTCCACGGGATTTCTGGTGGATAAAAGGCTGCAGCGCCTCATGTATACGACGGCATGGTCGAGTATGTATGCATTCCATCCTTGAGGAGTGCCATGGCTCAGGTAGTGCTTAGGCGTGCAACCGTGCTGTATGCGCCGAAGTGGCAAGAGGTACAGTACCCTGGGAGTACGTAGCGCGTTAGTCTTTAGCTGCAAATGGCATGGCAATGTAGCCCGCCCACAGACGATCCAGTTAAAAGCGTGGGTTGTATTATATGCCGACGCTTCGGGAATGCATCCTGCGGTCATCAAGAAGCGAAGTCCGTAGGCTAGGCGGGCATCAACGTGTTCGTAAAGCGAGTTCTGACCCGGAAGAGAAGAAGCGTAAAAAGCATGGCGAAAGGCTGGCCCATTGTCATTGGGGGTTAGTCTGGTCGATACGACAGGGAATCCGGCGGAACTCGAAACCTAGCCTTTGAAAACTCTTTGTGAGCAAACTGCATGCAGGTGCAGGATGACGATGACAAGGCAATCCCCCACGAGCGATCCACGGCACGCACGGTACTCCGGCTTGTCGCAGGGCGTATGGGTTGGCGGGTGGCTGGGGTTGCGGAGTGTGGTGTTGTAGTCGGAAGCGGGGACGTGAAAAGCCGGAGTGGAAAGTGCGGCCTGGTGGCGCCTGCGCAAGAACAGCAGGAACACCCCACGACGTCAACACTACTACAAATGCATCCCTTCAGCCAAACAGGGCACCAGTCTTCACCTAATCCCGTTCATATTCCCGCATCTCTAATCCTCATAGGAGGTAATGCTTGTGATATGCAAAGGGTATCTTCGGTGAGCTCTGGCGAGCCTTCCAAAGCCATTGGGTAGGGACCTCATTAATGAACGCTCTGCTAACAATAACTCCAGCACTGTTGTCCGGGCGCTTCTACGGGAAATTTTGCCACGGATATGCATCGTGAGTAGGATCTAGGTCTAGCTACAAGCTTAGCATTCAACCAGCTCCGCAGCCGGCCTTCGTCTAGCTGATAAACTTTCCAAGCCCCTGGAGATCATCAACCCCGCGCATCATCTCAGCCACTGGAACTGGTGGAACCGCCGCTGTCAAAGCTGCTGCTCGAGATAAAGTTTTGGCCTTCCCGTCAACATGGGTCCCTTCCATGATGCACCGAGTGCACTGAAAGTTTTAAGAGGCGGGGAACCTTGAACGCTGGCGCGAAATCAATGCAGCCTTGGAGATGTATTCACACCTCGCTCGACGCGCCGTCTAGACGATGATAGGTCTCTAGCGTTTGAAGCGTGCGCGGAAACCGCGATGATGGAGATCAGGGGCGAAAGCTAGAATGGAACGCCCGGCGGACGACCTTGAGCATGCTGGGGACCATGACCATGCGGTGCTACCGACTGCATACATACCACCCACCGAGAGCGGATACTGGGTTCGCCTTACAGCCTAGGGCTTCAAGAAAGTAATATGGATTGGTATCATGGTACGTATTTCCCCTTGCTTTGCATGTCCATCTCCAGAACGTAGCACGCGTGCTCAGTCTTTTCGCCTCCAGTTCCCCCACGACAAGGATAGTGCTCTTGTATACCAGACTCTCGCGCCCTATTTGGGCTCTACCGCGACGTTCTCATCGCTGCTGCTTGCGCTCACACTTCCCAATCCCAGTTTACTTGTATCGTAACCATGACTGGCTAGGTACTCCCTGAACTTGATATCCTCCTCGTCAATTGTAGACTGCCCGATGTACGGCAGAAGCAGGACCAACGCCGCTGCAAGGAAAGCCAACGCACTCGCGACGAAGAACGGATTGCGGCCCGCTGCGATCTCGTCGTCACCAGCAGCTTTCTGGATAGCGTCGAGCGCGTACGATCCTGAGAAGGCTCCGATCTTGCCCATGGCTGCTGCGATGCCGTAGTATTGTCCGCTGAAGACACGTCAACGATGCTGAAATGGGGTAGAGCTTGGTGTCAACTTACCGAATGCCAGTGGCACAGGTCTTCGAGGCGATGAGACCGATGTTATCACCCGGCCCAAACTCGCCCAGCATCAAAAAGACGCCGTACACAACTACGAAGCCTGCAACGTTCTCAGGCTTATTCAAATATGGGTAGCAGCCCGCCATGATGAACCCAATGATCCCCTGCAGGATCACTCCGATGCACAGCGTCTTCTTCGGGCCCATGCTCTTCAGATCCGCAACGAAGGCTCCCGCGAGGCAACCAGGAATATAAAAGAAGTTGATGAGGATGTTCCACGCCAAGCTCTTCCACAGAGGCGCGTCATCTCCAAGCAGATTGGCCAGGATAGAGGTCGCATAGATGCCGAAGGAATACGCTGAGAAGTCGTAAATGAACCAGATTATGCTAACAATGCTGAGGCGGAACCAGTAATACTTGATGACCAAGAGCCACGGGGTCTTCGTGTGCGCCATTGATTCGCGCTTGTAAGCTTCGGGCTCCTCAAGCTTAACTCGGAGGTAGAGGAGCGAGAGGGGAGGGATCACACCAATACCCAAGCAAATACGCCATGCCGCTCGGAGGTGATTCTCGCCTGTGGCAACAACCTAGATATTTCTCAGTTTTTCTACCCGCATGCCGCTTTCCGCATCTTACTCACCACGATCGTTGCGACGATAGCCGAGATCAAGAAGGCGAGGTCAATCTGCACGTTCGTGAACAGGATGAACCACTTGTTCCGGCTGCCTTCCTTGAGCTCGCCCGTACTTTCAGCGCAGCCTACGCTTCCAGCTGGATATTCTCCACCGATGCCTACACACATCAGCCCTTGCGCTTACACCAGACCACAAATCTCCGATTGCTTACCGATCCCCAAGAAGAAGCGGTACGCGACCAATGCGGCGAGCAGGCCAGTCGGACTCCCGCCTGCCCCGTAGGACCCAGCTCCTAGCGCGGCGAACAAAATAATAATGAGGGTCGACACGAGCAGCGACCACTTTCTCGAGAAATGATCGGACGTGTATCCGAAGAACAGCATGCCCAACACCGTTCCGGCAAATGTGATACTGGACACGTTCGCTTGCGCCGAGGAGTTGACATACGAGTCCGGATAGATGGTCTTGAGCATCGTGTTCACGGGGCCGATAATCTGTCGCCATTGTCAGTTCTGTTGCCGCCTATTATTTTGTCGCCGATGGGAGGACGCGAGCGGCGCGTTTGCGAATCAGTACGAACATTGTTGAGGTAGCCATCGCTGAAGAGTCCGGCGCCGCAGGCAATTACGGGCCAGAGTCTTTCCCAGCGGCCCTTCTCAGTCTGCGCGATGCTGCCTCGCCGCGCAGCTTCAACTTCAGCGGGGTGCTGGGCGTCGGGCGCCTCCAGCTTCTCAGACATTGCGGGGACGGATGACGTCGTGGTTGTTGGGATTCCAAAACTTCCTCTCGAACTACCACAGCGAAAGGATCGCGTCTTCAAATTGGGGCGCAAAAGGGCAAACACCACGCCTAAGTGTTCCACTAGAGCCGACGACACACAAGCAAAAAGAGGTCTCCAAGGTTCGCAGCACGCAGGGTAAATCTCATTATTTATCGCCGCACGGCCCACCTTATCTGCAAGCTAAACCCACACTCCTGGCACACACACCTTCGCTCGCACCAACACGAACACCCGCATCCTGTGATCTCCTTCCCCGACCGTCAGCTTGGCCCGCCAAGCCAGTGAGAAGCAGCCATTCAGGCCACGCGCTCCCGCATGGACCCTCGGAGGGTGTCTGTGGACGTGCAACGGTTCGCCCTGCCCGAAGGCAACACCTGCTTCTTTGAGAACTGGCGGCCGCTCGCTGCTGTCAGCCCAAACATCGCGGGGCGGGCGCGCTGCGGTTGCAGTTACACCGCACCCCGCGATTGCTGGTCACAAGAGATGGTGTGCATAAGATGAAAGCTTCGTCCTGAGAGGATAGAGCTGGCGCCTTCCGCGCGCGAGGGAAGACGAGAGGGAAGAGATTCGTGATGCGGTTACATCAGGCCTCGGGTCGGGGAATCAAGCTTCGCGTCTCGGCGATTGCAAGCATGGAAAGCATCAGTGGCGCCGCCGGCGCGACACTTGTTTCGGCAGTGCGCTGATGCTTCGCCGCGGGCTAGCGAAGCTTGTGCGGCGGCGCCGAGGCGCGCGCTGATTGGCTGGATTGTCAGCGGATGTTGACGACGGGAGCAAATAGAGGGATGGGATTGAAGAACGTGGTGTAAGAGCTTGAGGCGTAAGACGGGATGTTTTGATGGAACTGTTAGTTATTTTTGCATAAGGTGTACTGATGGGAAGGAGAGTGGGGGTTTTGGTCACGTGCCTATACTCTCACCGCGTCGTCCAACCCTTTAGCGACATTGAGCTACGCATTATTTAATATAATGACCTACCTCAAGGGGAGCATCTTCTAAGTTCATTACCATGTTTCGAAGTGACCGATCACCCACTTAATAAATCTCACAAGCCGTTCCCAAATCTCACCTATCCATATTGCACATTCTCTTCTCTGTAACGGAATATAACTTTATATACCTTCGTCTAAGGCAGTAGCTTACAGACAGGTCTTACGAAAACGCTTCAGGATCAAGGGACGCAAACCGCGCCTCGGGAAGGATCCCTGCATCTTAGCACGCTCAAAGACTTCAGAAAGCGCTCCAACCTCACAGTAGTATAACACCACGGCAGTCTCCTAACCTCCTTCAGCGCTCGCAACACCGTAGTGCCACGACGCCTCCCCCCTCCCCTCCACAACAGTATAGCACTTCAGCTCTTCCGCCTCTCTTCTCTCCTCTTCCCTCCCTTACTAGGACCACGCTTCCCTTCCCTTCCCGCACCGCACACAAAACATCACTTCAACCCCAGCCGCCGTACACCTCACCCCTTCCATCCACCATCTCCTTACACTGCGTCATCTGCCCTTTGCGCGAGAGTCTATCGGATCCCCTAACAGCGTCTTTTTTAGCCGCTCAAGCCTCGTGCTAGAGCGCAGCGCGCTGCTATTTTTTTCTTAACCGCGCTCTTGCTATGCGTGAGTTTTCGTACGTTAATCCCCGCGCGCGCCGTCGTACGAATGTTTGGAATGGATGCAGATTGTGTGTGTATGATGGTCTGGTTGAGGCGCTAGGAAACTGAGGGCTTTACGTTTGGTAGATGGGTACGGAGATGCGCGATTCTAGACGAAGCCGCGGTATGTGAGGTGCTCAGGACATGTGGATCCACCGGTTTTGCCGCCGGGGTGCTGAAGCTGGTCCGGTTATGCAGCGGATATCTAGGAGGTGGGCATCCGCTGGTGATGGGATGGAGCGGTGTGTGGTGCGCGATGTGCTGCTGTTCCTGTTTGGTTTCGATTAAGGTTTGCCTGGATAGAGCGGCTTGCTTCGGAGAGGTAGAGGTTGCGATTCGGTGGAAGGGATGGGCTGTGTGGGGGTTTCGGGCAGCTGGCGGAGTGTGCTTATTCGTTGTATACAGGGACTGTTTTCGGAGGCGGACTGCGACTGCGGTCGCGGTGATTGATTCGCTCTCTGGAGCATACGTATTTCCTTAGAGCGCGTGTTCCGTAATGAGGAAGTCGGTGTTCGGTTCGAGCCAGTGAGCATATACCACACTGCTAAGCTCCCGGGGCAAACGAAAGAAGAGAGACCTGCTTTGCGCTTAGAAAGCGCTTTGGAGGGTTTGGATTTGAAGCGGCGGTAAGACTTACTGTGCTTGGGTGTTGACGGCCTATTTTCTTTGTGGTCTTTTGTGCTGGGCGTAAGCAGTGCGTCTAGCTGGAAGAAGTAGAAGTGTGCGGAGATAACGCAAGATATGTTGCCTTTGGGCAAGAGGGATCCGCTGAAAATAGCGTAGCAATGAGGGAGAGAGGAATTGGGAAATTGGGGACGCCGTTGCCGTTGGGCTTCTTCGCAAGAAGGTGAAGGGGAAGAAATTTGGTCGTGAAGATTCTCGGTACGCTCTGGCGACTTGAGCTATTGCAGGAAGAGCCCTCTCCAGTGTAGTTCTTTGGTGGTTTTCATGGTCGATTTCCAAGTGTACTGTACGGGGGTGTTATGTTGGAACGGAGGAACATGCATCCACGCGTCCCTCTATACCCTATTGTGATTTGAATGCGTAGAACAGGAGTTAATCGCAGAGTGCTTGAGCTGGGAACCTCGTTGAGAAATGTCTGGATAGACCAACTGATAGCGGGGATTGGTTTTCGTATCTGCAGACCCCGCAATTTGTAAGTTCACCCCCACTAAAGACACTGCAATCGTCATCACGCTGAAGACTTCTAACATGAGAATAACCAACAGCACTCAACATTCATCAGCTGGGTCCGCTTTCTGTGTGCTTTCGCGTCATCATCCACCGCAGGTACTATGGATCCTTACACTAGCCCAAATCCGCGCGCCGAACTAGATGCTATTCTCTCCTCCATCCAAACCATCGCGGAACGATACACAAACATGATGCTCAACATGGACACTGAAGCCCTGGTCAAAGTCACCCAACCAGCCGATATCCCCTCCCTTTCCGCACTAGCCATTCCCTTCTCCGCCCCACAAGACATTGACCAAGTCCTCCGAGAAGCATTCGAAATCTTTGACCACCGCCTCCGGACGAACCATCCGCGTTTCTTCAGCTTCATCCCCAGTCCAGCATCTCCGCTCTCGTTCCTGGGCGACTCCCTCACAAGTTCATTCAACACCTTTGCGGGATGTAAACTGGAAGGCGCAGGCCCAAGCGCGATTGAGAAGTCTTTGATCGAATGGCTGGCCGAACGCGTGGGCTTGCCGGATACAGCTGGAGGTGTCTTCGTATCAGGCGGATCGATGGCGAATCTGACGGCGATAGCGGTAGCGCGGGATCAGATTGTGCCGTGCGGAAAGGAGGCTCTAGGAGTGGCGTATGTGACAGATCAGACGCACTCCTCTGTTGCGAAAGCGCTGCGAATTCTCGGGTTCAGAGGACATCAGATATGGCGTCTGCCGGCGGACGAGAAGTTTCGTATGGATCCGCAAACGCTGCAAAGAGCGATCCACGAGGACCGCGAGGCGGGCCGGGTACCCTTCGTCGTGATCGCAACCTGCGGAACGACTAACACGGGAAGTGTGGATCCACTCTCCGATATCTCCTCTATCTGCCGAAAAGAGCGTCTATGGATGCATGTCGATGGCGCGTACGGAGCTTCCGCCTCGCTCTCAGCCTCGCATCGCCACATGGTCAGTGGACTCGAACTCGCCGACAGCATATCCTGGGATGCACACAAGTGGCTTTTTCAAACCTACGGCTGTGGTCTCATTCTCGTGAGAGACAAAAAGCACCTTTTGGATAGTTTCGCAACAGATGCCGAGTACATGCGCGACATCACCGAAGAGCAGGACGTGCCCAACTTCTGGAACTACGGCATCGAGCTGACCAAGCCCGCGCGGGCGATGAAGCTCTGGTTCACGATGCGCGTTCTGGGCGTCGATACGCTGGGTCGGATGATCGATCAGGGTTTTCACCTGGCTGAACGAGCAGAGCAGGAATTGAGGAAACGGAGAGATTGGGAGATTACGAGTCCAGCGTGTATGGCGATTCTGACTTTTCGGTTTGCGCCATCGGGGAAGAGCGAGAGGGGGATGGATGCGCTGAATGTGGCGCTCTCGAAACGTCTTCTTGAGGAGAACGTTGCGGGCATTTTGACGACGGAGCTAAGGGGGAGGGTGGTGCTGCGTATTTGTCCGATTAATCCACGGCTTAGCGGAGAGGAGATGGCGGATACAATTGAGAGGCTCGACCTGATTGCTCATGAGCTATGAATTAGTTAGGTCCTGCAATCTGGAAAACTACTGTCAAACCAGGACCCAAGAAGTAATCCGTGCCATAACGAGATGCGTTCCATAATATTGGCAAGAAACACCCGAGGGCGCCTAACTTCTATATTCTAGGTCAACTAAAAATGCGGAAGATACTCCAGCCATCTAATATTGGTATACGCGCCCCGCTCCATACTCCTCATACTAGCAAAAATCTCTATCGTGAGATACAGCCGACAAAGCACATATACGGGAATGATGAAATGATCGATGCCTTCTTGTGGTTCGTCAGTCCCCGTGATACCCAGCTCCCTATTACTCTCTTCTGAATCTAGACCAATGGGAGGCTTTCCGAGGGAGGACCCCCAACGGCGAGTGTCCCACCAAAAGCGTATCTGGGGCGCAAGCATATGAGAGAGAGCAAAGATAGTAGGGAACAGTGCACATCCAATCGACGCAAGCCTCCACGACCACTTCTCAAAATTTGATGGGAACGCCCAGTTCCAGGCTAGGAGGTGGCAGGCGGCAAATGCGAGCGCGGCGACGATGACGAACCAGCCGCGTGCCCAGTGATAGAGGGAGAAAAGATGGAGGTTTTTTTGACGCAGGGTGGCCAGCCTTCTGATTCCTTCCGAAGTTTGAATGTCGCCGTCAGGAAGTATCGCGCGGATATCGACCTCATCGTCCTGGTAGGAGACTGGTCTTATTTGGGGCTTTTTGTGTTTTGGTGGGAAAACCTTTCGATGCGTCCCGTGGAGTGTAATGATCAGAGGCCTCTCGACATCGAGCGGTTTGTTCCACCATAAAAACGTATGAGATGAGCGTGCACACGACGATTGCGAGGGTGAAGAGCTCAAGAGGAGCGATGAGGAGGCCCTGGCCATATCGAGCGCCGATTTCGGTCGCGAACCACGCGATCTGACCGAACGCAATCGCCTTGATTAGCCACGACGCCTTGCTCTTATCCTGAACATCTTCCTCAGAGATGAATGGGAGTTCCATGCCCCTGTCCATAAGTTCCCGAAAGCCATGGTCGCCATCAGGGCTCTTCAACATTCTTACGCGGACGCCGGAAGGGAGCTCAATGGCCAAGCCGCCCATTTCGAGGAAGAATGCGTGCGTCATTGTCCAGCGATCATGAATCTACTTACTCTTTAGAGTGGACAGAACGCATTTTCCGGGGAACCATACCTTTTCCCAATACCGACGGATGTCCTTCCTTCGACAACGTCTGTGGTACCGCTCTATTACACGCCAGATGTCAGATGAAGTAGGAAGGGTTTTGTAGGGGGATAATACTTCTCTGATCCTCATACCAGGTGTCAAACTCCTCCATCCAGTTTCTAGCGTAACGCCAGTCTCGAAATGCTGCAGTTGCTACAAACTCAGGGGCTAGTATAGCCACCATCATCCACTTAATCTTCCGTAGCTTGATCATTATACAGGAGTCTTCATCCGCTGGCACATTGAGATGGACAGCTGACCAGGAGCAGAGGAAGAGGGTGATTAGGTTGCTGTACAGCAGCGATGCTGTTCCGCGATCGTGATACGCTTCGGGCATCCACCCAACTGTTTGATTGTTGGGCTGAGGGGTATCCATGTTCTAAGCTGGCTAATAGTCTTGGTGAGGACAAGGTGGTTTATGAAGGAGATTCGGTGCTCAAGGCAAAACTTGCCTTTCTGGAAAGGCTGAGTGACCCCGCAATCCATGCATGCAGATATTCGCTCTCTATCCTGATTCGCCTGCTGTAAGAGCCTCACTCTCGATGACTGACCTCCTGCATCGTAAGCTAATGCTGTTCGGAATAGATAGATTTGGATCTTGGAGCCATGATTATGGGACGCTCTCATCATTCCGCCTACACTATCTCGATGCCACTCAGCCAGTCCAGTAAAAGAGTCGAAAGGAATTCGTAAAGCATGATACGTAAAGGACAGACCCCGGCAAAAAAAAAAAATTACCAAATGAGTCGCTTCGTGCCAATGCCCAATTGTGCTGCGCAATCTATGTACTGATGTCCAGTATACCAACTCGTCCCCTAGAAGCTTCATGATTCTCTTTTCTAAAATGGAGACATATCCAAGAGGAACGAACCAAGGTGGTATGGATGCCTATGCTGGGTTATATTACCAACCGCCGTAGAAAGAGTACCGGGTAAACAAGCATAACCATTCTCTAAGGAACTGGAGACCATCGAACAGAGGACCGCACTGCGCGATCCTAATCGTAGTAAGCCCAACGGTCATCATCCCATGGGGAAAGAGGAGGCGATGGTGGAGGAGATGGGTCACTGCCATAGGTGTCATAGCTGTGTCCCCATGTTTCCGTGTAATCATGCTCGTCATACGCGTCATACCACGTCGATAAGGGAACATGGGGCCCCTTTCCTTTAGCTCTCGAGGAGTGGGCGCTCCCTCGGGGCTCCTCATAGTATGTTGTAGGAGTGCCGCCGGCTTTCAGAGTTTTCATACACGCAGCGCAAGCGATGGTGCTGCATCTGGGGCATTGGTAGGCGAATCGAAACAAAGAGCGTGTGCAGTGCGCACATTCATAATGACCCATGACCTTTTTCCAGTAGACCTTATGCTCGCAGGTCATCTTCGTTGTGGTCTGCTGTTTCGCAGCCTTCTGGTTTTGCTTCTTGGCACGTTTTTCACGCCTTTCCCTTTCTACCGTTGCTGCTCTTGCTTTTCGTGCAACCTCTTCTTGTGTTCTCTTGAAGGCAGCGTCTCTTGCAGCACGCTCCTCTGCCAGCTTCTTCCGTCGAGCCGCCTCTGCGGCCTCCCTTCTGGCTGCTTCTTCTCTGGCGGCTTTTTCCCTAGCTTCCCTGGCCGACCGTTGCTGCTCCTCATATCTTCGTCTGGATTCTGCTTCAGCCTTCTCCCTCGCTTCCCTCGCTACACGTTGCTGCTCCTCGTATCGTCTTCTAGCTTCTGCTGCCGCCTGCTCCCTTGCGAGTCTTTCCCTTCTCTCTTTTTCTCTTTGCTCGGCTTGCAACCTTGCATTCTCCTGCTCTCGGCGCCGCGACAATTCTTCTTTCAGTTGCTGCAGGCGTGACTGTTCTCTATCGAGCCGTGGCTGCTTGATCCTGATCGCGGCCTCGCTATCTAAATTCTGGCGCCGAATGCCATTCTTCTCCTCTTCAGAGAGCCTTTGCGACAAAGATGCGAGGACATTCCACCAATATGGGACATCGCTTGTAAGCTTTGCCCTATTTTCCAGAATTTTGGCATTGAGGGCGGCTATTTCGGTCTCCAGGATGTTCACATCCTTCTGGCATCGACGGATGCTCTGTTCCTGCTGCCACTCCCAGCTCAACCATTCTGACCTTTTCTTCTGGCTCTCGGCTTGGGATCTCGCATCGTTGTATGTTGTGGTACTCGGTCGTGGAGGCTGCCAGCTCGATTGCGGCGTAGTCGAAGGTTCCGAGGTGTTCGGACGAGCATTAACTTGTGGATGATAGATGATGTCGTACTCACGCCTTTTGGCGGCGTCTCCGAGGACCTCCCAGGCCACATTGATCTGCACTAAATCGTCAGTATTGCTTGGCTACTGATGGTGCGTTTCCGGTGGCACTCACCAGCTGGATCTTCAAGGTAGCGCTCTGGGAGCCGCCATTCTTATCTGGGTGATGCAGTCGTGCCAGACGGCGATACGACGCCTTGATCACATCGTGAGTTGCCGTGGTGGAGACTTCAAGGACTGCATAATAATCGTGGGTTGGGATCGCTGGAGCCATGGCAACGATTAACGTCTTGAAGTTAGACGATGAAGCTAGGGCGGCGCCTGAAGTGGTAGCGAGGCGGGCCGAGCGGGGAGCGGGGAGACTACAGCCCCTGTTACCCCTCACCCGGATCAACCCTTCAAACGACTCATTGATAACTTACCGTTTCCTCGAATACGTTGCCCGACTGCATGGTGGCTGATGGCTTTCCCACTTTCACGATCAGGCCATGCTGCTTGTCGCCTTCCAATATCCTCCTGCATATGAGCTGAGCAGAGCCTTGCCCAGCTCTCATCTGATAGGTCTTCTCGGGGAGCCTTGTGGACTCACTTCAACACCATTCAGCAACGCCACTCAGCCTTGCGAAAGTTTGCCTTGCAAGTCTTTAGGTGTGGCCAGAATTGCACCAGGCAGTACTTAAATGGTAGTAAGGCCACTGCTGCGACAACTGCGGCTTTTCAGTTGCATTCCACTTTCCCAGGAATAGCCTTATCCTCTTGGAATTCTTATATTCTCCCGACTGTTGGGTGCACCACACGCCTTGCATTCAAAGTTATGGCTGCTGCCCTCGTTGGCCTTATCGGCCTTGGACTCGCAGCGCCTGGTGTCATTAATGTTTTCCTCCAGGCCGGAAACTACGTTGCTGGAAGACTGGAGGAGAACAAGAAAGCCAAAGAATTCGCCACGAACCTTAGGACTTTTTACATTGCCGACGAAGTGGACGTGCTGCGACTTCACATGAAGAGCGCGCATGCGATTGTCACAGACCCGCGAACCGAACCTTTCGAAAAGACAAGGCTCAATAATCACTTTGAGGAAATCAAGTCTCTCCTTCAATCGATAAACGAGTTCACCAATGTGGTATTGTCAACCGAATGGGACCTTCGCTTCAAGCGAAGGTCGGCTCTCGCTGAGCTGAGGAAAAGCACCGCTCGATGCAAAGATTGCATTGAAAACTTCCGCGATCGCGTCCGGGCGCTGAGGGATATTCACTACTCCGAATCCGATCTTCTGCTACGCCCTCTTGATTTCAATTGGGTCCTGTCCGAAGCGGATCCTATCACGTTGAGCGCATCGGCCCTCGTCCGTCTCGGAAGGACTACCCGTGAGATTCGTGGAACCCCACCCATGTCCCGACGATTCTTTTATGAGACTATTCCATATACAAAGTCCACGAAGTTGGCCATCCAGCAGAATCTCGAAGTCGTGGTGCAAAAGCTTGCGATGGGGGGCAGCGGCGTTCTCCCTCTCCTCGGCTTCAGGGACGATGACGCAGAAGAGCAATTTCAAATCATCTTCGTTCTTCCGCAGCGCGAGGCCTATCCATCGACCCTATCGTCATTGATCAGAGAAATCGAAGTAGTCCCGTCCCTGAATGTGCGAGTGAATATCTGCGTTCAACTCGCCGAAGCTGCGCTTTATCTCCATTCGGTGGGACTAGTCCATAAAGGCATACGACCGGATAACATCGCAGTCCTACCAAATGAAAATGGAGATATTTTCGATGCAGACGACAAAGTCGTGGTCTTCCTCTTCGGCTTCGACGTGTCGAGGCCGATCGACCAATACAACACCGCGCACGCTGGAGAGCTCCTATGGCAGCGGCGGATCTACCAGCATCCTCAACGACAGAAGAGAGTTGCTGATGCAGACTACAACATGGGTCATGATATCTACAGCCTCGGAGCTTGTGCATTGGAGATTCTTCGATGGAGCTCATTCGTGCGTCTGCAGATCAATCGATACGGAGAGGAAGAATACACACTGTCCCCCGAGTTTCTGACAATCTACCGGAAGTTCAAGGAAGGAGCGGGCGAAAGCCGTGATCGGGAGTCATCGGACATGGCAATCGTGATGAGCGATCCTAAAAGAGTCCAAAGGATTCTCACTACTTGCTGCAAGAACGAGGTGTCTCGCTTAGCTGGCCGGAAGTTGGCCAATATTGTTTCCGACTGCCTGAAAATGGTCGACGTAGAAGCGGAGCTCGGAGCTGAGGGCCTGTTCAAGGCTGAGGATCCCACAAACGTCGGCACTCAATTTGTCGACCGTGTTCTCGTCCAGTTTCGCGAGGTGGCAAACGCTATTTAGACCGAGGAAATGAAATAGGGGCATTCTTTTGGCATTGCAAGAACATGGGCTATATACTGTCTCCTCATAACTTCTCATACGGCAGGGTGGCCATGCAGCATGCTGTGTGGGGCAGAAGAAGCGAAGGCAACGAATTGCAGGACGAAGCCACCCAACCTCACGCCATGGCGCCTGCGGGCTTGCTCAGCTGAGCAGCAGCTGCCGGCGATCAGGCTGTTCTCTAATCGTCAAGTATTTGTCTGCATTAAGTTGGAGAACCTGGCCGCAGCCTGCCATGACTCTTCCACCGTCCTCGGAGAGCGCAACCTTTCTCAACGCCATTTGCCTTAGGAGTTGTATTCGACAAGAAGTCAACCTTATTCGCAATCCGAGATCCCTCGATCGCTCAGGACCAAATGTCTCGCGAAAACCGTCGATCAGTTCGTCGCCAGGTCCGCGACAGCCCTTACCTTAGGTTTCTGAAACTCAACGACTTCAACAGCCCAGACACTTTAGGATGGTCTGGGAAAGGAAATCATGTCGAGTATCAGCGTCACGGAGATGTCCCGCTCACGCTGGGCGACTGTCTAGGCCGGGGCAGCTATGCCATCGTCCAGAGGGTGATCTGTTCGGACACCGATAAACGACCATTGGCCCAAAAGATCATATTGGACTATAGAACAGGCGGAATCGAGAAGGTTATGACCGAAGTCAAATGCATCCAACATCTCCGCCATCGCCATATTGTCCAGCTTGTCGGCACGTATGTGGTGAGATGGACTCTCCACATCCTACTATTTCCGGTTGGACAGTGGAATCTCCGGCAGTTCCTCCAAGAATTCGAGGATGAGAAAATGGAATCGAAAGCATATCCGGACTTCTACAGCCTTGGGACATTCTTCAAATGTCTGGCTTGCGGTGTGGCGTACCTCCACGAGGAGGTTGTTCCTCATATCATCAATTTGGACATCAAGCCGGAGAACATTATAGTACGGCGATGTTCCGACCGGCGACTGAGTGTCTTTATAACCGATTTCGGCGTGTCAAGGAGCTTTCAGCCGAGCTCCCCCAGCACAGACGCCAACACACTGTACACGACGCCTATTTACCAAGCGCCCGAGATCGCCAAGAAGCGAGAGTATGGACGGAAAGCCGACATATTCTCTTTGGGGTGCGTTTACTCTGAGATGGCTACGATCTTAGCGGGGAAAACCGTGCAAGCTTACAGCAAACATCGCGAACATACTCTTCCCGGAATCATACAACCCAGTATTGCTTTTGAGAGTAACCTTGGCGCATCGATGAAGTGGCTCGAAGAGCTCAAGTCTCTCTCTCCGCTCAAAAAGCCATCCACCGGGCGGAATATCGCATGGTGGTCCAGTTTACTTGATCGAATCGAGAAGATGATGTCCGCATACCCCGATGATCGGTACACAAGTGAAGAACTCGTCAATTCGTTTCCCCCTGGCCCCTGTTGTAGGGTGCCTTTGGAGGAATATCAGGTGCTTGAGCAATCTCTACAAGCTTCCGACTGTGCCGGGCGATTGGCAAGCGATCACGCAAGCACCGAGGCATCTCCTTCTCTAACGTCAGCCTCTACTCCAGTCTCCGAAGAGGCTTCCGAGCCTGCCTCGCTCCAAGATGCACCTAGTTCCGCTTTCCAAGAGGTCGAGATAGCTCCCGATCCAGAGCCGCAAATTGCTCTACTAACGGAGCCGTCCGAGAGCGATCCATCTTTACCCCAATTCGACTGGTCAGGAAAAGGATTCCATGCTCAGTACGACAACCCGAAAGAGGTACCGCTCCAGTTACTTGAAATGCTGGGAGCAGGCGCCGCATCTTCAGTCCTCAAAGTGCAGACTACCAACAAGGGCCCCTACGTTTTCGCACAGAAGAGTCTGGAGATAAGAGGGCATCGACTGAGGTTGGAAATGCTGATGCGAGAGGTTGAAGTCCTTCAGAAACTCAGACATCCGCATATAGTGCGGCTTACAGGCACTGCATACGATAAGAGGTTCTTCTCTATCCTGACCTACCCAGCTGCAGACTGGAACCTGACCAATTTCATGGAGCAACTGGAAGGAGAGCCGTCATCCTCTAGAGACCCTATCATCGTAGAGCGGAAGGAAGCTCTACTAAAGTTCACCACTTGTCTCATCCATGCTCTCGAGTACCTGCACCGGCGGGGCATTAGGCATAAGGATATCAAACCGAGTAACATACTGGTGCAGAGGTGGGGTACAGAAGGTCACGGATATCACGTCTACCTCTCAGGTACGCATGATGCCACAGTTTAGGGACATACCAGAGAATGGGAAACTGATTAACCGACAGATTTCGGTATCTCCACCCAGATGGGCGCTGACGACATAAGTGTGACTACGGGTCCCGCGTCTTACACGCCCCGATATGCGTCGCCGGAAACACTTCGTCTCGAGCGCCGTGGTCGCGCATCAGACATATTCTCAATGGGCTGTGTGTGGGTGGAGATGTATACCGTCATCATAGGGGAGACTCTCGCCTCGCTCTCCGAGCACCTTGAAACTCTCAGTGGCGCCCCAGGGGACGATTACGAGAGTGACGGAGTCGACGATGGGGCCAATGCACCACCAGTGGAGCAGGACGGTAGTCTTGGACTATACCGGCATAGTGCTGGGGCGTCCTATGCGAGCAGACTAAAGAGCACCGTAGGGTGGATACACAGGCTGCGGAACTTCTGCACGATGCACGCATCGCTAATCGGCGGCGAATGTGGCAAGTTCTCAGGCCTGGATATATCTGCGGAGATGCTGGAAACTCGTCTAGACTACGTTGAGAGCATGATTGAGGAAGACCCCCACAAACGGCCCGTAGCACCCTATCTCTGCAGAGTACTCGAGCCAAACGACTGCTGCACCTCACAAATTAGTCCTTACGACACCGAAATTGCGCAGGCGAAATCCGTTCCTGAAATGCTTCCACCCAGCACGCGACCAAACACCATAGGACCAATCACGCATTCGCCGGCGCAAAGCACGCATTCAGTTGAAAAACATCCGATTCGACCACAGACGCTTCCGGCGCAGACAAGCCCAGCAGTTCCTACCCGCAGCAAGCTCCCAAAGATCAAGCGTTGGATGTCATCCCACTTGCGGAGGGCGAGCACTACGAGTTCCAATAGCAATTCGAGGTCCCCAGAGAGGACTACCAAGTCGCCTCTAGTTCGAACTGCTACTGGACTAATGGAAAGTCCGAAACGAGAGAATCAAAATATAACACCCTCGTAGAACTTAACGCGGAAGATTCAATAATGGATGGCGGCGTTTATTATGATAAGTCTAGGCGTTTCGGCGAATAAATAGTCGTAGTGTCGCTCTTAGCTTCAATCATCTTACTCGGTCAGGTCGTGAATGATTCATGAACATGGCCCGTAAGCCTCACCCTCTTCCTTCAATCTCCTCATTTACACTGTACGGAGCAAAATTCAGTCTCTGGATACTGCCTGACAGCAGTGCGCCTATAAACTCAGGCAATCTTCACTATCAGCTACGCACCCCGCTTCACCGCCCCTCTGACTTGATACGATCCCACAGGTGAACAGCTCTTTGGCGATTTCGTTCCAGGATGATTCGGTATGGCTCGACATTACGGCTCGAACTCTCATTTGTAAATGTCATTGTTCTTCCGCGCAAGCTAAAAGAATTAACCGAGTGAGCGGAGGTGCCCCGGGCATCTTTCGCGACTCCGTCACTAGTCATCCAACCGACATCATAGTCACGTCCTACAAGCAAGTATTAGCTGTGGGACGGCGCACATTCTTGACATGAATATTGACGCCAAGGTCCATTGCATAAATGGCAGTACCATCGCCGACTCTCTTTTCATAGACAAAGTCGTTGAGCTCGTCCGACGCAGGCGCACCCCTGGAAGGAATGCGTCCAGTACGAAGCCTCCCTTATCAGTGGTGCAAATATGTCGGACTCGCTCGTTCTGACCATCCATAACCAGATCTTTGACAGCTTGTTCCTGCTACGCCCATTCAGCGTTTGCGCGTTTTACAGTGGCGGTGCGAGTGTTAATCTGCTCAAGTGCTTGAGAGTTTGTTGCTGAACCCTACTATCACTGATCAATTCACTATTCTCCGCAATATCCGCAATGTCTGGGCGTTCCTTAGCCTCTTTGACTCCCTCCCCATCCAGAAATACGTCTCGCCATCCTCTGACTTTCCGATCTTCTCTCTTGAGTCCTCTTCTCGAAATCTCTTTCCTCTCCCTTATCCTACTTTTGTCCTTCACTTTAGAGTCCAGCCATTCCCGCGCCTTGTTGACTTGTTCTACGTCGTTCAGGTCTTTAGCCCATACTATCCATGCTTTGGATTCCGCGTAAACACGCGCTTCGGTTGATCGATAACTAAGTGGCGCGTCTTCAGGCTCAAACAGTCGAATGCCTTTGCGATGCTTGAGCTCGTCTGGTGAGACGCCCTCCTTCAGTGCCACCCTCCATGAGACGAGTTCTTCGATGGTTCGGTTGTCGAGGATATCTTCGTCTAACAGCGACTGCAGGAATGATTTAGTTTCGGACAGCTCGGTTAGGTCATCGGGGTGACTCGGATAGACGGTGTAGAAGACGTGATTTGCGCGTGGGACCGGATGATCCATCTCGGATGTAGTGGGGATGTCTCTGTGCCAACTGTCAGCAAAGGGGGTTTGAGAGTACTATTTGAATGAAAAGAAGCCAGGTTATAAACAAAGTCATAGTGAGTGAGAGTGTGCGAACGTAGACGGATGGAATGGAGTGTCGATGAGTGATTGAGCAATGGTTCCACCCGGTTTTCGTCTTCGATTTATATGTTTTCGGCCTGACGACACGTATATTCATGAATTGCTGGACCAGGTGAAGCGACGTCGTCAGAGAGAGCCGTCGACGTGTCCCAAAGAAATCCTACATTGTTGGCTAATCCTGAAGGGGGTGAGAGGGCGAGGCTAAGTGTTGGAGTCGACAGGTTTGCGGCGAACAGTAGCTCGAAGATAACATAGCGCCGGAAGCATAGATAGACTGATCCTACGGAAGGTATGTGGTATCTCGGAGAACCAATCGCTGGGCTACAAATAAAGAAACGTATTTAGTACCTAAGTGGGGCTGGAGGCGAAGGCTGCTGTGCCCGGAGGTTTACGGGCTATGGATCCTAGCGGCATAGTCGAGCGTGAGCGTCTGGGTTCCCCGAACGAATCGAAGATGCGCTCTGAGGGCCCGCTGTGAAGCTAAAGACTCATCGTGTCAGATCGCCCTGAGAGAAAAAGTCCAGTGCCTCGTATATTTATTGAAGAACCTAGATCTTAAGGGCCACTGTCCGGATAGAGTGAAGGAGCGAGATAAGGAAACGGACGTGTTGACCTGCTTCGTACCTTTCAGGGAGTTTGCCGGTTTCCGAACTACATATTGATTCTATGATGAGTTCACATCAATCTCCTCGTTGGAGCCGAAAGAATTGATGTTCGTTGTCACGAACATGCTCTAAATGCGGCGAGGCATACGAAGTGACGTCACCAGACAGCTCTCAGCCTGCCGAAAAGACACATGCTACCAGGCGATGTAGAAGTTAAATGTGTTAGACAAGCAGCCATAGATGGTAAGGACGTAAACGTTGTTGGCATTTAAGGAGAATCACCTCTAACCCGAGGTACGTGATTAGCTCACGTGACGTTATGTATATACCGATGTATATTCTAAGGTTGCCCGCTCTAAGTGATGCCTCAGTCGATCCTTCAACTACCCACAAATTTGTAGTCCTCATACAAACCCTTGTGTGAGCTGATGGAAGGATCACGTCCCGTGAACATGAAAGACTTCTTGGAGCCATCGGGATTTCAGAACAGGTGCATCCGAATACCACAAGGTATGTAGCACCATGTAAGTCCACATTGTGATGAGTGGCAGCTGAGCCGGAATGCGGCCAATGCCGCAATTCCTATAGGAAATTTGAACAAGAAACAACAGGGAGAGGAGAATGGGTCTAAAGGAGAAACTCCTATCCCTTCAAGTTTCGAGCACCCCGTCGTCAAAGATGCCATCTCTGCGTCACGCAATCCTCCACACTGCTCCATCGCCCAAGCACCCACCTACCCTACACACCAAAAACCCCCCTCCAAAGCTCCCAATTCTCATACGCTCTACTCTTATATCTTTCCCCACCGCGCATCCCCGCGCCCTCCTCAACACAAATCCTCCTCTGCACCCCACTAACCGCGACAGCCTCTTCATTCTTATATGGATAGACCTGTGCCTGCGCCTCTACGGCCCCAGGTACTCTCCTATCCGTCGTCGCCGTCAGAATCCCCACTACCGTCTTCACCCCCAGCAGATCCGACACATTATCCCCTAGCCTAGGGAAGACATGATCGAGCAGCAGGAAAGGCAGTTTGAGCAGGCGCTTGATTGGTTTGTACAAACGGCCTAATGGGCCGTAGGAAAGGATATCACCGTAGACGTCGCCGCTCCCGAGGGTTGCCGAGTTGGGCGAAACGAGCCTAGCGTTGAGGTCGTCGATGTGCGACTCGATGTTCGGGATTATGGGACTTTGTAGATCGTTCTCCAGCTTGTCGATATCCCTAACCGCTTCCAGGAGCCAGCGCAAGACGCAATTCCCCAGCACCTCATTCGGCCAGATCGTCTTCCCCAGCTTATCCGGCAGCAATCCCAGCCACCGCTCCACCGGATTCCACGGCCGCTGCCTCAAGAAGCGAAACGTCTGCCTGCCCAAATCGTAGTGGCATCCGGGGAACCACTTCTGCACGACCTCGGCCCTGCACTCGCCGTCCCCCGGGAAAATCAAACAGGGCTGGAAACACCACAGGCGGTCGTGCAGAGCAGGCGCATGGTACACAGTCTTCACCGCGGATGAGACGTTCTGGTCGTGGAACTCGAATTCCGGCCAATCGAGCCCGATCCCGGCGTTTAATCGCGGTATCCCCAGTGCACCGACTGTGTCGATAAGGCCCATGAAGCGGATCGGTCGGTGAACAGGCCAAACGCGCTCCGGATCGCCTCTCAACTCCTCACACCTCCTGCTCTTTGGATGGTCGACCGCCAGCGGACTGCGGTACGTGCGGTATACCTCGCGACACAGCGTGTTCACATCTTCGCCGCTGAGACGGCCTCTGCGTATGATACCGCAGTTATTTATCATGCCGCCCACGCACCTTACCGTAAAAGAGCCGCGACTAAAACCAAACAGCCAAATCTCATCGTGCTCGGAGGTAAAATTCTGCACAATAAACTTATAGACCGAAATGCATTCTTCGCCGATGGAGGACGCGGTTGCGCCGTCCCAGATATATGAGAGGAAGGTTTTGTTCAGACCAACGCCTTCCTGGTAGCCGGCGATAACGTTGGGGTCATATGTAAGGATGGGGTGCACTATGGTGGGTTCGCGGCCTTCTGGTTGGGCGAACTGGACTGTGCCGACCATATTGGCGAGCTTGCGGATGTTGCTGGGAGGGGCGTTGGGGACGGCGGTTTCGCGCCCGACCCAGGTTCCGTCGCAGAAGATGACGAGGCGTTTTGGGGGAGACATGATCGTAGGGATATGAATAAAGTATTGATAAGTAGTGTAAGGAAAATCGGGGGATAGGGAGCGGATTGGTGATGAAGTAGGGTGGCGAAGGGGTAGAAACAGAATGCACGCAATAAATAAAATACTAACGTTGATAGAATGATGGGGAATTTCATTCCTTCTATTTGCCTATGTTCTAGGTGTCAGGTGCAGCTGGTTCGTTGGGGTGTCCACATGCCAACCGCCACTGTCACATACCTGCATGTGTTCTGTGTGGAACATGCCGAGATATTTTGGCTTCGCCATGTGGTTTGCTTTTGCCTGCGAACCACACCAATCCATCTCAGCTGAAAGCCCGCTCAAGATGAGGGCGTCAAATGCACAGCTCTTGGGCTTTCCAGCCCTCACGCCGTGTCGCTTATGCTCTTGGCGAGTAGAATAATCCAGATCAAGCCATTCCGCCCGGCTGCGTTTCGAAGTGTGGACTGGAAAGATGAGAGGACTGTACCAGATATGCTGACGAGGTCGAAAGCCTTACGAGGTAGATACTCGCACAGGACCTTTCACTGCTTGAGTGCGTTGACGGATCGACCGTGCTCTGCAGCCAGCTCTTAATGTCCCAAAATCTCATCCATAGCAGTCCACATCTCCCTCTGTAAATCTACCCTTCTCTTCTCCGCATCAACGCTCTCCTCGGCCACCACACTCCCCTTCCCCTCCGGCGCCTCCTTCGCAAACCCCTCCAGCGTCTGCCTCACCTTATCCGCCATCTTCTTCACGCCCTCGACCTCCGCCTTCTTCCTCTCCACCTGCTCCTCCATGAGCATAATCAGCGTCTCCCGCGCCTGATGCGGCCGATACTCGTTGATCAACGCATGCATATTCAGCACCAGCGTCAATATATCCCTCAGCTTCTCGTCCTTCTTCTCGGAGGTAGGGTTCACGGCGACAACGCCGAGCAGCTCGACGAAGGAGAGCATTACCGAGCGCAGGAAGCGGAAGAGGTAGCGTTGGCGGTCGATGCTGGACCAGTCGGACGCGGAGGGTGGGGGGTACAGTTGCTCGTATTTCCAGCCCTCGAGGATGCCGGCCTCCTGCTGTTTGTCCCAGAGCGTGTCGCTGATCCAGGCCATGATGTTCTCGAACTCGTCGACGCCGCGCACCTTAGCAACTTCGCCGAAGACGCGGTATTCGGCATCTTCTGCTGGCGGTTCGGGTGGGACGAGGTAGCGGAGCTCGGTCGGTAGCTCTAGTAATTGGGACGCGGTGAGCGGCGGTGATGAAGCGACGCCGTCGTTTGAGGGAGCTGCGCGCTGCTCCTTGAACTGCTTCAGGCGCTCTTGATTCTCCGTCGTGAAATGCTTGTAGAAGGGCGGCGGGTCGGGGAAGAAGGAGCTGAGCTCGGGCTGATCCTGTTGAGGCTGTTGCGCCATTGCGGGAGCTGAACTGATCTGCTCAGTTGTGTTGTAGTTGCGGCGGGTAGGGTGAGAGCGACTCGACTATATGCACCGGGTATTGAGCGCGTCGTGAAGTTGTGGAAGGCGCAAGGTGAATGTTAGCTCTGGTCTTGGCACTCCACGATGCCGCGGCAACTCGCGCACGGACACAACCTTCATTGGGCTAGCCCCGTGTGCAATCCATGGATGGCCGGCCCAGCGCAGGTCGAGTTGACCAAATTCCTATGCAGTAACGCTCTCACAGGGCAGATCCCGAAACGTGCAATTAGACGCGTAAGGCCCCGCAGACGTCTGAGGTGTAGCGAGCCCTTAGGACCCCATTTGTAAGGATCTTAGATGACAAATGCAGAGGGGTTGACCCACGAGTGGAACATCATAGATATCAAAGTAAAGTCCATAGAATATAAGCCTCCAAACTCAATTTCAAAGGTCCATCTTCCATACCAACAGTCTCTTCCCTCACCAGCCGAGCATTCCAGCGAACCCTCAAAACATTCCATCTTTCAGCGTGCAACCATGTCTACCCAGCGAGCAGTCGTCCACAAGTCCCAGGGCGTGGCTGAAGTCCGAACTGACGTCCCTCTCCCCCAGCTCAAGGACGACTACATCCTTGTCAAGACCAAAGCCATAGCCCTCAATCCTACGGACTGGAAAAGCCTCCAGAATCGCACTTCGCCCGGAGCAATCGTCGGCTGCGACTACTCGGGTGTTGTGGAAGACGTAGGAACGACCGTCTCCACACGCTTCAAAGTCGGAGATAGGGTCGCCGGATTCGTCTTCGGGGGTAAGGGTCCAAATGCGAGGTCTCCGTACAGCAATGGCTGACGTTACGTGCAGCCAACCCGGGCGACCACAACGACGGCGCGTTTGCTGAGTACATCAGAGCCAAGGGAGAGTTCCAAGTCAAAATCGCCGATAACGTGACTTTTGAGGACGCGGCCACTTTGGGCGTGGGTATTACCACCGTTGGCCAAGGACTCTACCAGTCGCTCGGCCTTCCTCTTCCCCCTAAGAAGGTGCAGGAGCACACCTCGATCTTGATCTACGGGGGCTCGACGGCGACCGGGACTCTGGCTGTCCAGTATGCCAAATTCTCCGGTCTACACGTTATCGCGACTGCCTCCCCGCGCAACTTCGATCTTGTGCGCAAACTCGGAGCGGACGAGGTGTTCGACTACAAAGACCCAGACTGCGGCGCTAAGATCCGCGAAGCTACCAAAGACAATCTCAAGCTAGTCTTCGACACCATCTCTGAGAAGTCTTCTGTAGCCATCTCGTGTGCAGCGCTCAGCACCCAGGGTGGCCACTACTCGTCCTTCCCTCCCGTGAAGGCCCGCCCGCGTGATGACGTAAAGTACAGCTCCACACTCGCGTACACCGCCCTCGGGGTAAAGTTTAGCGACGATTATCCGGCGAGCCAGGCGGACTACGAGTTCGGCGTCAAGTTTTGGAGGCTAAGCGAAGAGTTGATCAACAGCGGCAAGATCAAGGCGCACCCGGTAGAGGTTCGGGCGGGAGGTCTCGACGTTGTCCCGCAAGGCCTGCAGGACCTCAAGGATGGGAATATCAGCGGTGTTAAGCTTGTGTACAAGGTCGAGTAACGAATCGGTCATCGCAGAAACATAAGCGCCATTGAACAGTTGCTTGTTGCTGTCCGTAGGAGATCGATCGCCACTTCTTAACCATCGCACCGTTTCGCCGTTCAAATAGAAGCCCAACCTGGAGAACATTCGCCATTCTGTAGGTCATGATCAGGCGCGGTATCAGACGGTTCAGATCCACAAGGAGCGGTCGTTGTGTTTTAAGACCCATTTCCGGAAGTTCTCTTCCTCTTCCTGCTCGAGGCGAGTGCCCTTTGCTGAGCCCAGGTCTCGGCCACTATTATGTCCGGCGTGCATCTTATTCTGTTCCCACGAGTATTCCTTTGGAGGTTTCGAAACGCTAAGCTCCAGGCGACGCCCCAGTAATTCATATCCGTTATACGCATCTTTCGCATGCTCGAGTTCCTCTTTGCTGTTGAAAACGACAAATATCAAATAGCCCGAGAGGTGCGCATTCGACCTGGTCTGTGGGTACTTGCCAAAGCTGCTGATGCCTTCGACATTATAAGAGTGGAAAAGGGGGTAGAGCCATTTGAAATCTCTGCGGATGTTCAACTTGGGGGGTAGATTATCGATGCACATCTGTCTGCTCTGTCTGATAAACTTCAGAATATCTTGCGGAGGTGCGAAGAGCGGGCCTCGGGTTCGATGCTGGGAGACCTCTGCTGTTGGCGATGCAAACCAACCCCAAGTCCAGTCCGGCCATTTGGATATGCTTTGCAAATAGCTAATACCGGCTCTCTCTATAATAATCCGTCGATTAAAGAGGGGTGCTCCGCTTACTTTGCTGATGGCAGCGGATGCTAACTCTGGGGTAGGGAGGAGAACGTGCGCAGATCCGTAGTTCAGTCCATTAGTCGTACGATGAAAGACGACACAGCGCTCACTTTTCATAATGAGAACAGATTTATCTAGGGAGGTTAGGAGACTGCTTACACTGGAAACCCGTATTCTTCAAAGAGCAGTTCGACATCGGCCTGAAGAGCAAATTTTGGGACTCTGCGGACCATGAGCAGTCTCCCACGCCTTTCTTCGTCGAACATCCTCAGCAATACTTCGGCTCTGTTTCGTGGAAGCGGGCGACCGTCATCAGACAGTTGTGGTGGCGCTTTCGAGTGGGCATTTCGCGCGGTGGACAACAGGCTACAGCCGACAAAGCGTTTTTGGAGCGGAACGCGCCCCCGGAAAAGCGATAGCGAGCTGCTGGGCGGTTCGATAACCTTGAGAAGATTGGTTGGGGTATTCCGCAAGGTTGCCATTTTGGATCATCAGCGACGTCCCAGATGCATTGGCGCGTGGATCGGAGAGACTTCGGATCCGCGAAACTGCGAAAGGGATGCGGGCTACGCACGGACGTAGGCCAAAGCGGGTAAGCGCGATCACGTGCTTTATAAGTTTTCCAAGGTCAAATCACTGGGGGGTGTAAACATTTAGTATACTGTTTAATTTGCTGTTAAGCTTTGTACTAGTCGGAAATGTGAGTGAAGAGTTTAACTAAAATCCACCCCGCGCACTACTAACCCCCACCTAGGGACCTCCTACATTGCCTCCAACTCTCAATACTGTATAAACACCTGATCAAAAGCTGTAACATTCCACATGCCCGTCTCCGTATTCAGCGTCACATTCGTCTGCTTCACGCTGCCCCTCTGCAAGGCCCCAGTCTCAACCGTTCCATTCGCGACGCTCCTCTGCAGATGATTGTCTCCAGCCTTGACGGTGAAGTTCGCCAGACTTATCTCGAGAGGGTTACGGAAAGATACCGTGGGGCAGCCTGCAATCATCAGCTTCGCACCAAAAGAAGTGGAAAGAGGGAGGATAGGAAGGGAAAACAGGTGCGTACCGTAGTAGTTCGCCGTGATCTCAGAGGGAGTAATGTGCAGCTCGTAGTACCCTCGATAGTACCCCTCGCTCCACTGAAGCTCCCTGTTGTCTTGGACTAAGCCGGCGGACTTCTTGTTTGCGCTCCCGATGGTTCCACCGAAGCCCGTGGATGAGACTGCCGTTCCCGCGAATTCTACGCCAACGGAACCAGCACCGGTGGATTGGTCGTATGGCATCTGATCGAGCCAGACAAGATCCGAGACCCAGTTTGCATGCGAGTCACCAGCGAGAAAGACGGTGTTTGAGATACTGTTGGAGTAGAGGTGGTGCAGAGTGCGGTTGCGATTCGCGGTGTAGCCCTTCCAGCGTCAAATTCTCCGAAGCCATGGAAGGGTTGGGGGGAGTGACTTACATCCCACTGATCTGCGTTCAACCAGTTACTGCTCCTCGCTGTGTTGTTGATACGGGAGAAGATGATCTGATTTCCCACAAGCCTCCACGTAGCCCCCCTGCTAGCGGATTTCGACAGCTGACCGTAAAACCAGTTCTCTTGGTGGCTTCCCATGAGAGATCTACCTGCGTCATCCTTGAGCTCCGCGACGTACTCGTTGTTCCAGCCCAGCGTCGTGATGGAGCGGTCGTAGTTTCGCGTGTCGAGCATAATCAGATCGAGAAGCTTGCCCAGCTGGAAGGAACGCCAGATGCGGAGATTGTCGTCCATGTCGACTTGGCGAATGCTGAGTAGACATCAGGGGTGTGGCGAAAAAAAAAAATGAGAAACCGGGGGACACTTACGGCATCCATTCGAAGTACGCGCGAACAGCATTCATCTTGCGTTGATCGACGCTGACACCGCCATCCTTCAGGAAAGAGTCCTCCGTGTTGTTGAGGTTACTAGAGCCATCCCGATAGCCGTTATTAGATACCTCTGATAGGGTCTTAGCAACGCTGTAGCCGTCACGTAGTATGGGCTCTACCCACCGTGATCATCCCAGACTGGGATCCAAGGATACTGGCGATGAGAGAGAAGTAGATCCAGATCCGTCCGATCTATGCGCTAAATTAGCGTGGGGCCGAAGGTAACTTCGTTGGCAAAGTACATTGAGCGATTCTAGTCCGATAATCTGTATTGTACGTTAGAACCGGCTGGCTTTCGGCAAAGGCTGCCCATACCGTAGAGGGTGAAGATCTCGTCGCTAGGATTCGTGGCGCGCGGGTCTTTCCCGAGCGTGCCTTTCCCAGTCTCGTAGATGTAGTCACCGAGATGAATCTGGAGATTGCGTGAGCCATCTGCCAGAAGTTTAGATCCCGAGGTCCCCTGCGCAAGCTCACCACATAGTCGATCTTATCCTTCCGCGCAGCATTTCCATAAGCGTTGAAATACCCATTCGGATAGTTGCTACAGGAATACACTGCCAGCCCAAGCTTCGAGACATCATCTTCTGCGTCTGGGCTCGTCTTCGTGCGTCCAAGCGGGCTCTTGTTGCTCGACCCGCAAACAGTGAATTGATAATAGTATTGCGTGAAAGGCTGCAGATTCTTCGCTTCAACCTACTTCAAGTCAGTATGGGACTGGAAAAATGGGCACCTTGGCATACCCACCTTTACCGTGTAATCAATATCCGAAGTCGTATACGCGGTTCCCTTATCCACAACCCTCGAAAAGTTCCTATCACTTCCAACCTGATACTCAACGCAGATCGGATTGGGAGAAGCCTTGATATACGTTTCCGTATCATGGTTATACAGTGGCACATTTCCCTCAACGGTCACGTTTGACGCGTCATTCTCTCCTTCTGGCGAAATGCGCGTCCATAAGATGACGGAGGTAGGGTAAGGATCGCCGGATGCAACTCCGTGTGTGAAGTTCAACTGCGTAGGATCCCAAGCTCGTGTCTCCAAACCTCGTTTCGCAACCGTAGGGACATCGATTCCCAGAGAAATGTGTCGCCGCGATGGGGATGCGTAATTGAGATTGGTATGCCATGTAGCCGTAACGGCTGATGCAAATGACACTGCAGTGATCAGAAAAGCTGCCATGGTGAACAGGCGCAGATTCCACTTACCAGGCTTTCATCAGTAGAGCCATCCATCACATATATATTCACAACCCCGGAACATATCCCTGCGGGTTTCCGTACTACACTCCTACCGAGCGTGATCTGCCCTCGTATTTACCATCGCGAAGCCTAATCTCGATCATTAAACCAATCAAATGAATGATAAATGAAGCGTGGTGTAGTCTTCTTCCTCGTGCCAAGATGACGGCAAATGCACAGATATACCCGTGCCAAGGGTGGTGGCTGGGACTGGCTGTGCCTGAGCAGAGCGAGACGAAGCGTCCCTGTCAAGCGTTTCTTGGCGCATTAGTCCATGCATACTCCCCACACCATGGGAATCGTAACTTCCATGTCACCAAGAACGACGAACGCGATGGGAAGGGTGTTTGTAGGCCGCCGCGGAGCAAACAAAAAGATATTGATTAATGAGCCTAGAGGCCGAGTATAGGTAAGGAAAAATCCTGTGCAATGAACGGAGGTGAAAAGAAATGAAGCAAACGGGATATCGTCGATCCGAACCTTTCGTCAAATCATAGTATTACCTGAGAGTGTCCTCGTTACCCCCTACTGCCGAAGGAAAGCTCCACAAACTTTGTTTACAAAATGAACGACATTCAGGAAGTGGGTGAAATAGAAGGAAAGATAATCGGCCATGGCGCGTATCCATTTCAATCTCGCTACCAGATACCCCTGCACTCTGCCCTTTTTCATCTACTCCTTCTTGACATGTACCACAATCTTGCCCTTCGCTCTTCCTGTCTTGAGCTTCTCAAAAGCCTTGGGAACATCATCAAACTCGAACACTGAGTCCAGAATCGGGCGGACCTTCCCCTCCTGCATCCACTTTCCCAGCTGGGCCAGGTTTTCGGCATTGTTCTTAACCATCATCATATGGTATTTTCTTTTTCCGCCACCAAGAAACCCTGGAAGCAGCATGTTGCTGGCGACATTGAGGAAACCGCCAAAGCCAGCGGGACCGCTGACTTGGACAAACGTGCCAGTAGGCACGAGGAAGTTGTGCGAGACTTTGTAGAAGTCTCGAGGCGATCCGGCATTGTCGACGACGAGGCTGAAGACCTGACCCTTCTCTTTCAACGCTGTGACTACATCAACCGATTTGTAATCTAGGACTTCATCCGCTCCGAGGCCCTTGCAAAGCTCGACGTTGGCGCCCGAGCAGGAAGTCGTTACATGACAGCCGAGAGCTTTGGCGATCTGGATCCCGAATACGCCGGTGCCGCCTGAGCCTCCATTGATGAAGATCTTGTCGCCCTCTTTGACATAAGGCTTGATGGATTGATACATGGTCAGTCCCGTGCACCCCACTCCAGCCATGTCGTCTACCTGCATTCCATCCGGCATTGGGGCAATCATTTCTTTCGAGACAGCAATGTACTCAGCCAGCGATCCGTGGCCAAAGGTGCCAATGTACGATCCAAACACCATCTCACCGACGCGGAAAGAGTCGACCTTGCTTCCTTTCTCGGCAACCTTGCCGCAAAAATCCATGCCCGGCGTAGAAATAGCCGGTATCGGTATGAGAGCTTTAGTGACCATTCCCATCTCAGGGAATTTGTAGTCGGCGGGATTGAGCGCTGCGCTGTGGACTTCGACTAGGATCTGGCTGTCGGTGATATGCGGTTTGGACGTACCGGCGGCTGGGAGGAACAGGTTCTTTTCCAGGCCGCCGCGGGCATTCTTGAACTGCCACGCTCGCATTGTTGCCGCCATTTTCTCAAAGGAATTCCGTGAATGATGATGAGATGGGAGTGGGCGTGATGATGGAAGATCGATGTTTGCTGCCTTTGTAGGGTCTCCCGATATTGTCATGCCACCGCTCCATCTCTTCCGGCGGGGCAAGCGCAGCCCACCCGCCATTACGCGTAACGCATGTCATGAGTGGCGCAATGGACTATAAATGAGCGCGGCGCAATTTTCGTTGCGAGTGGCCTCACACAGGTGGTACTCCGGACGAAGTGTGAACGAAGTGCGAGGACGGACGCATTGCAGGAGTCGGCTAGTCTCTTTCCGGCTAGACCCGATTTGTACGCTTGTACACCCCGGGGCCACATTCTCCCTCCGTCTCTCACATTGCCTGCTTTACCTTCTCGCGGTCTGTCACTCCTCTGTAAAGTAGCCATTCCACCTCGATGTAATATTCGTTTGCATTTTCCGTTGACGGTCGCACATGTCCACAAAGGGTATAGTCTAGCCGAGGCTATCCCTCAAACTAGAAGCTGTGCTATCTACCCCACAATGCCATTCTCACCTTTCCATCGGGAAACTTACGTCTCGTTTAACGGTAGACGACTGGAATGCACAGCTCTATATCTAGTTTCATCCTCCGTCTCCAAACCGAAGAGAGCCAGCCCAGCGCGTAAGCTCCGATTTCGGCGTTGAGTGAGGAGGCCAGGTGCGTGTGAATCATCTCCAGGCTGGGCTTCTTTGCACTCCTTCACTTCTTTCCCTACCACAGCTCTCCGTTCCCTATTCGGCCTGATCCTCCTGATTCCCTCTCCGACATCGACTGGGTTGAAGTTGTCACAATGGGCGTCTTCTACGAGACCATCCCCTCCTCCCTCCGCCCATGGATCCTCGAGCAGAAGATGCTCTGGGTAGGCTCCGCGCCCCTGTCCGCCGACGGCCACATAAACATCTCTCCCAAAGGCGGCCAATACTTCGGCATCGTCGACGAGCGGACCTTCTGGTACATGGATCTGACCGGCAGCGGCGTCGAGACGCATGCGCACCTGCACGAACCGGGAAACGGACGTATTTGCGTCATGTTCATGGCATTCGAGGGCCCACCGCGCATCATCCGCATCTGGGGCAAAGGGCGAGCCATCGAGAACGGATCGAAAGAGTTCGAGGCGTTTGTGCAGAACCACAAGGTCAAGGCGATCCCGGGCTCGAGGAGTATTATCGTCGTAGATGTGCATCAGGTGGCGACGAGCTGTGGGTTCTCAGTGCCGTTCTATGAGTGGAAGGGGTGGAGAACGACGTTGAATGATTTCTTTGAGAAGAAGGATAGGGCGTATAAGGCTGGGAAGGAAGACGAGAGCATGGACAAGTGAGTGCGACCCTTGGCATCGGCATCTAAACTGCTCAGTACTTACCATTGTCCAGGTATTGGGCGTATAAGTCTCAACTGAGCATCGATGGCTTGCCTGGCATGAAGCGAGGCTACGACTACGCACAGAAGAACAACGTCGCTCCTCTGAAGAAGATGGTCGGAAAATGGGCGCCTAAGGCCCCTCGCACTGCATACACCATTTCTCCAGTGCATCTCTTCCTCGTCGGGATGCTGAGCTTCATTATCGGGGTAACACTGACACTTACGCTGGCTTCTCCGGAGACCGTCAGGCGGATCCAGCACAAGGAGCACTTTTTCTGAGGACAGAACTTCATGAGGCATTCTAACCATCTCCATGGATATCCCTGGCTTCGCGGGCTTTGGGATTTCGGCATTCTGGACGCGGTTCTCCTGTTACGTTGTGGCGTTCCATGACTTCTTGTTATATCCTCATCAACATCTGCGCATAGAACAGAAACCTTGCGAAGAGCCAGGCGAAGCCCTGGATAATACGAGCGATTAGCGGACTCATCGGCGCAGTCCTGGCTTCCAAGTCATTGTCCTATTCTGCGCGCGCCCTGCAGTTCTCGAAGGTATCTTACTCGCACACTACATCTCATTATTTCACAAGAGGAATCCAGAATCCTCCCGTCAACTTCGTCTCCCTTTCCCTACCTTCCACAAACCGCCACATAAAGCGACTAGTCTCCAAATTAACGAATATAGGCTTGAACAAAATTTCAAACCAGGGTTCGCGCGGCCAGTATGCAAGCTGTCCATATCAGGCTAGTGTCAACACCCATTTGGCCCTCCAGGGCTATTTCTGGCTTCACGAACATTAGGCCACCCACTCGCGAACCTGTCCGGGTCCTTCCCGCCATTCCCGCATCTCAGACATACATCTCTAGACTCCCAAGGGTCTCTACCCTAGTATCTCTACCCATGAGCCTTGCACCGTCTTGCTCCGGAAATGAAGGTAGGAGTACTGTAGCAAGGGCATGACGTGACGTCCGCCGCGGTGCGAGAAATGAAGAATACGAGATTGTTAAAGAGAGAGATATATAGGCGATCGAAATATTGCAGCTTCAGATAGTGGAAAACACCTACCGCAGGCTAGTCAAGATGATCCTACTAATTGGACTCGCCGCATTAGCAGTCCACTCACATGCACAATCCGTCATCACTCTAACTCCCTCTCCCAACCCACCTCCCGGCGCTTCGCGTCCTGGAAACCACAACTTCCCCAGTCTCGCATTCGAAAAGTCTTCGTTCTACGCCTATGCGGGTTTGTTCATCCCCCACTCCTCTCCTAATTATTCTATCCTCTAACCCACCTAACCATAACCAGGCAACTCCACCCACCCCAACCTCTTCTCCCAAGCCCTCATCGACATCCTGCAATCCAAAGTCGGCGTCCCGCTCTGATTACGCATCGGCGGCACCTCCGCAGACCAGGACCACTACAACGCCTCCCAAGCCGCCGCAGTCGTCAAACCGCACCCGCCGGACCCAAATGGCGGCCTCTGGGGCTACTCCATCGGCCCGAGCTACTTCGACGCGCTGGCGAACTTCAATTCGTCCAAGTACATCTGGATGCTGCCCATGGCGCACGCTGCCGGCCTACACATGGGTGCCGAGGCATTAACGCAGGCGAAGCTGGCGCTACGCAACATTGGCTCAAAGCTGCAGCTGCTGGAGCTGGGGAACGAGCCGAATCTTTACCATGAGCAGGGGATGCACGGCGCGCAGTATGATGTAGCGCGGTACTTAAGCGAGGCGCTGCAGCACGAGGCGGACATCGAGGGGAATGTTACGGCGGTGAAGAGGGTGAAGTATCAGGCGTTGGCGTATGATTCTGGGGTCAGCCATGCGGTGTGGAACGAGGAGAAGGCGTTTGGGGCGGGGATCAATCGGAATGCGAGGATTGGGAGTGTCTCGTGGCATTATTATCAGAGTGTGTCGAGTGGTGGCGTTACGCTGAGGAAGACGCTTATGGTATGCATATCTGTATATTTCCCCATACCAATCTTTCAAATGACGACCGACGGTGGTTCTTGAGCTAACGCTCCTCTTCCGCCTCAGAACCACACAGCAACCGTCACAAAGCTTTCGCGCTTCATCCCGAATATCAGGCACCTATACAACCGCAACGCAAACCTTGACTTCGTCCTCGGCGAGGTCGGCAGCGTCATCGGGCCGGAGCTGAAATGGGACGTCTAAGCCACATTCGGCAACGCCCTCTGGACTATCAACATAATGCTGCACTGCATGTCGCTCAACGTAACAAGGATGCACATGCAGTCAGGCACAGGCTTCGGGTATGCGCCGTGGAACATGACAGACGTTCGGCCGCCGTATTATGCTATTGCGATGGTCGCGGATTTCATCGGAAACAAGACGGGCGCGGAGTTGAGGATCAGGAACATCGACTTGGGAAGCGAGACGTTGGCGGCGTACTCTGCGTACGAAGGCTCTGCCCTTCGGCGTTGATCAATCTAGCTATGTGGAATGCATCCATGGGAACGGAGGCGGAGCGGCCGGTGACGAAGTTCCAAATCAAGGTTCCGGAGGGGTAAGCGGGGTCGAGGTTAGGAGGATGATGGCAGCTGGCGCGACGGAGACGGGCGGCGTGAGCTGGGGCGGTATTAGGTGGATCAAGAGCGGTAACGGCGTTGCGGAGAGAAATGTTGCGAACGGGACGGAGGTGCTGAGCGCGGATCCCGCGACGGGGAGGGTGACGGTGGGCGTCAAAAACAGCGAGGCCGTTTTGCTAGGGATGTTAAGCGATTGATCTTCTATAGGTTAGGAACTTGGAATAAGAAAAGAATTGCCAATTAATCGTCGCGCAAGAGTACTAAGCGCGCATACACGTGAGTACGCGTTTTTCGCTTAGTCTAGCGTGTTTTATCGCGACTTTCAGGGAGGCTTTCCGCAAACCGCCTCCATACTCGCTCACTCCATTGCCCCATTCAAGTCCTGTTTACTGCCCTCGGCTTTTATCGAACAATCAGTTGAACAACATGTCTAGCTCCGCGAGGCAATTTCGCACAGCAAAGAAAGTAGCTCACATATCAACGTAAGACTCGCCGCCTTCCATTCATCATCCATCCGCGCCTTCATCTGGGCCAACTCTAATTGGATTCTAACCACTCTTTAGCTTCCCTCTTATGAAACTGCCGCGAGAACTACGCGACTGCATCTATGAGCTTGCTCTCGAGCCGCGAGCCGAATTCTTGCACACGCGATTAGAACAAAGTGACCCTGCGTACTGGTACGTATGCACTTCAGCACAGCATGCCTTAGCTCTTCGACCGTGAACAGCGCCTCCTGAAGGCGGGCCTTCAGCAGATAAAAGATCTAAGACGTACTAACTCAACTCCTCCCGATCACTCTGCTCTGATACATGTGCTAAGCGAACATTTTCAGCCTGCCAACGATGCCCTTCCCTCGATCGGATGACGAAGAGCATGATGAGCGATCTGAGGACGACGACGACAACAGCGACGACGACACACACTGGGGGCAACTAAAGGCGATTCTTGCGTTCAGGCTATCTACGTTCCACCCGCTTCTGCTCGTCAGCCGCGAGGTCAACGCCGAGGTTAAGCGACTGTTGAAGATCTTGAGGTACGTGCAATACGGAGGTCATGGTACAAATCCCACCCAGTGTGCCTCCCGACAATACTACCGGGATACACCCCCGGAGGAGGAGGGGCAACTCAAGCCATGCTCTCATGTCTGTCAAAGTCGCCAGACAGATGTTAACGCATACAGGCCACGCTACCACTCAGCCGTAAAGTCATCCATCCACCTCCGCGGGATGAAGTCCCCCCACCCGCTCTTCCTCTCTATCTGCTCGCGCAGCCGCTTCGTCCTCGACTCCGACATCTCCCACTCGTTGTTCTTCCTCCTGAGCCTGCCTCGCGTGATACGACCCTTCATCCGCAACGTGGTCATCACCATGGAGAATCTTATGGCCGACGACGCAGCGGTCCTGGGGGTGTGGTGCAGGCGCGACGACGGGTACTGCCACTTCACGCGGCTGCTGCGCGAGCAGCTCCCCGGTCTGCGCGAGATAGCCCTGGCGGTGCCCGCGAGCAACATGGAGTGGTACTGCGAGTGGTACTGCGAGTACGCGCCGCGGATGGTGTGCGACATGCTTGCCAAGCGCGAAGTCGACGTCGTGCGCTTCTTCTACCACAAAAGCCGATCAGAGAAATGCATGTACTTAGAGGATCTCGAGGGCGCTTCGGAAGAGGTTGCCAAATCGGCTTGTTTTCGCTGCGAGGAGGTCCCGAGACGATTCGACACGTATGAGGAAGTTAGCTGGAGGAATATCAAGCAACACCCCGACTGGCGCAGAATGGGAGTGAATAGAGTAGTGAGGATCACTAGGTGGAGCGATACACGGCTCGGAAGCCCTACCATCAAGCAGGTGGTCCGGTTCGAGCCTCTTGGGCCTTTATAGCCCCGTACAGGGTCAGTTCACCAATGATAGTTCAGGTGCTGTACCTCCCCTCTAGTACGACAGATTTCCGCAATTATGTACCGTCCCAAATTATCCGTCTACCAACGCTCAATGATGACAAACGTGGGGAGCCGAAAATATACACAGTAATCACTGCTGGGATGCCGACGGCGCGGGCCGAGCTGATCGTCCGTGCCGCTATTTGGCGAGCCTTTGCCCGTTTGCTTTCCCTCATCGCTCCACGAGCAGACTAAACGGGAACCCCTGACGCCTTTCCAGGGCACCGACAAAGAGAGGGAACAAGATTACTGATATCCCACACCAACCTCGCCCGGAAAAGAAGCCCAGAAATCCTGCGTGGCATTCATCATAATCTCTTCCATATCCGCATTAGAAAAATCCCAGTTAAGATTGAAGGTCTCATCATCCTCAAGAGGAGGGATAGGATGTTGCGCGTTCCACGAAAAATTCGGATTGTAGCCGTTCGGGGTCGACGCGGGCGGACTGACGAGAGGAGCATTCGCAGGAGGCTGCTAGAGGGATTCAGTATTCAGTTCAGCGCAGAAAAGAGATGAGAATACATACCTCCCGAGATATACTGTTCCGCACGATGGTTGCATCTGGTGGCGGCTTCACATCTACCGGTTTCTGGACTGGTGAAGGTTGCAACGCGCCATAGTCGATCATAGCGCGTCGGAGTGCCTGCCGTTCGTCGGGCGACACAGGGCCGTCTTGTCCGAGTACAGTGCGATAATACGCCTGCATGCGCTTGATTGTCTCAAACTGCAGAATGTTAGCCAGCACTTTCAGCGTGCTGGTCGCGCAAACATACCCAAGTCTCTGCCATGGGCCACTGGGTCTTCATCTCCTTCAAGAACGTACACCCTCGAATGACACGGTCTCGTGCCTTCTCTGTGATCCGGGGATCATCTTCTCCACTGGGGAAGTTGAAGCTATACAGCATCACTCCGACGGCGGTGTAGATGGTGAAGCCTATCCACGGTACTAGACCACGGAGAAAGAAGACGCCAAATGTACGCATCTCCTCGAGCATCTCCAAGACCATAGATGCCTCGTTGAATAGCTCTTTTCTGGACGTCTTCTGCCAGTTCTTCCACATTTCTGTGTGCTCACTATACGAGTTGGGTGTCTCTTCCGGCACGTTCTGCGGCCCTAGGACTGGAAGGTATGCACGGTGCAGGAACATATAACTCATGAAATATATGCTGTGCATATAGCAGTACGCCTGCCCTTGGTCCACTGCATTGTGGCTGTGGAGCGAGAAAAGGTCGTATTGCAATCGAGGCGGAAGGGACTTCTTCCAGGCTTCGAGTTCAATAATGAGCTGCTGAAATTGTGAGGTTGGCGACCAGGGGAGTTCTGCCTTGAGATCTTCCGAGCAAGCCCATCGAGCGACCTTGCCCCAGATGTTGGCGGCTCGCATGCTGTACGCGATGATGCCAAGCTCACCAACGTTTATTGATAGAGGCGGCATACGCAGGGACGGGTCCAAAAGATGTTCAGTGCATACAGGTTCGCCGAAGACGAAGCTTTCCCGCTCGCAAGGAAGCTGAATGGTCATATCGCCGGCAGTCAACGATCGCTTGCGTCCCTTGCCGCCGCTCAAGAGCGAGTCCATGAGGAAACACGTCCAGGCTGTCCGCCGGCGCACTTCTGCCTCAATAAACTCCTCGCGCGTGGGTGGGCGGTCCTTTGGCGCCTTTAGCTCCTGTGTGAGGTCCATGACCTCGACGAGCCGTATCGCCATCCCCAGATAGATCCATGCTCTGCGCCCATTTCCAGCACCCCAATCGTGGCCCGTCAACATCAACAGAGCTTGTACGCGGCTAATGCTGGGCGTCTCGAGGTCGGACTGGAGGATCTGGCGGGCGTGGGCGGCGAAGGCATTGCTCGCCTCTGTCTGCGTCTTGAAGGGCGCTGGAGGTTCTTTTACGAACCTGTCTCGGTTAGAAAGGAAAGTTATTGACGCCAGCGGCGCAGTGTTGCATACCTGATGGCCAGGGCGAGAATGGCCCAGGCCATCCATATCTCCAACGTCCTATCGCGGATGCGCAGCAGCAAGGTGGGCGTGTGATGAAAGCTCCATTTGTACGAACAGCGCAGGTAGCTGTTCTTCACTTCGTCGGTGAGCAGATCGAAGGGGTCGATGCCGTCGAGCAGAGATGCCGTCGAGTTCGGCGAGGCGTGCTGGGCGGCATTGGCGGGACTGATGCCGGTGCCGGTCGGCGCGTCGCTGCGGCGGTACAGGGGCTGCTGGGGTGTCACGGTGGTCGACGGCGGCGTCGAACCAGACTCCTGTCGTGGGCGCTTCGGCTTGCGGTGGATTGCGCTCGTGCCCGGCGGTGGGAATTCGCAGAGCGCCGCCCGCCCGCTCGTTTTGCAGCGCTCGCAGGGTGGGGCGTCTGGCTCGCCCTCGTGTTAGCTGCGCTCGCTCAATTGGGACGGCGGGCTGACCGTTGTGGATGCACTTTTGCTTCGCGCTCCGGCACGAGACACAGGCCACGGGGTTCCTCATTATTGCAGCCGTCGCACAGCAGACATCAGGAAGCGCCGCATCTTGAGGCTTTCCGTCGCCATCCCGCCGCGCAGCCCAATCGCGGCACCTAGCCCCACGCTAACGAGATATCGGCCCTAATTAGATCCGGGCCCGAGCCGACACCATCACATCACCCAACTTTCCATCTTCTCTACCTTCACACAATCGCAGACTGGAAACTGATCCGCCACGGCAATGGCACTCGTGTTGCGCCCTATGATGCTGGACCTCGTTCGCCGAAGCTCCTACAATACGACTCCAGGGGCCATTCAGCAGGCCGGACGCCTAGACTTGGGTTATTGCTAACTGTGTAGACTTGCGATGAAGCTGATACGCCGCTACCACGGGTACCTGGAGAACATTGCCGATAGACCAAGAGCAGCGTGCCATGTGCTGGTTGAAGGGTTCGTCGAAGGGGCTTGGCATGTCTGGTAGAGCCAGTTGTGGCTTTGGAAAGCCTATTCTGAAGGCCTTCAACCGGTAGAGACGAATCAATTCCGGCTCTGCAAAATGTTCCAAATCACCCCTGGATGCGCTCAGCCGATAACCAGCAATGTATCTGCTTGATAGAGCAAACTGAGGTCGGTTGACCCTATTCTACATCGAGGCTGAGAGGTACTTTCCTAAATCACGTCTTCCTCCAACCCTCCCCCGTCAGTATCAGCTTTTTCACCACCAGCAATTCCCCGAGCACCCTGCCTCTCGTTCACACAGGTCAGCGCCCGTGCCCCCTCCATAGACTGAATTACATTCACTTCTATGCCCATATCAGGCTAGCACGAGTTTCACGCCAAGCCTCGCATTGCCCACAAAAGATTCCTTGCCAGCATCCCCTTCCATGTTCCCTCTCGCGGTCATACAACCGCAGGGTTATTCCACCTCCGAACCCGCAAACATGTCCACTCTTAAGAGGACGCGGGCCGCCACCGATGACGGTTCCGAAACCGAACAGCTTTTCAAGCGCAGCATCAAAGTCGCCAAGCAGCAAAAGCCGGACGGCGAGGGAGACCTCTCAAAAGTGAGTGTGCGGTGTTTTGCCACCGCGGTTGCCGCGCTGATCTCGCGTTCCAGCCCGGATGGCGGCCTCTTTATGCATCTGACGGCCTGAACGCGGTCGCCGAGGTGCAAGGAAAGGCACTGGATCCTAGCCTTCCGCGCAAATTGTCAGATGCCGCGCCTCTTACCAGCTCCGAGAAGCAGACCAAGGCTGCCATCCAAGGAGATGACCCGCCGTCACTTCAGATAGCCCTCTCCCTAGATCGGTTCTCATTGCGAGAAAACCAATGGGCGGAGTGGGTCAGCAAAGAGAAGGACGACAAGGAAAAGGCCGCTATCATCATCACCGCCCGGGACTCAGATTCCCGCACAAAGCAGCAGCTTCTTCGCCTCGTACGCCAGTTGTGGCCTTGGTTCTGCGATGCCCTAGACACGATTACTCGCGAGATCCTCCTGAGCCCCGATGAGCGATCAAATTACTGTCAAGCTGTCAGTACCATGCGAAATGCAATCCTAGTCCTCCGAGAACGGCACGGTACCCCGCGTACAGAACTCTATCTCCTCTCAACTCACATATGGAAGAATAGCAGCGGTCCCAAGCTACCACTCGACTCTGTTAATCGCGTCGTCAAGATGCTCGGAAAAACTCCATCCATCCACGAGCATCTCAGAATACTCCGGCTGCAGCTTGAATACATCCAAGAGTCATTTAGTGCACCTGACTGGTCGGATGAGGCGTATAAGCGTGAGCTGCGCCAGGAAGAGGACGACGCTCGGAAGCGCAAGAAGGCGGACGGAGATCACCGGGCTCGACTGCGCGAAGCGTTTGAGCGAGAGCAGGCTGCCCAGTACCGTGCCGCTGAAGAGGCCGAGCAGCAGCGTGCTTGGAAAGCCGCGGAAGAGCAGACACGGCAAGAAGAAGCCCGCAAACAGGCGGAAGCTAAGCAGGCACAACAACGAGAGGATACACGCCTCCAAGAAGAAGCTCGACAAAAGGCAGCGGAGGAAGAAGTTCGCAGGCAGCAAGAGCAAGAGGCGCGCCGTACGCAAGAGGCTCGTCAACAGGCAGAACAAGAAATGCGACAGGTTCAAGCCGAGCGCGAACGACAAAAGCTCGAGAAGGATCGCATAGCAGCAGAGACGTTAACTACACAGCTCGTTGCCACGATCCAGAACGGCACGCCGCTTCCGTTCCTTCTTCCGCCTAAATCTGATCTGATCGCAAAGCTATCCAGCGCTTGGTCAATGCTAGAATCCGACATCGCAGCCATGGGACCTCAGGACCTCACCAAGCTCAGCGAGCTGGAGGAGCTCGACGTGTACTGGATCACACCGACCCAGAACGCCATGCTCGCTTTGCGGCTGTTGAGGCGCACTCCAAACGAGTTACTCAGCACCGGCTGGGACCTTGACACCATGCACAACCTGAATGAGTTGCTTGGACACTACCAAGAGATCGAGGTGCTGCAGTGGCTCAAAGTAAAAGTCATTGACGTCTGGGGACTGCTCCGCGAGGCCCAGATGGAGTTGAATGCCTCTTTCGCATTTTCTACATCTAGCGAAGAGTCATCGTCATCGATCGGCAGCAACAATACGGAAATCACCATCCCAAACGATTCTCCAGAGAGAAGTGCCTGTTCCACTGAAGTGGCCAAAGCAGTGGCTCCAAGACCGAAGACATCTTTCGAATCACCCCTTACCGCACGAATTACCTATCCGGAGGGCGACCCACGAGTGAAGAAGCCGCAATCTACTTCCCGTCCCCCGCCCTTTGAGCAGAGCGACATTGAGTCAGAAGGCGATACCAATGGGAACGATCGATCCAGGATCGAGCATACGGAAACACAGACTTCCAGTAGCACACGGAGCGACCAGAGTTACTCATCTGATGCCACAGCACCACTCTCCCCATGCAACGATGGAGATATCAATATGGAAGATGCGCCAGAGCAGCCATTCCGGAAATTTTGCACATTCTTCCTGAAGAATAAGTGCAAATTCGGTGACAGGTGCCGAGATCTCCACGACCGCCAGACTCCACATCAATCCACGCTTTCCAGCAGAAACGGCGGATTGGCTCAGCATCAGCCTTCTGAGCCCCTGCCTTCCGAGGCTCAGCGGTGCAGCCATGCCCAGAGGTACGGCTCCTGCAAGCTCGGTGACAAATGTAGGGAGCTACGAGCCTTGAATCACACCACCGCTCCGGCGGTCATTCGAGGGCAACAGATGGAGACGAACGTGAGCCCAGATTGCTCACGGATTCCTTGCAAGTTCGGCGGCCACTGCCGCAAGAAACGCTGCCCCTTTAAGCATGAACTCGAGCTCCAAGCCGAAAGCACGGAGCAAAATCAGGACGACGCCAACGACACCGAGCGTCCATACGACATGCCTGCCAACGCCTTCAACGCCGCACAGCGAGCTCCTCCTCCCCCGATGACCGAGCCTAGATTGCCTGATTCTAACCTCGCTTCTGCCAGGATTAGGACGATAAACACTAGACTAGTCGACCTGATGCAACATGCAAACCCCGGCCTAGAGACTTTTGAGACCGACGACTTCTACGACGCCACCCGATCCTACCTCAGAGAGACCCTCGCCAAAGCTTTCGCGGCCGAGATTACAGAGTCCAGATTGTCGGCGGAACGTGTGGAAATGCTTCATCGATCTGTCCTGACCCATATACCCACCACGGACCTTAAGCAACGCCAGAAGATCACGTCGGTGTTGGGCGACGTAGGCAACAAGGTTGACAAGGCGTTGCGCGAGATGGGCCAGGAGGACGCCACGCCACGCTTCTGGCGCAACACGCGGGCGCCAACTCTGACCGCGTCAACCAGTGTCCAGCCAAAGCAGAACTCTCCCTTTATCTTCGGTGCTCGAGCATCGCCTGCGGGCATCTCAGGCTTTAGCTGCGACGCTACTGATGATTCGGGTGACGCTGTCCGGGACAACAACGTCAGCTTCACTAAGGTTGAGGCTAACCAAGAGGAAGGCGTCAAGTTTAAGGGTCGGGGTCCGCGCTCCTACCGGCCGTCGTCGGCGCGCGCACCGCCCAGAAAACGGCAATAGCCGCGTTAATCGGCAAGGGGCCTGTCCGCGCATGCTCTTTTCCATGATAGCCTTTCGCTCTCAACAACGAGGATGATAACAGCACAATCAAATGCGAAACGAAGTCCTACAAGTCACCTCCCGGATCCTTCTCGCTCGGCTAAAGCGATGGCGTGCATGCCGAAATCCCCACATAGCTCCCGGCCGCTCGCCGTCTACCAGATACCACAAGCACGATGCCCCAATCAGTGGAAGATGGGAGGCCTTCCTTCTATCGAATAGGCACCTTTCTTCTCTGGGGCAAGGCTCTATGCCTTTGGCGTACTTGACGGTAACTGCGGTGGACTACGACGTCTAGCATACGGGGAGGGACAAGATAAAAACAGTGGGGTTCAAGCTTATGCAAAGCCGTATCGCAGAGGATGGGAGCCAGGTTCCTCAAATAGTATCTTCGAATAAATGTCAATTTTCTCTCTTATAATGGCCCCTCGACTTATGTATCTACCGTTTACCGCCAACCCATGTCCAGCGCATTCGTCCACTCACTCTCTCTTCGTCCTAAAACAACCCAAAATCTCTCCGCCCAACTCCTTCTCCGCCCCTGGCGTGTCTACAAGACACAGGTAGACGCCAACGACCGTGACACCTTGCTGCTCCAGCGCGACGGCTTCACGAGGTAGTTTTCGGGGCGGCTTCAGGCGAGCGTCGGCGGCAGTGAAAAGCTTGCTAGCTAAGGCCAGCGCGTTTACCAATGCCGGTAGTGCTGAGTGAGTAAAGAGTGAGCCAGGCGACTTTCCTCCCGGAGCAGATGGATGTGGAGAACAAGGATTCTGCTAGGCATTGTGTTGTGTTGCGTTGTGTAGTGTTGTACTGGAAGCCAGACGCTCGCGTCGAGCCTGGTGAGAGAGAGTGTGTGGTTGTGGGCCTCGCGACGCGATCTGTCTGTGTTAGTTTATTAGGCGTATGCGTGGATGAGGATGGGTAGTGAGTGGTCGGTCGCTTTATGTGCTGGGGTTTCTTCTAGTGTGTTGTATGAGGTGGATATAGTCGAGGGTGTTGGATGAGGGGGGTTCGTATTGTAAATAGAGTGGTAGAAGTGGGGTTTTAGATTGAAGAGACCATCGTGATAAGGGCTTAAGTTAGCGCTACACCGGGTTCAAGCGGATATATGTACGAGGAAATCCAACGACTTTTGTTGTAGTAGTAGATAGAGTATGGTTGTGGTACTAGGCCCAATACTGACTAAGATATAAACGATGCAGAGAAGCCTCGCCCGGAGATCTCATCTTGGTGAAACGTCAGAGTCCGGCTTCGAGATGTCCAGGAAGCCCATAAAGTCTATAAAATGTATAAAAAGCACGATCCTGACATGCACCTTATGACCGCCGTGCCACAGACGATGTCGCCGTTCGCGACGGTAGGCGTACCTAGGCATGCCCCTCATTCGACGTATCAGCGCGCCTGGTGTTCGTGGTCCTCCTATAGCCAATTCTAAGCTCCTCCAGTTCCAAAAACTCCTCCTATAAAGATGTCAGAGCAAGTCGCAGCACAGCCAAGCAAGTTCCCTTCTCTACGATACGTACCTGACTTAAGCGTCGCGGGACATCAAACACGAAAGAACTGCCCTCCCTGCCCACAACCGAGCCTTCGCAATCATGCAGCTCCACAAAAGCCCCACGCACCCATTCCTCCAAGGCCTCCGCGCTCAAGCCGCGCCCCGGCACCTCAATGCGGAACCAAAGCGGGGCGAGCGTTTCGCGGAGATGCTTCACGTCTTCGAAGGCTGACTTCTGGAAGTGGCTGGCTAGCTGACGGATATATATCATCCATTGCCCTTCGGGCAGCGGGATTGTACCGCTGTTGATGCGTTCTGCCATTAACTGTACCAGGTCGTCCCACCCGTTCTCTTTGGCCCAGAAAAGACAGTAGAAAATCCCTTCGCCGTGGCCCGGAGGGTTGGTCGGAAGCGGATTTGCGCCTGCTTCGAGGAGCAGCTTGGCGGCTTGGTGATGCTGGCGGAAGCAGGCGACCTGAAGCGCGGTAGAGCCATGCCGTCCGCCCGGTTGCTCGAGGTCCAAGGGCGTTTCGTTGGCGAGGATGACCGATATAAGGCGATCGAAACCGAAGGAAGCGGCGTAGTAAAGCGGTGATGTCTGTTCAATAACGTCGGGGGGAAATGAGCCGTTGGATATGAATTGGATCCAGAGGCCGTAGTTACCACCGTTTGGATACCTCCTAGTAGCTAGGAATGCGGAGATCACGTCCCAGCTAGCGTTGCTAACGTCTACGATGTGTAGCGTCCAGCTGTACGCTGCGTACGACAGCAATGGATACTGGGAGGTCAATTCGGGATAGAAGTTGATGGGCCTGATAGCTTTTGTCTCGAAGATTTTGAAGCCGAGATAAGTAAGGCAGGTGCGCATGATTACGCCATGGGCCTCTTTTTCGTCAAGCGCAAAGTTGGCCACGGTGCTGTGACGTATTTCTGCCGAAGTGAGAAAAGTCTTGATCGACGAATGCCCTAGCGATACAAGCTCTCTCTTTCTGTCGTACTCAAGGAGGCCCTGGCCAAGAGAGAGGAGAATAAACGGATCATGAAGTCTGGAGTCGCTATCCAAGTCGATGTCTTCTTCTTCAATTACAATGGCTTCACTCAACTCATCAAGCCGGAGGGGTCGTGTTGCGTAGCAGAGCCAGAGGAGTGCCCTCTGCATGTACTTTTGATAGCATCTCTGACGGGGGAGTTCGGAGTTGAATTGGCTGAGTATGCGCTCGTACGTCTCGTTCAGGTCGCGTGGCATGTCGGCCAATGCTTTTCTTACATCCCGGCCGGTTAACTGCGCACTGACACGGGAGATCTGTGATGACGCATATCGGAAGCTGAATGCATTAGCGAAGCAAACCTCTAGAGATTATGTAACCTCACACGCCATCCGAACGGTCCAGTATCGCCTCTCTAATCTCTTGTCTCAGGGCACTACTCAATGCGCTCAATGTAGCGGTGCCCGCAATCTGGCTATCGACGTAAATGCGTATATCGCGGCCCACCGTCTTGGTGGCCATAGGACTCTCTCGAAAAATGACATTTGCATCGATTCGTGATTGTTTTACGCTGTAAGTGCTTGATAGTACTAAGCGCACATTTTGACACGACTTAGCAAGGTCCGAGAGCATCTCCTCGACTTGATCAGAGGACTGACTCTCGTTGATCGCGTCTACGAAGATGAATATGCGATCCAAACCTGCGGTGTGCCGCCGGAATATGTCTTTCAGCTGTCCGAGCTTCACATTGGACTCTGTTTGCTGTTGTGACAACGACTTGTATGTTGCAGATAGCTCCTGATAAAGCGAAGGAATGCCCTCGCTTAGTTGCACAAGAAAGGCGGACAGGATATTGACCGGACTCTGGGATACCAATGTACTGAAGGAGCAGTAAGAGTATGCGACTCGAACGGAACCTGTCTTGCGGTATTGTGCTTTCACATGTTCGATAGCACATGCCCTACCAGGTCCGTAAGACACATGATCAGGCGAATGGGAAATGTCTGAGCGGGGCTTACAAGAGAGTCGTCTTCCCGGAGCCAGCTTGATGTTCATAATTCGGTCAGCACAAGATCTCATGGTCATGAAACGCAATCAAACTGATGAACCAACATTTTCCCTGGAGCCACAGTATCCTGGCGTTGTCGTTAGGGCATTCCTGTAAGGCTTTGAGTGGCCCGTAAAGAAACCACATTCCCGTTTCCGGCTGATGGGTTTCGTACGCCTTGGCGTGAATGGACTCCGGCCGTACGGGAGCAAGCCATTTGAACAAGGCTTCTTGGTCGTTTCCTATGCTGACATTAGCCTTATCTTATAATAGCAGTGCTAACTTCCAAAGACCTACTGGCGATCTCAGCCTCGCGGGATGTCCGGTCCTGAGACACGTCCAGTTTCAGCTGTGAGAGTTCGGATAGAATTGCTTGATTGTAGTTCCTATCCCGGGTATCAGAGCGGTCTGGTCAGGGACCTCAAGCAGACGCAGCTCACAGACTGTCCCCCATCATCGTGATCATGAAACCGCTTTTGAGTCGCTCCAATCTCGTGAACTGCTCTTGTACTTCTTTCTTCTTGTGGCTCCAGGTCACCCGTTGCATCAGGTGTCCCAGTGCCGATGCTTTTGGCTTAAGCGACGCTTGCAAGTCTCGCAGTGCTTCTCTGGTAGCTTCCAACAGACGTGCAAAGTCCGAAGAGTCGTATTTGTAGACATCATTTTCGGATTGGCCCGCGCGAACCGACTCAATGTATTCCAGGATGCCTTTTAAAGAGAAGAGATCAGCAGCATGATGCTGGACGTCCGCCTTCGCTTCTTTGGTGTCGGAGTAGTAGGTCATCAACATCCCGACAATCGGTGGAATGGCAAGCACCAGGCCAGCTACCGACACAGGGTCGGCCATACTGCAGGTTGCATAAAGCCATTAGCATCCAGAAGTAATGGTTGAAGAAGGTTGGAGAGCTGAAAAGTAAGCGTCAGGCCCGCTGCACGAAGCGGGGTTAGCGCCACCTAGGCCGAAAAGAGGAAGGCGCGAAACGCGTGCACACAGCCACCTGGACATCAACCGTGGCCTTCTCTCAACGCGACATCCACGAGCATGAGAAGCCAGCATGCATTGATCAGCAAAGCATTGCCGAAACAGTAAGATGGCAGCCAGCTCTCATCATGTATCACCGGCCGGACCAGGCAGGTGAAACTTATAGACGACGTACCTCGTTACGTCCAGCGGATGTCGAGTTATTCCAATGCATATGTATCACGTCCTCCGTCCTCTACACTGCCGAATAAGTCTTCCTCACCAGAGTCGAGGTATTGTACGCGAAGGAATTCTCTGCGATCGTTACGGCCGACGGGTCACGGCGAACATCCGCAATGGGTGATGTTACTCCCTTCTTGTACAACCCCTTATTCTAGCTCTGTAATAGCCGGAGCGTGGACTAGATCCGTAGATTCGAGATCAGCCGGCCCTACATAACGCAAGCTGGCATACCGTACCGACCGAAGCATCGAAAGCTGTCGCACAATGTCTGATCTAAGTAGGGAGCCTAGTTAAATAACGCGGTATATGAGTCCCTTGTCCGAGCCAACATCTAGGAGAGGCCCATGCTCATCTCCAGTATGGATCGGAAGCCGTGCCTTAGTGGACGTTGCTCCGGTGCGGCGGTCACCATCCAAGGCAGACCCAATAAAGCCTATATATGGACATCTAGCTACCACGGAAAAGGTTCCCTTTCCAGGGAACGGCAAGGGAGCGTATTCCAGACTAGTACGTAGCTGACTTTATTAAACTCATCAGTTTGCCCTTCCTGTCGGATGTCCGCCCATCTCGACGTCAATCTGCTTTTCTCTTTCACAGAAGTCACCATCCACCATGGGGCTCACTCTCGTTCTCCTCGTTTTTCTCGCATCCGCAAACGCCACTCTCCGGACTTGGAACGCATCAATTATTTCCGCTCTGGAAAGCGGAGACCTTCAACTTGCGGATGTCGATCTTACCCCCCTTACTTGCAGGTGGACCAACTGCAACGAGGTATGCCCTCCAGGTTACGTTCCTGTTCCGCGGCAAGGTGGTGCTCCAAACGAGAAGATGTGGGATCATACCCACTGTGGAGGCGTTGGCCAGCAGCTGTTCTGCTGCCCCAGTGAGATCCAACAACCAACATGCACTTGGCGCGGGCATAGGAACACCGGGTACTGCGGGGTTTCTGGCTGTCCTCCCGGTGAGGTTGAGGTTGGCAGCCTGACCGTAGGATGTAAGGAGTCTCATCAACGCGCATGCTGCTTTGGCAGCTTAGGAGTAGCTGCATACGGTCAATGCAAATGGTACGGCACGGCGTCACGTTGTTCTGCGTCTGGGAAACATGCGGCTTGCGGCAAAGACTTCCCGGACTTCATCTTCGCAGCAAGCGCTGGATTTGGCGGAGAACAGACGTGCAGATCAGGCAAGTCACTCCGTATTGCCCTTGTATGGGGCGCTGACGATGAAGAAAGGCGCAAAAAGCTTTTGCTGCAAGGGCATTCCTTCCCCGTTCAAGAACTGTGCCTGGTATAGGAAGGATACCCATCTTCTTGGCGATGACACCTGCGAAACATCCTGTCCTCCAGGCCACATCAAGCTTGGTATGCAGCGAGATGATTGCGAAGCCGGAGAGAAAGCGTACTGTTGTGCGGGAGACACGCCGCCGCCGCCGCCTCCACCTCCACCTCCACCTCCACCTCCACCTCCACCTCCTTCTCCCCCTCCTCCCCCTCCTGAAGAGCCGGAATGGATTAAGAGAGTTGCCGATTTTGCGCGGGCAGCCCAATTGTGAGTACAGACTTGCGCTCCAATTAGTTACGTCAACTAACCGATACAGCTATATACAGCGCCGTGGAAGTAAGGAGTGCCCGCCGAGCAAGTGGCCACCCCTAAAAGAGTAAGCTATCGCCGACACATGAGAGAGACGTTCAGGCTGATGTTATCGTGTAGTTGGGAAAGGCCTCCCTCAACGCATCTTACCGCAAATCCGGGACTCGATGAAGTCACTCAGCCTTTTTCCGCCGCAGCAACACTGGGTGAACAGTGCGAGAGCTCCTGGAAGATGCTTGCTGTATTCCTGCTACGCATGCTGCAAACATACACGCAGACCAGAACAGAAGAGGAGCGCCAAATGCTCGATATCTACGAAAGGGAAATCGCCCGAGGTCAGCGTGGCATATCGTACTCAGACCTCCATAGTTACCTGGAGCGCCATCCACTGGCCAACCCTTCTGCTCTCATAGAGGAAGTGCTCTTCGATCCGGAAGCTTGGAGCGCGAAGAAGAAGGTCATGGACCGCTTAGAGACAAAGATCTGCGTCTTCCCCGGACAGGCAATGTCAGAAATCGGGGCGGATAGCCCAGATCCCATGCACTCCGCGAACGGTACAACAACTCAAAATAGGTCCACCTGGCTTGAACCTAGATATATCGACTCTAGGCAAGATATCCCACACAATTGGCATGGTTATTATCCCACATTTGGAATGATCATCTCGGGCATTTTACGAGGCGAGCATCTCCCAATTGTCACCGATTCTTATCTCCCCCTGACCAAATTCCTAGGAGATTTGAGCTTACATTATGCTATGTTCGCTCATTACACCGGCACTGAGGCGGGCCGACCTTCAGGGTGAGCACATCCACATACATATGTATCATGCATTAATCCTCTGATGTTACCTGCATTCTCACTCATGGCCACTGGTTAATTTTCTGCTAATGCGCTGCCAGGCCAATGATTGAGTTGGCTTACTGGATAGGCCCTACGCCTGGACAGTGGGACGAGGAAATCGAGGAACGTCATCACCTTGAGTGGTATCGAGACCGCCGAGAGGAGACGCGTGCTCGATGGGTAGTACTTCATCTCCACTTTGATGAATCGCCAGCTAATATGCAATACCTCTTCCGTGACGCCACTATTGGCGGAACCCAGCGCACAATTGTTGGTATTGTAAGTCATTTTTTACATTGCAAAGCTTGTCTATGCGGTTTGGGTGCCAACCGCCTCACCGTTAGACACCCGGGCTGATTTTGCGTACAGTCCGCGATCTCCATGTTCCACGCCACTTTCGCGAGATCTTATCGACATAATTGGTGGGTGGTAGATGGTAACGATCGGTGGGCGAACGGATACAGCACTGGATACAACCGTCGCTCAGTCCTCAGCTGCCCTGGGACATCATCAGACCCACAAGCTCCGCCTCGTTCTCTCATGTATGCCGGTGCAATCAACTGGGTCCCTGAGTCTGGCCACCTGGCAGAAAGAAACTTTGCGGAGCTGCTTACTAACCTCTTCAACAATGGTCCTCTCCGGGGAAATATCTTTTCACGGATCATGACCCAGCCAGTCGCTTTCAGAACCCCTAGCGTGGCACCTTTTACCATTGAGATTGCACCAGGAGAACCGGTAAGCGGCTTCAATACCGTGACATTACCTAATAGCATCCACGACAACATAAGAAACTGCCCGTGGAACTTGCCTTTCCAGCCCGTGCTTCAACCCGACGGATCCATGGGGGTCAATCACAGAATTCCAAGACCGCCCGATCGGCCTTGAGCCTCGTCGGAGCAGCGTTTGAGCGCAAAACGAGGCTTCGCAACGCTATGTTTTGGTTATCACCAGTGGGCTTTGGGGTAGAATTGATACACGATACGGACACGAGCTTTCTGTGGATAATGCGGGTGGAGGCTCTCCACAACTTATTTGCTATTACTTGCTGCCATACTTTCCCTTTATTTTCATTGTGTGGTGCGCTCTTGCGCACCGCGGCCTTCGTTCCCTCATGTCTTCATAGGTAGTTCTAATGCCGTCACTCCTTGACATCACTACTGTGGCTCACCACCCGATGCACGGCCCCACCGCATGCACGATTTCGGATGCCTACACCCGAGAACTTTTGAGGCTCTACAACCACATATATACTGTAAAATCACGAGATTTTCTAGTGTAGCAATTAGAGAAGCTGCCTAAAGGCGCCTATAAGGTTTTTTATGTACGGAAGCGTTTTAGGAGCTCTATTTTGCGGGTGCGGCGTGATCTAGCTAGTGTGGGGGCTACATCTACAATTAATAAGAAATCTACATTAACATTCTCCTTATTAATAGAGAACTTAGGAGAAGGTGTAGGAGCCCTCTATTTACCTCTTTTAGAGGTCTTAACGTTGTTTTTAAGTTGTTTATTTGCCTTACGTGCGATCCGCGCTTTCTCTTTTTTAGTAGCCTTTTTCCGCTGCTCCTGTAGGCGGATTTCCTTTGCCTATGCTCTTATTTGCTTTCTCTCCTCTAATTAACGTGCCTTCTTAGCCTTCTTAGCTTTCTTAAGCTTAGTTACCTTATTCTTTTAGTGTTGCAAAAGCTTCTTATTAGTCTTCTTCTAGTTCTACTAGTTACGTACCTTCTATACTTTGTTTAGTAACTAGAATACTATACTACTATAATATTCTTAAGGTGTTTTAAGTAGTAGAGGCTTGCTACGCTACTAGCGCTTCTTCTTATTAATTAGAGCTTCTTTAAGTTACTTGTTTTTATATTATAGAAGAGTCTTCTATACTAAAATTACGTAGATTATATAACTAAGCTTCTAGAAGCGTTTATTATAAATATTCTCTACTACCTACCTAAGTAGTCGCTTAATTTTTCTTTAGTTAAAAGCGCTAAGTACTAACGTAGCTAAGTTACTAGAAAATAGTTAATTAGCTTTCTATATATTAAATTACTTTAATATTATAGTAGAGTTAAAAGGCTCTAGTCTAGTTAACTTAAAGGCTTTAAGAATAGTTTTAGCCTTAAATAAGGTCTTCTAGGTAGTATTAAATATATAGAAGAAATCTCTTTTAGTTATAGTATAGATTCTCTATAATCTCTCTATAAAGACTAATAGTTTAGCTAAGTAAGTAGCTAAGAGCAATTTAAATATATAAATATCTAGAGGCTATAGTATATAGATAGTATATAGTAAAAATATAGCTAGAAGAATTCTATTATTATTATAGAACTTAATAAACTCTATAGTAACGTGTAATCTATAGCTATTAAGAATTAGAAGTTAATTTAATTATTCTACTTTTACTTATATTTCTCTATTAAATACCTACTATAGCTATACTAGCTCTATAGAGTTATTTATCTATCTACTTAGTAATAAGCTAAAAAATACCTTATATAGTATAGAATTAAAATCTTATAACTAGGTATTCTAGATATTTCTAAAAAGAGCTTAATATATAAGTATAGATATAAGAGTAGTTCTATCTATATATATATATATATATATAATAGTTATAATCTACTCTTAATTACTATTCTAGAGTATTTACTTAATTTTTCTATTCTTATAGCGCCTCTTAGAAAACACTCTCTTTATTCTACTTAATATTCTAATTAGAAAGCCTTTTTTATCTATATTATATATATAGTAGAGTAGAATTTTATACTAATTAATTTTTTATTAGTTATAAAAGCTTAAAATATAGTAAGTACTTAAAGATAGAGTTAGCTCTTTTACGTAAGAAATCTAGGCCTAATATCTAGCGTAATATAAGATTAATATTATGTTAATTTATAAAGTAATCTACCTAGTTTTTGCCTATAGATTTTCTAGCTATTTCTAATGCAAAATTTTAGATTATTTACCTTAAAGAAGGTAGTTCTTTAATATAAAGCTTATTAATATACTGTATAAGCTGTTTTTCTTATGTAGCGTTAAGATTCTGGCTGTTATCAACTGCCGCCGCATTTAAGTGGGTAACCTTCCTATGGCGCCGCGACAGCGTTGAGCGATCAACACTATACTTTTTGGCGTACTCTGCGTAATTAGGTGTTTCTCCCAGCTTTAGCGATTCCAGCGCTTCAAGCGCAGCCTTAATACCTAACATATTGGTGGAGATATGGGGGGTGGAAAATTCTGAAAAATTTCGTTGAACCGTGCATGCGGTGGGGCCGTGCATCGGGTGGTGAGCCACAGTATAGCAATGCCACTCGACTCGACGCGGATCATGAACATGCCCTATAATAGCCCCATGCTCCCCTGTATGCCTACCTAAGAAACAGTATATGATTGAAGTGTTGATGGAGTTATAAAGGGAAAGCAAGACCCAAGGGAGGGGTTGTGATGTGGGGTCGGAAACAACTTCGCTGACAAAGCAGAGTACCAACCACCCCAATTTTCGTCTTCCCTTCTACGCCTCTTCTCCCACGCCTCTTCTCCCCACCGTAGCTGCAATCCTTTCTCACATATTCCCGTCTCATCCATAACCTTTTCGGATTGCTTCTTCCTTCGTTGCGGAGCTCAGCTAGTGATCCTATAGCGCGGGCGTCTGATTCGCGCCGAGACCCGCTCGTTACGCTACGACAAGATGTACACACAAAAAAATGGTTCAAAGATAGCCCTATGCGCCGCAGTGCATTATTACTCACATTATGACACTACCCGCGCTTACTTAACTCCCAAAAGGAGGACAGAGAGCATACCTCCTATGACCAGCTGTCTGGGCCATCTCCAGCATCGGATCCAGGAATAGCCACAGTTGAGCCTGCAGCACTTGGAACACCAGTAGTAATCCTGCCGTCAGGGTTGAGTTCTCCATCGGAAGCCGCCGGTCCCCTCGGCTTCATGGCTATACTGTCTCGAGCTCGAAACGAATGTTGGCCTAAGTTCCTTTTGAGCAACTCTCTGAGGCGACTGTCTACCGGATCAGACACCTCTCTGTTCTCAGCTGCCAAACCGTTCTCCAGCTGGAATTTCAGCTTCGCGCGTCGCAGTTTGACCTCGGCAACCTGCTCCCTCCATTGCCTGGCTTCGTGGAGCTCGATCTCCAAGTCATACAGGATTAGTTGTTGCTCGGGCGTGTACATTTGGCCAGAAAATGTCTTATGGCCCCGCACCGCCCTCGTGAGATCTGCTTCGCTCAACGTGGGTGTGCCGACGCCTTTTGCATGCCCAACTGCCGGCGGTATTTCCTGAAGTCGGGACTCGCTTTCCGGAAATTTCGCAGTCGTCTAGAACCCATGGAGAGGCTCTAGTCCGGCGTCGTCCTTTGACTCGAGCTCGTAGTAGCCATGAGGCACGGAAAGAGGTCTAGCCTTTGGAAGTTTAACCTCTCCGAGGTGAATCTGGCCCTGCGTGGGTATCTTTTCTTCCAGCCTTGGGGTGGGTAAAGGATTCTTCTCCCGGCCATCTTCGTTGACCTCGCTTCCACTTTCCATCATCTCCCTTTCGAATTGGCGGTCCAACAATGCTTTCGCCGCCTGGAAGGATGCGACGCTTTGAGCCTGTGACGGATTCGGTCCTTGTTTCTGGGTTCCTTTCTAATTTTCCTGCGGAGGAGTAGCGGCCTTGAGACGCCCTTCGGCTCTCGACCGAAGGTCATCTACCCGTTTATGGATGAGTCCGGCTTTCGCTCGTTGGCGCTCGAGGTCTTCCATCAGGGACTTCTTCAAGGATTCTGGGTCGAAGGAAGACGGCATAGGCATTTGTGGCATTGCACTGTGCGGAATGTGTCCTTTGCGACTGCTTTCGTGTGGTTTATAGTCATCCGGGGCTTTTGAGGTTGGCTGCAGTAGCGACTGGTACTGAGACATCCGGGAGAGCGCATCGGCCTTCTCGCGTTCCAGCATCGAGAGATACGGCATCAACGGAACAGCTACCGTTTTTGATAGTATCTTCCCTCGACGGCCGTCATTCTTCTCATCATCGGCGTTAGGCGAGCGTCTAGCATCACCCACTCCTTCGTCCAGCCGTGCACGTTTCGCGTCCCACGCCTCGGCGATGGGAGTACCGGCCAACAGCTCGAGGAAGTCGCCGAAGCCGCGTTTCTCCATGCCCTTCCACCTATCTGTGCTCAGGTCCTGCTGTGGTTGCTGCTTTTTCTGCTTGTTCGATTTGCCGGTCGACGACGGGAGCTTGCCTGTCGCTTCCTCTTCCGGAATTGGATCGTCAAACTCTCTCCTACAGGTATCCGCTATCTCACTCATGTTGGGATTACTCGAATGCTAGTGTAAGTCTGTTCCGCTCTCTTGATGTTTGGTGGTGGGCGCAGAAGAATAAGGAAGTCTTGCACCTCTTTCACTGCTACGTCGTGCGTTGTTTCTTTGTCCAGGTTTTCGGATTGTGGCCATTCCTTTGTGCGGTCCCTGCGCAAATCCCATCCTCGTCACTTCCGATCAATGCTCAACCCATTTCCTCCGACTTCTCATGAAATCATGAAACGATTTTCGCACTCTCATCTTCAATCACAAGAATCATTCCTGGGCGACTCGGCCGACCTGTGGCTTCTACCTTTCTGAGTGCTCTAAAGCGTCTAACGTAGGTGAGCACACCATGAACCAAAGGGCCTCCAGATTGATGTAAACTTGGGCCCGGTCGATTCCTACCATCCCTTCAAATAGTAAGCTTATCTTTGTGCAACCCAGCCGTATACATTTGATATCTTACTGGCGAGCTCTACCTCCCGTAGACATCATCACGCCACTATCCCTGCGCGATTTTCCGCTTATCTTGTCCATATGTATTTCCCTTTGCTCCTCTACGCATATCTTGTCAATCTCCAGTATTCCCATGCCAAGCGAACGTCCAATCAGTTCTTGCGCTCGTGCTGATGTTTCGCCCGGCAATTAATTCTCGCTCGGTAGCTGTTACATTTACGCCCCTTGCACATTTAATTTATTTCACATCCTAGGAATGATGTCAGCGCGATAGGGCTACGGGAACTTCAGATTCAAAAAGGCAGAGGGTATGGCATCGCGACGAGAGGATTTACTGGTTAGCTTCTCCTCACTGCTCTCACCACCATGGTGTCACCACAAGACGTTCTATCCACCCTAGCAGGCGCCTGGGTCCTCCTAAACAGCTCAGCGTACTTCAGCCCATCTCGCTTCCCCTCCCTGGCCCCCTACTAACCCAACCCTAGCACCAACCCAGACGGCACGCCCGTAAACCGCACCACCGACACCTCCCAAGGCCGCAACGGCACCGGCACCCTCATCTACGCGGCCTCAGGCTACGTCTCGGCTATCCTCACGCCCACCGACCCTCTGTACCGCCCGAGAAACCTCACCTACAACGACTTCGACAACACGACCGACGCCGAGTGGGCGGTCCTCGGGAAGCACAACCTAGCGTATACGACGCCGATCAGCGTGCAAGTGCTGCCGGAGGGCGCCGCGGATCAGGGTATCGTGACGCATGGGCCGATTAAGATGGCGAATGTGCCGAGTTTGGAGGGCACGAATTTGGTCAGGAATTTCACGTTGATGGAGGAGGGGAGGGTGCTGAGGCTGAGGATTAGGGCGAGTGATGGGGTGAGGAGTTTGCTGTACTGGGGGCGGATGGGGGCGTGATGGAGGGTATGCGTGTTTGTGCACGATATGTTACGCCACGGGGAATCGCAACTCTGGGTTTGGAAGGTCGATATTGGCGGATGCGAAAGTTCTAATTGATCTGCATTGATCTTCTATGCTAGCACGTAACCAGAAAAAGGAGCATGTATCAACCAGGCAGTAAAACACAACGAAAATTACACGTCTCCCAGCTGGCTGCCTGGCTGAAATCATTGAATTAACCTAGCTTTTTCTGGAAGCTATTCAACTGTTCTACAATATCTTCCTGTAGAGGTAGATGAAGAAAGATCACGCGAAGCATTAGAAATCTCCCTCTTTTTACCTTTATTTATTAAGTTTTACTGCTTAAAGGCGTAGGTTGCCACCTCTTATTATATATATCCTATATATCTTTGCCTTTTAAAGAAGGGTTAACAAAAACCCTGCAGTATTATAGGCGAAAGTAAAGTAAAACGAGCAGAATTTAAACCTAGGCTTGCTGCGGCGACAACAAGGTCGAGCAAGCTCCAGGTGCAGTCGCCAACTACCTACACCATCCTCGCTACGTCTCCTAGCGGGCCACGTGTCCACGAAGCTTAGATACGCCCCTCTGAACCTCACCATTTTAGCCCGAAGTGAAATCACTACTACGTCTCGGAGCCCACTGGCACTGCCAGGTGTCATCTGGTAGATGGTGTCGATAACTCTCTGTGCTACAAGTTCATTAATATCCTCCGCTTGCAACAACTAGATGATCTTGAACCACGGATGTGCAGACCCTTGATCACTAAATCTCTTCTCATCAAACCTTTCCTTGTTGAGGCTCTCCCTCACCCCTAGCTCTCCAGACAGATCACAAGTCCCAACAAGGCGGAAATAACTCTCGCACTGCCGGAGCAGCACAAGCCTCTCGGCCTCCTCCAGGGCGACGACGATATCACCCACCTCCACACCGTCGCGGCTACCCAATTGCCCGCCGAAGGTAGCGAAGTAGTCGATGTGCTGGTCAAGGCGACGATGCAGCTGATTCGCAATGCCCGTCTCATCCATGCGTTTGTAAAAGTCTCGTCCGCTTCCCTGTGAGAATAAATGACGCCAGTCGCCGAAGAGACCCTTAAGGATGGTGGCTTGAATGTTCAGGCCGGTCCGCGCCGTGTCGGATTCGAGGCCCCGGGGCCGTTGGACCGGTGCCTGGGTCTCGCGGTATTTCCGGGGGAAGACGCCGACGACTTCAGTTAGGACCTTTCCTTTCGCATTCATGACCTGCCCTTCTGACGAAAAGGAAATCTTAGACCGTCTTGCAACCGGTGGCCAGGTGGGGCGGTGCAGGTATCTGAAGTCGGGGACCCAGGTTGGCACGCCGCGGAGACGATTGCCGGTGCCGGAGCTCAAAAGGATCTTCCCGGTCTTCTGGATCAGATGTTGTGCGTACTCGTGGTAGACTTGGGCGAACGGAAGGCTGTAGTTTGGCTGGAGTTTCTCGGGAAGATCCGTGGCTCCCATCAGCCCAACGAGACTGTAGACTCTGTCGTGTGGTTCCACCACGCTAGAATAATTTGGGATGATCCCAAGAGTTTGGAGCAAAGAGTCGGCAAGGTTGACCTGGATTTCATCATTTGTCAGTCGCATGTCTCCTTGGAGTTGGCGCGAGCTCCCCAAGAGTAAAATTGTGTTGATAGCTGCGAGTGCAGCTGGCCTTTCTTTCAATGAATTGCATATGAAGGGACAGCTTCTCAATCCCCCCAAGACGGCACATAGTGCTGCTAGGCGGGTCGAGTTTGCCCCGCTCATGATCAGCGGCGACGTTCTGCTGAAGGAGACCTCCTGCGGAGCCCAGGGGTTCGAAAACCAAAGGCCGTCTGCAAACCCAAGTAACAGTTCGAAGAAAGTCTCAGAGTCGAGGTGGTTCCTGTCCAACCTTGCGTGCAGTGTGCGTAGCCAATCATCTGCGTTCATGATAGCGAGATCGTGGGATAGCTCGAAGACTAGCCTGAAGTGTTCAGCCAAAGGTGACGTGCCGGGCGTCAAAGACACCAGAACTTCAACGGATGATGTATAAATACGTTGTCTTGTGGTGACTAGCGTCGTTCTTTCCCCCATGCTGCTACCGTCGGTGCAGAGAGGCTCCACCCACAACCAAGCCGAGCGTTCAGAATGATGATCCCGAACGTCGAGCAATGCGGTATATAGACTCCCAGAAATCAGAAACGGCTGCTGATTCACCATGACAGATTGGCTAGGAGCCTCTCCATCGCAACGAGAAGACAAGACGCGGAATTCAGGCGGGGACGAGATGCTAAAGGACTCCATCTCCAGATTGACGGCATCAACGGAGAAAGGCCCTTTGAACCTTATGAGTCGCACTTGATCTCTTTGGATTGGTGAATATGTTGACATGGAAGGGCTGTCCTGTCGAGCGAGATTTTCGAGACCCGACGTGAGCTCGCTAGGCCTACGCTCAGCCGGTTCGGCTCCGTCGATTATATACGAGCCGAGCAACCTCGTCACCGAGTGTTCGAAGTCGGCTAATTCGAGGAACAGAAAGTCCTGGTCACGAGTAAAGTTATGCCTCGGGAGGTACCGGCCATTGTTCCGTTGGAACGAATGCCCGCTGGATTCTTCCCCTTTCTGATCACATGGCAGGGGAGTCGTGTCGGAATTCTGGTCTAGATACGGACCTAGCGAATGAAGACTCAAGGCCGTGTCCGCCTCAAAGTCCAACGTAGACAGCTGGCTAAAGTTCAGTGGCACGGCCTCTACCTTTTGAATCCGCTCCCACTCCTTTTGGATGACATCACTCGTTTTCTTCATTGATTCTTCAACTTCCGCCACCCAGGCTTCCCCCGCGTCCGGGCTCAGTTTCAGCATGCGCCGCGATATCTTGGCCCTCATGCTATAGAGCATATCGTGAGGAACACCGCCGTGTTCGGTGGCCACGTTCAGCAAACGGGCCATAATGCAAATCATGGCCTGTTTATATAGAGAGTGTCTGGCTCCCTTGGATTGAAACTTGATCGCGAGGCGTTCGAGGGAGAGCTGAAGCGCTACTCTGATCAATAACCATAGCGGTGATCTACGCCAGGGAACCGGGCCATGACCGAGTAACACTCCCCTTCGGGTATTTTTGCGAATGACCACCGTGTCTACCGGCCGGCCGAATGCAAGGATGACCGACATGATCATCTCGGTGACGAGCCTCGGGTGTGTTGTGTCTGGTATTTTGGCATGCTTTATCGTATTGTCAGGTCCTGTAGAAGAGGCAGATTCTTGGTCGAGCTTGACGATGACGTCTATGAGGGTCTCTCGGAACTGGTCGCCATCCAGAACGCCGGCCTTGATGCCCACGGACTGCCCCGGGAAGTTTCTTACCAGGCGGCCTTTGCAGGCCGTCACAGCGGCGTCGCTCGCCAGGAGCTCCATGGATTCGAACAGGAATTCATCGTCCATCCTGGTGACTAGAAGACCGGCATTTTGTTGTGCGACGTGTATTGCAAGCGAGTCTTGGAAGCACCGATTGTTAGCTCTAAGGCTGCGACCAGTGCCATCATAACGAGATGAGGCCCCGGACCACGAATAAACTGGACGACTCACCAGAATTCCCCAACCTGAGAAGCCTTTCCTCAAGGAGCTTCGGATGAAGCATACCGGTGGCCGATCGTGCCATAGTGGTGTTCTCCATCAGCCGGATTGCTCCGTCGAGCTCGCGCGTCCGGCCTGGCGGTAGCCTCCTGCGGAGTTCCCGCAAGGCATCGCTCACAGTGGCCATGAGCTTCATCTCATGGAACACGTTCGTATCATCCTGCTGTGGGACTTGTGGCGGCAAGAAGACATGGGCGATCTGATACAGCGCCTCTGTCAGATTCGTTTTTGGCTTCACTGAAGCAGCCATCGATCCGGCGACTTCTACAGGAATGCTAGCTACGAAGAAAGGCGTCTCTTTCCCGTAGGGCTGAAATCTCAAGGCGCGGTGGTTGAGGGTGATATCTGGATGAATGCGTGTTTGTTGTTCTTCGCTTGGCAGCGTCAGCCGTGCAAGGCATCGCTGACCGGTCAGCCCCTTTGCGGACAACGCAGCCAGCCAGCATAGAGGCCCAATCATCCCACTCAGTCCAACCGGGGGTGCAGCCCGGGCCAACAAAAATCTTTTGCAATAGAAAGCGCAGCAGATACTAAATCTTTCAACTATCTTCCAGCTGCTAATCTCTTGTGGTACCAGCAGTGCCCCTATCACCTCTCAAATCCCAGCCTTGTGTTGACAACAGCGCCTCCGAAACCTCTCAACTCTCAGCCTAGTGATGGATGGACCACCATATGATAGCCTAGAGGCGCGGAGCCGCTTCGTGGCGCTGGCCGACATGGCAGAAATCTACCTCACTGCTGCAGAGGATGTATATCGGCACATACCCGAGGCCCAATCCATGAAGATACTCACGGTCATGGAGTTATGGGTAGCCTGCGACCTATACGCCACCAATTTCTATCCGGCACTCCGCGAGTACCACACCGGATTCCGACCTGGCATGTTTAACTTCCTCATTTTACCCAGAAAGGAGGATCTCACTCGACTTGCGGCCTTGGAGTACCACCTTAATAAACGGCAAAAAGACGCCAAGATGGGTGTCCCATGGGAATTCGTAGAAGGAAGCACCCAACCTAACTCCTTTGCTGTCCGGTACTATGAATCCTGCTCCGAACTGAAGACATTGCACGATAGGCTCCGGAAGGCTGCTGAATCGGCGAAAGCTGCGAAGGAGGCCGAGTATGGAAAATTAAAGGACAAGTTTGACGCCCGTATTCGTGAAGTTAACAGGGCTCCGCCGTGCCACCACGACTGGTACTGGTCCGATTGCTCGATATGCGAAGAGAGGGATACAGCCCGGCGAATGAGTATCCAGGTCTTCGAAGAGCCTCTCCCAGACGATGAGCTAGTTGCCAAAACGCTTGTCTTCGAGCTCCAACTCCCCGAAGTTTATGCACGATGGAGGGACCTGACGCTCCGGATCCTTACCGCGACAACCCACCCCGATCCTACGGCCAATCAACCCTCTCAACGTGAGCCTTACCTCACCCAGAAGCACCCCGTGGTCGCAAACACCTTGGGTCCTCAGGGTGGGGCTCGGGGGTTCAGGTTTCGACCTGCCTCCACATCTGTGCCCTCCAAATCTTCACATGGCACGAGTATTCTAGTTTCTGAGGCAAAGGAGAAGATTTTCACGCCTCATGGCTATGTATATGAGCTGTACGACACCCTAACTAGAAAGCCAATTGTCCCGTCGCAGCTATTGGGGCAGCTTCATGCAGGTTTCGCCTATCCACCTCCAACTACACATGAAGCACTGAGGCAGTACATTGTGGGCACCTCTCACTCAGAAAACGATGTCACCGCGGCAACGACAAGCTCGCCGGAACTTCCCTCGAACATGTCCCGCGACGAATTCAAGATCTTCGGTACTCTGCGGGCGGGGGATTTGCTTCAGTGGCGAAATATCCTGGAGCAACTGCTAGCTCCCACACTGGACTTCAACAAGGTGGATACTTTGTATCTTGTCCTCCAAACAGCCAATGAAGCGGGCCCCAGTGTCGGCGATGGCCCCCTCCGTCAGTCTCATGCCATCCTAGATGACGAGACCTTTGGGTTACGACTAATCGACGCTCTGGAAGACGCCTTTGCCAGAGTCAGCAAGAACTGGGACAACCACGTCTCTTGGTGCATATATCTTAGCCTCGCCACCAGGCTGTTCTCCATGTCAACTAGAAACACCGTCCGCATCCACTGCCTGTCGTTTTTGTCCGAAATACGCCACCGAGCGATATCCTGCGTAAGAGATCTCCGCAAAAGCATCGAGGAGAGTGATTCCGTCCAAGGTCGCAAGAACTTGAGCAAACAAGCTTTGCTATTAGCTCTGATATGCCATGTGACCTTCGATATTGGTAATGCTCTTCCGGTTGTCTTAGCAGACGTGAAGGAGGCTTCCATTCTTGTTGCCGCGTCAATTTTCATCGCCGAGCTTACCGCGGGTGAGGTGCCGAGAGACGTATCGGAAATCGAGGTGGATCCAGTTATGAATCTTCTACTCTATCGCTGGCGCCGGCTCTCCTATACCGCCGAGGACTTCTTACGTGGCACAATAGCACACAAGCCTGGCATACACACCTGCCTCGATATTGCCGTAACGGAGATCTGGGCAGAATATGCTCCGCCAACAGAATGGACTATCGCAGAAGAAGATGACTACCGACATGTCCTGAGTGCGGCAGGAAAGATTGAAGACGAGAGGACCTCAATGCACGAGTTTCAATACAACCTCCTAACGGGACAATTCCTCATGGATCATATGCCGATAAGCTCACTGCCCCAGGAGTACCTCATTGACGACACATATAGACGGCTCTTCGGGGAACGGGTAATAAAGGTCTTTCCAAAGAAGCTAGAAAAGACTGTTTTCTCTGCCGAGAAGCCTCAGTTTGAGCATTTTCCCATTCACTTCGGCAAGGGCGATGATGGGCTCATAATACGCGCTGAGAAAGGGGGGCAGATGTACGAATTCATTCCGCCACGCAAGCTAGAGGGGGATTTCCCACCTCTACTGGTCTCCGACTACATCCACTGGTGGGTCGAAGACAAGAACACGGTCGAGTTTCGGCCTTTGAAGAAAGCCTGGGAACCCATCGGAGAGGCAGGCGGACGCCATGGTTTTGTGCTCCATCTAGGAGTTGACGATGCGTCTCCAGCTCAGCTGAAGCGAAACGCGTCGACGTGTCTCGTTGGCAGCCGCAGCAAAACATGGAGCACAGTGACAAGCATCTTTCAGTCGATCGAATTACCGAAATTCATCCATCTCATGCTTATCCAAGACGGTCACGGAACTGGATGCTTGGAAATTGAACTCCCACGATACGGTATGCGCTTCAGTCTTCTTCCTGGAGACACGTCAATCACTTCGAATCACTATAGAGGTTTCTCGGTGGATGGTAGCCAGTCATTTGGAGCGCTAGTGGGACTCCAGAGTAAGCTGGTCCTCAAATTCAAAGCCTCGGGCTTGAGAGCTGTCGTCGTGCCTCACGGGAAGTTGTGTTTCGCCAAAGAGCAGAGTGGACATGCCTCATCCTGGGTGCATACTGGAGACAGAAGGCCAATCAAACACCACTTTCTGCAGATAGATACCACACTCGGACAACTCAACGATGGCGGCGCCTTGGGAAACAAGCTGTTCCTGGTTTACTTGCATGCCATCACGTCGCATTGCCTCCCAGACCCCCTGACAGGTCGTACTGGGACCGAGGAAGCACTCCGAATCCTTAACACGGCTGCGGTCAAGTCTTTCGACAGGCTTCGGAAAGGGCCAGAGAGCCTCCTGCGTCAAATTGCTGGCCTGAGCCCCCGACGCTTTCTCACCGTTCTCGCGGATGGCCGCGTAGCCACCGCCATTTGGTCACAACTCTCCATGCTCGCGCAGGACGACGCCTTTTACGTCTCTGTCCAGGCTATCCTCAACCATGCACGCAGATGTCAGTTTTTCTTTCGGGAGAAACATAAAGGAGGCAAGGTTGAAATCGAAAAGCTGGGGACATCGCAGGACGAGTTAGTTCGCCGGTCCCTGAACAGAGCGGCAACGTTTCGAGTGGCTCAATTCGGCGCCGAGGAGTTCACGACGAGCCATGATGAAGATTACAAGGCACGGGATGAAAACACGGGCTCCCCTGCTGGCCTACGCAGCTACAGCGTGGCGAATCTGTTAGCAAATACTCGGAGCGATGCTGCTCAGCGAACTGAAGAGATCCCTGACTCCACTTTTGAGGCGTTGGCTTTGGCCCTCCGTTGCCGAATCGAAGGCTCCAAGGAAGAGCTCGAGGACTATCCCAGAGATGAGGACCAGGGTCCTGGATACGTACCCACACAACAGTTCGGACGGGACTTTAATGTCCGCTGGTTGGATCGCCTGTCGTCAACTCTGAGGCATTCATGGTTCGATATTCTGGCCTGGGTCCGGGATAGCAATTTGGACGAAGCCGGTGAACACTTCCACGATCGGTATAGGCTTACCATGTTCTTTGCAGCGCTGAGCTTCGCGGAGGAGACAGATGCTGGAATTATTCAGCTACTTCTGACCTTTGCAATGTCTCACGCGGTGCGCAACCTCCCGGTACCCGTGCAAGAATCTGAGCTCAGACTCACAGACGGCGCGGTAACCGAAGTCAAGCGACTGACTCAGTTAATCAAAAAGCATGCATGGGGTCAGAATGTGTGGCGTTGGCGTTTCGAGCCGGACAAATCGGCCGCTGTTACCGATCTCGTCAATGCTCTCTCGCGACAGGATCCATGCGACAATATAGATGAGCCTGCTGACGCAAGTCGTTATCGAAAATACCTCCCGCTGGATGCTATTATGGCGGACGTTCGTGATCTCTTCAGCTCATGGTCTCGTAACGGAAAGTACATGGCATACCTCCGCAACGCAATTGACAAGGCACGCTCACTCAAACAACAAGAGATTGAAGTTGAAGAGACTCGAAGAACCATTACAATAGCTGGAGCCCAACAAGGCGACGACCGACGCAGGTCCGTGAGCGTGGACGACCTCTTCGCACAAAACCCTCCAGAAATTTCCCCCCTACAGCCCGAGCAGTTCGAAGCGTACATACTCCGAAGCAAACACGACGATAATACAACAGAGCTGAGGGTTAGCCGACTGCGTAAGATCCTGTCAGAAGACTGTCAAGATGGCCCTGAGCACCGGTCAAAGTACGTGGAGCGACTACAGCACAGTATAGACGAGTTCACGAATCAGTCCGTTAGATTGCCATCTAGGCCTTCTCTAGACGGATTTCTGAAGGATGACTTCAAAGAAAGAACCGCTGGGCATTTGGCAGATTGCCAGGTTGCCGTGGAGAAGATGCGGACCGATATCACTCACACGCTGAAGCAGTCGCCGAATGCAGCTGGACGTGGGGCATTTCTCGGCCCCCTGCAGCCGCGAATCACAACGATCCTACTCCTTGAGCACCTAACACCTCGCCGACATCGGCCGACCTCCCCGGAATGGAAGCAGGCCATCATGAGCTTTGCCTACTCCATCAGAGTACTCCAGAGGGCCGAGAGACTTGCTAGAGCCGCAGGACTGCCGGCAGATCTCGCAAGGGACGAAGTACTGCGAGAGCTTAACGATACGGCGAGCATGAAACTGGAAGGTGTGCAGCCTAAAGATCCAGACTGGGACCGCATGAAGCATCCCGAATCTCTCTTGCTCGAAGTCGAAAACGGAATATTCATTCGACCAGTGCAAGAAAGCATCGCCCGGCATATGCTGCAGGGCTACACCGTGCAGCCGAGAGATCTAGGTCATGCCGTCATGCAGCTCAATATGGGCGAGGGGAAATCTTCTGTGATCATCCCTATCGTTGCAGCGGCACTGGCCGATAGCGCCCTTGTTCGTGTAGTCGTAACTAAGCCACAGTTCGGGCTGATGATGCAGATTCTTGCACACAAACTAGGCCGCCTCCTCAACCGGCGGATCTACACCTTGCCCGTATCTCGAAAATTGAAACTGGACAAGGAGGGTGCGAACGTGCTGGTCGACCTATGTGATGAATGTAAGAGAAATGGTGGTATTTTACTCCTACAGGTCGACCACATCCTGTCGCTAAGGCTTCTGGGGCTCGAAGCGATTATCAAAAACTCTGATGGCACCACCGGTAGCACCATTTTGGAGGGCCTATCTCAGTTGGAAGATCACTCTCGAGACATCATCGATGAGGCCGATGAGGTTTTCAACCCTCGATATGAGCTCACATATGCCATGGGCACCCAACAGAATCTCAACTTTGGACGCCAGAGATGGCAGCTTATCCAAGATGTACTCTCAGTTCTCGCAAAAGCGGCTGAGAGGCTGCATAAGAATGGCCAGCGTGGATTAGAGTTTGACGAGCGGGAGGGACTGCACAGGGCGTTCCCCAAAACAAGGATCACGCAGAACTCGACCGCTTTGGTGCTTGCCAAAGCGGTCGCCGAGGAAATATGCATTGAAGGTCTCGAGGGACTATCTAAGGTCGCTCTCCATTCCGATAGAACCTTGTCTCAGACCTTACTCGAATACATCACTAAAGCTGATCCGGACCAGAGCATCGTGAAAGAAATGGAACGGGGGTTCATGTCGAAGACCACAAGGCCTTATGCCCTCCTCCTCAGGGGCTTGTTAGCCCTTGGAGTTCTTGGCTTTGTTCTGCAGAAGCGATGGACGGTCAACTACGGCTTAAGTGAAGAGAGGAGGCCTCGAACAGGGGTAGCAGTCCCCTACGTTGCGAAGGACTGGCCATCACCGAGATCTGAATTCAGCCACCCGGACGTTGTTATCTTGTGCACCTGTCTCTCTTACTATTACAGAGGACTGACAGATGGCGAACTTATGGAAGCATTCCGGTACTTGCGCAATCGATCTGACGGAGGGAGCTCAGAATACAGCGCCTGGATCAAGGACAACAAGAACATCCCCGTAGAACTTCGGCACTTGACCAGCATCAACCTCAAGGATAACAAGCAGTGTGCCAATGGCATTTTCAATCACCTACGGTTTACCAAACGCGTCATCGACTACTACCTGTCCAACATATTGTTCGCCAGACAGATGCGAGAATTCCCAGAGAAGCTTTCTGCATCCCCATGGGACCTTACAGGTCGGAGGAAACATCTACTCACCGGATTCAGCGGCACAAACGACTCGAGGGACATGTTGCCATTGCCCGTTCGCTACCTAGACCTACAGCCATACACTAACGCCGCTGTCTTGGATTGCCTCCTTAGGCCTGAGAACACAGTTCGAAGGATAGACATGACGACCAAAGGAAAGCAATCGGCCGCCGAATTCATCCTAGATCAGCTGTCAAAGTCAAGTCCAGAGATCAGGGTGATCCTTGACGTTGGCGCCCAGCTTCTAGATATGAACAACCTAGAAGTTGCGAACGCCTGGCTCCACAAAGCCGATACGGCCGAGGCCGTCATCGTATTCGACGGAAAGGGCAATCTTGTCGTCGTGACGAAGGATGGACGTACAGAAGCATTCCTGGCCTCACCCTACTCGATGCACACCTCGGCATGTCTCGTCTTTCTTGATGAGGCCCACACAAGAGGGACCGATCTTAAGCTTCCACCGCACTACCGCGCCTCCGTGACTCTGGGACCGAATGTGACGAAAGATAAGCTTGTGCAAGGTACGTACAAGGCGTCCTTCTTTCCCTTCTCTAAATATCGCCCACATCAAATACTGACCAAAGCTGCGGTGAAGCGTGCATGAGGATGAGGATGCTTGGCAGAGGGCAGTCAATTGAGTTCCTTGTTTCGGATGAAATTGCAGAGAAAGTGACCAGCCTCAATGGGGTCCAAAAGAACGACGAGCTTCGGGTGATGCATATCTTGCGCTGGGCGATTAGGGAGACATGGCGTGAAAGTGAAAAGAGTATCGGTCTCTATGCGATGCAGGGCATACGGCACCAAGTCCACGAAGTGCTGTGGAAAGATTTAAGAAACAGTACCGTGGCCATGCGAAAGCAATTTGCCCACAAGTTTCTCGAGAAAGAGGCACAGACTCTCGCTCAACGGTACAGCCCTCCGAAAAGAGAGAACATTTTCAAAAGGGAGACAGCAAGACCGCTATTGGAGGCGAGAAGGGAAGAACTAAAGCTGATCGAAAAGAGATGCGGCAGCTTCGGTGTTATTTCAATGCACCCCACACGGGCCGGCGAAGAGCAGGAGCGAGAGCTTGCGCCAGAGCGGGAGGAACAGCGACAGCTGCAGAAGCCCGTCGCTTTGGCGCCGCTGAGGCCTGACCTCCACGATGATGTCTTAAAGTTTGCCCGGTGTGGCATAATTGACACCGATCGTCTCTCCGAAGCTTTCATTCCAGCATTCAAGATATTCGAAGCTTCTAGTGTGCGCGGCCAGAAGGTGCTATCCCAGTTCCCTTGCGACCTACTTGCGACTCGCGAATTCGCCCGGACTGTCGATTCTCAGCAGTCACGCAAGTTCATCTCGGACCACTATCTCCGTCCGGTGCACTGGGTGATGACCAGCACTACCAAAGACGGCAACGTTGCGCACATGGTACTTCTCAGCTCGTGGGAAGCAAACGAACTCCTACTTAAGTTCACCAAAGACGGCTACAACGACCACGTCCGCCTGCACATGTACGCGCCACGGGTGAGTCCACTACTCCGGTCACTGGAAGACCTGGCTCTATATACCACACCTGCGCTTCCACATAACTGGGTCGTGCCCCTGCAATTGATACGACTGTTGAATCTGTTCGCAGGACAGTTATTTCTGCGCTCATATGCGGAGTATACTTACGTGTGTGACTTCCTTGGGCTTCCACATCGGTTAGATGGCAACGCACTTCCGGACATGAAAACGGATGGATTTCTGGGCGACAACAAGCATGCGGACTGCCCCTTCTCCGAGAGTCCTGTTCCATTCTTAAGAGCTTTGCTACAAGACATTTGCCGAGACAACCAGGATATCAAAGGAACCGACATGGGTCGCATTCTCGCCGGGGACTTGTTGACGGAGGACGATTTCAGGGAGAGACCCGAAGATTACCAGCTTCCCAAATCGGTGGAAAGGAGGAGAGCCGACGGTATATCCCAGGACACAGTCCTGCCCGCTATTTCGAACAGACACCGAGTCAAGCATTTCGTCGACATTTTCGAGCGCGACCTTCCAGTGTTCCCTATGACCGAGTATTACACGCGCTCAGGGGCACCGGGCTTTGCCCAAAACACAATGATTGAAGAGGGGCATATATTAGAAGGGGTCACCCAGAGGGCTGGCCTGGACGTGTTAACCCAGGGACCAATCGACGAGGAAGAGACGGCCTGGCAAAACGATGAGCTCCCAACCTCCAACGACGGTGGCCTGGTGACTTTTTCCCGTCATGAGGAGGACGCTACTAATGGTAGGACCTGCAGCAAATGTCGCTGCCAACTGTGCCACGCGCGTCGAAATGATGAACGAGAGGAGGGACAAAGGTCCCACCCCAGGTGGTCCATCAACCTGAATGACCTGAAGCGGAGCGCGAGGCAGTGTTCCTCCTGTGGCCTGCTTTACAATATCGCCTCGCACATAAGGGGCCGGTCAAAGCTGGCCGCCGGCATGGAGCTGGAGTATAGATCGGAGTCAAGACAGCTGTTTACTCAACTACTCGATAATAACGGCAAGCATCTCGATCTGGGCCGATTTGAGATCTACAGAACACAGGAGCAGGCAGCCCAGACGCGTAAGTCGACCCAGAACCCATCTATGCCGACTGTGAATTCGCTACTAACTTGCAGATTCTATCAGCACCGTGGATTGGAGTTCCCATGAGACGGCACGTCACCTGCATCGCAAAGGTTGACAAAGCAGCCAGCTGGATAAGTGACAAACTGAACCGCTGCTCGAAACACCACACTTGCTACCGGACTCACACACGCCCACCCCGCCTGCCTACCCGCGTACTCGACCTCGACCCGCCAGGCGGCGTCTTTGATGTGCAGTGCCATCCAATATCTCACTCTGATTCATCGGCAATAGAGTGCGAGTATTGTAATAGTAAAGCAACGGCAACCGTCCAAAGTCGGCAGAAAAACCAGGCGCCAGGCGCCCTCAACTCCCCCGTCAAGCTCTACGTATCCAATAAAGATGAGAGAGCCATCTATGCGGCACTGAGTCACTGCTGGGGCGCATCCCAACATCTCACAACGGAGAATAAGATAGTGGGGAGAAGGGTACAAGATCTTCAGGAGGGAATCTGCTTTGGGACCCTGCCCTTGACGTACAGACACGCCGTTATGGTGGCGCGGCAACTGGGGATCAGATTTCTGTGGATCGACTCGCTTTGCATCGTCCAGGATGATGCGGACGACTGGGCTCGTGAAGGGGCAGTCATGGGGCGTATATATCAGCAGTCATACATCACCATCGCTGCTACAGCAGGAACTGACGGTACGGCTGGGCTTTTCTGGAAAAACAAGTCCGCTGCGGTTGGGGACCGCATCAAGGCCACTGTCTGCCCCCGCAGGCCTGGAGCCTCGGCCGATGCGGCGTTGGAACCCTGTGTGGGCCCAATCTTTGCGCGCCCCGTCCTCACCCACGACGGCTTTGCTGGCTCCGGCTTCGAGGGCGCGGGCGGCGGCCCGACGCCGCTCATTACGCGCGGATGGGTGTTCCAGGAGCGCGCTCTATCTCCTCGAGTAGTGCACTTCTGCGCAGCCGAGCTGGTCTGGGAATGCGGCGAGCTGCTGGCGTGCGAGTGTGGGGGCGCGCAGAACGACGACTCGATGCTCGGCACCGTGAAGCAAGCGCCCGCTATGCAGGGGAACACCTGGAAACATACGTACGGAGTGCTGCGCATGGCCCGGGAGGACGTCATACGACTCAAACAGCACCCCGCCCTCAAGCGGCGTCGCTGGCGTGATATGGTCGGGGAATACGCCAGGCTTGGTCTCACGTATGAAACCGATCGGTTGCCAGCGCTTGCAGGTATTGCGAGTGAGCTATTCGCGGACGTGGACCGGCAGAGATACTTGGCGGGTCTATGGGAGGATACACTGCATCTCGACCTGCAGTGGGTGATTTCGAAGCCACAGGAGACGCTTCCTGCCTCACACAACCTAAGCAGCGGTGAAAGCAAAGACTTCGTTGCACCGTCTTGGTCTTGGGCGTCGAAGACGAAAGCACTTCCCCACTACGGCATCCTAGTACACGGGGACGATGAGGCAAAACCGGCGTTCGAACTCATCGCCGCACGCTGCGACCCCATGAACAGCGCCGGTAATGAGTTCGGCCGCCTCAAGGCCGGCTGCCACGTTGTTCTGCGCGGCGATATTGCTGAGGTACGTCTGCAGCTCGTTGCCCTATCTGCGCCAGACACCGGCAATAGCAATGGTGGGCCCAGGGAAGTATGGACCACCATTTCCGGCGAGCTGGGGGCTTATGCTCGCGTCTTCATGGACTATAAATTGAGCGTAGACGACCCAGATCTGGTGGAAGTGAATCCCCCTGTGAACGGAAGCGACTTATTCGGCGGCCAGAAGAAAGAGCTCGTCAAGACGGTATCTGAGGTCTTCTACGCCGTCCGCATCACCGGAAAATCTGCACTCTTGTTGAGAAGGGTGGGTTATGACACGGACGTGTACGAACGAGTCGGACTAGCGTTCAAGCTGCAAACGCTTGTCTTTACCCGGCCTGATGCAATCTTCAAGCTACTCTAGCTCATAATTTCCTTCAAGTTGATAATTACTCCTATAGGATTAGCAGTTTGAATATATTCCCCGCTAAAAACGAAATCGGTCGTAGCAACACCGTGAGAATGCATTGTGTGATGTCCACCGCGCCGTCTCTGATGACATGTTGCAAACAAGCACGAACGCCTGGTATGGTTATCTTATGCAAACGGGAGCCCAAACCCCGTCCGATCCCAATACAGCCTCAGAAATGTGGCACCTTGCGAGACGCTCATTCTCTCCTTGTCGAGCTCGGCCCTGATGACCGGGACTTCCTTCTTGTTGGCCGCCCACTTCAAATATATTTGCCCGTTCACTTACGAGCACTGTCTAGCTCTGCTACTCCTCCTCCAGCACCCTTCCCAACGCAACCCTTCCAATAAACCCCCCCTCACCCTACCCCCTCTGAAAACGCCCTTTCCCTCATCCGCCTCCCCTTCCACTCTCCAGCACCGCAGACGCGCGGCTCCTCGATCTCTAGAGTTTTGAGGTTCTTGCGCCTGTGCGGAGACGTATGGATGGGTTAGTGGGATATTGGATCATAGCTGTAGAGGAAGAGGAAAAAGAGGGGGAGGGAGGCTGCGGTAAAGAGCAGCGAGGGCTCAAGTCGTGCGGGGCGAAGGGAAAGAAAGTGATTGGAATCACAGGCCTGGACGCCATGAGAAAAAAAGGTGTCTCAGGTGGACGCGGGTATGGAGGGTATGCTTCGTGTTCTTGTACTTCTTGCTTTCTACTTTGCCCCCTCGCACCGGTGGATGGGGTATTCCTATGTCCGGTACAAGGGTAAGCGGCACAGACGCGCCTATTCGATGTGAAGGTGATTCCGACGGCTTCGATGCGCTAACGGCGGGATCACCACGTAGGTATTCCTCGCATTGCACCTAGCTTCATAGTCCTGTAAGGTGGCGATTCAGGTAGTACGCGAACCAGGAGCGCGGCTGGAAGCAGGTCTAGATCTAGATACCTGGTGATGGTTTGTCTGCTTGTCGAGCGAGAATGACAACTCACTAAAGTGGCGCCGTTATGATTGCTGGAACCCAGCCACGTCCGAAGCACATCTCACAAAGCATTGTAAATCACATCTGTGTTCGTTGGCGTATAGGCGGCAAGATGTGATGTAGTGCGGATTCGAAGCGCACCCATGACGTAGGCGCCTCGCAGCTGCTAAACTCTGGGCGAATAGTTACTGTGTTACGGGTCTGTGGAGTACTAACCTTGTGGGTGTTTTAAGCTTGAGTATGTACAACCACTGCTCTCGCTGGAATTCCATTAATATACCCAACTAAGGCAGGCTTGCGGCGCCGGGAGAGTACAGGTGGGAAGTGAGGACAATTTCCTTACGGACAGACCGCAGGCGTAGGTAGCGCTGGAGACCTGGGCGTCAGGCTAGAGCGGGGCGTTGGGGGGGGTTCGATTGGAGCTGTACATATGACTGCTAATGGAACTCATTATTGTTGAGGCTGTTCTACATACAGAATTCTGTCATGAATTTTGGGAAGTTTCCGGACGCCATAACCGTGATTTTTGTGCGTCTTATCGAGACGACGTATTGTCGCTGAGCGGTACCACTCATGCGCGGCTCATGTTGGCTCCCTCCTCTGCCTTCTGAAGGCCGTACTTCTTGAGACGGATGCTCTGAATGGCGATGAAGCCCGTGGTATCCATCGGGCTGAAGTTGTCCAGCGTATCCATCGACGCCTCCTCTTCAGAATACAGCTTCTCGGTCTTGCTCGACCTGCCAAGCACGTACGCATTGCCCTTGTACAGCTTGAGACGAACCTCGCCGTTTACGCGGCGCTGTGAGAAAAGGAGCGAGTTCTCAGTGAACTCGCGCTCGGGCGAGAAGTACATGCCATTGTACAGCTGGTAGCTCCAGTTGTGGGTGACGAACTGATCGCGAAGCGCGCGGACCTGAGCGTCCAAAACAAGACCTTCTAGATCAAGATGTGCAAGCCTCAGAATGGTCATTGCCGGCGAATCGTAGCAGCCTCGGCTCTTGAGACCGATGAATCGGTTCTCCACGATGTCGATGCGGCCGATGCCGTGGATCTTGCCGAGCTTATTCAGAGCCTCGAATAGCTCCACGGAGTCCGTATATGTCTTGTCAGGTGTGATTACCTTGGAGGGAATACCCTTCTCGAATTCGATGGTGATATCCGTAGGCTCGTTGGGGGCGTCGAGCGGGCTATCGGTCATGGTCCACATGTCGTCGGGCGGAGACTGGTCGGGGTCCTCCAGAATGCCTAGATCGCTCAGTAAGCCAGGCTACATTTTCCAACAGCTGGGCTCGCCGTACCGGCTTCATAGCTGCAGTGAGCCAGATTCGCGTCCATACTCCAAGCTGGATATAAAGTTAGCACGATTCGTGACGATAGAGCGTGGGGATTTACGCTTCGCTTTGGTGCTGGTTACTGGGATGTTGTGTCTAAGATGGTAGAATTAGCAAACGATTAGAGTTCGAAGACGGCTTGTAAGAAGCAGTGACCTATCCGCTGAAGCCTAGATTTTCCTAGACGCCACCTGAGCGGCCACCTAAGAAAAAATCTACCGCAGCCAAATAAACCGTGCTTCTGGACCCTGATTATACGTACTCTGCGGCGTAGTCGAGAAGATCTTGCCTGCCCTTGAACTTCTCACAGAACTCAGGCAACCTCCCTATATCTTGAATCAGTACTAGCACAGTCGGAAGATCTCAGCCAGACTTACACGGAGCAATCACTTTGATCGACGGCTGCAGCGTATAGAAAGCCAGCTCAAACCTGACCTGGTCGTTTCCCTTCCCCGTACACCCATGGCTCACAAACCCACACCCCTCCTGCTGCGCAACCCTAATCTGCGCCCTCGCAATCACCGGCCTGGCCAGACTAGTACCAAGCAAGTAGCGCCCCTCATACGTCGCATTGCACTGCACAGCGCGGAAGCACAGCTCCTCGACGAACTCGCGGCGCAGATCCAGGATCACCATCTTCAGCGCCCCGATCTTCAGCGCCTTCTTCTCCACCTCGTCCCAGGGCTCCTCCTGCCCAACGTTCGCGAGGAAGCACACGACCTCGTAGCCTTCTTCGATGAGCCATCGGAGGATCGTCTAAAGCGTGTGAGCGAGCGAGCAGGTTAGGAAGGAAAGGAGGGCGGATGTGGACGTACGGAGGTGTCGAGACCGCCTGTTGAGTGAGTCAGTGGTGTTTGTCGAGGGTTGAAGCTTGGGGAAGGAATTGAGGTGCCAATTACTTGTACGTACCTGAGTAGGCGAGGCATACGCGTCCTTTGGCCATAATGCTCGACTGCTTCTCGTGATCTTGGGTTCTGGGGATTCAATTGCGGAGCGAGCAAAACGGCGGGGTGCGTTTATCTATCAATTATCAGCAGCCCACAGAAATTTTGGTGGCCCAAGCTCCCGCGCTAAGCCGATCATCGGAAGGAAGGCACCCCTGATCCCTGCAAGCAGTTATTGACAGATGACGCTGCAAAGAAAAATTTCTAGACGTGCATGCGATTGTCGTCCGTTGGCACTGTGGTAGGGCTTGCGATTCTAGACTTACTCAATTAGATTTTCGCCTGACTTTAACACTCTTTACCAAGCCCATCGCGATTGTGGATTCATCACTGAAGTACTTCAGGAACTCGCTGGATTTCCTCGGAAGATCCATTCAACCCATTCATGCTACCGAAAGATACTCAAAATAACAAAAGGCCATGATATCATAATAGACATACGCCTGCCATGCAGTATACATCGCTGCAACTGCGCCTACCCACGCCAACGCCATGCATCCTCGCAGTCCGGATCCTACTCCGGGCCCAGCGATTATCGGCATAATAGTATATGGACAGGAAAGCATATGTAAGTAACCCGCTAAACAAAGACTGTACGCAAATGCATTCTCCAGTGCCTGCGGGGAGACGTTCCCAAAATCGTTGCAGTGGAGAGCGCGGCTTATCCAAAGGTGCACCGCCCATTTGTGCAAGAAGATCAAAAGGCGCCGCCAGCCACCCGCTCACGTTCGTAGAAGACGACGTACGCCTTGTCGTTCTGGAGCCGGGATTCAGGCGGCAAGTTACCGGGCTCAAAATCTCGAATTGCATCGTCGTTGAATTGACGCCAGCAGCCCCGAGTCTTGTCCTTGACCATGGCGATGTAATGCCCGCTCGACAAGCTCGCACCGATATGCCAGATGACAGCGTACGCATTGTAAATGTACGGTCCGTTCATCGCAGGGTCAGTCTTGAGCCCGGTCAATTGGCCAGCCGGGTCCCGCGCAGTCTGCATGACGTATGCTTCTTGCTCCGGTGTGATTGGCGGCTCCATGAAAGGTCCCATATCTAAATTTTGGAGTGGAAAGTGAATCAGTGTCCGCACCTTGCGCGCACTTTCGTTTCGGGAGGCGCTGAATCGCTTGAAATGTATCACGAGCGTGTCTGGCGCGCGGGTGATGGTAATCTTCTTCATCGCTTCCCGGTTCTTCTTGCAACGTGGGCAGCGCCAGATGTCTTCTCCAACAAGGCGCTCCGCCGAGCAGTACGACCGCAGGCAGTCTCTCACGTCACAGGCCCGATCATGAGGTATTTCCACACTGATACTCCAGAAAGCTTCGTACGTGGTACTTGTAACTCCGCAAGTCTGGCAAGTGAGCTGAGAAGCGTGCTGGCCGGCAAAGAGATTTCCGATCAAGGACATCTCACGATGCTGGTAGCGGCCCCATTCAATCTTTGCTGCATATTGGCGAGGCAGCCGTTCTCGCGCCAGCTCATCGCTATCCGAAAGTGGCCTGAGCGGCGGCTTGTTCCATGTGACGTTAAGATCCTCGTGGAGAGAGTCCAAGACGAATTCGAGGAACTCCTTGGCATCTTGCTGTTCGTCAATGCCCCAGACGCGGTTGAAATGCCCACACACTTTCTATACCTCAAGTTAGCAACTGTCTGCGAACAAGTGGAAGATGCTTACTCTGAAAGTACTGGGACGAATGGCACTTGTGTCGCCTTTGTAGAGGTTCGACAGTAGCGTGGCGTAAGCTTCAGGTAAAATACCTTTCGTCCCTTTCCAATTCTCTTTCTGAAGATCCTGCGCGTACCGTCCGGACAGGAATATGTTCGTGAGCGGTTGATTCGCACTCAAGCACTGCACCACCGAGTTCATATAGCACGTTACACCGAAATTGATGAGGCCGGTCTTGTGGAGGCGAATATGACCATGCCGTCCAGGCGACACGTAGACGGGCGGCTGAGCGCCATTCGTCTGCCGCGCAAGTTGCCGTTCGTGGACCCCGCTGTAACTCACACGAGGCACAGAGGGTGCAGGTCGTGAGGGCGCCTGAGGTATCGATGGCTGGACATACTGACTTGGTGCCTGAGGCCGTAGAGACGGGTACATCATCGACTGTTGGTCCTCTATGTCAGGGTACCGGCGTAAGAACTCTTCAGTGGTGCGATACATCGGAGACGTTGCCTCCTCTTCCTCGTCGTCCTCCGGGGGCTGTTCAACCACGGCCCTACCTCGTCGCGCTTCCTCTAGCCATTGTCGTTCCTCCTCTGGGTCCAACACTACGTATTCGCGTTTTCGCCTCTGAAGGTTCAGACGCGATCCATATCCGGCAGCGGGTGACCGTCTTAGCGCTCGAGACCTAGATTGACCACCTGCAATCGACGAAGCTGTTGTCGACATCTTCAATGCCTGGGGACCGACCAGTTCGGTCCAAGCCTCGATACCGCCCATGAGGAAGATGGGTGGTCGTTTCAACGGCTTCTCCGCGTTGAACTCGTGCAGCGTATCAAACAATCGCTTCAAGGCCTGCTCATTCTCGTTCGGGGCGTATTTTTGAAGGAAGCCATTCGTCTTGGTTTTCTCATCGTAGTAGACGACCAAGTCGTACTCGTTCCTCCGGTCGTACATCACTTGTTCTTCGTCCGGTGAGATCACAAGCCTGTCCTGGAGTTGCTCTGCAGAGAACCCGTCTTGCAGAGATGCCGGCTCGACACAGATGATCGCGTGAACGTAAATATGGCCCGCGTCAAATTCTGCCCTACTCCGCACGTCGATGAGGAGTACATTATACATGCGGATATAGTCATATAGCTTCTCCGCCGTGATCTGTGTCTCTAGGGGCTTGCCGACGGATTTTCTCCTCGTTGAGGAACTTTCTTGGCTGCTTGGCTGCGTCGGAAAGTAGCTGTCGGTCTGCCCGTTTGTGTTTGGCGCATAACTGGATACGCTGGAGGTAGCCATGGAGTTCGTGCGCCCGCCTGTTCCTACCATGCTTCTAGCAGTACTGCGAGGAGGGTTAATGCTCGCGGGTAACGAAAGGTTTCGAGCTGGGCTATACGTCGGACTTGGTTCCTTTGGCATAGAAGCTGCGAGTTGAGTATTCAGCGGGAGCTTGGGAGGCCGAGGCGGATCATGCAAAGGAGGGGGCATGTCACGCGGGCCCAAGGGACGGGTAGAAGAATGATAATCCGACGGAGACGGCATCTTGACTGACAGATCCTGGCTGGAGCGTCCAGAGGCGGTATCGAGAGGTGCCGCAGCACCCCTCAGTTTTGCGAATCGTTCGGCAAGGTCGCTCACGCTGGCGCTATTCGTGGTTGAAGCACTCTGATGCACAGCTCGACCATGTAGCGACTGAGGCTTAGGATGAATAGCGGGCTTTCTGCTAGGAGACCCTGACGAACCCGTCGGCGAAGCACGGCCGCTCGGAGGCGCGTCGGGTACATTGGGGAGCATGAGTTCGTCATCGCGGCGGCCGTAGGAGCCGTTTGACTGTCGGGAGCCTTGCGAGGATCCGTCTGTGGGTGCGCTATATGTCGAGCTTATTGAGTCTGGTCGCGTTGACGGTGTCGACTGATGCTGTCCACCATTCCTCTTGTTGTCATTTACGATGATGGTCTTAATGCGCATAAATCTTTCATGGTTGGAATCGACGTCCTGGCACGCAATCAGCGTTTGAGCACCCAATATCCAAATATGAATTGGTATACCTTTCTGAGCTGTGCAAAATCGCGGTGCATCTGACTGCGGCTCGTTTCGATTCTGTCGTAGTAATCGCGGTGCCTCGGTATCGCGTCGACCACGATTGTGTACGCCACGAGATACTCCCAGTATGCGCCGGTGGGAGGAGAGGAGCGGTTGTTCAGCATTAGCCTTGCCTGGTTGAAGTGGTATTTCCCTTGCTCCAGCAAGCTTGTAATCTGTATGCACTCAGCAAGCGCCTTCTGCTACCAGCGTCGTTTGGCATACCGGAGCCTGTCTCAGACGGTCTACCGCGTCGCCGGCGGAGGCTGTGATGTCGGCAATGGGCGGAAACAGGCCGCCAGGGCCTCTGCCACTGCCTGCTCCATCGCTGCCCCTCCAGCCATCTGGGCCAGCGCCGTTGGCGCCATGTGGGTAGCCGTTCATGGCGTTCGCGGGCCGGGGAACTGGGGGCGGCAAGGGAGCAGCTGCGCTCATACCGCAGCTAGACGCTGGGCAGGTCGGCCATCGTAGGGAGCGAAGTAAGAGAGGGTGTAATGCAGTGCCGTTCGCAATCGAAGGGCGTCGTGGTCTGAATCAGTGGGCGGGGACCCTGGCTGGCTTTAAGCAATGGCGTTTGACGGGGCGGCGACGGAGGAGGGCAGCGAAGCCTGATTTATTCGTGATTAGTGAATGGGGCGCCGCGGCGGGGGCAGAGTGACGGCGGAATCGCGAGTGAGGGTGAAGGGGGGCTTCTGGGTTGGTGATGCATTGACCAGGCTACGGTGGAGGTTGTCGTCGGCGGCTCAAGGTGCGCCACCGAAGCGATTGCGTAGGGCCAAGCCCGACCACCTCAGGTAAGCTTCTCCTACACCGCAACCACGCACGCCGTCTGCAACACACCCGCCACGCTTAGCACTTCCCGCTGCGGGTCTCGCTGTCTCGAGAAGTCCAAAGTATTGAGACTTATACCGATACCTCCCCCACGCGTCCTGAACGCCGCACCCGGCACCATGGCGGGCTGGTTTGGCTCATCGTCCAACGGCGCGCTCGACGAGCAGATCGAGCGCGCCACCTCCTCGAGCTTGTATGTGGGCGAAGGCCAGCTCCTCTAGCTTGGGAAGTGTGTGCTTGAGCTTTGCTAACCCTCAACAGGGAGGACATGCCCCTCAACCTCGAGATATCCGACGTCATTCGCTCCAAGACGGTGCAGCCTAAGGAGGCCATGCGCTCGCTCAAGCGCCGGATAGGGAACAAGAACCCAAACGTGCAACTGGCTGCATTGAATGTATGCCGCCCAAGCTGCCTGCCTGTTCTTCCGACCGCTAATGGTGCCAGCTCACGGATACCTGTGTCAAGAATGGCGGCGCGCACTTCATTCAGGAAATAGCTTCGCGGGAATTCATGGATAACCTGACGTCGCTGTTGAAAGCGCCCGGGGCTGTTGCGCCGAATCAAGACGTCAAGAACAAGATGCTGGAGCTGATCCAGTCATGGGCAACTGCTGCCGAAGGGCGCAGCAGCCTGAGCTACATCAACGAAGTCTACCGCACCCTGCAGCGAGAGGGCTTCCGATTCCCGCCAAAAGAGCACATCGCTAGCAGCATGCTCGATAGCAGTGCGGTAAGTTAACGTGCACTCCCATACCACTCTTCGGCCTCCGCTCATATTTGTGCTTGCAGCCTCCCGAATGGACTGACTCCGACGTATGCATGCGATGTCGAACCGCATTCACCTTTACAAATCGCAAGCACCACTGCCGGAACTGTGGCAACGTCTTCTGCGGCTCCTGCTCGAGCAAGAACGTCCCGCTACCGCATCTCGGCATAATGGATCCAGTGCGTGTGGACGACGGCTGCTATCACAAGTTGACGGACAAGACGCGCGCGACACCTGTGCCGAAAGGGTTCGATGCTTCCAAGCCCAGCCGCACTCTGTACCAGGGGTCTATGGAGCCACGGAATGCTCGCGTCGAGGACAGCTTTGATGCAGACCTGAAGCGGGCGCTAGAGATGAGCTTGGAAGAGGCCAAGGCAGGGCCGGGATCTGGATCTGGATACGTCTCGCAGTCGCAGCTACAGTCGCGCACGAAGTCACCAACGACAAACGGCACATCGAAGCCAGAGCCCGATGAAGAAGACGATCCGGATCTTAAAGCGGCTATTGCAGCCTCGTTGGCGGATATGGAGGAGCAAAAGAAGAAGCATGCCGCGGCGCTCCGAGAACAAACCTCCACCTCCAACGGCACGCCCATCGTTGCACCAAAGCACGACTACGAGCTCACCCCTGCTGAGGCAGAGAACATCAATCTTTTTGCAACGTTTGTCGATCGCCTGCAACATCAACCGCCAGGGACGATTCTGCGAGAGCCACAGATCCAGGAGCTCTACGAGAGCATTGGCAAGCTGCGACCCAAGCTAGCTCGCACCTACGGCGAGACCATGAGTAAGCATGGTAGGTGTGCTCCTGCTGCATCATGCGTGGACGAAGGCTAACCTTTTCAGACACTCTTCTCGACTTGCATGCCAAGCTTTCCACTGTTGTACGCTATTATGACAGAATGCTCGAGGAGCGGTTATCAAGCACCTACAACCAGGCTGGAGCTATGTATGGTCTTCCTCCCCCATCTATGCAGCGCCCCGCATCCACCTTATATCCTAGCATACAGCCTGGCGTACTGCCGGATAGTCAGACCGGCGAGAATTATTACACAGGAAACACTGCACCGGCCGACTCCTACGCCCGACCACAGTCCTATTACCCGGGATACCAGTCAACACCTCAACAGTCGTACGCACAATACGACAAGCGGGCATCCGTACCACCACAACAATTTAACCCGCCGCCTCCAGAGCAGTACCAACAAGCACAACAGCCATCACAGCCGTATCCGACCTTGTCATCGTATAGCGGTGGAGCAGCGCCACAACAACGTCCGCCAAGTACGACCTATCAAAAGCCCTCATCCCCGCAACTCCAGCGCCAAGCGTCCACACAGCAATATCCCTCGCAGCCCACATCCTCCTATCCCCCACAAGCCCCGCCATCGACCGTATCGGATGCTGAGAGTGCAAGTTTCTACTATGGAGACTCGAGTGTTGCACAGCCTTCCGCACCACAGCGGACCCAGAGCTTCGCTTCCCAGCCCTCACAAGTACCACAGCCCTCCTCACCGGAGATGTACCGCGCACCACCACAGCAAACTCCCATGTCCCCTCCCGCTCAACCCGCTGCTGCTCCGCAGAACCAACCATATCCACCGCAGCAACAGCAACCATCGACTCCGTATTGGCAACAACAACAGGATGCTACGCCCACTCCTCAGCAGCACGTGCCCCCTCCGCAGCACCAACCGTCTCAACCACCACCGCAAGCTCAACCCCAGCAACAAGCGCCGCCACCGCAGCAGCAACAGTACTGGCAGCAGTCACAACAGCCGATTCAGAAACAGCCCTCTGGGCCAGCGCCGTGGCAACCGGCTCCGTATGCGACAGGCGGATATGGGCCCGAGAGCTTCCCGTCGGCGCCGCAGCATCAGTTACCAGTGCAGCAGAAGGTAGTGGATGAGCCGTTGATTGACTTGTAACATAGATTCGGAGAGCGGCTCGGGCGGGACGGATCAACTTTGCATTTGCATTCTAGGCGCTTTTGGCGCATCCTTTTTCACCATGGTAGTGTCTACATTGTATAGATTGGGAGGGGCGCCGAGCCCGGCGGCGCAGGCGATGAGAGGGCAAGTCAAATAGTTAAGCCAATCGAAGAAAATTCTTAAACGCGTGTGCATCGTTTGGTTTTTCTATTCACATCTCGCACTATTTACTCATTCGTTCCTTCTACCTATGCATGCATGCAACGAACCAACTAACCGGTTATAGAATCCCCTCCCTAAGCAAGCCAGCTAGCCGTATGTAGTCGAGTCGGCTATGCAAAGTAAAGTAGTGAAAATGGGGTAAAGCGAAGATACCGTACTACAAACCTAATCCTCCAGCTCGGGGAGTGAGCGAGCGAGGGCATGAAAAAAGGAGGATAGCAAGAAGCGAAAAGGAAAAGGTCGAGGCATACAGTGCTCGAGAAGAAACAAAGGTTGTTGCAGCGAATGGAATCGATGACAAGATATGATTCATCGGGTGACTTGAGAAGAGAAGGGAAAAACACCGCCAAAGCGGGGCGGAAACAAGGAATTTTTCTGCTCCCCCGGGCACCAAATTACTCCGTTGGGGGAAAATCGTACATACAATTGAAAGAACCTCCCAAAAACGCCGTATGTAAGTGAAGGCATGAGGTTGCCTTGGTCTATACTTCATCCCAGAAGGAAGCAAGGTCGCGCCAAAATGACGTCGACAATCAGTGTGTATATGGGCCATAGATAATGCCTCTTTACAGCTTTGAAGTGCGCAATATTAGTATATACGAGCTGTGCAAGAATCTCTCCGTGCTGGTGCTGATATACGAGACCTTGCGACACGGCGACCTTCGACAAGACCTGTTGTGGTTCAGGCATGGGAAGGGGGGCGGGTGGTGGTGGCGTGAAGCCGACGCGTTCAGACGAACTCGGGCCAGTAGTTGTAAGGCATCAGAGCCGGGCCGGTCCATTTCTCGCCATACGGGTTGGTGCGCGAGCCCGCAAAGAAGCCGTCGTGCGCGTGCTCAAGGACGGATATCCAAGACGAGGGTTCGGGATGCTTGAGCCACTGCGAAGACACATATGTTAGCATATGCTGTGATTGGTCGGAATCAAAAACCGAATGCGGGGTGGAGCGCGTCGCCAGTTGCACTTCCCGGGAATCGCACCGACGAAGCAGGAAAGCCGTGAAGGAGGTGAAAGAAACTAAAGCGGCGCCACTTACTTGATTGTGAATGTGGTATGTCCAGGCGCCCCGGAAGAAGTTCTCCAGCGTGCGGTTGTTGGGCGGGAACTTGTCCTCAGAGAGCACGTAGTCGGCAACGACGCCAGCCTTGCGCAGCTCCACTTCTTCGTCCAGCGTGGCCTGGAACGAGTCTGCGTGGTCGACTTTGCCAGTTGGCGCGGCTGCCGAAGTTGGCACGTTGTCCAGGTCCTCACGACTCCGCCTCAGGCGCCTAGAAGGTGCGGGTGCAGGAGCGGCTGAGTCCATTTCTGTACGACGTTCTCGTATCCGCAACTCTTTCCGTTGCGCCTCTCCGAGGTCGATTGTCTCGAGTTGCGGGCCATCGTAGCTCTCCCATTCGTCCTTGATGGCTCCCTTCTTGCCCTTGAAGGCTGCGCCGTAGTCCCGCAGGCACGGGACCGTGCAGCGCCCTTCCCGGTCCCAGTTGAATTCTGTCCAGATGGGATCGAATGCGCCCGTCTCCAGCATGAGGAATTCTTGATCGCGGCTGTCTTTCCAGGCCATGCGACCCAGTACTCGGGGGTGGAAATTTAAGCCCATGCGGATGCCGCCATACAATAGGTAGGAAGATAGTGATGAGTTGGCCGTGAGCGACATGATTGCCGTATTGTAGTCTCCTGGGTGAGGATGCGCGGCCCAGCGTTCTGCAAACGAGTGTTCCTTGGGCAGTAGCAGCGGCCGCATGTCTCTGAGCATTAGCACGTCCATGTCGAAATAGGCCCCTCCATGGATGTGTAAGACCACGAATCGCACTGCATCCGACACAGCGACAGGCAGGAACGTCATTTGTTTCGGAGTTAGCACGAGCCACTGTTGCCCGGTTTTGTCCTCAATAATATTCTCTGCAACCGCTCTCTCGCCCTTGGAGTTTGGCTTTCCGGGTGTGCTGTAATAGCCGAAACCATTTCTGTCGTCCTCGTCCTTGGGGAGGGGAATCCTGGAGGGGAACTTCCATGCTTTGACGACGATATCGCCACGCTCAACGAGAGGCAGGAAGCGTGCGAACAGCGCGTCTTTGTTCAGCATTTCGTCGACAGCCCTGGGATTACGGTCGCTGTCGAGCCATAGCCACAGGCGCGAGCAGGCCAGATTCTGGGTGTATAGATAGCTCTTGATGAACACCTCGACACGCCAGGTGGCAGGTCCAGTCCAGTAAACGTGATAAGGGATGATGGGGCCGGGGCATGTGCCAATATTGGATCCGTTGGCGACTACTGCATCGTCCACAGAGAGGTAGCTGCTGAGGCTATTCCCATGGCCGTCTGCGTCCACATACTCAGCCTTGCGAGGGTCCTGCGAGCTGGCGCGGTCTGCCTTTTCGGGGAGCTTGTAGTAGCGGTCTTCCCCGTCCGCAAAGAACTTCAAGCAGTCGAACACGTTCCTCATCTTCTCAATGCCTGCGTACGTGCCTCTGCACTCCTCGACCAGCATGTGCAGATCAGCCTCGGTGTCGACGTGAGGCCGCGGTCCCATGTAGTCGTCCTTGATCTTGACGGCGGTAACGGGCCGGTTGAAGACATTGGCATGCGGGTTGATGGTGACGGTTTTGGAGGAGCTGGCGAACTTGACCTGGATTCCGGCTTTGGTCGTCTTGATGAGCTCGGTCGGGCCAGTCTTGTCGAGGAAGGCAGGAATGCCCAGCTTGCCTTTGGCGGCGACGCCTGGGTCGCTCACTAAGAGTTCTATGCCATAGATGACGCCGTATATCAACGCAGCGACTATCAAGTTCCTCGAGAGGGTGAGGAACGCTCTTGTCTTCGCTCCCTCGGCCATGGTGTGGGCTGCTAGGGGCGGCACCCCGTAGCGATTGCTCTGCAAAGACTACCGCGAAGTAGCCAGCGTTTCCCGCTCCTGTTCTTGCTGTGCCAGGTGGTCGCGTGTCGTGGTGTGGGCGGCGTTCGGGGGGGTGCACCGCGGCGAAGGGCGAGGAAAGGAGGTCGGAACGGTGCCGCGCGTCGGAACTGCAGTCGTGAAGCAGCAAGCGGGGAGAGAGGGCAATGTGCAATTCAATTGGCGAGGGGCGGTGTTGGTGTATTAAAAGACACTGCTGTAAGGCTGAGGTCGGGTGCAGGCACTGCGGTGAGGATCCACGGGTAGGAGGCAGTGCTGGGTTCCAAGGTTGTGCGGGCAGCAGCAGACGCAGATCAGGGGACGCAGCAAACAGCGGCTGCAACGCGGCGTGGAACAAGTGCGTGGCCTTCGCTCGAGGAAAGGACAGACGACGACGAAGAGGGGGAGGAAGAAAGGCTAAGGAGCGAAAGGCGCAGAAGGCTGGCCAGCTGAAGAATCGCGCAGCGCAGAGCAGAGTTGGGGGTCGCCAAAGCCAGCCCGCGGCGATGCTCAACGGGGAAATTGCGCCAGCCAATCCCGATCCTGACGCGCCGAGCCCCTGGCGCCTTCCCCCAAAAATCAGTCCCTTCCCTCCAGGGCTCTTCGCGCGAGAACGCGTTCCAAGGTTCCAAGGTTCGTCTTCCGCGCATTCTTATTCTTTTCGCTGTTCCGCTGCTGCATGTCTTCGATGCCGCGCCGCCTGCTGAGGATTGCATCCGCCCTCCACGCCTCCCCGCCTCGACGTTGGGCGTCGCAGTTCACATGCGCGTCGGACCCGTTGGTTAGGGGACTGGTCGCATCGCCGCCAAGATGCGAGCAGGTCCACGTCCCGTGTCGCTCCAACGGCTCGATCAAGATTGAGTAAGTCCTCTTTCTTGCTCTCGCGCTCCGTCGCCCCGCCTATGAAGTCATTTCTGTTGCAGCAACTCTTCGCTCGCTGTCCTGGTTTGATCGCGCTCTGTACGATGATCTCACGGCGGGCGGCCTCGTATACAACCCTTGCTCTCGCAGTCCTAGCCTCAGCTTCTACACCACCATTTTCTTGTTGGTGGGCGCCCTATCCCGAGCCGATGTGATGGCGTGGGCTCCCGTCCCGCACTGCCGTCCACATGCCACTTCCCCTCCTGTACAGTACAGCCAGGTAATGCCTCACGGCCTCCGGAGTTTCAGCGTCTAGTCGACATACATGTCGTGGGCACCGACGCTCCAATCTCAGTGCACCTCGTCGCTTGGCGCACCTGGGCATTGATAAACCCTCGCGTATCCTATTCCTGTCCTTAATCGCGTTTACCACCTAAAACGTCTAGCGCAAAGCCGTCTGACTACGCTCAACCCTGATCCGGTCCATTGATTATCCGACCTCATTTCAACATTGCCCTACAATTATTCCACCAGGGCGTTTGCTGAGTCTTGCTAGCATCTTTCATGCGCCCAGCCGCTCGCCTCCTATCCTCATTTACTTACCGGCTGGGCCCGTGATTCCCCATCACGCTGAAGAGGAAGAGTGCATCATCTCAGCTCTCGCTTCTTCCAGCGGAGCTACCATTGCACGAGTCAACTATCGCGCCTCGCCCGACCATCCATTCCCAACGCCTATCCACGATGTCTTACTCGGGTACGACTGGATCCTGGAGAATCTACTTCGCGATGACTTCTCCAGACCCGTCATTGCGCGTCTGGGAGTCTGTGGAGAGCTCGTCGGCGGATCTTTAGCCACGACGCTAGCTCTAACGGAATGCCGTCTAGGCAAAAGCCGTATTAGTGCTGCCTGTGTCAACAACCCCATCGTAGACTGGGTATTTCCAGACGACCTGCCTGTTGTTCCACATTCAGAACTCCCAGAGCCCCCGGCACCCGAAGAGACTTCTCTCCCAGCCGATGAAGACCCTATGTCCTCGTTGAGCATTGGGACAAATCCAGCAGAAGAGTCAATCCTCGCACAGAAACGTCCGAAAAGGCCTCCAAAGCCACCCCCACCTACCGCGTGGCAGCTTTACGGCGATAATTCCTCCATTCCCACTGCCACGTTATCCGGCGAACGGGATGTCCTCTTTCGCAGACCGGAGGATTATTTTGATCGGTTTGCTTCTCCTATCCACTTCTTTCGCTCGCCCCTTGGGACCTTGCTATATCCAAAAGACGATGACCACTTTGCATCCGAACCGCCAGATGGACACCTCGATATTGAAACCCGGATGCAGCTCAACCACTATCAGTCTTCCGAAGAACCGTCAACCCATGCTGATGTGCCGACCCTAGCAAGATGTCGAGCGTACGCGCGAATATATCCTCCCAGCGGCACCAGTCTGACCTTGCCTGCTTGGCACATTACCACGGGAACCGAAAGTCCGCTTTTTGACCAAGCCATTGAGCTCACGAAGATGGTCAGGCGTAGTATTGCTCGTCAGGCCTTGAAGAGTCGGATGGGACGCGTTCGATGGCACGACATTAACGAGAAAGAGAAATACGAAGCATACGCTGATGGCAGAGCTTATCTGGACAAGGTTGCAGGAGTTGGTCTCTGGACTCAACAGGACAACAATGGCGATTGGGCTTTGCAGGTAGAAAGAGTCGGTGCTTGGATGAAGGAGGACCTGAAACCCGATTTCATATGACTGGTATCTAAAATAATGAGGAGGAAACAAACAGAGGATGCGAGGGCAGGGACTACTGGTCTAAGCCCGGGAGTTCCAGCCCATTCCTCCGGATCCACTGCAAGGCCGTCGTCTTTAACTCTTGCTCGGTCCAGATCTCTGACAACCCCGACTCCTGCGCAATTCCATATACCCACTCATCCAGTCGGCGCCGCCCGTAATTCGGACTTTCGACTCGTACAATGTCCACGTCCCGAATCTGAAGCAGTGGACAAGAGTCAGCCTTCATATACTGGCTCCAATCATCCAGATGCGTCTCCCCCTTTGCTTCCCGTAGTACCGTGTCTTTCTTGAAATGCAACAGAAACTCGAAGTGCGATTTTGCACCAATCTCCAAAGGCACGTTGCCGTCCGGGGCTGGGTTAGATTCTATCGTAATGGGCCCGCCATATTTAGGATGCCAGGCAGAGATACAAACACGGTAACCGTGTTGATTGTTCACCAACGCGTTTGTGAACGCTTTTCGCGGCCTATCGTATTGGGGATATGGTTGCTTCTTGTACCCCTCTCGGAACGGGAGTATGAACTCGAAGCATGCTCGTCTCTTGCTCTGGACGTACTCCGGGAGCTCTTGTATCAATGGGAGATCATCGGAAAGAAACAGCGGCTTCTCTTGTCGTGTCCCTATTCCGCCGTCCTGGATGAAGAGCGGGATGATGCCGGCGCGCACCAACCGCTGGAAGTACCTCTTTTCCGGCCATCGTTTGATACTGTCGAATTCCCACGGTGCCCTCCAAGGAATTGCGCCGACTATCTGGAGCTCACAGAGTCCGAGCAGTGCCGGCCAGCTCTTGGTTGTCCACAGGTCGAGCCATCTCTTTTCCCGCGCTACCTCGCGTCGTGCAAGGCGAGACAGGTATTGCTCTCGTCGATATGCTTTGACGAATACCAGCGGAATCGACATGAGTAACAGGATGTAGAAGGTTTCGCCCAGCCAGTACGCGAGCTTATTGAACGGACCTGCATGCGGGTTTACGTCGAGAAGCGTCTCAGTTACGTGAACGATTTGGGTGGGAGTCGGCCGAGGTGTGGCCACCGTTGTGGTGCGCTCCCACCAAACGAGTGCTTCGAACCACATGGACCGTCGGGGATGAATGTCACGACTGGGTATGGTCGATGGAAGTAGGACAGGAAGTCCGATGGGACTTGTTGATCAGGAGTTCATGGAGAGCCCTGAAGTACGGAAGCAAATAGCTTTTGTGTGCGAAGCTTGAAAGGCGTTCGATTGCGGCCATTGCCTAATCCGGCCTGATTTCTTGAGGTCTTTGTCCGGTTGCGGTTTGCAGCGTACAATGCATGCACCGGACGGCGGCATTTGGCGCTTACTGCACGGCGTGAGGACTCTTCCTATGTGAGTTTCGGAAGTGGTGCAACCCAACGTGGCTCTAGAGGAGTGAATGTCGCCGACACGTGCCAGCTTGGCATTCTGTCTTGGCAATAATACGTCACTCCGCGATGTTCGGGACCACAACACATCTCGCCTCCACGCACCAGAAGTGCCTCAAATCCCATTTGCAAAAGAAACACATCTTCACACTGACTCCTCAACACCCACAAGCAGCTAAGCCAATCCCAAATCGCGCCAGCATTCCGCCATCATTCGACACTACCCCATACCCATGGCCGCCAAAATGAAGACCGCCCTCCTAGTCATCGACATGCAAAACTTCTTCCTCCCCATGACCACCACCGCCCTCCCCAACATCCTCAAGCTCTCCAACTTCTTCACCGCGCACTCCTGGCCCCAATTCTTCACCCAGCACGGGCACCCGCCCGCCGACTTCGCGCCCCCCATCCGCAACCAGCTCGTCCGCAAATGGGGCGCCGACGGCAGCCTGCACACCAACACGCCCGACTGGGAGCTGATCCCGCAGATCGCGGAGCTCGTCAGGGCCGCCGGCGCCCCCGTCGTGCCGAAGAATACGTACGACGCGTTCCTGGGCACGGGTCTGGAGGAGCGGTTGAAGGCCGAGAGCATCGAGAGAGTGGTCGTTGTGGGCGTGATGACGGATTGCTGCTGCGATACTACGGGCCGCGGGGCGTTTAATAGGGGCTGGGAGACGTGGATGGTTAGCGATGGGACGGGGAGTGTGGGGGAGCAGCATGAGAGGGGGCTGAAGGCTTGGGGGTTTGGGTATGGGGATGTGATTACTACGGAGGAGGTCATGGGGAGGCTGTCATGAAAACAAGAATAACGGATGAGACATGGTCCTGGGTGATTAGATGACCTCTTATTCCAGTTACCCATTGTCTCGTGTCATTGGCTCCTCCTTCTCTTGCTTCGTATTTTCTCACTAAACGGGTATCTCACCAACCCTTGGCAAGTCTGTCGTCATTCTCGCAATAAGCGCTACCAGTCTACGAACGAATGGAGAGAGCTGAGTAAGAACAGCTCGCCCTGAGTAAGAACAGCTAGCCCTCTGTTAGGACACTGCTGTGAAGGTGCAACACTTCTTAGCTCACGATGATTGGTCCGTCGCTATGCCTCGGCTTGTAGAAGCTAGCTCCGCCTACGCTCCGCACCCCTGGCTTATCCATTGGCTTACCAGACCCTTCTCCATATCCAGCTTGAGAGGGCAGCATAGCGCCAAACATTAGTCGTATTCGCGCGGGTCGAAGCAAGCCATGATATAACAGCTCCTCGTCCCCATTGCGGGGTCTGTCTTTCTTATCCCCTCCCACGAACCCGCCTCCGCTACCTCTCCCCCCGACCCCCGTAACTGCTCCGTCGTCGTCGCGTCGCAATGGGCCTCCTCACCACGCAGCCCTTCAAGGGCGTCTACGCCCTCGGCGCATTCACCTTCGAGCTCGCCCGCCTCCCCCTCTGGCTCGTCAAATACCTCACCTCGTACGGTCGCCAACACCCCGAATGGAGCTACCGCCAGGCGCTCGGCGTGCGCATCTTTTTCTCCGCGGTTCACCACCTCGCGGCCGTACAGGCCAAGACGCCACTTCCGCATACGCCAGGCAAGGAAAAGGAACGATTTATCATAATCAAAGCGGCGGAGGGGAAGTACTTCAAAGGCCCGCTCGTCAGCAACGAGGATGTCAAGCCGACCGATATCGGAGGGACGTGGTATCCCGCGCCGCTGTCTGCGAGCAGTGATCTGGGGAACGTGCTAGTCGTACTGCACATCCACGGCGGTGCGTACGTGATAGGCGACGGGCGGACCGAGGCGAGTGGCTATTTCGCGAAGAAGGTGCTCAAGCACACGCCCGCTACCCACATCCTGTGTCCCCAGTACCGGCTCTCCACGCTGCCCGCGTCCAAGACCTCGAATCCTTTCCCCGCGGCCCTGCAGGACAGCTTGACCTCGTACCTGTATCTGCTGCACGAGCTCAAGATCCCGGCTGCGAACATCGTGCTCTCGGGCGACTCGGCAGGGGCTAACAACGCCATCGCGCTGCTGCGATATCTCGCAGAATACGGGGCAGAACTGGGCGTACCGCACCCCTCGGCCGCGCTGCTGTGGTCCCCTTGGGTCGACCCCTCCGACTCCTCCGACGACTACACTCGCACTAATCCTAATTACGCCACCGACTACCTGCCCTACGCCTTCATTCACTGGGGTAGCACCGCGTACGCCGGCCTGGGCAGCCTCGACACGCCGTACGCGTGCCTGAAGCACAGGGATGCGGGGTTCAAGACGCCCGTGCCGCTGTTCGTGAACGCGGGCAGTGCAGAGATATTGTATTTTGATGACAAGGAGTGGGCGGAGATGATGCGCGGGAGGGGGAATAATGTGACGTGGGACGTGGAGCGGAATGCGCCGCATGATGTGTTGTTGTTGGGGAATGTGCTGGGGTTTGATAAGGAGGCGGCGAGGAGTGCGCAGAGGGCGGGGGAGTGGTTGACGGGTTTGAGGAAGTAATGGTCAGGAGGGCTTTAAAAAATGATGGTGGGATGGTATTCTGCAGCTATCTATAAATTGGTGAGTGAGTGGCTCTTAGCGCTCCCTCGAATATACTTGCCCTAGGTTGAAGAAATCTGCTTCTTCGTTCTCCTGACTGATATTTCCTCCCTTCCTTTTCCGCCGCTGGAATACTTTTCCCCGCTCCACCAAAACAGACACTTCTCTTCCTCCCCAGCCCCAGCGCCTTCGGGGTAGTAGACTTAGCCAAGTAGCTGTGCAAGCGGCGTCTACACGCAATACCCCCCTTATCATCGCAGAGTACACTTCACTCGCCTTCTTCTAACCACAACATCTCAAACTCTTCCGTCCCACATACACAACACAACCCCCTCCAGACCAAGCAAGCTAGTCAGACCCGCAAACCTTCTCCATGAAACCTTTTCGCCAACTTCTTCCAACCTGCTACTCCTTGCATATTCGTCTCGGCAGCTTTCTTCGACGCGCTCTTCTTGAGAGCCTTGAGGACTAGGTAGCACGGAGAGAGCCGGTCGCTGGATGGGAATTATCTTTGGGATTCTTTCTGCTGTGGGGGAGATGGCGGGGAGGGATTTGGTATATCGATATTGTACTTGTGCATTATGGGGTTGGGGGGATGGGCGTGGGGAGAGGTGAGTCAGGGGTGATAGACTGAGGAGAGCAAAATTACCCATCCATTACCAAAATACCCAGAAACTTCCCAAGGCCATTAAACAAAAACAACTGCACCAAACACCACCATTCCCACCGCCACAAGTCCCCCCTCCACTCTCCCCGCCGCGCTCGTTTCCACCGATCCCCCCTCCCCGCCCTCCGCCTGCTTCCTCGCCACATCCCCATCCCCGTCCGCGTCCTCACCCTCACTCTCCGCCAGCGCATCCTGAAATATCGAAGCCGCACTCTTCCCATCCCCGCCCCTCAACCCCAACAACCCGCCAATAACCCCAATCAGCCCCGGCGGCTTCCCGCCACACGCCGCCGCCCCCGCATCCAGCGGGTTGCCCGTCGACATCCCCATATACGTCAAGTGCGCGACGTTAATCCCGATGCCGTTCGCGCCCAGGCCGATGCCTGGGACGGAGTTGTTGCAGTCCTGCAAGTCGTGTGTCGTTAGCCCAGAACGCATGTAGCTTATACCGTAGTTGGCTGGCCGGTGGGTGGGTAGTACTCACCTCTGGCTCCTGCCCCTGACACTCAAACGTCCCCTCCGCCGTCGCCGCGTCCTGCTGCCAGTACTCGGTCGCGTGGTGCTGGTACCCCTCGGAGCGCGGCACCGTCTGCGGCACGCCGTCGTTGGCGTGCGTCACGCGGAACATGACGCCGTTAGGTGCCACGCTGTCGACGTAGTCGGCGAAGGCCTGGTTTCCGGTCCGCGGCTGACCGAAGGTGTAGGTCGTGACGTTGATGCCGGAGCCGAGGAACGATGCGGTCGCGAGCGAGGCGAGGGAGCCGCCGAGCGAGTGGCCGGTGAGGGTTACTGCTGCGTTGGGGGTCGCTGCGAGTTCGGTTTGCACGGCGGAGATGGCCTCGTTGGCGATGCTGTTCCATTGCTTGAGGAAACCTTCGTGCGTCTGTATGGCGGCGCGGCCGACTGGTTAGAAAGGAGTCATGCCATCAACTTGCTCTACTCCTCGAGTGATATGGCAAGCTCGAACTTGGGGGTCTGCACTTACCATACACCCATCACACCCGCTCACTCCAGGCGCCTCAAACGGCACAAGGTCCTGCATCATATCAATCGCGAAGTCCTGGATATTCGACGTCCCCCGAAAATCCACGATGATCTCGTTAGCAGCCGCATCCCGCAGAATAACGCCCTGCGCATTCGTCTCGGCGTTGTCCAGACGCGTGGTGATAGTCGCGTTGTTTGGCGGGGTGGGACAGTCATCCGCATACGCCGCCGCGGAAAAGGCGGCGTAGCGGACGAATTTGTTGAAGAGGTCTTGGGAAACTGTACTTGTATAAGTATGTGAGGACATCGTTTCTTTGGAAAAGGTGGAGTACGCACCGGGCAGCTTCTGGGCGGCGGCTAGTCGACCGGCGGCGTAGAGGGAGAAGTAGGCAGTCTGGACTTGGTTAGAGTTTCGATGCTACGCTGGATTGGTGTAATGTGCTGCTTACCTTGTAGTAGGAGAAACGCATGGTGATGAATGCTTGGGAGAACGCAGTGCGATATTAGACAGTGGATGGACCACGGGGTAGGCAGACGGAGGAGCCCCCGGGCTCGACTTATACTGCGTGGATATACCTACTCACTTGCCGCACGCTTTACCGTCTCCTCGCAATAGATGAAGCAAACCCCATGCTCTGGGAAGCTTCCCAACGGACTGGAACCTGCCCGGTCCATTTTGCGGGGTGCAGCCTACTTGGAGTCGGTCCGTCAGAGCAGGGCAAGTACTCGGAGAAGGCTCCAAAGATCGGGCTCGGTGTCGTCTCGACACTGCAGGGGCAATCATGGTATAACGGTTGGTCAATTGGAGAGGTAGATCATGCTGTCAAACTGCTCTCAAAGTAACGCATGACCTCCATCCACAACCTTCACCAATCTAATATCCCAGAACCAGAGTACCGCGAGGAGTCTCGAGTCCGGGAACTTGGATGATCCTGACAGCTTCAGGGGACCCGGCAGCAGAAGTTTTATTGTAGCATGGGGATCGACAAGCCTCGGCTCGGCTCGGTGGTGGCACATGAAAATGAAGGCTGATCAGAGCAGCTGGGTTGCGGGGTTAGGCAAACCTCCTAAACGAATGGCAAGTTTTGTCAGCTCTGAAACTTCTGGGGTTGCAACTTCGTTCAAACGACGTAGCCGTCCCGATGCGGACTACCGAGTGGATGACCTCTTGTGAACCTCCAGGGCTTGTGTAGCACTAAACCGAAGAAGCGTTAATACTCCTTCTTAACACCGCTTTTAGAAGAGTATTGAAAGGGGGTCCAAGAGCAACTGATAGACACCCAATGTCATTGTAGCTAGATACCAGAGTATGGAGGAGAATATACCAGAGGTTTTACCCGCTCCGCGCAACGACATGGTCGTGATGAGTTGAATACAACTCATGCCTACCACACCAACCCGAAATGACCGTCAACCAGTAACCAAGGGGTTCGGCGTCAAAGAACGCGGGACGCAAGCGATCCAGAAATTGCGCGAGGAGATGCGCTGCTAAGTCGTAGCAAAGTAGAAATCAAAGAGACATGACCCACGCAAAGATAGGATCTCGCGCAGTGGCGGAGCGGCCACAACGCACCACTTACGACCTTCCGCGCGGATTCCCCCTTGTGTTCTCGCCTTAGCGATGTGTCTGCCCAGCCCGAGTGATATCCACCATATCCTCAGTCAACGGAGTGGAAGTCGGCCCGAACGATCCGAAACCATTCATGCCGTAAGAGACATCTGCCTGCGAAGAAGAAGGCGGACCGTCCTCGTACTTATCCTGGAGCTCTTTTAGACACTGCAAGCCCTGAAGCAGCGCGTTCTTCATGGCTTGTAGCTCCCGACGCTGTTCGAGGCGATGAGTCGGCTCGGCGAGAAGTTGCATGGCGTTCTGCGAACCTGTGAGGAGTCAGTTAGCATCGCCACTCCATAATTTCATGGTTAGGGTAAACTTACCATCTTTGTCGTCGTGAATGCCGAGGCCAGTGTCAAGATCGTCGCGCAAAGTAGTACGCAGCCGCTTAAAGAACTTAGACTCGACGCGAATGCAGACAGACTCATAGAAGCGGCGAGCAGCAGTCATATAATACGACGCCACCTGGGCTATGACGTCGATCTCCTTGCGGTATGGCTCCTCCATGAGCAGCGCATGCCTTTTGTCGTCCTTGCGTAGCTTCTCTTGGTCAGCTGGCGTAAAGGGACGTCCGGTCTGGGCCTGCATCTCGTTCGCGAACTTCTTGAGGCGTGCGCGATATCGTGCTTGACGGTATTGCTCAAGCGTGTGGGCCTTCTCGCGATTAAAAGTATCCTCATTGAAGATATGTGGGCCGTCGCGTTCGTCATTTAGGCTCTCCATGGCCATAGTGGTTCGCTGCTCCATGAAATTGGTGTTCAGAAGGTCTTCGATAATAGCCCACGCGTCTCGATAGAGGGCACTGCCTTGCCATTGACCGAACTTTTGATGGAAGACGGACTGAATCATCGTCTTCAGCTCCTTTTCCAAGCCATTGAAGAAGCGCTCCAATGGTCGGTGCCATTCTTGGATAGTTGCAAGAATCAAATCATCCATAACTTTAGGCTCGAGCTGGTCCGGAATTCTGGACTTGCAGGTCTCCTTTAGATGGCGCGCGACATCGTCTAGCTTGAAGACCTTCCTCAAGCTAGCGTAATCGCTGTCCGGGATCACTGGCTTCACGTCAACAACCCTGGAGCTGGAAGGAGTCCCAGGGGTCTGCGCATGGCGGCCAAGAGCGTTCGTGGCGGCCGGCGTAGGCGTGTTGTGCCCCACCTTGCGCTTCTTCGGTGGTGATGCGTCGCTGTTGGCCATTTCTGTGTCCTCATCATTCTCATCATCTGAGTCAATGACGAGGGCTTCGTCGGCGGACTTTCCAGAAAACCCGGAGTCGAACAGGCGCAGGCACTCATCTAGCTTCCCGCTGGTGAGCATTGTGGGTTTCATGGAGACGAGACCTTTTAGAAAGCTCTTGTGGAGAGACTCCCAAGTGTTGCGCCATGCCCGACACGGATACTCTGCTTCCATCTCCTTCCGAATGTACTCAGAGAAGTCTAGGAGGATGTCGGAGATAATCCGGGTGGCGTTATGCGTCGGCGGTTCGGGGAGCTGCTTCAAATCGGCTTCGACCTTTTGGAGACGTTCGTGTACCTGCGCTCGAATTGTTGGAAGCATCTTCAGTACTTGCGCTGCGAGCCGCTTGGACAGGTACGTCTGCAGGTTCATCGTTCCGAAGCGGTCCTGATAGTCTCCAAAGGCAGTGGACCAAGGAGAGGCATTGTGGAAAAATTGCCGTTCCTGATGACGCGCGTCACGATGCGTGAGGCCTTGGTCAATAGCATCCTGGCCCAAGTTCTTCACAACGAAGTAGCCGTGACCAAGGGAGAAACGCCTGCCGTCCAGGACGTCCCGTAACCTGTCTTCACGGCTTCCGGGCGGGAGTCGATCCGGTTTCGTCAGGACGCCTGAAAGATGCAATTAGCAAGGCTGTCCAAGCTGTGAGCGGAGAGCATCACTCACCAATGCAACGGTCGGTAGCTTTGAGATCTCGAGCAATTCCTCCCGCCGTTGAGTTGGCGATGTCGTTTTCCAGGGAGCACGTCACGAGGATCAAAGAGTCGCGGTCTCTTACAAAGTCTGAGACCAAGTCCCTCACAAACTTCACGAGGAAGTGTTGGGCGGTAGACTCAGACTGGCCGATGATGCCTGGCAGATCGTAGAATGACAAGGATGGGAGGTCCGGCTGCGATACGTAGATGCATACAACGTTGGGACTGAACTGGGCTTGATGATAAGTGTTCGGTGCCCGGGAGAGTGCGGCGGGTTGCAAGAACTCTTCTGGATCGTTCAGCGGCGCTAGTATCGCCTTCTGGGCCCGAGCGATAAGCTCCTCCAAGGCGTGCGGAGAACTAACGGACGCAAATGGAACCTCTTTGGGGCTGGCGTTCGCGACCCAACCTGGGAACTTGCTCCGAGGCTTGCCGTCCCAGCTGTAATTGAGTCGAAGTATAATCCTCGCTTCCCATGGGGCTTGCGGGTCATCGGAAGCCTCCATCTTGATGAACAAGGGGCAGCGGGTACATGTATCAGTCGATCGAGGCGTCTTGATACCGGAGATGGCCTCGATGACAGAGGACTTTCCCGTAGATTGCTCTCCTGGACCTCTGTCAGAAAAGCAACAGCATATACGGCAGTACCTACCAAGAACTACGCATTTTGGCAGCGGAATCTGTAGTCGCTGGAGTCCAAGGCCTTCGAGCCTACTGATAACCGTGATGGCCTCTTTGACATGCTCTCCGAGGGGTTCGACTTCACCAGTAGCAGTAGCCGCTGAGTCGCTGCGATCGCCTAACGAATACGTTAGCAGAGCCATCCATAAAGCGAGGGAAGTTGCCCACGTGAGAACCTACCATTGCCGCTGTTGATGCTCAGGGGGTCAAAGTCCTGACTGAGACGAGAGTCGGTACGGTCGTAAGAACACTCTGTCTTTTGGGTCACATACCCGCCGCCGCTGTGGACCTTGCTCACGCCTGGGACGACGTTCATGTCATCATAGACGATGGTGCTTTCAGAGCTCGTGGGATGCTCTACTTGCGAAGACGGCGGGACAGAGCGCACAGCGGCCTTCTGATATCTGGTTCGCGTGGCTCCAGCCATCTCGAAGCGTCGTTGTAGGTGAGAGGTAGGTGAGGTAGGTGAGGTGGGTGAAGGAGGGGAGAGAGAGCGAGAGAGAGAAAGACAGAGAGGTGAGGCGCTGCTAAAGTTAAAGTACAAAAGAAGCGGCAGCCAATTAGCGAGGCGTAGAAAGCGGCTTCGGCAAAAGTTAACCTGACTGAGGCTTTCTTGGAGTGAAGGAGGTGCGGCGGGGTCTTATACTTTTCTCATTCACCGCCAATTAAAGATGGCATAAGCGGGGGCTCAGGGCTCACCTCTTATCCCGCCTCTAAAGACAAAGTGAATGTGAGCGTAGACACGGGAGAGAACGCCAGGTCCGTCGGCCGAACCATGAAGAAGTCTAGAGGGCCAGAGACGGCATGGCTCTGAACCGTCGTGCTCGGGAACAGGTTGAGGAAGGGGTTGAAGTGGGCGCGGAGAGGAAGATGCGCCACTATGCAGTGATAGGGGGCAACGAAAATGAAATGAGTCACTCATGCAGAAGGATAAGTAAAGGGCGTGCACATTATCGTGAGGAAGAGTAGACACGAGGAGAGGTTGGAGTTTGGAATGCCAAGACTGTCAGAGTGAGAGGCAGGATACCACCATAGAGGCCAGTGCGTCGTGGTCGATCCCAGCTCGCACTCTCTCCAACGCTAGGATCAGATTGACGGGTGCCTAGTTTCTGCAGTGTCCCGTAGCTTGTTACATCTGCCGCTGCAGCTCTCTCGAAGCAGGAAAGGGAGGCATCGTGAAGGACACGAACGTATTGAGAGGGAGCTGCGGAGCGGAATCTGAGGCCCCAGCGGCCAATGCATCCATGCGGCAAGCGAAGAAAGAGTAAAGATGTGCTTTAGCCAGGGCGTAGCCCTTTTGGCGGCGGGAAAAGTGGTGTGTTCGCTCCTTTTCGGTCCCGCGGTGGCTTCCATTGATGGTTTCCAAGGTTGTCAAGGCTCCAGAGATGATCTACACGACAGCCAATGCTGAGACAAAAAATTCAGCCGTTGACAAGTCGGCTGCGATGATGAAGCGACGAGATGTGAGGTGTCGCCGCGAGACGTCGTTGTTTGACCGCTGTCGGGCCGAGATTTCCCGCGCATCACGTGCCCGCTCCCGCCGACCGCCCGAGCTCGAGCAGGGGTCTCAGAAAAAGTTGAATCGACATCACGAACCCAGCAACATCCACCCAGTCCCCTCTGTACCATACTTTCCCGCGTTGCTTTTCTTTCTCTTGCTCCCTTATTTGCTCCGCATATACCAAAATGGACCACACTCGAGATCCGTGCCCCTGGGTAATCCTCAATGACTTCGGCGGCGCTTTCGCGATGGGGGTATGCCTTCCGTTCCATCGTCCCTCCAACTCTAGGCTAACGACAGGACTTTAGGCTGTTGGCGGTGCAGTGTGGCACGGAATCAAAGGCGTAAGAGTCTTCTTGCATGTTCCCCATCTTCTCCTAATGTTCTATTTAGTTCCGTAATTCTCCCTACGGCGAACGGCGCATCGGCGCCCTCACGGCGATCAAAGCCCGCGCTCCCGTCCTCGGCGGAAACTTCGGTGTCTGGGGAGGTCTCTTCAACGCGTACGACTGCGCAGTAAAGGGGGTCCGGAAGAAGGAGGATCCGTGGAATGCCATCATCGCTGGTGGCTTTACGGGCGGATCGCTCGCAGTACGAGGAGGCATGAGATCGATGCGGAATGGCGCGATATCTTGCGCGGTGCTACTAGCCGTCATCGAGGGTGTTAGCATCGGATTCAACAGGATGATGGCCGGCAACACAAAACTCGAAGCGCCGCCGATGCCTGCGCAAACGAGCGAACCACAAGTGGGCGGCGGACTGGCGATAGCGGCATAAAACGTACACTATATCAGCTTTCGTCTTCAAGAAGGAGAGTTTAATGTATAAAATTTAGGGGGGCTGGGCACCTGGGGCTTGGGAGTGTTTCGGGAGTTTTGCATATCCCGCTCGCCGAGACGGCAGCGGTCGGCGTTCACACTCTACTCAGGCTTCTGTGCTGTACTTGTATCATACTCCCGGTCTGTATAACTAGCGGCGGCGTCTCTAGAAATGGAAATGGGGATTCTGGATGATCCTACATCGCAGCCTAGCCTCTCATTCTCTGCGTCGGTCGTATCTTCGCTTTGCTTCAAGGCAAGTCCTGCACAGGTTATGCTGATAGCTGCTAGTCCCTTCGATATCCCTCTGTCGACCGACCGAAGAAACCGATTCACGGCCCTTCTACCTCTCGCAAATAGCCGCCTGCATTGTGAATTGGCAACACGGGTCGCACCTTCTCCACGAACAACTCCATGCGAGACTAGCCGCAACGGGCCGGTTGAGTCTTATAATGCTCAGCCCATTTCACTACCCTCACGCGACCGCGCACACAACCTCAAAATGTCTTCCACGAGCTCGTCCGACGCGGATTCTCTATATGGACTGCCTGCGTCGCTACTTACAAAGCGCAAGCGCATGTACAATGAACGACCGGATGATACGGGCAAAAAGATGCGAGCTGGTGGCATAAATGAACCGTTGGAGGTTGACGGAAACACAGCGCAGCAGGAGGTATTGGAAGACGCAGACGACGAGGCCTCGCAGTCATCAGGCAACGAGACCTCTAGATCGCTAGACAAGAAAACCGCAGCCCCGTCCGGTGTGGAAAAGGAAGGTACGACTACTCGAGCCCCAGCTAAACGAAAGCGCAACATCGGTGAACAGTCCGATGGTCCAAACAAAACGAATCGGACGGACGAGATAGGCAAACCAAAACGCCAAGGTCGAGACGACAGGCCGCCCGATTCTGCAGACGCGCAACTGGCAAGCATCATATTCCACTTCGACAAGGCAGACGTCGACCCCGACGGAAAGTTCGATAGCCTTGTGGACCTTCTCCAAACCACCACCCTCAATGAACCGCCCTCCCTATTCGCCAAATACAACCACTGGATCCTCGCTCACCCGTGCGACCTCCTCAACCGGGCTCTCCCCGATGACCCGGCAACCGTCGACGAGTTAAGTCGGTTCATGTGTGACGAAATCGTGCGCATGTACGCAGACCCGCTTCGGGCTTCGAAGTTCAAGCCGCCGCTTCCTCCTACGTGTCATCCTTGCTTCCCATTCTGGATGGAAGAGCATCCGGCGAATGACGTTATAAGGAAAATGTGGCCGGACGTGCGGTACAGAGAGGACGCACTGAAGAAAAAACGCACGGTGCGTAAGCGCAACAATTCGCAGCCGAAGGAAGCTAACATACTAGAGCAGGATTCTCCCATGCAAGGCCAGAAAGACAGCATTTACGATGCTAGAGGCTCACCGATATCGCCTAATCCTCTCGCCGAACATCCCGACTTCAATGGCCCGGGGTATAGGGTTGAAGATATGGGCATAGCGTGGCATCTTCTTCCTGATTTGTATGCCGGACGAATCGTCGCACTTAAGCGTGCCTGTAAGCCGTGAATATAGTCCCCAGAACATACATATATGAATATATGGCTCCCACGCTACCCTCTGCTTGGCATGGCATCTCCTGGTTGCTAACGATGCCCACGAGTCCGCTCCAGCATGACTTCAGCTCACTGGATGCACGTCGACAATACAATGTCCGCATCCTCATGGGAAACGTCATTGGGGGTCGATATTACGGATGAGAAGATCCTGAACCCGTTTCCGCAAGCCCACTTCTCAGTACATGTCATTCCACTGCAAATAACACTCTAGGTCTAGCAATGGATCTCTTTCGCGTCTACATATCTTCTTCACCACATCCCCCCCAAGCATTTCCAGGAATTTCCGCGATCCAATATCGTAACTGGCCAAGAACGTAATGTAGTCGGGTTTCTAGGCAGGCGAGGACTTGGGAGGATGGGTATGATCTGTCATTACCTGACAGCTGTCGTTATCCTGCTTTGTCTACCTTTGTCTTATTACGTCTCCTGTACAAAATTTCGCACCTCTTTCGTGTATCAACTCGTGCAGATAGGACTAAGCTGTCATTTGAGGAGATACACCCCTTTTCTAATCGTCTAGGAGTATTGATCCAGATAAACTATTGTATATCACGCGATTCTGGACTTTGAACTAGTACTTCTCACTTTCGAAACCACTTGTATTTTTTACGAGTCCCTTCAAGCCTGGGAGTCGCACCTTATACCTGCAACGTATCGTTAATACACTTGATCCCCCTTAAAATTGTGCACCCGTACTATGCACCCATTTGTATCTTTAAGGACGGGCCCATTGTGTAGTGATCTCACCATAACACGACTCTTCACTCTCCGCCTCGATGTTCACCACGTTGTGACTCAACGATGAGCATTCGCAAATATAGAAATATTTCTTTCCCTCCAGCCCTCGGCATCGTTCCAACCCCTCGAGCGCCGCAACCGACTTCAACCCCTCTAGCCTCCATTTCACCAGCGCAACAAGAGATACTAAACCACTTCTCCGCACGAAACTCATCGATCTTCCACACCACACAATGTCAACTTCCGATCAGCACATGATGGACATCGACGAGCTAACAGTAGCAATGGGCAACACCGAGGTAAACCCCCAAGGCCCGACGGGCGAGCTGAATCGTCTAGCGGAGCTGCTAGCCGACTCACGGCTCTCAGATGCAAAGACCGGAGCGCGAGGCGAGGAAGTCTTCTTCCCCCCGGGGACCACAGATGACGAACAATTGCTCATCCTAGCCGGTGCGCAGGACTGGCACCTCGACCGCTCGAGCCCAGAGTATCCAGCCGTCGAGCTCCCTCCCACACCTCCCGAGTTCGGCCCTCTTCCGCCCTCCCCCACCACTGCTTCCTCCGCCTCAGTACTCCCGTACTCCGACCGCAGTGTCCAAGCGCACATGGGGCACCACCTTATCTCCCTCGCCGAAACCGAGCACTGGGCCAAGATCCGCGAAGCCGTCAAAGCGAAGTACGCCTGGTTTCTCGACATGGCGTACGACGGCCTGCACGACGCCGAGCTGCCTGATAATCCGCACGAGCTGGCTGAGCTGTGCAATTGGATGGCCGACGAAGTATACAAGAAGCACGTTATGCTGGGTAAGAAGCCGGTGTTCGCGCCCGCGGATCATGTGTTCTACCCGTGCTGGGTGGCGGAGCATCCGAGTAATGAGGTTATTCAGAAGGCGAAGCTGGAGCTGGAGGAGATGCAGAGGAGGCGGTATGAGCGGCTGGATGATTTGATGCGCGCGAGGCGGTAGGAGGTTTGCCTGAAAGCGGTGCTGGTGGTCGCGGCCCTTGAGTCCTGGTATTGAAGGCAAGTTCCTCCCTGTGGGGAGATAGTATCGGATAATGCCAGCATATAAAGAATGAAGATATATTTATTAGACCGATATGTTCGATAAGTAACGTTTCAGCGCAAAATGAGGGTTCTTTGCGCCGCTTCACCGCTCTTCGGTGGTGTAGCTCTTTCACTCTCGCAGCATCACTGCATCATGATTGGTCGCCCGAGCGACCGTGACCCCCATTTCTTGGCGCACGTACCGCCCGCTTCAATTTCATCACCCAGGCTGCTAGGCTTTCCTCTACTTCCCACTCTAACACCAACAATCATCTCTCTGTGCACAGCTTCATTCTACACTTCAAGCTATTACATCACCATCTACAGAGTCATGTCTATCTTCAACCCGGACACCGAGATCATGGAGAACACGCGCTACACCGTCCATGTGGTTACCACCAAGGGCCGCAATCGCCAGGGCCATGAAGTGGAGACCATGCACAAGGTCACTATCCCTCCTCCAGGTCCGACGTATACACCTCCATCGTCTCGTTTCCAGAGCCCGATGTCCGCTTCTTCGGCATCTGACGCTAGCGAGTCTTTGTCGGCGAGCACCTTCCCGCACGAGAGCACCATCAGGAGTACCACCCCACCCCGCTCACCCGTGTTGACCGCTACGACGTCACCTGAGTGCATCTCCAACTCACCGCCAACCTCCACCTCATCCTTTCATTCCGATACTATTTCCAACGTTCGTCTTCTGGACAAGGAAGAGTTGGAAGTCACGAAACTTGAGGCGGAGAAGTGCGAGCGTGCACGCAAGGAAGCCCAGAGACAGGTCCAGGCCCTATCTATCGAGCGCGATGAGCTGGCGAAAGAGCTGGCACGGAAGAATGAAGCATACATGGGCGTTCAGATTGAATGCCGTGCCATCGGCACCGAGCGCGATGAGTTGAAGAAAGGCCTGGCCAAGAAAGACGAAGAGTACGTGGTGCAAATCGGCAACATCCAGAAGACGCTTGAGACTGAACACAGCAACATCGTCGAAGAGCTCCGGACGGACCTTGACATCCGTGTCCAGCAGAAGGAATCTGAGCTCGCCGCCCTTCGCAACGTCCTCCGCGAACTCCGACAGCTTACCACCAATAACGAAACCTCTTTCAAAGATCGGATCGAGGGGCTCGAAGCAGAGAAGGGACGTCTAGAGGCAGACCTACACTTCAACCATGCTACTCATAAAGAAGCATTGCTAGAGGCAGCAAGAGAGAATGAACGTTTACGCGACGTCATTGTCGAATACCGCGACAACGCCTCCAGTTCCTCAGCCATGGCGATGGTGATGACCAAGGACCTCGTTGAGGAGAACATGGCGCTCTCGGAAGATAATGAGAAGCTCAGGAAAGAGAACTCCACCCACGACATTATCATCGCCGACCTGCATGATCAGCTCGTCAAAGCCAGCCAGGACATGAGCCAGCAGATCCAGCTATGCAACGACGCACGGGGGAACGCGAGTAATATGAAGGTTGAGAAGACGAAGATGGAAGAAAAGTTGAGGATGAAGTCCAAGCGGGTGGTGCAGTTGCGCAACGAGCTCGAGGCCGCAAACCGTATGCTTGGAATAGGTGAAGCTTGGGAGATGGCTACCACCTTGGACAACGCATCTAGTCTGATGGACGAATTCAAACAACTGCATGCGAAGAACATTAACGAACTCAAGGATGCTCATATGGAGATCCACAGACTCCAGACTCAGTTCGCGAACCGATCAGAAGAGCTCCAGATACAGAAAGCTCTAGCCAACGACTTTGAGAACCAATTCGACAACCTCTTCCTCGAAGAGCACAATGCGCGCGCGCAGCTTCCACAGCTAGAAGACAAGATCTCAGAACTAGAGCTGAAACTACAGCACCGCGACAGCGAAGTCGACCGCCTGTCCTCACGAAAACCACCATCATTCCTCTGCACAGAACTGAAAGAGAAGGAAACAGAAATCGAACGTCTGTGTTCCGAGCGCCGTCCCCTTGACGATCACATCGCCCAACTCCAAGACCAGAACAATGAATGGTCCACCACCTACGAAAAAGACATCGGCGACGCGAAAAAGACCGCGCGCGGATGTTATGAAGAATTCAATCGCATGGTAGACGAATACGAGGGCCGCATTACGGCCCTCCATCGCGAGCTTGGGCGCCCATACCCCCCGCCCGACGAACCCATCGATATGGAGAATGTCGACCGCCACATGGTGCGCGTTCTGCGAGAATTATACGAGGACCCGGCCATCCCGGAGGATATCTTCCCCGGCGAAGGGGAATTTCTAGGCGGTTATGCCTATGCACCCGTTTGGGACGCATTTGGAAAGAAGTACCCCCATTTGAAGGAGCTTGCGTGCATTAGGAGGGATGTCAGGCTTGCGGTGCCGTGTGTCAAGGCTTTCACACTTGAAGACGCACGGAGGGTGCTTAAGGGGAAGATGGAGGACGAGAATCTGAAGGAGGAGTCTCAAGGGAGTACGGGGGAAGTGCAGAGCACATCCCCTGTGTTCGCCGAGGCTGACGCTGAGGATATGGAGGAGGGAACTGTTGATGAGCGGGATTTCGCAGGCTTGACGACTACGGAGTATGATGAGCTTCCATCGTGGGCCAAGGGCAAATGGCACGCCCTCAGGTCGGTTGTGGAGTAGAAAGACTTTTGGGATGGCGATACATGTGCAGGGGAATGGGATGTCTGAAATCTGCTATTGGAAGGGAGGGGCTTGGGCTGGCATAGAAGAGAGAGAGAGGCTACGCATTGAATAGCTAGGGGATACTTGGGTCAAGCCACGAACCGAAACCGCACGTAGATAGATAACATGAGCTTAGCATGCCATCGTTCAGGGCGAATGGATGCTTTCTTGTCCTTGCTTGAGTTAACTACTGTGGCTACTCGAGCGGCTCTCATCTCTACGCTGCCATCTTACGCACTAAAGGAGAAATATAGAACCATTAGGAAAGCAATGATGATACATATATTCTTTTATACCAAGAGCCGCTGTCTATGTAGAGAGAAGATTGACTGATCTATTGCTATGCCGGTATTCCGCATTATATTACCTAGCAGTAGTAAAAAGTAGTAGGTAGCTATAGTTTCTACAGATAATAAAAAAGTACCTTAGGTACACGGGTAAGGTGCACGTTGTAGGAATGCTAAGACCGCCTACGGACACACGGAGTCGCAGCTGCTTATGACCACTGGAGACCTCGCTTCGGCTTAGGCTTTGCGGAAAGTGCAGGAACAGGCTTTGGCAAGGGTTTTGGTTTCGGTTTTGGTGCAGGTGCAGGTGCGGGCTTTGGCTTCGGTTTAGGCTTCGGCTTAGATCCGGCGGGTGCGCGATGCTCAAGCAGGATCGTGTCCGGTACACCCTCGAGTTGTTCTACATCTCGCAGAGCTAGACTGTTACGGCTGGAATGCGGTCAGACCGTATGCCAACTATCCAGGGATATTGATTCAACTTACTAATTCTGTGGAATAACATTGGCCTGCAGAAGGGTAGAAGCGAAACCCAGAAGCAGGAGAAGGCTACGCAGCATGAAGATATTCATGCTGGTGCCTCTGCCGGAATAAACGATGAAGATGTTTCAGCAAATTTATGATGGGCACTGCCCTTGAAAGAAACAAAACCAGAAAAAGACGGAAAACGAGTGACGATGCCGAGATGGCTGAAGGAGTGTGGTAAAGACTGCATGTAGAAGAGGATGTGCAACATAGAGTCCTTATACAAGGTCTCGACGAACTCTGCTTCATTCTCGTGTGAACTGTGAGACCTCCGTTGATCTAATGGTAATGTGTTCTGGGTTCCGAGGACGGGCCCTCGAGGCGTAATCCGAGGATTGAAAAACGCTTGTCCTTGAGGAGTTGACAATTCTGGCTTAGACAACTACACGTGCTTATGGAGGACGTAAAATCGGAGATTGTAGCGCGACTTGTGGTGTACTTAAAGGTCGCACAGGCAAGGCGAAGGAGTATTCCGAAGCGCGTTGATAGGAGCGGTATAGCTCATGACGGCGGACTGAACCTATAGTCCAGAGTCTGGCTTATTTTCTCGGATTTATGGCGCTGCGCTTCATCTATGGGTGCATCGGGCTCCGAATGGAGATGGGGCCACGGATATGTTACGCTGACCTCCGGCGAATGATTGTGGCGTAGCGAGCGAGTTCAGCTGTCGCGGACCCAACCCTATTGCCATGGCGGTATTACGCATCATATAACGCTCTTCACCATCCTAAGCAATGGCAAGAAGTGGTGGGTGGCCCAAACTTCCACGGACATCCGAGAATTACCTTGGCACACGGGTGAAGAGCATGTCATGTGGAATGCTAAGACTAACTGCTGACTACGGAGTCGCAGCTGCGTATGATTGCCGAAGACCAATATTTAGAGTCAGTACATCGACCTTCTATCCAGTTGTTTTAAATTTTTGAGCCTCTCCACCTACCTGGGTCAGTAGAGGAAGACACGTTCTTCGGCTCCCTAGCTAAGGGTAGAGACATACAGCGCTGCAGAGCAACATGTATGATCTAAACTCCGTCCGGGATATGCTGGAGGCGAACCCGGACAGTAAGTGGAGCTGGGTAATATACCGCACCACTTACGGCGACGATGCTGAGTGGGAGCGGTTTATGAATCATCTAAACACTCGCATTCGCCTTAAGTTGGAAGCCGAGGGAACGGCGACTTGTTCTCTCGCATCGATTGGGCTGTACAAAATGACCTGCGTCTGGAGGATGCTAGTATCCGAAAGGTGCGCGAGTAAGCTTTCGCAATAATTCATTGACTGAGTAGTCTGGAGACTAACTTTCCTAGACGCTTTCGCCGTTGGGTCGAGAGGCGAGCAAACGCTGGGCACTACGCGATTTCGTGCTTGTGTCGTGGTCGGTTAGCACGAGTTGGAATCGGTCCTCGAGGACGGTCCGTCGCCGGAGGAATTCGATGCGGATGGGATGGGCTGGGTCACTGTGGTGTCACTGGATGAAGAGGAGGGCGACACTGCAGTCGGAGTATCGTACCTGACACGGGCATATGCATTGAGCGAGGACCTAGGCTGGCATACCATCGCCGTTGGGGATGGAGATGTGTTCTGTCTCTGAAGAATTGGCTGGGAGCATTGCTGTGGTGCACAGAGTGGACCGCAAGCACCCATGGAAGAGAGAGGATTGCATGCTTTCATTGACATAGTCAGAGACCAAAACAACTAGTAGGGAAATAACGTACGTACACAAGCCGGACGGAGGAACGGAGAATCGCGATTGTTCAATAGTCAAAGTTCTCGAAAATGACTCTCTTCCCCTCTAACCAGGTCAAAACCTCCTTCCTTAACGGTTTCCCAGCGCACAGATACCAAGTGTCTGCATTCAGAGCATTGAGATCGTTCTTACCAATCCTCCTCCTCCTCTCGACCTTCGCTCCCATTTTCTCGATCTCCTCAATCTTCTCTTCGATCTCTTTCGATGCGTTCAATCCGGTGAAGAAGATCTCCGTAGACTTTGCGAGGCCCGTGTGTCTTTGCAGTGTCTCCAATGCGAGATTTGCATCGGCTGGCCTGGTGGTCCAAAACAATTTGAATCGGCCGGGCGATGTATCGAGGCCTTCCAGCTGGCCAAGAAGTGGCGTAATACCGACACCACCAGCAACAAAAGACGTCACTTGGGCATCATTTGCCCTCTGCTCGATCTTGAACTCGCCGCCCACGCCCACTATAGGAACTTCAAAGCCTGCGCGATCATTCTGTTTGAAAAGGAAACTTGTGATGACTCCAACGTTCCTGATCGTGATTTCGAACTCTTTCTCTTTCGTTCCGTTCTCTGTGGGTCTCGAAGAGATCGTAAATGTGCGCACGAAGTCGTCGTTCAAGCTCCGTGGATCATCATCCCGCATGTGAGAGTAACCGATATCTAACTCCCCCGAGAAGTCGAAGGCTACCCACTGGCCAGGGGTATAAGCGATCCCGTCTGGCACAGAAAACGTGAAGCGTGCGACTGATGGTGTGAGGAGGGTCTTCTTTACAAGCCGGGCCGTTGTACGAGTCGCAGCTATTGATGACTTGATGTTCCCTTCTGAGGCCAATGTCCGTACGAGCGGGTTATACGGCGAAGGTAACTTCCTCTTGCCCCGGAAAGGAAGACCGCCTTCTATGAGCCGCACTTCATCGAGTTTCATTTTCAATGCGAGATTGCTTCCTGGGAGCAGCTTAGCCGCGTCGCCCGCTATTAGTATTTCAGCGGCTCCGGTTGTGTAGAGGACGGCCCCTGTTTCATAATCTGGAAAGGTAATGCCGATCTTAGGGTTGAGTTGGAGATTGCCAAGTGACTGGTATAGGCGGTTGCCGGAGTACTCTGGATAGACGATTTCAGTGTCCGATAGAACTCGAACGAAGCCTGCGGGCCCACCGCGATGGTTTGTGTCCATATCATCTTCCGTGCTGCTCGAAAGAAAGAACATGTCGGATTTGGATATCAGAGCCTTGGCATCTGGGGTAAGCGTTGGCCCCTGGGATACCAATTCCGAAGTGACGAAAGCGGGCTGTACCTCATACTGGTTCAAGTACTTGGGACAATTACCGAGACTTTGTTCAATCTTCATGACCAACTGAATCTGATCCTGCTTTTCCGGTGCTTCGTCCGGCCGCTCACCCTCGTCTTCGAATTCCACATCCATCTTACCCACGGCGCCAGCTACCATTCGCCCAGAGAGTTTTACCCTCGTCCTCTTCATCAAGTCGATGCTTAAACCTGATAAGATTTTCTCCTGCTGCACCATCTCGCCCTTTTCGACATTCCCTACAAGAGCTTGCACAACAGGGTCATGCGCTCCGTCGACGATGGTCCGGGTTCCGATAAGGCCACCGCCAAGAGGTTGAGAGAAGCCAGCGTGGCCACCCCAAAGAGTCGTCCATGGGCGGTTTTGTGAGTCGAGAGTTCCTAGGGCGAGGAGAGGCGATCGTTGTAGCGAGAAGCTAGCTTGGGGCGTGAGCATCGCTGAAGTAGGGTTGTCGTATGACGGAACTTTCAGCAGCTTGTGCATTTGCTCTTCGCCCTTGTGGAAGGGCATCGCCATTGAGAAGGCCATGGTATTTATTCGTATGTCTGGCGCTGTTCCTTGGCTCTTCGCTGTCTCTTGCAGCTCCAGGTCGTTCTCGTCCTTCTACGGTCAGCCGTGAACCTTATATGCCCTACGTTTGAGCCTCTATGCATGATTTGCAATCGTCTCGGCGTCGTGAATGTTCGTTATTCAGCAGGTGAGATGTAAACGTTGTCCCATCCATATCTGTGAACTGCATCGGCATTTACTAATCACTCTCGGCCGCGGGGTGGATGTTCTAGAACGGGACGTTGGACGTCGAAGAAAGACGGCATAAGCTTACTCAGCGCGCACCTCATCCCCGCATTTCTGGCGCTAGTTCAGATTGGGGTAGCTCGAGCCGTGCACGCCTTCCAACGTTCCCACGCGAAATCTACTCCAACCTCTTTCTCCCGCCGATACAATATCTAAAATTCAATTTCTGAAAGATGGATACCGCTGCTACGTGCTCGGGTCTTTCGATTTCTTTCCCTTTCGGCCCGTTTTTGGGAGCAGGTCATCCAGAATAACAAAGACGCGACAGCTATATGGGAGGGTCGTCAGACGCCCGACTTTCTGTAGAACTCAGGATTAAGAGATGAGGAGATCAGCAAGCCAAGTCCGCCAAGTTGTCTTATCGAACTCTTCATTTGCACGCTCCGAAGAGGCAGCGTACCACGAAACGCCATTTCGGAGCCTCGCCCCCGCGACGGGTAAAGAGACAAGCCGCGAGGGATTGCCAAGCTGTACGCTACCAGGTAGGTACACACCCAATCAAGCAGGTCGCAATACGCTGCTCCGCGAGCCCGATAGAATGGAGCCATACGGCGTCAACAATTGTATGGGATTGTGCCGCCTGCAATCCCCGCCTACCAGGTTCTGTACGAGGCAATTGGGAGAGCCGTATGCATCCATATTTAAATCTTGGAACACCCCCTCTGAAAGCTTCTTCGCATCGAGCTTCGGGCGACTAGTCTACCATTGAAATAAACTATGTGGAAGTCAATCGTAGTATTAGCAGTGTTTGCCGCCGCGACCGCCAATGCTGCTGTGCTCGACCCGCGTAATAACCTCGTGGAGTCGGTCAGTTCTACTTCGCCTCCCCGTTTGCCGTATCTGACTGACGCGACGGGCGATAGGAGAAGCTTCGTAGGCGCATCAATGTCGATGCCTTGGAAGAGAAAGCCCAGCTCTTCGAGCGGTTCGCATACGACTCCCCGGATAAGAATCGCGTTATTGGGAGTGCAGGACATGATGCTACAGTCAAATACATCACCGACATGATAAAGAAATTCCCGCACTACTATACGGTCACACAACAACCTATGCCCTTATCAGTAGGCATCTCCGCCAATCTCACCATCAACGGCAAGGAAACCGAGGCATACGCTGTCGGGTTAGCTCCTGGGGGCCATGCAACTGGATCTGTCGTTGCTATACCTAATCTGGGTTGCAATGCTGTAAGCCATGCTACGGTGGTCTCATTCTCCTTACTTCGACTAATCCGACTACTATTCAGACAGATTTCCCGAACAGCCTCAATGGCTCAATTGCACTCATCTACCGCGGGACATGCGTCTCCGGTGAGAAAGTGGCTTTCGCAACTGAGAGGGGTGCGGCTGGCGTGCTCATTTATAATAACGTTGAAGGGAATCTCAACGGCTACTCGCTGCAGCGGATACCAGCTACGGAGGGCGAATACGTCCCTACTGCAGGAATCTCCCAAGCAGCCGGCGAAGGGCTAGTTGCCCTACTCGAAATTGGCACTGAGGTTATAGTCGACATGACAACTACCGCCAAGGACGTCACAAGCTACAACATCATAGCACAGACGAAGGGCGGCGACCAAGACAACGTCATACACATCGGCGGACATTCAGACTCGGTCGCCGCTGGGCCTGGCATCAACGACAATGGCTCTGGATCCATCTCTATCCTTGAGGTTGCCATCCAGTTAATGCGCTTCTCGGTCAACAACGCAGTACGCTTTTCTTGGTGGACAGCTGAGGAAGAAGGACTCCTCGGATCAGAATTCTACGTCAAGTCTCTCTCCCAAGCCGAGAAGGACAAGATCCGTCTATTTCTTGACTTCGACATGATGGCGTCTCCCAACTACGCCTTCCAGATTTATGACGGCGATGGGTCGGCTTTCAACTCCACGGGTCCACCAGGCTCCTCAGAAGCCGAGGCCGAGTTCACCCACTACTTCCGCGACATCGCCAAGGTGAATCACACCGAGATCGAATTCGACGGTCGCTCCGACTACGGTCCTTTCATGGAAGCTGGCATCGCTGCCGGCGGCATCGCATGCGGCGCCGAGGGCATCAAGACCCAGGAGGAGTTCGAAATGTTTGGAGGCGCTGCTGGGGTCCCTTATGACGTGAATTACCACGAGGATGGCGACACCACGAACAACCTGAACTATGAAGCTTGGATTCAGATGACACGTGCTATTGCACACGTCACAGCCACGTATGCGCGGAGCTTTGATAGTCTACCACCTAAGAACTCCTCGGCGGTAAGAATGAAGAGAGATGCGCAGATGTTCAGGTATAAGACGTCGAGCCGGTATCTCAGTATGATCTAAGGGCTGGGCATGAACTAGATGAGTCTTATAGAAGCAATACCGGGTGTATTCGAACTTCAGTGTTCCATACGCTTAATGCGTGGGTAACGCACTACCTCACGCATGACTTGGTTGAAGAGAGATTGCATAGTCCAAGTGATACATGGAAAATGGTTGCTGCCTAGCAGGCCCAGAATGGATATTGCAGGTCTTAGCTTGAGAAGCTACGCCGCATACGCCCGGCCCCAACAAGAAGAAAGCTTTAATCCCTGGTTGGCATCTGGACCAATTGCGATCCTCCAAGTCATTCTGCGCCACGAGTCCCTGCCGCCTATATGGACCGCGTCCCTCGCCACGGATGCTTCCCTCAGCCCAAATTCCACAAACCAACTATCTGCCCACGTACCCACTTGCACTACCATGAGCATCCTTTTCACTCGCCGCACCCCTCTTTTCGCGTTTCTTACTCTAAGCCTCCTCGTCGTCGTCATCGCCATGGCATCCGCACCCACCGCCAGTCCAGTCAACCTTGCGGGCTATCAAGCGCCGCTTCGTAACGAAAGTCTTCCAGAGGCGATACCAGAGTGGTACATCATCGAATTACGGCCAGGCCATACCATGGAACAGCACTCTGAGGCTGTTGGGACAGATATGAACAAATATCTGCACGTGAGCCTGGACCGCGTCTGGGTGGACCGTGTCGTCTATGTTGGCGCGAACGTCGATGACGAACTACTCGGCCGTGTTCGAAAGGATCCTGGTGTGAGGGAAGTACGATGCGATACTAAGATCAAAATGGAAGAGGAGTAGTGTTGGGAATACATTGCTCTTTGCACTCTCCTTGGGCCCAGGTCGTACGCTTAGTCTAACGGTATGCTTCACTTGTGAAACTGAGAACACGAGGGAGTAGAAAAATTCGCGGTGGGGAACAATGGGCACACGAGCTCCCGATCGAGACAGGCTCAGCTGGACATTCTTCGAGATCGACGTTGGGAAGGAAGCCAATGCATGCGGAGGGACTGTTGATTTCAGAGACGAGTCGAAGGAGTGGTACGAAGGTGCCCCTGAGCAGATCGTTACCCCACCATGGCCACATGGAAATTTCGGACCGATGAAGCTGTATGGAGAGGAGTGCACGTATAGCGCTAATGGCGAGAATCCGGGGATATTAAATTGCAAGAATTTCCTCAAGGCAGCTTCATACCATCAAGACAACAAGAAGGAACAGGGCGCAGAGATTGTGGGGCATTGTGGAAGTAGTGCCGCAGGTAGCGAAGAGTACGAAGTGCATCCAGTGGCTTTCTGCGAGTGGTAGCTGCTCGTACTGGTGTTGTGTCAGTGTGGTACTGATACGAGGAAGATGTACGTTGCAGGGAGCTGGCTCTCTTGGGGGCGTTTGGAGCACCTAGACGTCTTCTCTGAATTTAAATTTAGACTTCAATTCCTCCCAAAGTTCTCTTCTCAATTAGCATAGTATCACTTACATGCGCTGGGTTTGTATGGTCTGCTGTCTAAGAATGCTACGGCGGTCAAGACGAAGAGGGATGCCCAAATATTTAGATTCAAGATATCGAAGCGCTATCTCAGCATGATACGAACCGGAGATGCTAATGTGGTCTGAACAGAACAAAGAGAGCGTCTTCGAACAAGACATGACTAATGCCCTGGCTGATCTCAGCACTATACATGACTCGGAACCACCCAACACCACCCAACCTCACAGCATAATAAACATCCATAATCGATCCATCTCTCCCTATCCAAGCTCCTGATCCTCGCTTCCGAATAACAATGCCGTAGAAGCGCCCTACAAAACCTAAACGCCCCACAGGTGACCCTCTCGCGATCCGCGACACCACCCAAGAGATGTGGCTGCGAGCTGAGCCAGGCAGCTGAAAAGCCGCCCTGGCGAACACGCCCCTGTCTCTCCCCACCACAACAACCACGACTCTCTACCGCTACGCTTCACGTTCAATCTCGTCGCTCGTTACCTCTTTTCAGATTTACTACCCACTCGAGGCTAGATCTCGACAAGAGCTTTGCCCGCCTTTGAACTGCTGTTGACGTTTAGGACGACAGCTCAGCCCACCACCACCATGGCGCGCAAAGACCGCGTCAAGCCAACCCACTACCCCGTCCTCCCATTCCACGCAATACGATGCGCGCAGCTCGTCTCCAGCATAATCGTCGCATCGATAATGTCGTACTTCATGTGGGAGCTCCAGCACGACAACTACGGGCTACCCTGGACCTTCATCCTGGTACATAAACCTCCCCTCCCATCCAGCTCAGCCTTCCACCCTTTCCTCCACTCTCCACTCTCCACTCTCCACTCCAATCCACCAACTAAGACCTCCCCCCAGCTCCTAACCGTCTCGCTCCTCACACTCCTCGCGCTCTCCACAACAATCGTCCTGCACTGCTTCTACGGGCTGAACCCGCTCCTCAACACACTCCTCAACGCCGCCCTGCTCACCCTCTGGGCCGTCTCCTTCGCGCTGCTCAGCTGGTGGTCCAGCGGCACGCTCGCGCACGTGTGCAACCGCGCGAACTGGGACTCGGACATCGGCATCTCCATCTGCCGGATCTACAAGGCGCTGTTCAGCTTCAGTCTCTTTGGGCTGGTGGCTACACTGCTCGCGCTCGTGCTCGACGTGCATGTGCAGCGCGGTGCGAATAGGAGGGGGAGGTTTGCCAAGCTGCAGCTGCTGGATAATAAGAGGGAGTTTGATGGCGGGATCGATGGTGCAGAGCTGGTCATGACGGAGAGGGAGGCGAATCCGAATCCGATGGCGAGGGGGGCGAGGGCGAGGAGGGGTGGGGAGGGGTATGCGCTGCCCGAGGAGCAGTTTGCGTATGATGAGGATACGGGGTATCATGGGGCGGGTGGGCAGGTTGGGCGGAGGAGTTTGGGGGAGAGGTTCTAAGCGACACTGTTAGAGGGCTTCAGAGTGGTTCGCGGAGTTTGGGATATGGATGCTGGGTAAAAGTATCTGATTATGGAATTGTGATTGGAATCGGACTGCATGATATGTGCTTGTATTTGTCTACTATCCTAAATTTCCAGCTCAGTCCTCCTCTCGGTCAAACTTCTCCAAAACCTGATCCACCTTTCTCTCCACCCTTCGCACCCTCTCCCTCACCTTCTCCACGCTTTTCTTCAGCTCTCGCACCTGGTCTCGAATGGGCGGGCTCGCACGGTGTGGAATTCTCCAGATGGAACGACGTGCACAACAGCTACCCTGGAGGCCATCACGGGCGCGTACAATGGGACAGCTAATCTTGCTTACTTGTACGGCGAGCCCTTAGATGCGGAGAATTGCCTACCGCAAGACGCGGGTCCGGGCGTGGCGTCGGCTCCGGTTGCAGGTGCACTCCTTCGGTCGTGAACTTGATTTGGCATTTGTTTGACATGGTAAAACTCCTTGGGGCGTTCTACGATTCCGCAAGGAGCGGGATAACGAGTGAAGCATTAAGGGCGGAGTTGGGGGCGAGACTATAAAGGAAGAGAGGGACTGGAAGTTTTCCGGGTAAGCGCATGCTTGACGACAAGTAGTCGAGGGAACTCGTGCGTGGGTGAGTATACTCAAAGAAATGTTATGCATAATTTTCTCCGGTAATACGCCAAGGCTTGAGAGTTTACACCAAGCTGGACCCGGTGTCTCTTCATCCTTATCACGTCACTCAGACCAGGCTCGTACGAAACCCTCAAAAGGGGACCTCCGCCGCTACCATCTCTTTACTCCCCATGGCTCATCCCCACAACCATCCCTCAATCCCACGAGCTTGATCCCCGAATTCTCCCGGAGGAGCTAACTACGCCCATAACTTGCTCAGCCACGCTACAACTACCCGGTACGCATGCTTCGCTCCAAGACCCACTGGCACTCTCTCGCGCATGAAACCACAGAGCCTCTTCACCCGGTCGAACGCCGTCTCGTCAGCAGGCGTGCGGGCTGCGGTAGTAACGCCCCAGATAGCTTCCCGCAGTGCCGGCCGTGGATGTTTGGCTGCTAAAGCAAGGAAAGCGGCGGCGTCGCGGATGTCCTTCATCGTGAAGCCGCCGAGCAGGAAGATAGCAGCTACGGCAGCGAGGAGGGAGGAAAGGACGACCACAGTTGCTGCGAAGCCGTCCTTCTCCTCGGTATCGTGTTTCTGTGATTGGTGAGAATGGACGATCTTCCTTGGAGTGGTTGGGAAGGCTTTGGCCGATGTCGAAGCCTCGGTCATCTGCACAATGATGCCTTCGCCCGCCTCGGAGCGGCTAGAGTGGCGTGCCGTGGAGCTAGGAGTCCCAGTCAAGAGCGACTTGATATACGCATCTTGGTCGTCCGGTGTGCGTGTGTTCATCTCCGCCTCGGGTTGGCCGATAGTCGTAGATCGCGCCTCCTTCTCCCTAGCCTCTTTCTTCCTCTTCCGTTCAGCCCTTCCCGCGCGCTTCCTCCCCCCATTCTTAGCTTCTGCACCGTCCACTGTGCCCTGCGTCCCCGAGCCCGCTGTTGTACTTCCACCGGCTGAGCCATTCGGCGTCGGCGCCCCCATGGCAGCCTTCACCCTCGTGGCGATGGCTTTTTCTTCCGCGGCATCCTCCTGGTCTTGCTTGACAAGGCGGGATACCATCTGGATCTTGCTGCCGCCGCCCGGGAGACCGCGCAGTTTGAGGAGCTCTTCGAGGTCGGCGCTTTTCATTTTGTTGTAGGTCATGGTGAAGGGCGGATCGTCCCGGGTGGTGGGGATGTCGAAATGGTGAGAGCGTGGATTGTAAGAGATTGGTTGGGGTTGTGAGTATGAAGTCAGTGGCCTGTGTGGGGTGTTGATGTGGGGAAAACGTAGATGGTGATGCAGCGAAATTTCGAGGTGCGCTGGATTTAAGAGGCCAGGGCGTTACCAGGCTGCTGAAGTGAAAGCGGTGAGACGAAATGTAGATTGAGAGTGAATGACCATAGTCCACCCGATGAAAATGGAAGATCTCTGACGACAAGGCGACGCCGGGGAAGATGATAGGAAGCATATACAACGGGTTGGGTATTGAGGATATCATATCAGACGAGCGCAACGGCGTGCTACCAAAATAGTAAATCCATCATCCAACATGCGACTTTAAACACGGGAACTTGTAGGCTCATTTACGGAAGAACCGGGATCTGCGTGATCCATCGGGGCACCTCCCCCCAATCTTCATTGTTCTGGTATTCGTTGAACAGAGCAGAGCGTATTGCTGCTGCCTGCGCCGTGATCTCTAGGACCGTGAATTGACGCAACACACCCCCAGAGCCGCAGTACTTTTTGAATATTCTTCGGAAAACATCAGGGCCTATACGTAGATCAGGAGCCGTTTAGAACTCAGATACCAATCATGAAGACTCACCCGCATACTTTGTCAGCCCGTCAATTAGGGCTTCCATCTGTGCATCAGTCCACCCCTCTGTTGCGACAGGCGAAACCCGACGTGCCGGAGACAAGCGCTCCCTGAAGAGCGGTATGCGCTCGAACCTGATCCCATTCGCGTCTCGCTCGTCAAGATCCGCAACTAGCAGGTTAAATAGATGCTCCTTGAACTCTAGATGGGGTCGCAGGAATGGATCGGGCTCATATTTCAAGCGCCAAACGTGGAGGTCATGCCACCGTTTGTACCGTAGAGTAAGAGACTCATCGCAACGTCTTCGTTCCTCCTCTCGCTCTTTCCGTTGTTGGGTAAGTTCTTCGTGGGTCCATTTTCTAGTCCCGGCTTCTAATTGGCTGAGTATCGCACAGTAGGTCTCGTCGACTTTGCGGAGTGGTACAATAAGCTGGCTATCGACATCCTGTACAAGCCGGTCATTCCTGTACCGCTGCGGAAGAGGGATGTTCCAACGGGCGATCGTGTCCTTGAACGACACAATGGCGTGGACGAAAGGGTAAAGAACACGCATTGCTTCCAGAGATCGCGAAAGATCCCTATAATGTTGTTCCAGCCAACTATGCAGTACTTCCAAATACCGAGTGAGAGATCGGAAGAGATAGCCATACGCATCGGCCTTAAACGTTCGTCGATGCTTTTCATCTTCGTTATGACGGATTTCCTGAAGCATGGCTTGTAGTTGTTTGGTAGTATCAGAGACCTCTTCGAGCGTTAGATTGGGTTGTTGAACAAGTTCCACTGCTGCTCGACAAGCTTGCCTGATGTCGGCTCCATCCTTCGTCGCACAACTTCCGCGCCGCGCATTGGAATCAAGAAATTCGAAAACGCGATCGAGGTCGGTGGCGGTGTTGGCATCGCCGTCATGACTTTGGTGATCACTGACTTCTTCTGCTTCCGATTCTTCTATATTTTCTGCATCGCCAAGGACCGAATCCCGATCGGCTTCGTGGCCCTTAGTATTAGCCTCCTCTCGTACCTCGTCAGACTCGTTCTGTTCTCCCGTCTCGGAGTGATCGGCGGTAGGCTCGACTTCCTCCGCTTCGTCTACTCTTGAGCTAGTGGCAGGTGCTCTTCTGGATCGCATTGGTTTGCGTCGGACAGGGAGTGCCTTCTCTGTGTGCTTAGCGTTAGATCTCGTCTGTCCGCCTATGGGAACGGTAGTGGAGCGTGTTGCCTTCGCTGGTGGGCCCCTCTTCTTGACCAACTCCGACCTGGTCTCCATGATCTCGATGTCTTCGGTCTGTGGCTGTATGTCGAAGTCATTCTCATCGCCCAGCTGTAGTGAGCTGTCATCTTCTAGTTCATATACCGGGATCTTGGATGGCGCCTTTCCTGGAAGAGCGCGCTTCGGCTTCCGTACGGGGATGACAACCTGAGGTTCGTTACGTCGGAGTCGTGTCTGCTTCTTGGTCGTAGCATCCTCGGCTGCTTCTGCCTCCTCCATCGCCGTCCCATTTCGCCCCTCTATCCTCGGTGACTTCGAGGGGCCCTGTGTTGTTTGCTGTTCATTCTCGGCCTTGCGCTTCGATCTGGTCTTAGCATGAGCACGAAAGCCCGGCGTCTTCGCGAAATCCACCCTGGAGAGGTTCGCCTCCTCGCCCGCCAGTCGACCGCTCTTCCGCCGATGTTCTCCTGAATTGCGCAGATCATGCCCGCCGATAGTAGGACCCGACGGAAGGGCTTTCTTCGTAGCATGGAAGGGCTTCCGAGGATACTTGTCCGGAAGTGGGCGCGTGAGTATCGACTCTGGGTGTTCATCCTCTACCATAGCCTGCTCGACTCTCCTAACCCTCTTCAAGGGCGCGCGATTGACCCTCTCGGGCAGCTTGAACGGCGAAGTATCGCTAGCTTTCTCCGGCGACTCTGGGGGCAAGAAAGGATCACCTCTCCGCGCAAGGTTTGTCCGCGGGTTCCTCGCCAGATCTTCGCGCAAGAAGCTGGGCCGCTTGAGCTGGCCAGCCCTTCCCTTTTGCCGCACCATATTTGCGGGGCTGCTGGTAATTCCGAGGGTTCGAGAGCTTTGCGACGGGGGAGAGGAGGGAGCGGGATAGGAAATGGTCTGGCGTCTGTCAATGCGGACGGCGTTCAGGAGATTTGCGCTTCTGATGGCGGAGTGGCCTGGTGGCTGCTGCGGTGACGACACAGCTTCTTGCGATTCAGAGACCAATTGTTGCTCGGCCGACTCGTTGCCCGAGCTTTCGCATGGCGGAGAAAGGTCGAGCGTCACTGTGCACACTGTCAGCTCGGCTTCGGGAAAGGACGAAGCTGGGGGTGAATGGAGCAGGCCTCGCGGAAGCTTGAGGTTGCTACGCGCCGGCTCAGTATAGCTGCTTTGCATTGGGGAATCGTACCTCTGCTCTTTCGAGGCGACATTGCGGCCTGTGCCTGTACTTCAAGTAACTGTCCTGGCTAGATATCGCATGGCGTGAAAGCTATGGCGGGTGGCGCTGCGGGGTGGGGTGAGGAATCGGGGAGGTTGGCACGCAGGCCCACTTCGGCAGGTACGCGCTGTCACGAGCCTGGAACAGTTAGAAAGCCAAGACCTCTACCTCGACCTCTACCTCGACATCGCAATATGGCCGATTCAGACTCTCCTTCGCATACCCTGCGAGCCCTCGACCGCAATATAGACCACAGCTTCATCCTTCCCGTCAAGCGCATAAACGATGGCGACGACGTATCCTTCTTCCTCGCCAGCAACGCCTACGCCGACATTATGACGTTCATCTTCCAGCTCAACGTGTCAATGCTCCCCCGAAGAGTTAAGAATGAGCAGCAGAAATCAGAAGTCGCCAAAGAATGGACGCTGCAGGACCCAGACGTCTCTTACCCGCCTGTCGTCCAGAATCTCGCTAAGCTTCTCGAGACATTGGGAGCCATCATCGACGAGGCACCCCCGGATCCCGGTCCGCGCCGATTTGGCAATATCAGCTTCAGAAAGTGGTATGACCTCGTGAAGGAGCGTGTCCCGGATCTCATGGACCAGTATCTTCCATCCGACATTCTCACTTCCGCCTCGACTGGAGAGGTGTCCGCCAAAGCCGAGCTAGAAGCCTACTTGACCGGGAGCTTTGGAAGCGCTCAACGTCTAGACTACGGCACGGGTCACGAACTGAGTTTCATAGCATTCCTAGGAGGGCTGTGGAAGCTGGGTGCATTTCCCGAGAGTGTGGACGGGAGTCAAGAGCGTGCGATTGTGCTGGGCGTCATTGAGCCGTACGTTGCACCTAGTCCTATATCTGACCCTTTATTGACGCTCCTAGATATCTACAACTCATCCGGCGTTTGATTCTGACGTACACCCTCGAGCCTGCAGGGTCACACGGGGTTTGGGGCTTAGACGACCACTCCTTCCTCCCTTACGTCTTCGGATCTGCGCAATTTTCGCCAGCGATATCCTCACCGTCTGGAATTGCCGCCGAGGGTTCTCTGCCAGACGCCCCCAATCCAGCAGACGTAGCGAAGGCAAATGTGGTCCAGCGGGAGCGGAAGCGCAACATGTATTTCAGCGCTATTGGGTTCATTTATGATGTGAAAAAGGGCCCGTTTTGGGAGCACAGCCCCATCCTGTTCGACATATCCGGCGTCAAAGCGGGGTGGGCTAAGATCAATAAGGTAAATGCGCTCTACCCCAGCATGAATGTCGCTCTAATACTGCGATAGGGCATGCTGAAGATGTACAACGCGGAAGTGCTGTCCAAGTTTCCAGTCGTGCAACACTTTCCCTTTGGATCGCTGTTTGCATGGGAGCGGGATCCCGCTGCCAAGCAGATTCAAGCAAGCGTGCATACGACCAGCCAGCCAAAGACCATTGTGCCTTCGTCGAGGCCGCAACCTCCGCCGCGGGATCCGTTGGCGGAGATGGGAACCCAGAGCACTCGCGCACCTTTTGCGCCAGGTGGAATGCCCCCCATGAGCGGCACAGCAGCGCCATGGGCATCCTCACGCGTCCCTTCGCGCCCATCGGTACCTGTCCCTAGTGGTCCAAACCAGCCAACGGGTGCCCCATGGGCCTCTACCACGCCGTTGCCGCCGCCTTCCGGAGAGACAACGACTGCGCCTTGGGCTAGACCGGGAGGAACCGTAGCACCGACAACTGCACAGGGGCCAGCTCCAAGCACCCGGGCCCCTTGGGCGGACAAGAAGCCGCAGAGCTAGATTCGAGAAGCTGGCCCTTCTCTCTACCATAGCATGATAGACTAATGGCGCAAGACATCGAGATGAGGTGCATGAGGCGGAGTTAGGGCACAGTCAACAGTCCATCTGCTAGGCGAGTTATGGCAAAGGAAACGGGATTGGACAAATTAATGGGTGCATGTATCTCGTTGGGGAATTGCGCGTCCGCACGCCACGGGCGGAAGCAGCGGGCTGTGCTCGTCATGCCGCGCCAGTGAACCACTCAGCAGCACAACGGACGGCATGAAACACAAGTCTCAAACGGGCTGCATCCAGCACGCACAGACCGCTATTTTTGGCGGAGATAGCGCACTGCACGATGCTTTTGGCGTGCATAAAGCTGTGGGGAGCGAGCGCTGCGCTGTGATTGGCCGGCGGGGCGCAGCTTCCAGGCCCGCCAACACGAGCACGCAGCTCCCTCGAGGCGGCGAGGCCCCTTCTCACTCTTTAACTGCCTGCGATCACGCTCCCGCTTTTCCATTCCCTGCCCCATTTGTGCGCACTTCGCTCACCTTTTCTCGCCTTGTTGTCGGTGAGAAGCGACCATTGCCCATTGACCATTGACCGGCCGTGCCAGAGCGAGCTGTTCAGAGCTGCCAAAATGCCCGGCGTTCGTGAGTAACCTTCGACCTCTTCACCGACCCCAGCGCGCCCTTTCCTGCGCGTGAGCACCCCAATGCCGCTGCCCGTTTGCCCTCGAGCGCAGTGGCCATGCCGCCTGCCTATTTCTGCGCGCGTTGCTGCTTCCACCTTCACCTCACACCCGTGCCCCGTCGCAGGAACCTCGCCGCTCCGGAAGCCCCCACTCTCAGTCCAGCCCGCAATTCTTCAAGGTCGCACTTATCTGACGCATTCTACCATCTACAGCTCTCGACGCGGTCGACAAGATGAAGACCGTCCTCAAGAACATCTTCAAGTCGAAGAAGAAGCAGCCGGCGAAGAAGGACGACGCAACGCCGACCGCGCCCGCCGACGCGTCCTCGTCCACCCCGAAGCCCACTGAGACCACGCCCGCCCAGCCAGCCCCAGCCACTGCCCCCGAGCCCGCAAAGACCGAAACCACACCGGCAACGGGCAGCGCGCCGGCGGCTCCGGCTCCGGCTCCGGCTCCAGCACCGGCTCAGGGCGAGGACACGAAGCCGGAACAGGCGGCCTTGGCCGAGGTGAAGAAGGCGACTGAGAGTAGGTACAATTCCAATTACATTCCGGAGCGGAATTCACGCTCGCCCAACTATTGGGACGGATCGCGGTGGAGGCAGAGAGCCGGCCAAAGCAACTGAGACGGTCATCGGCAGCCCGCGGCATCTCGCGGTGAGAGCAGGAGACGACGTACACCTGCGTCTCTTCCCACAGATCCCGGGTTATGGGCTCTGATATCTCTGCCGAGACATCGAGCCGACATTACGACTGCGACGACGTTACGACCTCTCATGGCTCCACGCCCACACCACATCCATCCTACTGCATACGGCCTTTTCCTTTCTTTCCGATACCCCTACCTTTTTCCTGCCTTTTCCATGGACGGTTTTCACTTCTTGTACATCCCCACGGACTAACATGTTTTTTGTTTCAGCACCCGAACCAGCGGGTGCCGTCGCTCCCCCGCCACCTACTGCCGCCGAAGCGCAGCAGCCCACCACTGCTCCGTCTGAGCCAAAGCCGGCCGAGGCGAAGGCGACCGAGACCCCAGCCACCACCACCCCGGCTCCCGCACCTACTGCCTCTGAGCCTGCGTCGATTCCCCCTAAGCCCGCGCCGGGCATGAGTGCTACGAGTGGCCCTATGACCGACCTGCCGGACTTCGAGAAGGAGGAGGAACCAGCTGCGGCTGCCCCTGCTCCTGCTCCTGCCGCAGCCCCCGAAGCGACACCCGCTGAGAAGAAATAGCCCGTTCTTCCCATGAGAATCTCTTTGCGGTTTCTTGTCGCTGTCGAAACCTTTTTTTCGCTGCTCGCGGCAGCATCGAGCAGCGATGAAACGATACATGCGGTGCACTTTATATCCGGCTTGCTCGATCTCATCCACGTTTTAAAATGAAAACCCGAAAACAAAGCTCAATGGAGGAGTGGTTTTGCGACTGTACACAGTAAGGGGGTTTGCATATTCACGTGGGGACCATGGTGGAGGGCGCATCATGCTGTCATGTCCCCGTTCTCATTTCGACATTCCCCATTTCTTTTCCTTAATCCTATACCCATCTGTGTTTGAGCGAGGGGCAGTTAGCGGAGGTGTCCATGGAGTTAATCAGAAAATCGAGATGTCATTGTCTCCCATGGTTGCTGTGAAGCTCTTGAAGCGGTGATGCTGGCTCGGCAAAACCTTCCACCGCAGCTCGCCTGGAATAGCCTAGCGCGGGGTACCTACACGTCAATTATTGCCCCGCCGTCACGTCTCGTCGGAGTGACACGCTGCTCTGCACGCGAAATATCGTTTCCCCCCTAGACCCAGGGTATAAGTATACGCCTCCAGACGCCGACCAGAGAGTGTTCCTCAACATCAACACTTCAGCCTTGACTTCAGCCTTCACCAGCAGGCAGCAACGCCGCCAAACTAACGGAGATGCCGCCAAAATCGGGCCACCAGCGCGCGAAGAACGTGGATTACGAAGAGGAGGATGTGTATAGTGATGAGTACGACGAGGGAGAGGAGCAAGGTGGTGACGGTTTGTGAGACCCCGTGGCTGGGCTACGCAGGCTGACGACCACAGGCATGACGGACGAGGACCGCGAGCAAATGCGGATAGGCACGATCAACGTCAGGGAAGCTCTGGACCCAAGCGTGAAGGTGACAGATGCCCAGATACAAGAGGCTTTATGGCACTACTACTACGACGTGGGCAAATCTGTATCGTATCTGAAGAGTACGGCGACTTTGGCTTCTTTTATTGAGAGATCTCTGACAATATCCCAGACAAATTCGCTCCTTCCCAGCCGAAGCCGGAATCTCAGTCGAAGAAACAGAAGGCGGCTTCCCGGTTCGACCAGGCAGCAAACGCTGCGGGAACGAAGGTCCCCACTACTCCTGGTAAGCAAACTTTGAAGCAAGCACAAAAGTCAACCTGCAACGCACCGAGCCTGAGAGAGATGGTGGGGGCACCTCGTCAGAGTATGAGCGCATCTTCAATCCGCCTTAGAGCACTCCATACGCCTTGCTCCGCGGACTACATGTCGGCTAAGGCTACGACTTTCTTCTGGGATACGCCTTGGGGCAATGTACCACGCCACAGGCTTGGCCCAATTACGGTAGAGCCTCGGTATCTGGGTGGAGGCTTGCTGGGAGGCTCATCAAAGTTGGCTGCGCTGGCCGCAAAGCGAAAGCAGAAGCAGGAGGAGGCAGCATCGGCAGCGAAAGCGGGCGATACAAAAGCAGAGACAGACAAAGCCGTCGCGCTTCTGGACAAGCTTAGCGTCAAGGGAAAAGACCCTACGCCATTCATTCGGGGCGGAGTCTGCGAACCCCAGCGGAGGCCTGTCCAGAGGTACCCCGCCAGGAAGCGATCACCATCTCCTCCTCCCGCTGAGCCCGAAGTTGAAGAAGCTTCACTGGAGCCTGCACAGCCGGCCATCGAGTTTCTGGATCTGCGGGCCAAGCCATCTATGTTCGCTTCGACTCTCTGCGGAACCGAAGATCAGGTTCGAAAGCGACAGAAGCTTGAAGTTTCATCCTTTCCACTCCCGTACACCACATTCCAAGGATATAGCGAGGCCAAGCCATTTGCGGGCCCCAGTCCCGATGACATCGTTCTCCGGGCTCAGGCGCGAGGTGCGGGGCATGGTTGACTACTACCCGCGAACTCTGCATCGGAATCTAAACCGCGGACAGGGACGAAGGCCAAACCCGCCCACCACAAGAAAGCCACTGGAGAGAAGCTAGCGGATTCTGTCGAGAAATTGACGGTAGAAGAGACACCGAAGGTTAAGAGTAAGAATTTGAATGTAGTTGAGGAGTTTGAGAAGAGCGGCATGAAGAGAATGGCCAACTTTGTGGTCATTGGTAAGTGAACGTTTTGACTGGCGGTTCATTCGTAGTACTGACAATAGAAAGGCCATGTCGACCACGGCAAGAGTACGCTAATGGGCAGGCTTCTCTACGATCTGAAAGTCATCGATCAGCGCTCCGTGGACAAGCTGCGAAAAGAGGCGGAAACTATCGGCAAGTCATCATTCGCTCTTGCATGGGTTATGGATCAGACAAGCGAAGAAAGAAGTCGAGGAGTCACTGTCGATATCGCTACCAACCACTTCGAGACCGAGAAGACGCGCTTCACGATACTAGACGCGCCAGGTCACAAGGACTTCATACCGAACATGATCGCCGGGGCGTCTCAAGCAGACTTTGCCGTACTTGTCATAGACGCGGGCACGAACAGTTTCGAATCAGGCTTGAAGGGGCAGACCAAGGAGCATGCCCTTTTGGTTCGAAGCATGGGTGTCCAGCGTCTTATCGTGGCCGTCAACAAGATGGATACCGTATCATGGAGCCAGGAGCGTTTCGAAGAGATATCGCAGCAGATGGCCGCTTTCTTGACCGCAGCCAGCTTCTCAGCCAAGAGCATCACCTTCATTCCCTGCGCCGGTCTAACCGGCGAGAACGTCACTCGAAAAGCCGCCGACCCTCAGGCGGATTGGTACACAGGCGAGACCCTCATCGAAGCGCTCGACTCCTCCGAGCCCGCGAAGCGCAACGTCTCGAAGCCCCTGCGTCTCACAATCAGCGACGTCTTCCGCGGCGGCATCACGAACCCGATCAGCATCTCCGGCCGCATAGACGCCGGTTCCCTGCAAGTCGGCGACACCATCCTCGCCATGCCCTCCGCCGAACCCGCAACCATCAAAGCCATCGAGGTGGAAAACGAGCCCGTAGACTGGGCAGTCGCGGGCCAGATCCCCGTCCTCCATCTCGCGGACATCGATCCCGTGCATCTGCGTCTCGGCGACATCGTGTGCGACCCGAAGAACCCGGTCAAGCTGGTCGGGGAGTTTACGTGCAAGATCCTCGCGTTCGAGCATGTGCTCCCCATGGCTGTCGATGTGTTCAGGGGACGCCTGCAGGCGGAGGGCAAGGTTACGCGCCTGGTTGCTACGCTGAATAAGGCGAGTGGCGAGGTCGTCAAGAAGCATCCGCGGATCGTGAAGCCGGCGGAGGTGGCGCGCGTCGTGGTGCAGCTGGAGAGGGAACTACCGCTGGAAGCAGGGACGAGAGTGGTGCTGCGGGAGGGCGGGAACACAGTGGCGGCTGGATTACTCGAGAGCTGAGGAGCATGAGGATTGCTCGCCAAAGAAGTCATCATAGCAAAAAGACCAAGATAGCGAATCTGAAATATACGTCTTCATTGGTACAAATAACTAGCTAGGTGAATACACGTACTTCTCCTACGCCCAGTATGTCAGGAGCTCACCTTCCTTCGACCTCGCCTTCACCGGATCCAGCAAGGCTTTGGCCTTCTCCGCCTCCTCCCGCCATTCGGGATGCGTCTCGCCCAGCGTGAACGCCAGCTCGACGTATTCCTCAAGCAGGTTCAGCCACTGGCAACATTGCTGTGCTTTCGCCTCGATCAGGTGGTGTCTTTCCTCGCGCGCGCGCCGCCGCGCCCGCTGCCGTTCCTCCGCTCGTTCTTCCGCTGCGAAGTCCTGAGCCGCCCTGCGCTTCTGTTCCCAAGGTTCCTGAGGCTGGAGTAATCGCCGCTTCATTATTGTCTGGATATACTTGACGATCTCGGACCTGACTGTCGCGGCGCCTACACAAGCAAGCGGGATTAGCAAAAGGCCGCGTGAGGAAATACTGGACTTTGAGGTCCTTCATCCACCACCCGCCCCATCGAACTCCTTGTCGAGCTTGGCCAACGCCGCAGCCTTCTCAGCATCGTGCTTGACGCCCTGCACTCTGGCAGGCAACTCACGCATAACCTGCTGCACCAACTGCTCCAGATCCTTCGGGTCCTTCGGCTCTAGCTTCGCCTTGCCCTTCCCTGTATTGCCCACCACTGGCTTGACTTCCCGCTTTCTCAGCATAACCTGGCCCTTGGCATCCATGTACGTCTCGTATCCCTGCTGGTCGAGCACTTCGTCGGGGACGCGAACGTTCACGGGCTGCTGATGAGCCTGCGCTGTAGAGTTTGCAGCTGTAGAGTTTGCAGCTGTAGAGTTTGCAGCTGTAGAGTTTGCAGCGTTAGCCGCGCTCTCCTTTTCCTTTTCATAGCGTTCGAGAGCGCGGATGTGGTCTTGGTTTTCTTTGTTGCCCTCCATGAGGAAGCGGAGACACATGATGGCGTGTTCGCGGATGTAGGGGTTGTGCTCATCGTAGGAGCAGCAGTTGAGAACTGCTTCGATGCCGCCGAGGGGGCGGATCTGGTCTTGCACTTGGCGGTTCTTCCAGACGAGAGAGCTAAGAACGAGCACGGCGAGCTTCTTTAGGTTGCGCCATTCAAAGTCGGATGGCTCGTCTTGTGCTTCGTCAATGTAGGGGCGTGGCGACGGCATGTAGCCTTCAGGTGCATTGGGGCTCCCTGCGGTGTCGTAGGGTCTTTCAACGGCGACAGGTTGCGGAGCCTCGGTCTCTGCAGGCGGAGCCGGCGTAGAGTTACGCCCTGCTGCTGTAAGTGGTGGAATAGAAACCTGGCCCTTAGGAATAGCGGCGTCGAGCTCCTTGAGCAGGGTCACGAGCTCATTCGAAACCTCCCAGTTGCTGAGCATAGTCTTCCATGTCTCATGCTCGGTGAGAATGGCGAAGAATTCGAGGTACTGATAGACGCCCTCATACATCCGCTCCATATCCCATAGGTTTAGCGGAAAATCTTCGGGCTGCGCGTGGCCTGCTCTGATTTGACCTTGGAGGAAGATGAGCGCACATGTCTGCGGGATGATGTGGCGACGGAACTCCGTAAGCAGGAAGTTGACCATATGCGCATCGCCTTGGTCCACTCGCGAAGGAGTCGACTTCAGTAGGTGCTTCGAGGGTGTGCGAGCTTGGCGCGCGCGGAAGATGTTGGTGAGGAGCTTCATGATGACGGCCTGAGCAGGAGAGATGATATCCTTCGACCTACTGCGCTCGTCAGTTGTGATCTGCCAAACGCGTGAGCGGGCTTACTCGGATTCACGGAACGCGTGGTAGGCGAACGGCAACAGTCCGTTAGCCAAAATAGCTTCCATGATCTTGACCATGAACTTGAAGTACAGCTCCTCCTCTCGTAGATCCCAAGCAGCAACAAAGATGAGGAGCTCTCTGAGCAGGTTCCGTCCATTGTCCTGCGCGAGGAGGAGATGGCATCGCACGCTGTGCATGCTTCGAATGCTGCTGAAGACGGTTGGATCTGAATGATGTCCGGGTTGGCCCTCCGTGGGCTCTACAATGCCTGCCATGATGATCATGGGGAGGACTTCAATCTCAGTCGGGCCCAGAATCAACGGCACATCCGTCAGCAGGCCATGGCCCTCGTCTCCGGCGTCGTCGTAGTCGTCATCATTGTCATCATCCTCCGGCGGAGGTGAGGTTGGGGAGGCTACATCGCTGGTCAGTGCTGCTGGACGATCTGGGTCGGGCTCCAGACGCTTCAATAGGTCTTCCTTGCCACTCTGAAGGATCTCGGCACCAAACGATGGCGGGTACGTGACGCGAAAATCGATCTCACCTGCCGGGGAAGACCGATTGAAGGTCGGATCCAATAGCGGTAACAGGGGTTTGTCTGGCATCGGAGCTGCTGGCTTCTCTTCTGTGGGGGTACGAGACGGTTCGTCGCGGTTGGAGCCAGCGATTGACGACCTCATCCGATCCACCTCTACTTGCAGCTGGTTGATGCTCTCGGCGAGCGCCTGCACGCTTTCCTCGTTCTTGGCGTGCTGGTCGAGCACCTTCTTATAGGTGCCGGTCTGGGTGAGCTCGTCGCGATACTTGGCAACAACATCGGCGTAGAGCACATTCCATTTCTGACAAGATTAGCTGACGGGGCCCGACGGAATATGACTCGGCCGCTCACATTCTTGTCTTCTTCGGGCATGGTCTGCCATCGTCTCCTGCATTCTGCCGCAATTTCGTTTGCTCCCGCCTTTTCGCCCTGTTGCGCGAGCGACTTCTTGACCTCGTTACCGATCTCGCCGATGTATAGAAGAAAGGGCGATGATGCAGGCTGCTGCGGGATCTTGAACGCATCCGGGCCACGACCGGGCTGTACGGGGGGAGTAGCCTCATCCTTCGGGGGCGGCTCTCGGTCCCGCGGCGGAAAGATGTCCATTTTGTACTTCATATCCGCAAAGTTCGGTAGCTCGTTGTCGAGGTGGCTGTCGAAGAGTTCGATCCAAAGCATCAGCTTGCGTTGCTCATTCCGCGCGATGAGGTTGTTGAGGAACTGCAGACAGGTGATGAGCAGCTTCTTGTCTGGCACAACGGTTAGGGTCTTGCCATAGCACAGCCGCGAGCTCCCTTACAAGCATTGATGACGCTCTGCCATTTATCCTCATCCTGTGTACCTGCCTCACCGTCGTAGCCCCTCGCAGTCACGCGTACGGAGACATTGATCAGCGCAAAGATATCCTTGTCGAAGAGGCGGTCCGCCGACAAATTCTGCACCTTCTCGCCGTATACCAGCACATTGCGCGCTATCGAGACGAGCTGATTTAGACGTTCCAAGTCTCTGAGAAGGGGGAGCGAGTTCGAAGCTATGAGTGGGCCGGACAAGCCCTCATACTCGGGCGTGGCGGGGTCGGGCGCGGCGAAACAACGTCGTTCGAGGGCGGGAACGGCAGCTTTCAGGACGCCGGCGAGGTCGTCCCAGAACAGTTCCGAAAGGCCGAGTTCCTCGCTACTCAATCAGCATCTTCGCTATTCGTTATGGCGTCTCTGTGCGCATACCGGAGCTCGAAATTCCTCCGTGTCTCTTCGAGCGTTTTCTTGACCACATCACGCTCCAGCATGTGCAATGTGTCGTCCGTGATGTACCCCAGGTTCTGGAAATGCACAGCATATGGCGACAGCGCAAGTCTCAAGCGCGTGAGGTATGGCTTCGCGGAGGGTTTCTCCTCCACATTGTCGTCCATGGTTGGCGGCTGGCCCCACGCATGGAAGAGGCGGTATTCGGCAAACAGGCTTCGGTAGATGGCAACGCGGACGGGCGCGGGCGCGCGCAGAATGCTGCAGATGGTCTTCTCAGCCAGCTTTACGTTTATTACACTCGGGTGAGCGACGTCGAGTGACGGAGCCTTCGTGCTGCTGGGCAGGAAGAACGTTTGTGCGGCGCTAGCTACAAATTTCGGCATCGTCAACTGCCCCGCCCCCACCATATAGAGCCTCATCTCACCACCGTCAGGTGCGAAGCACTAGAACCAGTTCTTTTTTGTTTTTATTTTTTTAATCTTCATTTCTTGAACTTACGCCCTAACTACGTTCGAAGCGCCATTATCGATGCTCCAGTAGAATATGCTATGTACAGGGCGAGCGAACCGTGACAAGCACAAATTGTCAGAGCGAGCCACATTAGAGCGCCCCGCCACTCCATCTTGGAACGAAGAAAATGTGAGACTGATACATGGACGAGTATCTCTCACGGGCATAAAAATGTTCCGTTGACAAGAAACATCACGAGAGCAGAGGGATGTAGAGACGGCAGGGGCTGGGAATGGGAGACCGACTGCACGCTGTCTTGGAAAGATGCTACAAACCCTCCCCTTTCAGCCTCGCGGCCTTGAAACGACTTACTTTCTTCGTCTTCCCGTCCCGCTCTTCCACAAGCGGATCCTCCATGTCTTCTTCGGTCGGGACGAAGCCTCCTTGTCGCTGGATCATCTTGTTCCGCATTTTGTGATATTCCGCCTGTACCTCGCGGTTGACGAGCACGGCATCGAACTCATCGGGCGCTTGCGGCTCGGAGGATTGTGGTATATGCTCGACGACTGCATTGGCGAGAGGGCGGCCTGCTGGGCCTGTAGGAACAGGAGGCGGTTGAGGGACGGAAGGGTTGGGAAGCATGTCAGGAATCTGGCTAGCGGAAGCTCGTGAGCTCTTGAACCGAGATAACTTGGCAGGCGTCGAGCGTGATGCAGGTGTTCTAGGAGCAAGCGCTGATCGCTCAACAATTATGTCCGACATGGTTGGTGTTGACATCGAAGACGGCCGAACTGTCCCAGTAGGCGCTCTAGTGGGCTCTGGTGCATCAGAGACATCCAGACTATCGGCAAATCGCACGCCCTTCTTCTTGGGACTGGAGGGGGCGGGCGCCTTATCTGCTGCGTCCATTGGCTCGCCGAATTCTTCGTTCTTTTTTACGCGCAGGGTGCGCACGTCATCGACATGGTCGGCCAGCGGATGCGTGTCTGGGCGAGGCCCAACATTCTCAATCATTCGAGCGTTCAGCTTCTTCTCTAGGTCCATCATCTGCCGCTTATAGTCTTCTGTGAGAACCGACCTGGTCGTCCGACCATGCTCGTCTTCCTCTTCACTGACTTCGCTACCATACTCTTCGTCGTCCATGTCATCCGAATACCCCGCATCTGGGTCTTCCAGATCTAGCTCAGCAACCACTTGGCCGACCTCCGAGAGACCATATTGCAGCATTTCCCTCCTGAGCTCCGCATCTTCCTGGCTCTCGTCTTTTGGCATGATGTGGGTTCCAACAAGGTTTTCGTCGTCGTCAAGTTCATAGACCTTTGAGCCGGGTTTGAAGTTCATGTACTTCAGATCATCCTTAACACCAGTGTCTCGCGGCTCTGGTCCTTTCTTGGTAGATGGAGCCGGTTTCGTATCTTCAGAAAAAGACACGGATTTCTTGGGTGCAGAACGTTGAGACACCTCGGGCTTTATAGGTTCGACGGCAATAGAGGGTTGTTTCGCTTCGCTCTTTACGTTGGATGGAGCCTCTAGGGCAGCTGCTGCCCTCACTGCGGATGCTCGCCTCGGTGCCGGTACCGACGCGGGAATGCTGTTCGAGGAGGGCACCGAGCTCGCGGTTGCGGATTCACTCTTCTGCTCCGCTTTGTGCAAGCCAGCCTTCCTCAATGCCTCCATGAGTTCCGGCGCCACCTTCCCAGGCTGCGAAACCGAGCCCGATATGACGTTCTCATCCTCGTCCAGCTCCTCCTCGATATCCATCATCGGCAATCCCTCCTCGTTCTCCAGGCCGGGATCCAACAATATCGAAACACCTGCTAATTGCTTTTCAGCGGTTTCCAGTTGTTTTTCGACGGTAGAGCGGTTCTGCTGAACATAGTCAATGCGTCTCGAGATCATTTCAACGACTTGGTTAGCAGTGCGTTTGGTTTGTAGGTCTTTGCCGAGAAGCTCCTCGACTTCCTTTGCGTTAACCAGGGTGCCGCCGAGATTGTGACCTATCTCGATCATCTGTGACGGTGACGGAGAGCCTGCGTTCTGGAGCTCCTCTTTGAGCATCTCGTACTCCTCTTCCCAGGTCGACCAGTGCTCGAGGGCTATGGTGAGCTTGGCAACATTCTCCTCGAGTTGTAGCCGGCGGCGCTCGACATTCTCCATACCTTGTTGCGTGGCGGTCGCCATGTTGAGGAGCGATGGCTGAGGTGCGGTCGGAAAAAAATTGAGGATTGCCCGCAATCTTGGCACGCTAAGCCAAGACCAGGAGCTCCATGCACCCTGCCGACTGGTTGTCAGCACATCAGAAGCTCCTGGAGAGCTGGGAAGTATCATGAGTGAAGATCTCCTGAAAAAGGATCCATCGTCTCACGAGGGTTGAAGCAGAGAAGCCCGTCACTTTCTACCTTAGCTTAGTAATCAATCGAAGCTCAACCACGCAACCCAAGTTTACAAACAGCCTTTAGAGCTTCCTCCTCGACGCCACCACCTCTATCCACCATGTCGAAATCTGCCCGCGCGCCCGGCGCGTCGAGCAAGCGTCTCGCCGAAGACGGCGGTGCGTCGCCTCTCTCTCATTCTCTCCATAGCCTCTCCTTGCAGCATTCGTCCCCCTCCAAGCCCGCGCGTTCGCCCGCAGTCGCTGACCCTTCCTCAGACATTTGCCCCGTCTGCAAATCGTCGCGCTACCTCAACCCCAATATGCGCTTCCTCGTCAATCCGGAGTGCTACCACAAGATGTGCGAGTCGTGCGTCGACCGCATATTCTCTCATGGGCCTGCTCCGTGTCCGATCGCGGGGTGCAAGAGGACGCTCAGAAAGGCCAAGTTTAGGAGGCAGACGTTTGAGGACTTGAAGGTGGAGAGGGAGGTGGATATCAGGCGGCGCGTGGCTAGGGCGTGAGTAGACGCGGACGAGGCCAGACATGGAATAGGGAGCTGACAATGCGCAGGATGAACAAGCAGGAATCGGATTTCGAGACGCTCAAAGACTACAACGACTACCTCGAGACCGTCGAAGAGATAACGTGGAATCTCATTCTCAAGATCGACGTGGAGAACACGGAGCGCCGATTGCGTCTGTGGGAAGAAACACAGAAGGCCGAGCGCGATCCGAATGCTCCGAGACGCCTAGCCGAACCCGACCCTTCCCTGCCTTCAGACACCTCGCACGTTGTCCTTAAGAAAGGTGCCACGCAGCGGAAAGCCCTGGCAGCATCGTCAGGCAACACACCCGATCCATTTGGAACATCAGATGATGCGGACAAAGACGCAGGCTTCGTATTCCACGGACTAAAGAAATACGTTCCGCCGGAGCCAGAGAAGCCCTTTAACCCATTCGGCGGCTGGGGCATCGAGCCGAAATACTACGTTTTCCAGAAGGACTACGACGTCGACTGGCTTACAAGACAAAAGAACGACCCTGGTCACCTCGTCGGAGGATACGACATGCAAGACTTCTACAGCCGGTGTTTACGCGAGGCATTTGGCGGATTAGGAATATTCATCGAAGACGAGATAATAGCCCGGGAAAACCAGGCTTCAGGGGATGCTGGGGTAGGCACGCGGTCAGCCGCTACCGCTGCAGCTGGAGGTAAAGATGTGGATATGAGCGATGTTTTCTAAGTTTATGATACCCATTGGGACGGTGATACTTCATTGACGGCGTTCGGGAGCAGTGAGACTAAACCCTTCAAGGCATTTGCGGCATCAGGAAAAGCATGTAGTCTTTGGGCGATCTGTGTCTAGATTCGAGTCCTCGTGCGTCGCCTGTAGAGGACTGTGTAAGAATATATGGTTCGGACCAAAGCGCTGCCCAACTGCACCAGAGGTCAGGACAAGCTCTGCCAGCCAACAGATCGCCAGTCGCCCCGTATTTTACGGCCTGACTTTAGTATGTCCTACAGAGTCTCAGACAGGCAAAGCCAGCATCTGACCGAGAAGCGAGTTTGTGACAAACTTCGGTGGAAACTGCAAGCACCAAGTGTCTCATTCTAGCTTCCTGGAGAGCTTTTAAAGTCAGGAGATTTTCACTTTTCCTCACATGTGCGTGGACAAGACGGACATCCCACGACTAGAACCTTCCACATGGCTGACACGCACGCGCCTATCCCTTCATCCCATTTCAGGCCTCCCTTGTCGACGATACTGGATTGCATCGTCTCCGTATGTCGGCTGCCGCGCAAGCTTTGGGATATCTTAGTGTGGCTATTCAGCGAGGGTGCGCCTCTACCAGAGATGGTCTGGCATATTGTCCTGGACTCCCCTCTGGAAGTTGGGATTGGTTTCTTACTGGGAATCGTGTTTGAAGCTTTCTTCTTGGGTGCCGTGAATTGGGGCGTAGGTTGTTAGAGGTAGAGAGAGGGAACTTCAGGAGGTGTGACGTTTGGATGGGAGGATGGTAGGCGGCCGTTGGGGGATACGATCCCGTGAAAGCTTGAACATGGTCGCAGCGCGTTCTGTGAGAGCACCGCACCGAACCCCCGTATACATCGCCGGACTTCACCAGGGAAACAGGAGACGGCTTTCACCAACAGCTTGGAGCTCTCGTGCGCATAAGCCCCATCGCCGATCGCATCTCCGCCATCATCCCACCCCCACGCCCACAACCGCAACTGCACCCACATCTCCAAAATGACACCTCCTATTCCCGCCGCCAACCCTCCCACCATCTCCCCCGCGACCACGCCAAGCCCCACACCCGAACCCGCAGCCATAGATCCGAACTTCACCATCAACAACCTCACCTACGACGAATACCGCCTCTGCCCCATCGAAACACAGCACGACCTCATCCGCCTGCTCCGCAATGACGTATCCCCAGAAGCCCAACACGTGGACAACTGGCTGCTGGAGAAAGCGGCGAGCGTGCTGCAGGTCGGGATCTTCCCGCAGATGCGGATGATGCATGTGCCGCCGAAGGCGGTGAAGAGGATGCTGGACCAGGAGTATGCGAGAGCGTATTGGGAATTCGAGGGCGTTGGTGGGGAGATGGTGGATAGGGGGGTTGATGCGGATGAAGTGCCCGGGGATACGATGGGGATTGGGAGGCTGAAAAGGGAAGTGGAGAAGGAGGTGGAGGAGCCACCGCGGAAGAAGCTTAAGATTGAGAGCACGGATGATTATGAGGAGATATGTAAGCTGGTGCATAAGAAGACGAAAGTAGTCCGGTTGAAGTTTGCTGACTGCGGGCGCGCTGGTCTGCCGAGTGATTGGTATGAGAGGAGTCGGAGGCAGGAGGGGGGGGAAGACGAAGGTCGTTAGGCTGAAATACAAGGTGCCTGGAAAGGGGAGTGAGGCGTGGGAGAGGCTTGCTGCGTGGAAGGGGAGTGGTGTATTTTAAGTGGCCGATAGTAAGCTGGGTATGATACCCACAGGCGAGGGTGCGCTCTTCGCTTCGATAATGTCGGTATATCTTTGGTGCTGGTAGAGTGAATAGACTTTAGTCGTGCGAGGCGCTGTTCTTTTCACTGCTGATATCCGCCTGAATGAAAAGCTGAATGGGATCATTCACTGTGCACTTACCTCATAGCCGGGCCAAACAACGCTGCCTTGCGCCCGAGCTCAAGAATAAAACCGAGATTGTTCCATAATAAGGCACCTGACGCTCCACTGTCTTCAATTTCCACACCTCCCCACCACCCAGCCAAATCGAGCCCGCAGGAGCAAAAATATAACAACCGCTCGAAGACAACTGAGAGCCCAACAGCGAACTCGAGACAACAAATACATCAGCTCTACCAGTTTCGAGAGCTCCCTTTCTGATACTTTCCTGGTCACCATGTCGCCCTCAAACGCCGACGCCGTCGCGCATTCGACCTACACGCGCGAGCAAATGAAGCAAGTCCTCGAGGACGCCCTTTCCCCTCTACCACCCCGATCAAGCCCACTATCTCACAAGCACAGCCACCCATTGCGAGCCTTCGAATCTATCTACCGCTCTCCAACCTCCTCCTCCTCCTCTTCCGACTCCTCTTCCGATCACTCCGACGAGTCATCCATAGACCCACGAAAGCGCGCAAGCGAACGCACTCCACTCATGTCCGGAAGAACAGACTTAGCGAACACGGCAGCTCTCGCGGCAAACGCATCCCTCGTGCGCCCCTCCCCGCGCTTTATGCACGGAACACCCGCCACCCGCACCTTCGAAGTCGAGGCCTCGTTCCTGCAGGCTATGATTGGGCTACTAGAGCGGCAGGCGAACATTGTTCCTGATCACATGCTTACGAAGTCGGAGATTCGACGGATTGTGAGGAAAGAGATGGACAAGCGCGGCGAAGCAAAAGAAACGAATCCTACGAAGAGCTTGTCAGGTCTTGTCACGCCGTCGCGTGTGCTGGCGCTCACGGCGGGCGTTGCGGGGCTAGTGGTGCTGCAGCGCGCGAGGATGAGGTATCCTGAGGAGATGGCGTGGTTCTTGGATGGGGCGTGGAAAGGGGGGCTGGGGGGATTTGTGGGCGCGATGGTGGTTAAGGGTGTGCTGTGGGGGTTTGGGGAGATGGGGAACCTGAGGGGTGAGGATTGGACTGCGTGGCAGGCGTAGAAACATGCCCGGTTTGTCATATATCGAGGAAAAGAAACTGCTTGATGTTCGGGGGAGGACAACACATTCTGAATGATTGAGCACCAGGACTATTTCACCAATGGTCAATGCATAATTAGTCAGCAGCAACACATTGTTCCAACTCTAACCTTGACTCAGTTCGGCTTCCGAATACAAAGCACGTTGGCAACCTTGGAACTGTTTAGTGCCGCCCTCGGGAGTTGTCAATGCGGATCTAGGGCGCCTGTATCGGAAGTCTCTCCGACGTTACTTCCGCTGCCTAACCGAGGTCGGCTTACGTTGGACTAGTGAATCCTTCCACTTAACCCCACTTGTGAATGTTAGTGCAAGACATCTCAAAAACTCCCTGCAAGTAAACATTGACTTTGTCTTGAAAACATCGGCTCGCGGAATACCTATGTATCTTCGAGGTTAATCAATAGCATCTAGAAACTGGAAAATTCCCAGGTACACCAGCTTCCTTTTGGAGGCAACATAAATACGTATTCTCCGCTCTGCTGTGCCACTTGCTATGCATGCCCTTCCTTCCAGCGTCAGGGTGCATACTTGTGCCGTCTCAGGCAACCATTTCGGCATTCGTTCCTGTTGCCTGCATCACAGCCCATATAAAACGCCGGTATTCTTGACCTTCAGTCTCTCCATTAGAAATCCTCGCATCCCCCTCTTCATCAATCCCCTCCCACTGTACCACCACCATGGCACCCCTCGAGATCAACGTCACCGGTACCGGCAGCACCCTCCACGCTGCCGAACGCGCCATCCTCGTGCTCCAAGCGCAGACCCAAGACCTCCCCAGCGCAGCCGAAGCCTCGACTACCGTAACTACAACCGCCAACACGATCCGCGAGATGATCATGCCGCACTGCCCGCAGGACGAAGCCACGGGGCGGATTGCCGAAAACGCCGCTATCGCGCACTACTCGATGAGCACGCTGGACACCAGCAGCAAGCAGCGCAAGATCTCCGCCAGCGACTCCACAACCCCAGCCAAATACGAAACCGTCTACTCCGCGCGCGCAGAGTTCCACATCAAGTTCAGCGACTTCGCCGTCCTCAACAAACTCGCGACCCAGTTCTCCGCCATGGAGAACGTGCGCATCCAGCGCATTGACTGGAATCTGACGGATCGGACGTACGACTCGATTAAGAGTGGGGCGCGGAAGCTGGCGGCCGAGGACGCTATGCAGAGAGCGTATGATTATGCGGCGGTGTTTGCGGGAGTGGCGAAGGAGGAAGTGGGGAAGAAGGTTAGGGCGGTGCATGTCAAGGAAAGTAACTCTTACTATCAGAGTACAAGGCCGCAGTTGCATTATGGGAAGATGATGAGGGGGGCGAAGGTAGCTAGCCACGAGCTGCAGTTTCAGCCGGAGGATGTGAGACTGCAGGTTAATGTTGATGGGAGGTTTGAAGTCGGTACTTGAAAGGTTGAGATATGCGTTTGCACTCAATCAGATAGGGGGAGAGGGGTTGGTCTAGAATTGAATCGTTGGGTGAAGGCTACGCTTTCCCCGCATTCTGTTCCCCGAAGTCGAACAACACATCGAGTGCATCTGTTGCTGGTAGCTTTATTCGATATTGGGTAGGTCGTTTGACTCTGCCAAAAAATCCTCTGTGGGAATTCTCTTCAATCCAGGAACTGTCTTTGAGGTAAAGAAGGGAACCAGGACCCAGTTGCCAGTATTTTGGCTGATCCTTGCAACATTCTGATATGAGAACGCTAGAAAAAGGAAGATTCGGTGGCAGGCGTACTAGAGCATGCAGAGCGTGCGGGCAGTTTTGGAGAGGGTTACACCATGCTTTCAAGCAGAGCAAAATGTCAGATTCCTCTGCATCGAAGCTGAGTTTGCATCCGTGACAGGAGAGCTGGCTCTGTACTTTTTCGGGTCGATGGGGAACCCAAGTATCTGGCTGTGCGGGGGCTGCTTCTCGAGGACAGAGTCGCTCTACTTCTAGAGTTACTGCGCGAGACCCGCTTGAGACGAGATGGCTTCGTAGCCGCGGGATCGTTAGACCCAGAGCATGACATAGCGACATAATCCTGTCCGGCTCAGCCCAAGCCCGAAAATGTTCTCCAGCTCTCCAAAAGAGAGAATGAACGTCTTCTTCATAGTCGACGTCGAACGTAGCACCATCGTCGATAAGGGAAAGTAGGCCGTAGATACGGTCGCGCTGGTCCATACATTGAGATTGTGAGAGCCAATGGAGCAGCTTCCAAATTGAGTGGTCGGCAAATCCCTTTCTACGAATCCACTCATCCATGTAAAGATAGAGGCGCAGCCTGCTAACTTTTTCCCTCGTATCGGGATGGCGTCTCACGTAAGCCATGACGAAGAGAAGTCGATCCCACTGCATCTCTTCCAAACCATTTGTAAGACGGACTCTTTGAGCAGAGAAGACCTCTTGAGCGATCCAGGTTCGCATCCAGTACGGATTCTCACTCAAATGAACCAGTCCGTTGACAAGCGAATGAAGCTGCTCAATGCTGAAAGGTCCCGTCCGAGGGATCGGAGAGTCCGGCATCATAGCGCGCCGCCTTCTACCAGCATTCACAGTGTCGAAAACAAGGTTGAGTCGGGGATCCACACCGAGCCATACAAGCACTTCTTCCGCGCCCTGGTAGATCCGTCCCATCATCTGAACTTGGTGATTCTTCTCGATGTGATTCTTCTGGTTTATGCAAATAGCGTCAATCCAGAAGGGCCGTTGGCTGTATCTTTGCTGGGCCGTTTGGAGGAAGCGGTAGAGGTTCTCGCGGACGGGCATTGGACTGCCGTTCACTAATATCTCGTGGTCTTCGGTCGTATCTCCCCACATGTAGGATAGACATCGGTATTTTGCGGGCATGTGAATAAGTCTCATGGTGAGCTGAACGTGGCCGTCGAGCGAGGCTGGAAGGACTTCGATGATGCGGATGGCGCTGGATGAGTCGTCTAGCCTTTCGTAGATGAAAGGAGACTGTTCCTGAGGCGGTTCTCCCATGGTTGATGTGCTTGCTTGAGCTGCGACAGAGGCTTGAAGATGGAGTCGAGGAAGCGGCGAGCCGCTAATGAGGCTGAAAGCGGTGCTACAGAAGCTTGAAGGCGGAGAAGAGGAAGCGCCAAGTTGCCTAACGAGGCTGAAATGCAGCGAGTCAGGTGGTGTGTCTATTCAATGCTCTGATGCGCGAAGTGGAAGAGGTTTGTTTCGCTCAAGGCCGGACAGGCGTGCCGACTGAAGAAGAGAGAAGCAGAAACCGTTGTGGTCATTCGAGTTCTGCCTTCAGCTGCATGCAAGCCAACGCGGCTGTGCTCGCAGCCCAGGCTGCAAACCCCAATGATGCCTGAACACATCACCGTTATCGCCACAAAGCATACGGCAGAGATGGCGCCGTATTAGATTCCAGATCGAAAAGAATATGTGGGGTCTAGAGTCGTGAATGTGGGAGGGTGAGAGTCATGTTCTCGGGAAGAAGGCGCTAGACCCAATCGAGAACTAGCGCACGAAACTCCCATCACCAATCACGCGCGTTGGAAGGTGCAATTCGTATGGCGTACTCCTACAAAGGGCCATGCGCGATAGAACTCGAACGGTGGTGCAGGTGGACCTGGTGCATAAAAGGGATCGGACCAATTCGAGTCCTAGGATATCGCCTGAATAGCCACTTAGCGCGTGGGATCCTTCTCTTTGGATTCCATCGCGCATGACCCTTTGTAGGATCTCATGAGGTGCGAACAATTAGAATGAAGTATGCCTTAAGTGGTTGAGACTAGAGCCAAGGCATCAGATGGAGGCATCACGGAAATAAGAATAGTAGAGATAGACGTGTATGTTGTGTGAGTAGACATTTAGCGGTGCATATTACCTGACTGATCGCCAATCCATTGATCACGGACGTTGGCAGTTGCGATTCCCCTGGCAGTGACATACTCCTAGGATCTTATAAGATACAAACACTTAGAGTAAGGCATGTCTTCGGTGGTTGAGGCTCAAGTTGAGGCACAAGATAAAGACATCACGGGAACAAGGATAGTAGAGATAGACGTGTATATTGCGTGAACAAGACATTAAGCGGTGCATATTACCTGACCGCACCGCGAAGACCAGAATCCGAAAGAAAGATAGCCTCCTAGTAGCGAAGACAATTTGCCCGATTCATGTATCCATCCCGAAACACCTTGCTTGCGTTGCTATGGAAGAGGAAACCGCGAGAAAAGAAAATCGATCTAAAGAACAAATGACCACTCTAAAGGAAACAAAGCGACGGAAGACCGAAAGGGGTTGCAAAAGCGAGCAAGAACGATGCGGAAGGAGAGCTCAGCTCAAGACCGCGCGGGAAGGTAGCTTAGGAAAGCGTACCCTGGCGGTCCCTCTCCCTCCCCGCCGGCGCATTTCCTACCAACTTCACCCGCTCCGCAAGTATGGATTCCAAATTCCCCCTCGTCCTCAACGGGCTCGTAGCATCCGCCGCGCTATCATCGACGTCGAGCTCCTTCTCCTTTCTTGCGACCGGCATGCTAATCACGGAGCTATCATCACCCTCTGGCTTCTTCCTTTCTCCCTCTCCGTTGTGCACCTCGATCGTGACATCGGTGTCCTTGGAGAAGACACGGAGACCGAGAACACACACAGCGTTCCAGGGATCGCGCTCGAACTCATCTTCCTCTTCTTCGTAACGGGCACGGCCGCGCTGCTCGTAGAAGCGTGGCATATCGTCTTCGGAGTCTTCCAGGTCGGTGTCGCATGAGTCGGGGCCGTCGAGCTCGGAGTCCCAAGAAGAGTCGGAGAGGTCGGAGTAGACACCGTGGCGTGCGCGATGGGAGCAGACACTTGTGCCGCGGCCGCGGGTAACCTGGATGCCGGGCCTCACGCCAGGGATGGGAGATAAGGTCGCTCGGCGCGAAGGAGTAGGTGATGGCTGCGTGGGACGACGATCAGGTCGCGGGCTGTACGGGCGCTGCGAGGGAGTACCGGGCCGGAACTCGTCGGTCATGGGAGTGGGGACGGGCGAATCGGTTTGGCCGCCCTCATTGTAGCCATCGCGACCTCCATTATATCCGTCGCGTCCATTGTAGCCGTCGCGACCGTTGTAGCCATCTCGGCCGTTGTATCCATCGCGTCCTTGGAACCCGTCGGCTTGGTAGCCGCCGCGACCTTGGAACGCCTCAGCGTTGTAACCACCACGTCCTTGATAACCTCCCTTTCCACCAAAGCCACTGCTCGGGCTAGAGGACCGCTGTTGTTGAAGACCAAGAGCCTCAGCCATACTCAATCCTTGACCAGCATCGCGGTTGTATCCGCCACGGCCTTGGACTGGGCCTTGGACTGGGCCGGCGTTGTAACCATCTCGTCCTCGCTGGTAGCCGCCTCTGCCACCAAAACCACCGCTCGGGCTTGAAGAGCGTTCGCCACCTTCGACCGCTCCGGTGCTCGCTGCCCTCTGGTGCCTGGCTACGGATGGGTGCATCGGCTTGCCTTCTTCGTCGCCAGAGGCGTGGCGAGCCTCTTCTTCAACGTTGATGCCGAGGCCGGTGAGGTCTTCTAGTTTCTTCTGGACTTCCCTGAGATCGCCACTCCTCGGCTTCTTGTGGGAACGCTTGTCCTTCTTCCTCTCCTCGCGGAGCTTGGCCTTCCGACGAAGTTTCTGTCGCTGCTCATGGGAGTGTTTCATTTCGGCTTTCTTGCGCTCGATCTTCTGCTCGCGCTCGCGGCGTTCCTTTTCCTTCTGTTGCGCTCGGAACTGTCCCTTCGCATGAGCGAGGTCATACGAGAGTCCGATTGAGAGCAGTTTCTCGCGTCGTTTGGTGCACGTCGCGCGAATGACCTCTTCTGGTGTAGGATTGGGCAGCCTGATTGCCTTGATCTTTAAAAGGACGGTGTAATTGCCTGCCTCAAGATCGAGCTCGGTGGAGACGGAACGCTTCATGAAGTAGGCGGTGTTGCTACGAACGATGTACTCCTCCTCGTCGTCCTTGTGGAGGCGGAATTGTAGCTGGAACTCGTACTGCCCTTCCAGGCCGAGGAAGTAGCGATCGTCTAGCTGACTTAAGACGATGACAACAGGGCTAGGCTTGGAAAGGTGGATTTTAAACTTCGTATCCAGATAATCAACCGACCATGGTACGTTCACGCTGGTCCATTGCTGGGAGACGGTCCACTCGGGTCCGAACAGCCTTGTCCTGTCGAAGTGCTGATAATGTCGTAGGAGATCGCGGTACGAGATCCAGAAGACACCGTCGTCGCCGAATTTGTGGTTGAGTTTCTGCATCCATTCGGCAGTCCATTCTTCAGAGCCATCACTCCAACGGCCCGTCCATTCGGTCCGACCCCAAGGATTGCGGAGCTTGAGCAAGCGCTGGCCATCGATCTCACGGGCTTCCATGATAGAATAGGCATGCTTCTCTTGAATGCCCTTCCGTTGGCCGTAGATGCCGCCCATCTGGCCGCATCCGAAAAGGAACGTCTTGTTGACGTTGAGGAGCTCTTCGCGCCAGAATTTCTCCTTGTCGAGAATGTCTGTCGCAAAGACCTCCGATGTGACACCGCCAGTGAGGTCCTCGATACCCTCACCGACGAAGCCTCCATCAATAGCGGAGTAATCGCCATGCGCCTTGGCGTAGGCTTTCTCCAATAGTGGCAGCCAGGTCTCATTCGGGTCGCTGCACTGTGCAAAGTAGAGCGCCCTGGACCCTGTCTGCATCACCGTGCGGTATTCCTCCTCCGGGCTTTTCCGGTTCTGTAGCTCTAGCCACTGGTGTCGCCCGAGCGTGGCTTCGTCAAAGTCCTCCTTGATCAGGTACAGCTTATCGTCGATGACTTCCGAGATCCACTCTCCGTCTGTGCCATGTCAGCGCAGTCCCTAGCTCGTGCGGGTTTCGGGTGCCTACCTCTGTGGAACACGAAGCCGTAGACGCCAACCTGCTCGTCGCGCGCGACGCAGACCCTCTGTATTAACCCCTCCTTATTGCTTATCGTGGCCAGCGCCGACATGAACCAGCAGTCGCCATCATTGCCTTGTCGAACGTCATTTGCGGTCGCGCCTTCGATGAAGAAACGGGGTTTGTCGAAGATGTCCTGATGCGCGCAGCAATAGTTAGCCTGGTGCGACGCGGCACAGCAGCGGAACGAAGACAGGGCGCGTTACCTCAATTCTCTTGACCGACATGGGCTGGAACGCGGTCGTATCCTCGTTCAGCGCAGTCAGGCAGTCGGGTGGGATATCTGGATTCTGTTGCGATCGCTTGATATCGGCTTCAATGTCGAAATGCGGGTCGCGGTACTTCTGGTTCAGCCGTCGGCACTCTTTGACGATCTTCTCGACCTTCTTCTTGCAGGCATCGGCGGCCTCTTGGTAGGATGCGAGCGCATTTTGGCCGGGAATGGAGCCCTTGGGCGCATATGCTGCAGCGCGCTTCGCATAGAGGTTGTCGGGGAGGATGGTAAAGACCTTGCCCGGATGCTTCGTCGTAAACTTGTCCCAGAACTGGTCGATGCTTTTCTGCGGCGGCTGCTTCTTGACTCGGAGCCGTGGACGGGGCTGAGCGGGAGCTTCGTTGGCCATGCTGGGAGCTTTCGAATGAGGTCTGGTGATGTTTACCATGTCAATGTTGGAGATTTGAGAGTCCATTGTCAGTGCTCAGCCTGGTCAAAGGTACTCAGGGGTAATCAAGAGGTGCTGAAGGAGCATGGTGTCCATTGGGGCTCGAAGGCCGTTGATATACGGTTGCGCGTTGAAGGTGGAGGCCGTCAGCCGCAGCATGACGGCACAAGCTCTGGCTTTCGGGTGGTGTATTTTCAGAAACAGCATCCAGGTCAGAACAAGAGTGGGGCGGTCAGACATGGGGCCATTCCTCGGCCCAGCCGCGAGAACCCCGCTGGCGGCCCATGCGACGAATCATCCGGCTCGCGGAGGGCGCGAGCATCGCGAGCAGGCGGGCGGCACTAACCGAACGCATCCAAAAGGCGGACAGGCGGACAGGCAGACCAGGCATCAACCACCCATGCCAGCTGCCTTCGTCGGCGTGTCTGGCACTCGGCTCGCCTGGAGACGAATGGTTCAGCGGCTAGGGCAACGCGCTGCGGACCGAGCTTGTCGTTCGACCAGACTAAATGAGCCATGCACCATGTCCGACGGGCTTGGGGGCTGTGTGCTAACCGCAATTGGCTGAGCGGTGCTGCCAGCCTGACCGACTTCTCGTGATTCCACGCTGCCCACTGCAACGTGAGTTTGTTGGGGGACTGGAGGTCAGCGATGCGAATCATCGTCACTAAAGCAGTGCAGAGTGACGCTGCATTTGCATCCGGGCCGTTTCGAGCGTTGTTCTGATGGAGGCGATGACTACGTGGCCGCTGGTTGATTGCCATCTTCTCAGACTCCGTATACGAGCCGAGCCGAGCCTCATGCCAGACGTGACAGAGACCTCGTTAGACCCAAGTATTGGCTGCCGATGTTTCCGATCAGCCCTTCTGCCACAGCCTGTGACGAGCGGGAAAGAAGCCGTGTCGTGAGCTTGACGAGCATTCCAATAGGCGTCTGGGCCGGCACACAAGCGTCACCGCTTGGGATGGGGATCGCATGCAACAGACATTCGCGATTCTAGATGCGGCCGACAAGAGGTGCAGCTTCTGTGGTGGCTTTGCAAGATTCCGATTGCATATTGCTTTTTCCGCCTCTTTCTTATCGATAGGCTCCATGCTGGTAGAGGTCATCAAACTTGAACGCCGAAGCAACCGAACCACTCTCCCATATCAGGACGAAGGGCGAGAAACGGGCGACCCGAGGACACGAAATGTCTCACTCATTCCACGCCCTCGGTTCGTACGCAGTGTCTAACGGCCGTCCCTGCATAAGTGACTTGATCCGGCAAAGCGCAAGTCCGTTAGCTGACCACCATCGCGACTACAACCATATCCTGAGTCAAACGTGCAGAGGAACGCAGGACCTGAGAGGACGTTGCAAGCTGACCCTGCGCATTCCTCGGGGATCGCCATGCCCTCTAAGCCTTAGTACTCAGCCCTATGGGTCTTTGGGGACCGTCACCCCAGCTCCGAAGCTCACCGTTAATCAGACGAAAGGGCCAATCAGGAGAGTTATATGGGAAATTGCCTAGAAGCAGGCGGAGAGAAGACTAGTGATTAGAAACGTTGCAGCTGTTGACGCAATCTGACGGGGAGAAGTGGGGGGAGCCGCTGGGACAGAAACAGACCGCTTGAGGGACCACCCCCTTGCGTGTAAAAGTCTGTCCTCTTGATGTCTGGCAGGCGTTGGAGGACTCGAGAGGCTGCATGGCTTGCGGTGTGCAATGAGGAGCGGTGAACGCAAAGTGTGCGCTGGATTGCTGTGCAGGTGGGTAAGGTTGCATCCAATTAAGCTTAACCCTAAGCGAAGGTTTCACGTGGCGATCAATTATGTCATCACCTCACCACAGCCTCGCCGCGGCATCCATCCCACAGTGGCAGTGCGGGTCCATTCAAGTCGGTGCGTACCCTAAACTATGTACCCACCGAAGCATGCCCTGCTCTTGCCGATTCATCTGCCAAACTCGTAGAACGCTCAATCCCAAGAGATAGCATCCCGTATCAATCATTCAATCTTCCCCTATGCGCAACCGCTTTGACGGCAGTGTTGGAGCCACCAGCTTCCGCTTAGGAGGCCGGTCTCCTCCCTGAGCCTCCGCTCCGTCAACAGCCCCGGCTTGCATCAACAGCTTGGTAACAATGCTGACACAGCGAACCTTCTCTCCTCCCATCGCTTTGTCGTATGCGACTCCAGTCGTGTGATCCTGACCCTTCTGCCGAAGCTCGACGCGTCCGGGACGCTTATCTTTCCACTTCTTGGCCACCGCCTTGACACGATCATTCGCAACAACTGCGCTTGCGAACGTGGCATCAACCTCGATGTCGGCGATGTAGCGCTCCTCCACGCCGTTTGTTGTATTCTTCCGGAGCTCCAAGGTCTCGACTACGACGGTATATAGTGCTTTCTGCGCGCTCCACGCGCCACTTCGCACGCAGTACTTGATGTAGGGGTTGTTCTCGAGCTTGATCTGGAACTTGACGCATTTGTCAAGCCCGACGAGCGGGATGCGGAGTTCTTGGACGCCGCCGAGCCCGTGGCGAGGAGAATCCAGAAGTCCGCTTAAGAACGCGGGACTAGGGACGACGCTGTTCAAGTCCTCAACGGTATCCTGGATCTTCGCTTGCACGCCCTCAAGGTTGATGAAGGCGCCAAGGTATCTGGCCCTGGATCGCGCCCACGGCGTTGTCATCTTGAGGTGGTACATCGTATCTGGGTCTTTGGCTCGAGCCGTCGAATCCGGGTCTCGGGCTTTCACGAAGTCTGCCATGTAAGAAGTGGGCTTGGGCTTCGCGAGAAGGACGACAGTATTGCAGTCAGACTTGTGGTTCGTCCAGTCCGCAGATCGGCAGGTCTCATCGCAATAACGGCGGCCCTTACATTGGCCGCAGAGCATCAGACCTTCTTCTCCGGCGTTGGGAACACGGCCGCATGTCGCACACTTGAACAGCGTTGAATTCGGCGATTTGGGAGGCATGGTGTCTGCGACGCGCGAAAACGAAGTGGTCGCCGATTTGCGCGCTGCGAGTATTACTCGTGCAAACAATGCAGCCTTGTTCATAGGGCGAATGCTTGGCACGCTAACTTGGTGAAAGCTTTGGGACGCTCTTTTGGGACGGCTCCGGCATTCCAAATGATACGAATTTCCCCGACCAGATTAGAATTTTCACGGTCGCAAATGATAATTATGTTACCATTCGTGGGGTCATTGACGATGCGCAGATGACTTGCAAGCCACCGTCCCGCCAAGTTCGCTTTGCGGACGCTACGAGCTGCATAGCCCCGAAGGCTACTTGAACCTCTCTCGTCACAACCACTACAGTGCAACAACGCTACTACACGCCTTATAATTACGCTACGCTCAGACGCGACGTCTCCAATGGGGAAGCCTATAGCAGCGGGAAAAGCCAAACGGCTTTTGAAGCGGGTCCTCGGCCGCTCTCACACTGTTGCCGCAGCCTCGTCTGAGTTCCTCTATCACCCTTTGGATGCTAGCAAGAAGGAAATCCGCTTACTTCTCCTCCGAACGGGGCGGCAGTATGAAGAGCCGGTTCATTGCACGCTTCGCCATACTCCGCTTGGCGAAGCTGGAGAGTATTTCGCCTTGTCCTACGCTTGGGGCGACCCAACTCGCACTCGTCCTATCCTCCTCAACGGCTGCAGTGTTGAAGTTACCACCAACCTCGAAGAGTTCCTTCGGAAAATGCATGCAACCAAGCAAAAGCTAGTGCTTTGGGTCGACGCTCTCTGTATCAATCAGAAGGACATGGCTGAGCGGAGCAGTCAAGTCCGCATTATGAAGGACATCTATTCCAACGCGTGGATGGTTTTTGTATGGCTCGGTAGCAGTGACGAGGATACTGATCGAGCCTTCAACTTTGTCGAAGAACTCGCCCATGTGGTGCGCCATCAAATCACAACCCCGAGCTTAGATCCGCACCTTTTCACTATTTCTTCCTAGATCGCGTCGAATACGTCCCCACTTATGGAAAGCTGCAATTGGATGGCTTTTGCGGATCTACTCAACCGGTCTTGGTGGACAAGAGCTTGGATAGTCCAAGAGGTTGTCCTTGCCCAAAGAGCCACGGTCATGTGTGGTGAATGCGCCCTATTCTGGGACCACTTTCAGCTGGCAGCAGCGGCAGTGTTCAGTAATATGGGCGCAATAATTAGTACCGCCTCAGTGGGCTATACGAATGCTACGCATCCGACGGAGATGCGACTCTCCAGTTCCAGATTCGATCGATTAACGACTGGCGCCGCCAATTTAAGAGTACTTGGCACAACTGCGATGAACAGAATGCAAGACCAGACCCCTTCAGCATTCTACAATATTCTACGCCGTCATATGACCGCCAACGCAACAGATCCTCTTGACAAAGTGAATGCCTTTCTCGGACTAGCTCATTCCGACCACCATGAGGTTGCGGATATACCAATCGACTACACGATACCTCCCCCTACTATGTACCGACTGGTAATAAAACAGCTTCTGCAAGCAAAAGGGGACCTTTCCCTTTTAAATGATTGCTTCGGCACTAGACGACCAGCAGGGTACTCTTCGTGGACACCACCGTTCAAGAATCTACCGTGGAAACTGGCCGGCGATTTGCGCTTTCTTGAGTACCCGCCGCACATTGTCTATCGAGCTGCATCAGATATGAAGCCTGAATTCAGCTTTACGCAAGCCGACGAAATTTTACTACTTGCGGGTGTCAAGATCGATATAGTGAGGGAAATTGGAGAGGTGAATGACTTACGGCCCGGGGAAACAGTTTGGGGTCTCGACTACACACCTGATAATGTGCAGAGAACGTGGCAGAGACTCGCGGGCATCGGCGAATTCCGAGACGCTCTTGTAGACCGAGTGCGGGGGGAACTGACAGAGGAGGAAGAAATGGCCATCTACCTCTCTACAGGCGTGTACCCAACAGGGATCCCCAATCCTCAAGCCTATTTACGGACGGTTCTTTGCAACCCCACCGCGGAGATCGATGGAAACTATTTCAACCCCGCATTCGGAATCGATGGTGAGCGGAGGTGGGAAAACCGTACGGTGGGGCCTGGTGGAATGGACGACGAGCACCTCCGAGCTAGAACTGGGATGGCGTGCATTGATCGACGGTTCTGTCACTTCGCGCGGATATTTTGGGCTCGGACCCCCGGTTACGGCTGCTGGCGACATTGTCTGCGTCTTTCTTGGTGGGAATACACCGTTCTTGCTGAGGCAACAAGGGGACTTCTTTGAGATTGTGGCTGAGACGTATGTGCAAGGGCTCACGAGCGGAGAGGTGGTTTCTCAGATACAGGATGGGTCTTTGGAAGTGGAGGTGATTCCGCTACAGTGACACGGGGATGATACGATGATAGGAGCACCGCAGGGGCAGGGGTATTCAATCTTCGTCGGGGCTGAAGTATTCTTTGGAGAGCTTTTGCACCTATGCTTGGATACCTGCCAGTCCCGCTTGCGCGCCTACTTGACCGGAGACGAGAATGTATTTTCTCTATAGACTATCGAACCCCGGTGCGACCCATCCTATCCATAACGCCCAGGACACCTCTATATTTTGAACGCCATCCAGTATAAAACCCATTGAATATCGTCTGTACATTCCCACGTTCTTTGAAGAAGTTGGTACCAGTATCAGGGAATGAACACGAAGATCTTGGAATCGAGTTAAGAGATGCCTGGTATCTCGGTGGTTGCGGCTACTTCTCGGCTGCGGCTACGGCTGAGGCGAATCCCGAGTCGGATTGTGTAGGATCGGGCGTTGAGGAGGCTGTCGGCTTGCTATTTGATGAAGCGGGAGATGTGTCGGCAGCACGACCAAGGATCTTGATGCCGATGTCGCCCTTGTCCTCCTGGGCGAGGGCATCGATATCGGCGGCCTGAGAATTATGGATACACTTCAGGAGACGTAGAAGGCTCTCGCGCGTGATCTTGCCGAGGATCTTGGTTTGCGTGTTTGGCCGAAACGAAATGACCGCCATCAAGTCGGCGTACGAGAGTTCACACCAGTCGGCAGTGGTCTGCTCGATGTCCATGGGGTCATTTGGCGACTGGTTGAGCAAAGGGTGGAAGTTCGGCATCTTCATCCAGAAGAATTGGGCTCGTCGCTCTGGCTCCTCGGCTTCAACGCCTTTTTTCCGCTTGGAGCCAATCTTGAGGCCGGTGATCTCCTGACCACCTGGGATCCGATTGACCTTGGTTATTAAGACTCGGCGTGGTTTCACACAGGCACGGCCTTTAGGAGTGACTGCAGTTGTGCCATCTCCGGGCTGCTTGCGGTCATCGCTTGTTGGCTCCATCTCCACAATCTCCACAATCATCCCGGCCTCGAAGGCGCCAAGCGACACCCCTTCAGCTAGAGCATCCATCTCCTCGCTGACCTCCATGATCTTGACGAGTTTTCCTCCCTGTGCGGCCTTCACCCGGACGTATTCGAGGCCCAACTGTGCTGTGAGCTCCGACAACTGCTTCAGAGGACTGGACCTTGACGGGGTGTTGATGTGGTTATTCGTCGCACGAGGTCCAGCTTGTAGAAGGGGAGGCGGCGGCCGCTGTCCTGTACCATTGCTCGGATCTACGCGGTTACGATGCGTGCGTGGAAGGCCGTGGTTACGGTCGGCACGGCCGGCTCGGGATTCCGTGCAAAAGTCAGCCATGTCAGGAATGTTGAATTCCTAGTGAAGGCGTACCACGATGTTTCCGAGCCATGGCGTATTCCTTCTACAATCTAAGAACTGTCAGTACATACAAGCGGTAGTAGGGCTGCAGTGGGCTTACTTGGTTCGGTATTGGTAGGTGGAGCGCGTTACTGCCTTGGGGACCCTTGTTCGTGAAGCAGCTATGGTTGAGAGGGTTAGTTGGGGTAATAATGGAGCGGTTGTGCGACGGAGAGGCAGTTAGCTTATTAGGTGAGTTTCATATCGAAAGGTTGGGCCTTTCTTGGCGCTAGATCCCTCGGTGCCTGGCTAAGCAGTGTTACAATCTGCAATGGGGAATGGGATCTCTAGGGCCATTCTGGGCGGAGGGACTGTGAACGGATAACATTTATCGGCCTTTCCCCGCAACACTCCGGTTGCCAGGGTTGCTCGCTCGCAAATTCAAGGTTCATAATCCCAGATCACCTTCAGCTCTCAACCGCCATACGTTGACTTTGCTCGACCTGCAAGTGGACTCTATCGGACCTCCACATCAAAACTATCTAGGGCCCGGGTAGAGATATCATCATCTCAGCAACTACTACTGCTTTGGAGAGCAATACAATGGTCGAAAATTTACAACAACTTTCACGCAAACGAAAACGCGAGGACGAATGCAGGGCTACGGAATACTCTCAACCCGAACCAGTTCCACACCATGTCACTAGTCGCAACGAAGCGTCGATTATTCTTCCGGCTTCGCGGAAAGACACCGTGATACCAGAGAACCAGAATTACAGTTTTCAGCGGAACGAGCCACCTCAGAAGCGCTTCAAAGAAGAATCGAACATTGCTGAGGACTATGCCACGCCCAATGATCTTTCACCTAAAGGACTGGATGAGCATATACCTGCGCAAGGCCCAACAGGATCCGAACTTCCTGTGGGCAAAGCTACAAGCACCTACTCGGATAAGTCAAACACCAAAGGTGACAGATCAGACTCGATCCGCTCAAGTGAATTGACAGGAAGGCCAGAGCTCACGGCTCCATCAAGGCATGTTCCATCTCCGGAAAAAGCCCCGGGAATAGGGAAGTTTATGACACAACACCAATCCGTAACCCTTGCTTCCCAGGATGAGGGAGCGAGCGCAACCATGTCAAACGTTAAGAGCTCTGCAACTCGCCCTAGAACCGACTCAAGAATCGAAAACCATCCCCCAAGCCCAGTAGATGCTTCCCTGGACAAAATGTTCCGCGATTCATCTAGAGAGGTTAATGCGAATGACTCCGAGGACGCGTTGCACGATGGGACCAGCGACGGGTACGCGGCTGATATAGAATTCAGTAGCAATCACAGTGAGTTGGATAGTGAAAACGTCGCAGAGAGCCGCGAGCCACCTGTATGGTCGAGCAGAAAGAATGGACCTCGCGAGGGATCAGACAGCTCGGCATCAAACGAACGATGCGCAAAGTTTTCCGAGTGGCATGCGAACGAATCCGGGGACCATCCAGATCTCTATACATATGGGCCAGCAATGATCACTCAAAATTACGACGGCGAGCGGGAGGTGCTATCGCTTTTGCTTTCTCACGACTTGATGCAGCGGATGAAAGCGTCCATAATAGCAGGCCGTCGCTTTCGAGGGATGAAGGCAGAGGTTGATGAAGAGCTGCGCCAAGTAAAGCTGGAAGCTAACTTCCGTTATGGACGCATTATGAGAACGAGTACGGAGATCGAAGTCGTGAAGGAGCAGACCGCCAAAGAGAATGATGGCCCGACCGAAGAGCAGAGGGCCCGGTTGAAGGATGCTCAAGAAAGACTAGAGGATTTGAAAGCCAAGCAGGCAGCCTCTCAAGAAAAGCGAAGCGAGCTCAAAGCAAAACTGAAAGTGGAGGGAAAGGAGTGGGTGAGATGCATGAGAGCCGTCGATGCTCTGCATCAATGTGTCCTTGTGGACTGCCGGATCTTGTCAGAGTGTGACCAGGGCTGGTGGGCGGATGAGGACTATGCAATCACTACAGTCAAGTCTATGCAACGGTACGATACGGAGAGCGAAGATGATGGAGAATCGGAATTTGTTCAACCGCAGGTCATCACCCGCGTAGAAGTCACGAGGGGACAGGGTGCTGACCACCAGCGTGGACAGCCGGATGCAAAGGCTGCTTCACCGAACGTCGCTAAGGGAGGGAAGACTGACGGGATCGACAAAAGTCCAAGTGATCGCCTTCAAGCAGCGCCAAAAGCGCACGATGGCGAATTTTCGGCACACCTGGAGGCGGCTGAGGATCCAGTTGATGCGCCTGGAGAGAAGAATAATCCGACTATCCCAGACCCCGCGGAAACGGCTCAGGCTTCGGCAACTCTCGAGTTGCACAAGGAGAAGCTAACGGCCGAATTGGAGCAGCGTCGGCTGATGCTGCAAAAGACGCGAGAGCAGCACGATAAGCACCATGACAGCTACACTGAGATCTATGCAATATATGTCTCCCAGCAGCTCAATCGGCCCAACGTAGACTTCGCAGCGGAGTTCGGTCCGTTATACGTCTTTGGCGGCCAACAGCTTGCCCAGAAAGTTACGCTCGCGGAAGAAGCTTACGCTACAACTAAAGCTGAAGCAGAAGCTGCAGGTGTCATCTTGGGTGACCCGCATGCCCACGAACCGATTGAGACTACACGGCCCCGATGCGAAGAGGAAGAAGTACGGTACCTGAAAAAGTCGAACCACGATAGGATTGAAAGTTGGAGAGATGTAGAGATGGACGATGTTAGTCTTGCTGGGACGGTGCGCTCTTCCGAAGCGGGAGAGAGTCATGGCGATGACCTGGCCGACAAGCCCCATCGGATGAAAAGGCAGGGGGTAAGTGCAACTTGCTCGTCTCCAGTTGCTATTTCGTGCTTTGACATGGTCCAGGAGACTCCTAAGCATAGAGAACTGTCGCAGTCTTTGATCACGAAATACTTCCCGATGAGCCGACTAACCCCGGCCGCCTCGAAGAAGCGAATGCGCGATAACGATGACGAGCACAGCTCGAGTCGGAAATGTATGCGTTTCGACAACCCCGAGTCGCAGCCACTCAAGAGTAGCAACGACGAACCTCCAGGTCCTAATACGGAATCTCCTGTGGAGTCCTCGCTGCCCGAGTCCTCACAGCTCGAGTCCTCGCAGCCCGAGTCCTCGCAGCCCGAGTCCTCGCAGCCCGAGTCCTCGCAGCCCGAGTCCTCGTCGTCTTCGAGCGGCATAGCAGAGATACCGAAACCGTGCACACCACCTAAGAAGAGCAGAGCGGGGAGCAGAAGCACAAAGGACGAGCCCGTCCTCAAGCATCATTTTATTGATAGTGTTAGCGTTTTGCACACAAACGAGAGCAGGCGGCAATTGATCACTGAGTGGGCAGAGAAGTGGCGAGGAGGTTTTTTATAATGTCTTTAGATCATAAATACAATCGGAGCTGTTGTATGCAGAAACATTCTGACCCGGTAAAAGGCCGGTTCTCCTCACGCAGGCCCCCACAGTGAGTGCAGTTCCTCCGGCGTCGTTAAATCCTTGAAGTTTCGCTGTCTATATCCCTCGTTCTATTCATCTCGATCCTGGATCGGTACAATTAACAAGTGTCTCAGAGAAGGGGGAGCCCTCTTGCGTGACTTCTGCCCCTACCCGCTAAAGACCCTCAGGAAGGGAATCCTGCAGCCGAAACCCGAGACATGCTGGAGTGTGTACCGCGAGATAAGGCGATGGTAGTGACTTGCATCTTCGTCTTAAGCAGGCATACCCCCTCGAACAATCTTGCAGAACGTCGCCACACCCTTCCCCGCCTGTTGCCATACCATTGCCAAATCTTCTCCTTCATCTCCGAGAACACTGCGTACCAAGCCTTCACCGACCGCCACGATCCCCTCGTTCGTCTGGCACAGATACCACGGATTTTTGTGAATAAATGTCGTCGCTTGATGAGTCATCCAAGCCAATGCATCGTGCAAAGCTGGCCGTATTGCCGCCATGATTTGGGCGGAGAAGGGCGCGAAATGGCCTCGAATCTCGTCGATGAATATTGGGCCCAGGTATCGCTGAAGATGATCCGCCGCTATGCGCAGGATGACGTGCATTGTGATCAGCAGATTGATGAAGATCCGGAAGAAAGGGCCATGTACTAAGACGATGAGGAAGAGGGTACCGAGGAGCAAGTTTCGGAGCAATCGTCGCGTGAATTCGAGCATTGTGAAGGTTGCTGGTTGCGGTAATTCGTCTGGTTGTGCGGGCGGTACGGGAGATGAATGAACGATGAAAGATGGTGAAGAAATAAGAAGATGAAGGTAAAGGCTGAGTCATTTTGCATTGTGTATATACGGCAGGCGCGATCGGGGTTTTGCTTGGCGGGTGCTTCGTGTGCTCCGTGCGCTCTTCGTGAAAGGCAGGAACGTAGAGTTTTGTGTAACTTTTCACTATACCTTCCTAGTGAGCTCAAGAGTAAGCCTTCCCAGGCGGACTTTATATACTTTTCCATCTCTTTCTCTTATGCGCGAAGTCTAGCTGACCAAAATGCAACATGCGCTAAAGGTGAATGACTAGATCACGTGCAACTCGAGACGTACGTTTTCTGTCAATCTATCATAGGATACACCATTCGTCTCCCAAATCGAACAGATGATTCTCTAGGGATAAATCAATGAGAGCTATTGCTATTGACCCAAAGCAAAATTGACCACGAAAAACCCAATCGCTCGCATAATCCCGTTACAATTTCAATCAAACGCCGTTGGCGGGTGTTAAGTATCCTTCCCAGTGCTCCCTTTCTGGTAGGACCTTTATTTCTGCGTTGTGCCTGCCGCATACACCATGCCCATCATGACGATGAGCGTAACTATGAGAGGAATCTCGACCGTAGGGCTATCAGTCATTCCATTCCACCACGAAGACAACTTGGCTTCGTTCACTGGGACAGACTTGGATGCGGGAACGTTCTTGATGTCCATATAATAGCCTTTTCGGGACTCGGTGAGCGGGTCCATGGTGCTCGGATAGACCTGCAGTTCTGCTGATGGCCTGACGATGGGAAGAGCCGATCTAGAAGGCGCGGAAGCTTGCTTGCGTAAGTTGAGATCCGGTTCTAGGACGATGGGGTCGGTATCTTCTCGAGGCCGTTCGATATTCGAGACCCCTTCGCTATGGGTAGACTTTGATCGCCTAATCTGCTGAAGGGAACTGATGGAAGAGGAGGGTGATATCTTGGCGGCTGGATCTCGAGCTTCGATCAAGGTGGCGCTAAGTAGATCGTCGGCTTTCTGTGTAGACTGCTCGAAGTCTCCGCCCTGCACAGTCTGCTTTTCCTGTGATTCTGCCTCTTGGCCTTCGATTCCTGTGCTATAGGAGCTGCTGGACAGCAAAACGTCGAGAATACCGGTGTCCTCAGCGCTTGCCTCGATTTCGATGAAGTTCTTCTCTTCGGTGCTCTCGAGCGAAAGTCGTCCGGTATCTTCTGCCCGTAGGTTCTCAGGATCCGTGGATTCGGGGAGTTCTTGGCCATCTTCATCGAGCACCGCCGGTATTTGAATGCTCCGAGGGCTCGGCGATCGTTGTCGGCGTTGATGATGCTTACCGTCCGTGCGCTGGCCTTGGCCCGATGCAGAGTCAGCATAGTGCATGGGCGCCTGACGCTCGGACGCGATATCATTTTCACATGTCTCAGCCTCACGAGAAACCCCGCATGGCATTCGATCGTCAGCGTTGTCCAACGTCATTTCTTCGACTTTCCTCGGAGAGTCCTCTGCATCACCTGTATCCTCCACTAGCTCAACATGACGATGGTGCATAGCAGAATAAGTGTCTGTGACGGACTGCGCTCCTGCCTCACCGCCCTCCTTCAAGCGCCGCGATTCGGAAGTCCTAGATTCATGAGAGATGTGCTCTTGATCTGGAGAACCCGATCGTTCCTCGATGTGTAGCGTGCCGGGCCGCATAGCATCTCCGAGTCTCTCAGCAAGATCACCTGAGAAAGCCATGCAATAATCGTCTTCGTCTCGGGGAATCGTCCCGACCGGCTCTTCATCCGACTCATACTCCTGGTCCTCAGACATTAAGTCCATCTCGTCCAGGACTTCGTCCTCTACATGGATCATGGACAGCCCCTCGTACTTGTCACTGAAAGGCCTGGGAGCGCCCATAGTCGTATCGCAGCAAGAACTCCGGCGCAGCTCGACCGAAGATGGGGTGTAGGCCTGCACATGCTCCGTCTTATCGCTCGCAGGTTGCCTCTCTGAACCCGAGGCCTTTGCCGTTATGTCTGGATCCATAATACCGTTGCCACCATGGAGTTCCGCAGTGCAAGTTCTGCGGGCGAGAGGGCTAAAGGCCTCCGGTTGATTATTATTGTCAAAATTCGGGCACGAAGCCATAACGGGATGTCCTTCTTTTATCGATGACCTAAGTAAAGAGGAATGTTAGTATTCGCTTAGCGCTCCTGTCCTTCTGGTGAACTTACGTAAAAATGGGTGTGGCGTAGAGTTGAAGGAAGCGGGCGCATGCACAATGTTGATCGACCGAACATTGGGGACTCAGAATTAAGTAGAATGAGGGCCCCGAGCACCTTTCCCTCCGGTTTCAAGCCTTCTGTTCACTTCGCCGCCAAACACCTTGATCATCGAGGGCCATGACTGAATATGCGCTTGCCGTACTGGGATGTACGCCACAACCTTGCTTTTCTGTCACTTTCGGGGGGAAATAAAAGATTCATTCACCACAATGCACCCGAGAGTAAATGCTCCGCTCAATTGGATTTTATCATACAATTATGTATAAAGTCGCACCCAGAGAAAAGACCCCACTACTTTTGCGTTACAACGCAGCGCATCAAGAGAGCACAAACTTGGAACCAACTCGATCAAACTCTTTCTGCAACTCTGTTAGCTGCTAGGAAAGCAAGATGGGTACGCCGCTAGACAGACCGAACCGCCACCCAGCAAAGCAAGGCGAAACTCCCAGTGTCAGCAAGCTGTGGCAGCCTGCCGAACGTTCTCCACTTGAACCATCTCCCTCTGCCTATCCCCGCGATAAAAACATGAATACGAACACCAATAAGCGGTACTCATTTCTCTCTCATGCTTCTCTCTTCGGCGACTCCGGCGCTCCCGCCATGCCCACATTAACCGACACTCCCCGCACGGACGTCTCTACATCAGTGAGCTTAGAGCGCATACAACGGCGACAAGACTCCGGTCTGCCAACTCCTTCCACTGGGTTCTTTATGTCATCCTCACCCAACATCTTGACTTCCAGCACTCCGAATCTACTCGAGAAAGCCAGCCTGTCCGGCCTTGCTAGGAAGGGCTCTGCAAGGAGTCTGCGAAGCAATGCAACGCGGCCTGACATATGGGAAAAGGAAGGCAAGAAGAGCGACGCCGCTTCCATCGGAAGCAACCGCAACGGCTTGTCGTCGTTCGTCTCGAAGTCGGGGAAGAAGATTGCAAATTCCTTCAAGGGCAAACCGAAAGGTAGTGAATGTTCTACCTTACTTGCTTGTATTTGTACTAACACACTCCAGAAAAGACACCGAATATCCACAGCTTCGCTTCGAAGCGGTATGAAACCCCTTTGGGCGCTGATCAGTCCGCTACCGCGCGAAGAGCCGCTTTGGACGTCAATAGTAGTTTCTACAGCACTCCCGACTCAGAAGTTGACATGCACGATTCTTCCATAACTCTGGCTACTGAGACCGATGCAGAGAGCATGCCTTTCATCTCACCTAAGAATACTCGCGAGTCGCCGAAGGAGATTCTGAATCGCGTTCATGAGCGAGAGGCAAAAGACAGTGGAACGCCTCCAGACTCGAAGAACGGCAAGGATTCCGTACATCTAGCGAACGAAGCTGCTGATGCTCTAGATCTGGCGCATATTAAACACAATGAGGAATCGTCGCCCACCGATCTGCTAGACGACTATTTCCAGGTCGATCATCCGAGTGTTAGTAAGGCGATAGCCCACACACCCACGCTTCCTACTCCTGGGTTGAAGTCGCCGCCTTCCGCGTCGCCTCTCGCCGTATTACCGAAATTGATCTTTCCCATCTCTGGCACCAAAGAGGCAGTCTCGGGCCGTATCAGTAAAGCACAAGCGGAGACGAGGAACCACGCGACCGATGATCTTCCCTCGATATGGCCACTCGCCTCCTCATCTAGCCCTCAAAAGCTGTCTCTCTCCCTGGCTATGGAGATATTCTCAGAAGCTCCTACTGAACCTCTACCACGTCAAGGTCTAATTCTGTCCGAGGCGCTAGCGATCATGTACGCTTGCACTACATACGCAGCAGTTTACTTCCTCCTCCGGCACGTTGATGGGTCAATGTTGTGGGAGAGTATGGCGCTACAGCTAATAAATGGCTGGCTAGTGGGCTTTATAGTGTGTCTAGGGGTTCACATGTTCTTTGGTGGGAGGGTCGAGCGCATACCACAAAATTCTCTGCATTTCCTTGGCCGCATGGTGGGTAATCTGGCTCGGGGTCTTGCTGAGGGCTATCGGCGTGGTAGGGGGGAGTAGGTACCCACATTCTGTGGAGTGTGCTCCTGAGCTCATGGATTCTGACTGCGTTTCATTTAAGGTGGTCACGCGGAATTCGGCAGTGGAGAGAGTTGATGCCGTCGATGTAAGCATATTAAAACGGAACGGTGTTGGTCTCGACTTTGGAAAGAGTCACATTGTGTTATAGCATAAATAGCATAGTAATTAAGACCCTTCTCCGTGCCTAGGGCGTTCAGAAACCTTGTTCTTTATGCCACGCCCGCCCCTACCTTTCACCTGTGGCGTCACGGCACCGCAGTTTAACTAAACTGTGTTTCACCGTTCACAGCTTGTCCGAAAGCTAGCTTCCTCTCACGAGATGCCTCAAAGTGACTGTACAATACCTGAGTGAAACATCAAGCTAGGTCGAGAAAACCTTTCGCTATAACTGATTTTGCCCGACCGGCCTAACCCCAATATAACGATCCACGTAGATAACTTCCTTCACGCCTCAGGAAACAACACCACTTCGACACCAAACACAACAGGCCCAACATGGCCTATCACAACCCGTATGAGCCATTTTCGAAGTCGGACCACCGCTGTACGTTGTTCGATGGCAAACTCGACGAGATTATGCTAACAATATCAAGATCGACTTGGGCTCTTCTACCTCGACTGAATCTCTTGAACAAACGAAGTCGCGTTCGCCTCAACGTCCCCGAATCCAGCGTCGTCGTCAATTTCAACTCGTACGCACATCAAAAACTGCAGGCACCACATAACTATCCTTATCCGAACCTCCACAATGCTGTCGAGTAATGCGAGCAAACTGAATCGGAGGGAGGGTGGAAAGACCGTGAGCAACCGAAAAGCCCCGATTCCCTGTTCACGGCTCTAGTCTATGATGACCTTGCCTCTGCGACCGCAGGGAGGAAATACTAGTTACGGCGGAGAACTCGAGGTGGCGGTCATAGTCTTAGTTGTAGCCATCTTCGTCGCGGATCTGTGCTGGTACGACAATAGTGGTGAGACCCCAAGGTGGCCTATGTGGGTACCTAAATCTTTGTGCGGACTCACATTAGAAGAATTCTGGAATATTATAATAGAATGCAATAGAGGGTATCCCGATTAGAATAGCAGGAGACTCCTGGTTGGCTTCCATACCTGTATGTGGCCAAATGGAGGCTTCCGGTACGTGCGCGGATCTTGAATACCTTGAAAGGCCACTGTCATTGGGGACCTTCGCGTACTTTCCCGATTCTGGTGAAGTATATTTTCGATGACGTAGCCCATGTGACTTCGCATTCACCACTCCCTAGCTTACGTAATTGCGACCACGCGCAAACGCATCAACAGCAAACAGATCTCATACAACTGCGTTGCGCTCGCCTTCCATCACCACAACTCTATCGTCACTCTTCCCAATCTTCGCAAAGCCATCGCAATGGCACGCCTCAGCGCCGAAAACTTTCGCAGCCCCGAGACACCGCAGTCAACCCGCAAATCGAGTCGCTTCAAGGACCTTTTCAAAGGCGGCAGCTCGCGCATGAGCCTGAGCCCCGGTTCCAGCAACGAGTCTCCCAAGACGTCGCCGAGGGGTAGCGAGAACTTGAAACCGGGCTTCAAAAAGGTCGGGTTGCATCCTTCGGAGCGCGTGGTGAGCGACGAGGGGGAGCGTAAGAAAGAAAGCTTGAGCGCGTCGCTCGCCAGGCAGGAGGAGGAGTTGAAGGATGTCAGCGTGCCGCATGGGCTGGATACCGCACTTCAGGCCAGTGAGGTGAAAAGCCCGCAAGGACTTGCGAAGCCAGTGGTTGAGGAGAGCCTCCCGACAGCCAAGGACGAGCAATCCAATGACATTGTCCCTGATGAGATCGCCAAAGCCCTGAAAACCTCCGAGGAAAACAACGAGGGCACAAAGGATACACAGGTGCAGGAGGTGGTCCCGGACACAGCTGGAGCTCTTCCCATTGGAGAAGATGCCGCTGCTGCAAGCATTTATGGCACGGCTATTGCGAATCCCACTCCTGGTACCCAGTCGGTACTCGAGGAAGGTGAGCTGACCATCATCTACTCGGTTCTAATGGCCACCAACCTAACGCGATATGCTAACAGACTACGCCACCGCCACTGACAACGAGGACACCGAATCGACCATACAAGCGCCAAAGTCCGACGAGAAGAACAATGGAACTCTTGAGGTAACTAAAGAGTACATTAACAGCAAGGTCATGCCTTTGACTGACCTCCGCAATTAGGATACTCGACTGTTAGCCTCCGCAATCGCCCACGGAATACCGCTCTCCGCTAGGATGCCACCATCAGACACGAAGATCGGCACGTTCTACATCCTCGATCCGAAGGTGGCTGCCAATTGCTATCGTGCTCTGGCTTTCACGTACCTGACCGTCTTCTTCTCTGCGGCACTTGGCGGACCGAAGACCTTCTTTCTCGTCGCATGGAGGATTGGAGTCGTGCTGCTTGCGTACGAGCTCATGCGCCGGAAGTTCAACTGGAAGGATTCGTTGGCAACGGATGTAGTGCTTGCACCGGTTCAAGATGGATTGGAGGAGGCACAGCAAGTTGTTCAGGAAGTCGTCCAGATGCTTTGCAATATGTTGACCCCAATCATTGTGGCTACCATTCAGGTGGCTGTGGAGGAGTATGAGATCTCGAGGTCAGGCTAAACGAGGGACAGCTGGAGCATGTGGCGAGCCGGATGAGTAGGTGTAGTGACATATCAAAAGCGCAGTCAGTGGTCAGACTAGCCGCTAAAACCGCGCGTTGGGGCGCATGGCCTGTCAGATGATGTCGGCCTTTTGTCAGCTATATAAAACGAAGAATGCGGGCTTTCGCATTGATGGAAACAACTCACCTTGATATTGTGTACTTTCGGATTATGTTTCAATACGTAGACAGTACTTCCGATGTCGGATGTTGTCGTTGCCTTGCACTGTTTACGCTTAGCGTGAGTCAACGCTTGCAGGCTGTGGTGGGAACGCGGTGCGCGTCTGGAGTGAAAGCGAACCCCATAACTCAGCCCAAGGCCTTCTCATCGAAGACTCGCAACCCTTTGCCCCCTATACCACCTTCGCGCCTCACCGTGTACCGCCCGAATATCTCCCATACCGTCTCCAAGCCGTACTCTGTTCGGAATGACAGCACCCGGGACACCTCGCCGCCGGTCGATCAATACAGCCGAAGAGGAAGGGCCGCTCGCGCCATGTGTCTTCATGCCGCAAACATCAACTCCAATGATGCTGATGTCGTCACGTCGCCAACAGCCCGACTATCGCGGTATCCTCTTGACGTCTCGTACTAAAGGTGCTCACTCGCTCAACCCTGCCCATCAAAGGTATTGCTGCTTACGCTTTCCCAGACTTTGAGGAGACGCGCGGTGACGACAGCGACGAAACTGCTGAAGAGCATTCGAGCGACTCGGGCTACGGAACGGATGGCTACCGAGCGTGCGACAGCGAACCAACTACTCCCACGAGCAGTATTTCCACCGCATCTTCCGTCAGCAGATCCTCAATCAAGTTCCTCAACTACATCTGTGTCTGGAATGACGCTCATACTCCGAGACAGACTGTCCGACTTCGCATCCTCGCTATCGTCTCGATCGTTCTCGCGCTCCTCCTCGCTCTTGCTCTCGCATCCGCCGGGACCGATCACATCCCATCCCATGTTACGATATCCTTCGAATTCGCATTGAAATCCCTGGAGGCCTTCTCAGAGCTATTAGAAGTCTGTTTGGAAGCTGCAGGCTTTGTTGTCGGACGCGCGGCTGCACGATTTGGGAGAGGTTTTGTAAAAGGTTACAATATATGAAGGGAATATTCACGAAGAGGTCTGTGTCAGGACTAGCTGGTTAGCCCGCTTGAATGAAGCGTGAGCGGAGACGATGTTCTGCGAGGATATGGAGTGTTTTCCAGAAATGCGCTACGAAACCCTAGGACGCCGTATGCTTGTATAACGTCGTCATTGGATTGGCGATAGGGTATGGTAACGGATTCCTTGGAGCAAAGTCCAGGTGACAGAGCCAGAGCATTCGTGTTTGCTGTCACGTTCCAAGTGCTGTGCAGCTCCTTCCTTCCACCCGTCGTGACTTCTCCTCAGCTAGTCTCTGCCCTCGCGCTTGACATCCATGCTCGTGACGCACTTGCAGCATTCCCGGCGTCCGGCCTTTTATTTCTCGTCTTTCTTAAGCAACGCAATGATGTCACCACATACACGCATTACTATCCCCCACGGCAATCGCTTACCTAACCTTTAACATCAGCAAATATTTTATCGTCGCCTATACTATACTCTAGATCTATTTCTAATAAGGTAGCTTCTTTTAGCTAAATTACTACTTACTACTTATTCTAGTTCTAGTACTTCTACTTATAAACTAGTAAACTAACTATATTTATATTATTCTATTAAAATATAATAGTATTTAGCTTATAACGTACTTTACAAGCGAGCTGGTTATACAAGCGAGCTGGTCACCTTCTCTTGGCAACGAAAATCAACGAAAATTAACCCGTTTTTCTTAAATAACTAAGCGAAACCTTAATAGTTTTCTATAAAAATTTATATATATATTCTCTATAGTATATTACACCTTATAGTAAAGTTATACTAAGATATATTACGTAATTAAAAAGCTATACGTATTTAACTAACTTTTAAGAAAAAATCTAGTTTTCTTCTAGTAAGTACTATTATATCTCTATAATAATATATAAAACTTATAGTATATAGTATCTATAATATAGTAAAGGTTTCTAGAAAACTTTTATAGAGCTAGCTCTTCTAGGTATAGTATAATAAGAGATAGAAGTTAGAAAAATTTCTTCTTTAGAGTTTTCTCTTCTAACTATATATATATTAGTTAATCTAGCTATATAAACTTATAATTTTATAAATTATAGTATACTTAAACTATATAGAGCTTATTAACTAATAATATAGTAGCTTTAAGTAGTTATTTAAAAGTAAAGCCTTTTTATAGTATTATTACAAAGCAGGTAATATAGTAATATAATATGTTATACTATAAGAAGCAGAAGGCTTAGCAGGCTACAGGAAATATCTATGTAGGCGCCAAGGCGCTAGCAAGGCGCTAGCCGCCGTTACGTAAGTAGCACCTAAACCTAAACCTGTGTTAGTGCTATAATAGTACCTGTGAGGGCTGGGTCCGCGGTCTCCACTGCTGTGAGCGCCCCTGGAACACCTAGCTGGGTAAGTCGGCTGCAGGCAGCACTGTCTCCACGAGCTGTAAGGATAAGGGGTGCTAGCAGGGTAGGTTGGGTCAAATTCAGCTATCCAAAGGTGAGGAGTAGAAGGCTGCTCCGAGAGGCTCTATATACAGAGGTGCCGAGCGCCAAGGCGCTAGGCTAGGTCACGTGGTAAGATCACGTGACCCGAGGTCATGTGACCTGAGGTAAATCCCAAACCAGACCGTCACATCACCCCCCCTCACAGGGAGAGCTCGTCCCCGAG